TGGACAACAGGTTATCGAGGACAATACCAAAGCAGGATTCGTCACGCAGGCGAAGCAGCGCCACACATCGTTTACACCGCGCAAAAGACTCGCAGGAAGACCGTTCAGATGGCACCAGAGACTGGGTCACCCGGGCGAGGGGGTGCTGGAGCACCTCGTCAACGCCTCTCGAGGCGTGAAGATCATGGGTGACCTACGCAACAAGCTGCCTGACTGCTCAGCGTGTGGAAAAGGGAAGACAAGACGAATTGTTCGACGTGCCCCACGCGAGTCTATAGCGTGGGCAAAACCAGGATCAAGAGTGGCGTTCGACTTTCACTCGATTAGCCCTCAAGGATACGGAGGCTATATGTCTACGGTAATACTCTCTGACCGACTAACAGGATACTCGTGGGACTACTACCTTAAGGACCGTACAACAGAGACGCTCCTCGAGGTATTCGATCTCTTCATGGCCATGATGAAGACGCAATATAATATACAGGTCAAAGTCTTCGAATGTGACCGCGAGGTTGCAACGATTCATCAGCAAGTCGCCACTCACCTTCAATCTCAAGGGGTGGTCCTCGAACCCTCTGCGCCCAATACGCAGGCCCAGAACGGAGGCGCCGAGCGAATCGCAGCAGTTATCAAGGAGAAGGCTAGGACCCTTCGCGAGGCAGGCAAGTTCCCTGAGATGCTGTGGCCCGAAATCGTTGTCGCCGCGACGTATTTATACAACAGGACGCCGTCAGCGGCGCGCGGCTGGAAAACGCCCTTCGAACGGTTCCATAATCAGTTTCGCGGCCCAGATCTCGGGAAGCCTCATCAAGCCCACCTTCGAGCGTACGGCTGCAAAATGTATGCGCTCACAACAGACGCACAGCTGGGCAGGAATAAGTCGAGAAAGCTTCAACCGAGAGGATGGATAGGCTACCTCATTGGGTACAGTACTAGCAACTCCTACCGCGTGTGGAATCCGCTTACTGCCCGCGTTATCACAACGCGAGACGTTGTGTTCAGGGAAACCGAGTTCTTTAATGGAGATATCAACGAGCTGCGGGATGACCTCAAAGACCTCGACGTGAACGAGCTCAACGCTCTTCTCGCGCGACTAGAGGTCTCGCCCACAGGGATAACATCTCCAGAGTACGCACACACCGCAGACGAAGAAGTCGATGAAGTCCAGTACATTGAAGACGAAGAGGCACAAGAATACACCGCACCGCCGTCGCCTAAGTACGTGGAGTCACGATTCGAACTCAATACACCACCGCGGACGCCACCCACCTCGTTCTTCGCAGGCCTTGAGGAGGCACTCGGAGTGAAGGGGTGGAGGAAGAGACGTGCTTCGATCGCTCCTGAGGCGGTTCATGCACGCGAATCGATCCACGAAGAGTTTCCAATTACCACTCCGCGTACCTCCTGGCAAGCCGCTTTCCTCGGCGGCACCAGAACGGGTAGAAAACGAGTGAAGATGAAGCAAAAGGCGAAGAACGCCGATACAAGCCTGGAAGCGGTAGTATGTTGGAACAACAGACTCGAAGGTCTCACCGTAGCCGGACGTGGTAATGGTATGAACCCTGCCCCTGGGCCCAGGAGGAGTCTTAGAAACCCTGGGTGTGAGCGTGCCTTCGACCTCCGTCAGGGAAGAAACCACGTTGATTCGAGGGTAAAGGAAGACCTTCCCTCTGGGCTAAGCTCCTACAACGGTAGGCCCGTGTCAGGTGACGGGGGGCCCGCGGTTGAGACCGTGGCCTCTAGCGTTCCGGGAGAGGACCGTCCTCTGCCCCAGCGAAAAAGCCAAGCAGGCGTACTACCCCCAGTGCCTCAGAAACATGCCGATCTATACGGCCACCCCTACGAGAGGGGATTCCGAGAAGCGGAAGAGAAGCACCTCGCGAGCCACGATGAGATGGATACATACGTCGTCGTGGACCGTAGAGAAGCCGCCGGGCACCAGATTCTGGGTTGCCGGTGGGTATACGTCTATAAAACGGACGAGAAGGGAGCACTCTAGAAACTCAAGGCAAGGATCGTTGTTCGAGGAGATCAACAGGCTAAAAACGCTTTCAAGGATACATACGCTGCGACCCTCGCTGGACAATCGTTCCGAACCCTTATTGCCACCGCGGCCCAGCAAGATCTTACCTTACTGCAGTACGACGCAGTTAATGCCTTTGTCCACGCTCCGATCGACGAGACAGTATATATGGAGTTTCCACCGGGCCATGAGCAGCAGGGGAAGGTCCTGCGGCTGAAGAAGGCTCTATACGGCCTTCGCAGGTCCCCTCTACTGTGGCAACGGCATCTAGAGAACGGTCTGAAAGCAATGGGGATGGAACGCGTCGCAGGCGAGAATTGCTGCTGGCGGAAGGGACGCGTGCTCTTCTTCTTCTATGTCGACGACTGTGTTCTCGCGTTTCCCCCTGAGTGTAGAAACGCTGCTGAGCGCCTCATTAACGGGCTCAAAGAGAAGTACCACCTGGAAGGCGGAGACCCTCTTCACTGGTTTCTAGGAATCGAGGTCACGCGCGACCGAGCCAAGAAGAAAATCTGGCTATCTCAGGCAGCATACGCACAGAAGATCGCACGGTTGATTGGTCAAGGCACACATAAAGGATCACAGAGGAAGAACACTCGATTTACGACACCTATGACGAACGAGGAGCTACTGCCCGCCGAGGAGCACGCCTCAAAGAGCGAAATAACGGCATACCAACGAAAGATTGGATCGATCCTATACTTGGCGGTGATGACGCGCCCCGATATCGCCTTTGCTGCAAGCCGTCTGGCGAGGTTTAACCAGAATCCCTCTCAGAAGCATCATCGCGCTGCAGATCGAGTATTGCAGTACATCTTGGACACCTGCTTCCTTAGTCTCGAGTACGATGGCAACAACAAGAGTTTCGAAGTCGCATCAGACGCCAGCTTCGCAGATAACTCGCTAGATCGAAAGAGCTCTCAGGCGTACGCACTACGGCTTGCTGGAGGATTGATCGGATGGAGAGCGAACAAACAAGACACAGTCACAACATCAACGACAGAAGCAGAGCTTCTCGCCCTCTCACAAGCAGCACGCGAAGCTATATTCGTTAGCCGTCTGTTGAGTGCTCTTAATACGACGATTCCAAGCGGCGGAATAACGATCCAGTGCGACAACCTCCAGACGATTCGAATAGTAACTGAGGAACTCGTGACTCTAAAGACGAGGCTTCGTCACGTTGATATACACAACCACTGGTTGAGACAGGAGGTTGAGAACGGCACCATCAACGTCGTCCACACACCAACGAAAGACCTTGTTGCGGACGGACTCACGAAGAGCCTCGCAAGGCAACCGTTTGAAGACTTCATAAAACAGCTCAACTTGGTGAAGAAGGAGACGGAACCACTACGCGAAGAGAGGGACCCTCTCGCAGAGACCGCATGGAGCGGAGGGATCTTTGAAGGAGGAGAGGAATAAGGAAGAAGTCGGTTGGCCTGCCACCCCTAAGGGTAGCCTCCGCTGCTGCGTATGAAGCGCGCAGGAGCGCCCTAGGACCGAGGTCTCGAGCCGCGAAGGCTAAAGGGGTGTGTCAAAAAGGGTGGTAGGCCAGGGGCGCTGGAAGCGATGCACACGCAGAGCGCCTAGGATGCCAGGAAGGCGCTAGGAGGAATGTTTGGCCGAGGACCGCGCTAGGTGCGCTTAGTCACAGGGAACACGCCGGAAGAAGGCGCGTAAGGGATACGGACAGGTCTTAGGAAAAGAAGAAGCACAATACACATCACGATTGACCCCTGAATGTGCGCCTACGAATATTCGAACAACTACGATAAGAGTATTATTCGAAGCTCCCTAAGGTACTTAGATCTATTCCTTATAAACTTACGGCTTGTAAGGATCTTATCCTATATACAAGCTTGCTTAAAGCAAACCTCTTAATCCTTAAGTATATCCTATATCATATTAACTAAGTAATATAGGTAGCTAAGTCTATTAAGAAGATAGCCTTTAATATTGTTATTACTTGATTCCGTCCCTAAGGTTATACGGATGCCGAAGTTTCGGTACTAGCGAATAGAATAACGTGCCTACTACTCCCTTAGTAGTAGATATATTCTATATAGGTAGTTTAGAATAAGCCGTTAGTCTTTAAACTCTTTGCAAAGGTTTGCTTATGCTTTCCTAAAGGCATCCTCTATCTCGGCAAATAGAACTAACTTCTATATTATAAAAACCCCCCGGTAGCTATATAGCGTAGCCCTATCTACTAAAGTATAAATATAGGCATAGTCCTTATTACTAAGTTTAGTATCTAGTTATAAAGCTAGATCGTCTTCTTTAAACCTACTACTACTAGAATAGCTTTAAGCTACTTCTACTTAGCTTTAAGCATAACGTTTAAGTTAATATAGTAAATATAAGCTATTATTATATATTTAGAAAGTATTATTAAGAGCTACCTTTATCTCTCTTATAGTCGGTAATAATAATATCTAGTTAGCAAATAGAGTTTTAATTAATAAGTTGTAAGATACTTTGCGATAAGAACTAAACCCTTCTAGTCTCTATTATTAATAAGACTAAATGCTATATTAAATACCGATCTAAGACATGTTTGCCTTATAGCTTGGAAGAGTAGAAGCTTAAAGCGATTAGTATTATAGGTATTGTTAAAGCTAATAACCTCGGGGAACCGCTTCTATATCCGGAGAGAGTATAGAAACGTCTAGACAAGCCTAACAAGCCGATTCGGCTCATCATCCGCCTACTTCACAATATAAGGGATCTCCCGCTTATTAAAAAGCTTGATTAGAGCTATAGTTAGTATATACCTATTAAGCTTTTCGCGATTGATTCGGGCTTTAGCGTTATAGATATCCCGCTAAGTAAAAACAGATTTAGGAAACTACTCCTAAATAATAATACCTACGTTATATACTTAAATACTAACCTACCGACTAATAGTCTTAACTATATCCTTAATAAGCTTAGTTAACCTCTTATAGGATAAGTATATAGATAATGCTAAGCTAGGGATATAATTATGCTAGCTATATATTAGGTTAGAATACTAACGTAAAAGCTATTTCTCCTCCTCTATTGCTTTAATAATAATTTACTATTAGTAATTGGGAATTGATAGGGACGCATCACGAATTGATAGGGACGCATCATCCTTAGGGACGCATCACATTCTAAGGTTGTGATTGGCTAGAAATTTTGGTGACCCACAGGTACAAGTCGGCGAAGGCGGTGAGGCCAGCGTTGCTAACGCCCCACCTTTTCACAGCCATAAGAGGCCTGCCTCCGTTTCATAGACATAAAGCCGGCCCGCCCTACTAGCCTACGTTTCTTAGCTATTCCTCCCATTTGAGATTTGCAAAACCATCTAAACGACCGCTTTTGCAAATCTCAAATGGTAGGTCTTTTTCTTCCCTTCTAAGGAGGAATTAGGTTTTATCAAACTAAACTGAAACGGCTTTTATAAATCTCAATTGATTTCTACTTCTATTTCCTCTTATATAATAATAAAGAATGCCCCCCCTACCCTCAACGTTTGAGACTCTCATCACTACTACTAAGTAGTTCCTATTGACTCCTCGTCCTACGGATGCTTGCCTATAATCTTCTTCCATTCGAACGAAGGCCAGTTGATCGGCCAGTACTAAGAGTAGTTACTTGGCTTCGTGTCTGCCGCTGGGAAGAGGTTGGCGCCTGGCTACTGGCTGTCTCTTGTGTAAGCCTTGCTAAGGTGGTCCTATTACGGCTTCCTGGTGGTCTGCCACGCCTGCGCCCTGCTGCTAATTGGCTAGGTTGTTGACTTTGTAGTTGGCTGTGTGATTGTCTAGCTAGCTGGTTGCTTGATTGGGTGCTATCCCTTAATGATAGGGATGATGGGACTGGCTGCATTGAGTTCTTAGGTCTGCCACGGAGGTTTCCTGCAATCTTCGGATCAAGGATCCGTCGATATGGATCCTGGGAAGAAGACTCCCGCAGCCGCCATCGTGGGTGAACCTCATCCTTCATAAACTGTACCCCATCTACAAGTTTAGAGTAGATCTTATGGCAGCATGGGATACCATACTCTATAGAGACAGTACAGTCCTCTGTGCAGTCTCTAAGAGGCGCTGGAAATGGATTTCTACCTGTTGGTAGAGCCTTCTTTGCCAGACGGTATTGCTTCGTAATCAAACCAAGACACTGCGATGAGAGTATTGTTCGAAGCTCCCCAAGGTACTCAGATCTGTTCCCTATAAACTCACGGCTTGCGAGGATCTCATCCTGTGCACAAGCTTGCTTGAAGCGAACTTCTTGATCCTTAAGCATATCCTGCATTACATTAACTAAGTGATATAGGTGGCTAAGTCCATTAAGAAGATAGCCCTTGATGTTGTTGTTGCTTGATTCCGTCCCTGAGGTTACACGGATGCCGAAGTTTCGGTACTGGCGAATAGAATAACGTGCCCACTGCTCCCTTAGTGGTAGATATATTCCATGCAGGTAGTTCAGAATAGGCCGTTGGTCCTTAAACTCTTTGCAAAGGTTTGCCCATGCTTTCCTAAAGGCATCCTCTGTCTCAGCAAATAGAACCAACTTCCACATTATAAGAACCCCCCGGTAGCTATGTGGCGTAGCCCCATCTACTGAAGTATGGATATAGGCATGGTCCTCATCGCTAAGTTCGGTAACTGGTTGTGGAGCTAGATCGTCTTCTTCAGACCCACTACTACTAGAATAGCTCTGAAGCCACTTCTGCTTGGCTTTAAGCATAACGTTTGAGTTGATATGGTGAATACAAAGCTGTTGTTACACATTCGGAAAGTATTCGTTAAGAGCTGCCTTCATCTGTCTGTCGTAGTCGGTGATAATAACATCTGGTTAGCGAATAGAGTTCTGATTAATAAGTTGTAAGATACTCTGCGATAAGAACTGGAACCCCTCTAGTCTCTCATTATCGATGAGACCAAATGCTACATTGAATACCGATCCAAGACATGTTTGCCCTGTAGCTTGGAAGAGTGGAAGCTTGAAGCGATTGGTGTTATAGGTGTTGTCAAAGCTGATAACCTCGGGGAACCGCTTCCACATCCGGAGAGAGTATGGAAACGTCCAGACAAGCCCAACAAGCCGATTCGGCTCATCATCCGCCCACTTCACAATATAAGGGATCTCCCGCTCATCAAAAAGCTTGATTAGAGCTGCAGTTGGTGTATACCCATTAAGCTTTTCGCGATTGATTCGGGCTCTAGCGTTATAGATATCCCGCTGGGTGAAAACAGATTCAGGAAACTGCTCCTGAATAATAGCACCTACGTCGCGTGCCCGAATACCAACCCGCCGACTAGTAGTCTCAACTACATCCTTAATAGGCTTAGTCAACCTCCTATAGGATGGGTATGCAGATGATGCTAAGCTAGGGATATGATTATGCTGGCTGTGTATTGGGTTGGAATGCTGACGTAAAAGCCATTTCCCCTCCTCTATTGCTTTAGCAATAATTTGCCATTGGCAATCACACTTCCGAGATGCGCGGGCTCGGATGCCAGCACCTCTACCTCGCTTTGGTAGCCCAAATCGATCGCAACGAAGTGTATAGCGAATTATACGTCCTTTACGATAGCATCTATTATACTTTGCAATCCCAAATCCATGCTCTTTTGCAAATTTATTAACTCGGTCGAGGAGGGTTTTAATTATTGCTTCTGGTTCGCTAGGGATCGGTAGGTTTGGAATAGTTTCGGGGGTAGGTGATTTCGACCTTTCGCTTGTAGTAAGGAATAAAGTACTTGGAGAAGATGGTATCGCTATCACTTCTGGGCTTTGTCGGGGAGGTGAATAAGGTGGAGGAGGAGGAGACTCGCCGATTGAGGATATGTCTGAAGGGTGTGGTGAGTAGCCCCAAGCCTCACGATATCGACGAACGCGTTCACATTGTTGGAGGAGAGCACGCGTAAGACGTCGGTTTGTCCCAACAACCTCTTGAATGAGGCTTAGAACAGTAGAGAACTGATCTGAAGTGGGTTGTAAGGGTTGATTTTCAGGTTGTAATACTAATTGGCTTTCTTTTGGTTGACGTTCAGGTAAAATTGTACGCTGCATACGTATTGTCCCCTTTGGAAAGGAACATAGAAGATATAATTCATCTCCCTAGGGGTTGTAGCTTGTGTCGGAATCTTGCTGTAATTGTTCAGGTGGAATCTCAGAGATTAGGTCAGGTTGACCCTCACGATCGCCAGCCCCATAGAATTGACTGATAGTGGCATCACTACTAACTGAGATAGCACGGCGTTGGCGCTTGGGAGAAGGCAATTGATTGTATATACTAGAGCTGCTGGGTCGGCGACGCGATTGGGGCCTTGATTGACTTGTAGAGGTAGACATCTTGACGTTGTAAAGGAGAATAAATTGAATATGTCTAATGCGCTTTCGTAGTTATGAAGGGATGGGCTAAGAAGATAAGAAAGATACTTCATTAGATGATGGCAGAATTCGGATGCACTAACAATAAAATTTTGAGCCAATCACAACCTTAGAATGTGATGCGTCCCTAAGGATGATGCGTCCCTATCAATTCGTGATGCGTCCCTATCAATTCCCTAGTAATTATACTTCCGAGATACGTAGGCTCGGATGCTAGCACCTCTACCTTGCTTTAGTAGCCTAAATCGATCGTAACGAAGTATATAGCGAATTATATATCCTTTACGATAGCATCTATTATACTTTGCAATCCTAAATCTATACTCTTTTGCAAATTTATTAACTTGGTCGAGGAGGGTTTTAATTATTACTTCTAGTTTGCTAGGGATCGGTAGGTTTAGAATAGTTTCGGGGGTAGGTAATTTCGACCTTTCGCTTATAGTAAGGAATAAAGTACTTAGAGAAGATAGTATCGCTATTACTTCTAGGCTTTGTCGGGGAGGTAAATAAGGTAGAGGAGGAGGAGACTCGCCGATTGAAGATATGTCTGAAAGGTATAGTAAGTAGCCTTAAGCCTTACGATATCGACAAACGCGTTTATATTATTAAAGGAGAGCATGCGTAAGACGTCGGTTTATCCTAACAACCTCTTAAATAAGGCTTAGAATAGTAGAGAACTAATCTAAAGTAGGTTATAAAGGTTAATTTTTAAGTTATAATACTAATTAGCTTTCTTTTAGTTAACGTTTAGGTAAAATTATACGCTATATACGTATTATCCCTTTTAGAAAGGAATATAGAAGATATAATTTATCTCCCTAAGGGTTATAGCTTATATCGGAATCTTGCTATAATTGTTTAGGTAGAATCTTAGAGATTAGGTTAGGTTAACCTTTACGATTGCTAGCCTTATAGAATTAACTAATAGTAGTATTACTACTAACTAAGATAGTATAGCGTTAGCGCTTAGGAGAAGGCAATTAATTATATATACTAGAGCTGCTAGGTCGGCGACGCGATTAAGGCCTTGATTGACTTATAGAAGTAGATATCTTGACGTTATAAAGGAGAATAAATTAAATATGTCTAATACGCTTTCGTAGTTATGAAGGGATAGGCTAAGAAGATAAGAAAGATACTTTATTAGATAATAGCAGAATTCGGATATACTAATAATAAAATTTTAAGCTAATTACAACCTTAGAATGTAATACGTCCCTAAGGATGATGCGTCCCTATCAATTCGTGATGCGTCCCTATCAATTCCCTTATTAATATATAAAAGACTTTATTCTTACTTATTTCTAAATATTTTATAAATATAAGTAGAAAGATTACTTTTTAAGTAAGTATATAAATATCCTCAAGGCTATTATATTTAGAATAAGTTACTTCTAATAAAATAAGTATTAAAAGTATTTCTAAATCGGTTTCGAGTTGATCCTGAATCGATTTAGAACTAATTCCAAAGTCGTTCTTATATATCCCTACCTCCTCATTTACTAGTAAGCCAGACTGGGCCTGGGCTGGTAGTTGATAGTAAAGATTTAAGTCTTCTTTAGCTTCTATATCAAGACTAGTAGGTTTTAATAGAGGACTTATTCCTTCTAGGCGAGGGAAGAGATTTTCAATCGATTAAAAAGCCATTGTAAATCGATTCGGAACGGATTTAGAAGCGTTTAAATATCGTATATTCTTATAAAAAGTATATCAAGGGTAAGGTTTCAAACCGCGCTAAGGAATTTCAACCTAACCATAGCTAACTAGCTAACCATAGTCAGCTGATCTCAAGGTAGCCCCATAAATCACAAAATAAGTAGGTAATTGGTCAGGTTATCCCCCCCCCCAATGGTCGCCTTGACCACACCCTCCATTTATCAAAGGAAACGTTACCGCCTGGTGGTTTTTTCCCGCAGGGTGACGCAGCGACACGGTAGCCGCAGCCGACTTTATAGGAAGAAACACGAAACATGGCGTCCCACTGGGTGGTAGATGATAAACGTAAGGCGACGGACCCCACGGAGTCGGGGGCTGAGACGTTGGAGAGAGCCACCGGGGCGAGCTGAAAACACGCGGTGCTCGACGAGACAAGGGTCGTGATACCGGGGCCCCCAATTTAAAGATACAGAAGGCTTTGGGGGGGGTTGTTCGTGGTGGAGAAACAGCCCTGTCACAGCGCCGCCCCCTCCCCAGATTTTCCCGTCTGGGGGAAAGAATCGGCTTGCTGTTGGAATGAATGGGGGTGATTAGGGGTAGGGTGAATCAGTTGTCGGTTGCTGTGAGGCTCAACGGAATGTTTTGCATATTTTGTCATCTGTGGTGGCAGGGGAGAAGATACTCCCTGGTCGATTTATCCACCTTTGGCACTCTGTGGTTATGGCATTTTTGTGCAGGAAGATGACTTTTTTTTTTTTTTTTTTTTTAAATTCCCTGCCTGTTCCGTGCCGTAGCAAGGCGTTCTCACCTACCATATCTTCCCTCCTGTGGGTTCGTTGTCTTATCTTTCTTCTAGTACCGAGTGAGGAGCATCCATCGCCCCGGGCGATGACAGGGATATTAGCAGTTGGATGGCATCTTTATCAGCAAATGTGGACGTGCGTGGGAATGTCTGATAGCGGGGTTCCATCAGGGGAATTAAGGTAAGGGGAAAAAAGCAAGCAAGAAAAGAGTTCCACTTGATTGCACTATCAACAGCCAAGCATACCAGAAGCGCCTCTCAAGGTAGTTTTATTAGTGATTGTGGATGGATGGTACGAGGCGCAGCTGACGTGCGACCTGGACGGAGAAGACCATAGACATGTTAGATGTGGCGAAGGGGGGAAAAGACTCACAAAAAAGACCGAGACGCATCGAGGCATGCAACATCCCGAGCATCTGGTCAAAATTGGATGGGGGCAATTTTACAGTTTGATTTACGAATTCCAGACCTTGTGCGCTGAGAGGTCCAAGGTCGTGGGATGTCAAGAATGAAAATGCCACGAGCTTACTAACGGAGTGGCATCAAAAGCTGCACCCGCCCTCTTTTCTTGCTTTTTTACCAAATACCAAGAGGGTTTGTTTGGCCGAGATAGTCTTGGTAGGCTGGCTGCCACTGCCACGGCTGGGTGGTCTGTTATCTACTAGTACACATGGCGGCCACGGCCCCTTGTGCGTCCATTGATCTGGAGGCCTACATAGGTAGCTCGGACGCCCGGAGCCTGCAAACGTGCTCTTTAATACTGGGCTAGGCTGGCTGGGTGGCCCTGAGGGTGGGGTCCAACCCGTACCCCGGTGGCCGACGGATCGAGGGACGAGGGGCCTAGCCTAGCCTACCTCCATAGTAGGTACGTAGGCACGCATACGCTACTAGCACACCACCTTTACATACCGCCAACCAACCAATGCCTGCGTCTTCCACTTCACATTCGCTCCTGTGCCCGAGCGGGGAGTCTTTTTCGTATGGGTGATTGAGGCGAATGGGGAAGGCGGACGGAGTGCATCGGGGGACCGGACGGCAAAGAGGGACGGTTAGAGTGCCGTGGCGTGTAGATGGTGGTGTGCCTTGCATTGGGGGAGTTTGGCCGTAATAACACATACATCCAACACATCACCCAACATTTGCGTAATGCCTATAGTTCAATGCCACACACACCCGCATTTATTTCGCAATATACCTCTTTTCGTTCGTCCTTCCTCTCTTTCTCTCTCTCTCTCACTCTCACTATTACACCTCTCTCCTGATTTAATTGACTGATTGGTTGATTTAATTAAATCTTCCTGGCAAGCTTTGCCAGTTTCACCCAGAACCACGCCCTCCACACTCGTTTGGCTGACACCAGGGAGGAACGAGGAGCTCTATCCCTTTCGTACCTGGGTCGTTTAAGAGACATTCCAGAGACGCCCGTTCATACCTCGCATATCTCACACCCACTCATACAAACATACACTCATACACACACGCATACACTGCCCAGGATACGACTGTTGACAAGATACGGGTTGCATACGATCCCTTGCTCCCGCAAAAAAAGGCCCCCATTCCCCCCGCCCTTTCCTACAACACGTCCTTCCCAGCTACCATGTAGTAGACTGGAACAAAGTTGACCATTTCTCTGCATCCCTCAATTAAGAGCGACCTGTCCCTCAATACAGTAGTCCATACACATACACAAGTTTGAAGTAACGACGACTATCGTCATAATTACAACACCACCGCAAACATGCTCAAATTGCCGACACTGTCGAGCCGGGTCGCCTACAGTCCCCTAGTGCCATCCCCACTAAACCCAGACGTCAACGTTGGCGTCGCACCGCAGCGGGACCAGAGGTTGCGTGAGAAAAGGCGACAGCAGAATCGCGGGGATGTGAGCCCGACTCAAAGACTGCTCCGTCACAAGGCCGCCATGGCGTGGAAGTCGGAGGCCCTGACTCGAGAGAGTAGGATCTACACACGAGAGGAGATTCTCAGCATCATCGCCGAGTGCGATATCCAAGACGCCGCCGCGAGGAGTGCTGTCATCATGCCTAGCTCTGACCTACAAGAGAAGAAGCAGCCACTCGTGCACATCCGAGCAGCGCACTGGAAGGAGCACGATGGCGAGGAGGACGACTTCTTTAGCGAAATGGAAGATCTCGTCGACCCGGAATTATCAGACGAGAACCCCCGGCAATGGCCCACACTCGTCCCAAAGCTTCGCAGTCCCTTCTCCAAAGACACGGCAAGACGGGTCGGCCTGGCCATTGGGCTAATGTGCATCTGTGGATGCCTGCCGGTGCTCCGGGCACATGGCTTCCACATATACCAGGCTTCTGAGGCACCATAGGCATCTCAATCCCCTCCAAACTTTCTAGATGAAACGAAAGAGGGAAAGGAAGAAGGAAAAACACTAGCGTCGTCATTATTAGAGGGGAGAAGATGGCCGCACCTTGCAGCCGCACGAGGATGAGAAGAGTCTACCCGGACTTGATGCCCACAAAAACACCACCCACCACAACATTCTTGCTCATATATCATGGCGAACAGGCTCGCCTTTCACACTAGGCGGTTCTCGGGAGCCTCCTTGAAGCCCCTACTTCTTCTCTTTTTCAACCGCGTTGGTGGGCTTTTCTTTGTCTTTGGGAGCATCGGCGTCAGTGTGCTTTGCGGCTTCCTCTTGTTTGGCCTTCTTGGCATGATTGACTTGCCAGATGGCCCGCTCGATCTCGACACCCAATTCGGGTACTTCGAGCGCTTTGGCTATTCTCTGGCCATTTGCCTGCGAAAGCAGGATTTCTTCGTCTTTGACCACGTCTGACTTGCCTTTCAGGGGCTCGGCTTCGCCTGTGGCTGGCTTCGACGGCGTTGGGACCATGTTGTCGGGAATTAGCGGAGTATAGATGTCGTTTAGCAGTTTTGACGGGGACAAAGCTAGGAGTTTGTTGTCCAAAAGGAACCGGAGATGCTTGCCTCCTTCAAGGGCGCGCCAATGCGACCATGCTCTGTACACAAGGTAGAAAAAGGGAAGGTTAGGTATCCTAGTATATCATAATGTCAGCGGTGCTCCCCGCGCAACGAAGGCTTGGTCTTGTTGTCTTACACTGGTACCAGTGCAAATGGTGCTGAGATAGGCATGCCTATCAGACACCACATGAATTTCTTCTTGTGCAATGCATCTCGCTCTGTCGCCAACGTCCTGACGACCTGCTCGGCCTTGGTGGTTGGGATAATGTTATCAGGGTATACCAGCTCAATCTTTTCCTTGCCCTTAAGCTCCTCGTCCTTGCGGCGTGCGGAAATCGGCGGGATCGATTTCAGCCCCCATTCTTCATAAGGGATGCGCCTAAGAGCGTAATTGCCGTAGTTGACGACCTTCTTCTGCCATCCGCTTTCCCTTGCCTCCCAGCTTGCCCATAGCTTGGAAGCCCTTTTCGAGACCTTATCTGCCAAGCCTTGCTTATTCGTTGTCGTGATATTGAGGCGCTGGCAGTAGAGCAGTGTTCGGCTCGTGGTGAGCGGCAGGAGGTAGAGGCGCATTGTGGATGCCGAGGGTCCAGGTGAGGGGGCGGGGAGAGAAGACAAAGAAGCACGGTTGTCGTCGTTGACGATGTCGTAGTTGACGTCGCCCGAGGATATGCGATCGGCAACCGGCGGGAGTTGCGGTGGAGGGAAAATAAAAAGAAGGTGCGCTCGGCTCGATCTAACAGAAGCAGTTGCTGTCAGGACTCATGTCGGTTTTTGTATAGGATTTGGAATCGGGGGGGCAAAATGTCGCAAAGTCGCGATCCGGGCGGCCTCTTCTTAGCTCTTGTTGAGAACGGAGGCAATTTTGACGCGGTTTCTTTCAGTCCGAGGTTGACCAGAACCTGGGAAAGCTCTGAGGCTGGAGCCCTGCCCCTTGTCATCCATCTTAGCTTCTGGGTCAAGCTTCCTGGATTAAGCCTGGGCCACAGGGTGACGCACATGGGCGTCATAGGTCGCTGGTTTGATTTAAGTGGTGCGCTGAACTCCGGTGTTAGAACGGTACATGATGGAAGGTCCCGGGAGCCCAAGATAGGTTGCATTTAGGCCCAATTGAGGCCCCTAGTCAGACGCGCTGATGGGGGGCCATGGGCTCTGGAGCGCGCAGTCCGGGGTCCACCTGGCTCCCAACGAACGCTACGCTGTCGAGTGCCCCTCTATCTTGTGCGAATTTTTTTTCTCTGGGTCGCCGATCTGCCAGCGCAAATTGGCTATCGAAACCCGCTAAAGACCAGTAAACTTCAGTGTCAAAGTGGCATACAGATGGGCACTCTCTGGAGGTGTATTATTATCTGGGTATCCGCGGATATGCAGTATGTACCCCCACTACCTTAACGTAGGTGCTTTCGTACAGCCCCGGAACGCTGAGCTAGGGGGCCCGCACGTTGCTCCAGTACTACCGAAATGCACTTGTCAAGCAGGCACGCTCCATTGGTTCTATCCTCTCTCTTCTGCTCTTCAGCTCTTCTTCTGGCTGACCCACTGGTGCGACTGGCCAAAGGTGTCGCGCTGCGCTGCAAAGGTGCATGTTTGGTACTGCGGTCTGCCGACATCATTTACTTGCGGTAACCTGCGAAACTCCCGGTTTGCTGGAATTGCCCGGGTTCTTAGGTCACCACACGTTCTGTTGTCGTATGGTCGATTCTCTACTTCTGCATCATTTTATTCCCTTCTGCTGTTTGCCCCCTGCACCTTGAGAGTCGGCACCTCATCAATCAATAAGCCAAGAGAAAAAAAAGAGGACTAGGCAAGGCATGGTCAGCAACGCTAGCCCATCATTCCCACGAGACACAGCCGCCGCCGCCGTTGAGGACGAACGGCTGTACCCAACGGCTGCTGTTCGTCACCCGTCACGCGCTCCTTTGCTTTACCTTGCTTTTTCTACCCTTCCTTTCCTCTTTTTCCCCTAACACTAGCTTGCGACTTCCCTTGAGTTCTCTTCGTTCTTATCTCTCGCTTAGCCCATTCCTCACTTTCGACTGTCGACCTCCTCGAACCAAACATACATGTTACTCGCCCTTGTCTAGTATCAATACCACCACCCTGTGACGCTTCGACCGGAAGGCGGAGTGCATATTAATATGAGAGCCCTCCGCCGCACGATTGAGAAAGCGTTGAACCCTAGGCGCACTCTGTCACCGTCTACCCCGTCATAGCCGCCCCTCCGAGTCCCGCCTCGGCCGCGGGCGACACCGCCATGAGCACTTCTAGCCACCCGCCTGGCAGTTCTGGCTCGCCCGATTTCCGAGCCTCGGTTGGTACAAGTAGTACTGCAATCGACACTGGTGCTCCACGATTGAGGGCACCGCGGTCGCTCCCTCGTAAGGATCTCGCTCGCCACATCCCTTGAGGTGTAGTTACACCGGACCCTTGCTAATCAGTCTCTCCCTTTGCAGCCTGGATCGACTCCTATGAGACACGATATGGACAGGTCACAGAAGACCAGCTCCAACTACTATCACCACCACCGCGGGCTGTCCCTCCCCAGCACAACCACGCGCCGACCGCACTCGACCGCCGAGTATCCCGTGATGGTTACGTCGACCTAGCCGGAGACCCGATTCTGGAAAACGCCCGCCCGCGCTCGAAAATAAAGCTTACGGACGTCTTCAGAGGCAAAGGAGCGCAGCACGGTAGAAAATGGGATCATTTACGAACCGCAGAGCCCGTTATTGTGTCGGCGCATCGGCCGGCAACACAAGGTCCGCCGGCAGCATGGAGAGATTTCCTACAATCATCAGCCTATGGGCACATGGAAGGCGAAGAGTCGGAGGTTGTAGACGTTGAAGTGCTGGATAAGCTGCAGCCCGACTTTAACAGACGATACGACGAGAACGCGCACCGAGACGTTGAGAGCAAGACTTCAAGGAGGAAGCGGTCGAGGACGTTGTGGAAGAGGTTATGGAGCCTCATACTGCGACACTACCTTATTCCTCTCACCTTTCGACTTACCGTTATGGTTACATCCATCATTGCCTTGGCCATTGCAGCTCGTATCTATCAGGTCGAGAACGCTAAGAGCGGGAGCAGCCCTGAGCGGGCACAAAGTATTGTTGCCATAGCTGTCGATACAGTCGCACTGCCCTACATTGGGTACATGATTTGGGACGAGTACACAGGCAAGCCTTTGGGTCTCCGTCCGGCTGTCCAGAAGATCTCCCTGATTCTCTTGGATCTCTTCTTTATTATTTTCAAATCGGCCAGTACATCCTTGGCGTTTGAGTCATTGGTTTTCCATAACGTGGAGTCAGGCCCGGCGAGGCACCTGTCCAAGGCACTGGCGTCCTTTATGCTGGTGGGATTGCTAGCATGGACTATGAACTTCGTGGTTAACATTTTCCGTACAGTACGACGACTTGGAGGCGGCGAGGATGAAAGCTCTCACGATCATATGTAGTTGGAGGTGCCGTCTTGGCCCCTTTTGGGTATGCATGATGTATTAAAAGCCTGTACTATAGCTGGAGCGTCAATCATTCGCTATGATTCTTCTTTGTTAATGCTTATTATCATTTTAGTCTGCAGTCTTGTCAAGTGTTGTGCTCAAAATCACGTGTGCTCACTGTCTCAAAGCTGAGTTTGATTTATGACTTCTGGGCAGAAAGTAACAAAGGCGGGCATGATTTGCAGCTTTGTTCAGGGGAAAAAAGGGCTATCACATTCCTCTATGTTAAGCACATCAACATTATGGACCCTCCCAAGACAGATGGCATTAGGTTTCGTAGACCCCTGTGAGGGTGGCATAATATGGAGCCGCCACGAAGACCAGGACAGCGCCATAAGGAGATGGCAGTGTACCTGCTCAACTTCAGACGGACGGGGTATGAGGCTGTGATGAACAACATGAAGCAGATTGATGATTGCACACAACTTATCACAATCGGTTGTTTAGTAGATGAAAGATGGCAATAAGATAATGTCTAGAAGAGAATCATGTGACAAGCCATTCTGAATGATGTACGCTCGTACATTAAGGTATAGGTCGCGATAGCAACGCAAGCTTGAGATTGAAGGCCTTAGACTGAGCTGAGATAACCTGGGGAAGTGCAAAATAAGGCTGAAAATGGCCGAAGCATCCCTTACCCGGTAGCTCCTGCCCCCCTGGCGGCCAGGTAGCCCAGCAATATTTAAGCACACAGCACCACCAAAGATCACGCCTTCCCTTTCCCAGATGACCACTGTCCAGGTAGCTGGGCGGTGAGATTTGGCAAAACATCCCGCTAGACCTACTCGGGTGGTGACCCACTTCCTATTTGGTTACCAGTCCTAGGCCCGACGGATTCCATGGTGCATGGTTGCAGGGCATCCACCACTGCGACTGACTTGGAGTGGGCGTGGGCGTCAGCGGCCCTTCTTCAGTTCCTCCACCACCAAACGCCTCCGTGCAAGCAACCCAGCAGCCTCTCCATCCACTGACTATAGTCCGGCTGCCTGCCTTGCCTGTCTGTCTGCCTACTTGCCTGCCTAACCGATCGCGCCCATCTGCTCTGGCCAAGGCCTTGAACTTCCTCTTTTTTTTTTACTTTTCCCTTAAACGTGCCATTTGAGAATATCCTCGTCGTCTTCTCACGCCCCTCCTACCCGCTCTGACTCAGACAAAGGGCGTGTTTTCTTTCTAAGCTATCCATCTCCGTCTCCGTAAGGCAACCCGGCTTTCCTTGTCGCCCTCCCTCTTCCCCCCCAACCCTTGCGACTGGCGCCTTGCCTTCGCCTCCGACGCCGATTTGAGAGTCCTCGAAGCCTGTGCCGCAACCACATCTCCTCCCTTCATCCTCCACGTCTTCACTCCTCGATACCTTTCTCTCAACAGAAGATCCGGAGCCCATATACCCATACGTTCGCTGGATTTTCTTTGAAGGTGACTGCTTAAACATCTTCTTTCTCAGCAGGCCCCCCCCGCTCCCCACGCGAATCGTCACTTCGACCAACAGCTCATCCCCACCATAACGGCCACGACGGCCTCGCCACTTTTCTGCCGACCACCAACACGAACCGAGACCGTCGGATGATGACAGCAGAGAAGATGGCGCCCGCTATCCAGATGCCTCCGGTTCCCAACCGGGAAGACATTGGAGCCACGTGAGTGGACTTTCGTAGCCTTGCGACTACATCGCCGCTTGTCAACACCCCGCGCTGACTGGTTGCAGATGGAAGTACCTCGAGGCCGGCATTCAGCGTATCATGCTGGACCTTGAGCGTGGTATCGACATGCAAATTGTAAGTCCATCTAAACTCCCACAATTTGGCTCTCTAAATGATTTGTTTGATGGGATCCGCTGACCTTTCTTTGTGCTGCAGTACATGGGCGTCTACACGTATGTCATGCTGACCGAATACGGCCGGCCTACTCTAACCTGGGTTGCAGGGCCGTTCATAATTTCTGTACATCTCAAAAGGCGGTTGGATTGTCGGTGCCGCACGGGAGCATCGGCTCAGGCAATCATAGAGGAGGTAAGCTTGGAAGAAAAGCTTTGTGCCGTTGGCCGCGGTCGTGCTGACTGCTTGAAATAGCCCATCTACTCGGCGAAGAACTGTACAATAAGCTCATTGAATACCTCAAGCAGCATCTTGAGGGACTTGTGCAACAGTCCAAGACGCATACCGACGAGGCGCTCCTGACTTTCTACATCAAAGAATGGAACCGATACACCATCGCCGCCAAATATATCCACCACCTGTTCCGGTATCTAAACCGTCACTGGGTGAAGCGCGAGATGGATGAGGGTAAGAAGAATATCTACGATGTCTACACACTGCATTTGGTTCAGTGGCGTAGGGTACTTTTTGAGAACGTGTCAGGCAAGGTCATGGAGGCGGTGCTGAAGCTTGTCGAGAAGCAACGTAACGGAGAGACGATTGAGTATGGCCAGATCAAGCAGGTTGTCGATTCCTTCGTATCCCTTGGTCTCGACGACTCCGACCCTACCAAGTCGACTCTCGACGTCTACCGTTTCCACTTCGAACGCCCCTTCCTGGCTGCTACTAAGGAGTACTACCAGAACGAGTCGAAGCAGTTCGTTGCCGAGAACAGCGTCGTGGAGTACATGAAGAAGGCGGAAACCCGGTTGCAGGAAGAGGAGGAGCGCGTTCGCATGTACCTGCATGCCGACATCATCAATCCTTTGCGGAAGACATGCAACCAGGCCCTCATTGCCGACCATTCAACGCTCTTACGCGACGAATTCCAAGTCCTTCTGGACAACGACAGGGAGGAAGATATGGCTCGGATGTACAAACTATTGTCCAGGATTCCCGAGGGCCTGGATCCTCTCCGCCAGAGGTTTGAGACTCACGTCCGCAAGGCCGGTCTGGGTGCTGTTGAGAAGGTGGCCTCAGACGCTGAGAAGCTGGAGCCAAAGGTTTACGTCGATGCATTGCTGGAGATCCACTCTCAATACTCTGGCCTGGTGACTAGAGCCTTCGAGGGCGAGGCCGAGTTTACACGATCCCTGGATAATGCCTGCCGAGAGTTTATCAACAGAAACGAGGTCTGCAAATCAGGTTCAAACAAGTCGCCAGAGCTCCTGGCCAAGTATACCGACGTCTTACTCCGCAAAAGCAGCACTGGTATCGAGGAAGCTGAGTTGGAAAACACTCTTACTCAGATCATGACGGTCTTCAAATACATTGAGGACAAGGACGTTTTCCAGAAGTTCTACTCACGCATGCTCGCACGCAGACTGGTCCACAGCAACTCGTCGTCAGACGACGCAGAGACCAGCATGATCAGCAAGCTGAAAGAGGCTTGTGGTTTCGAGTACACAAACAAGCTCCAGAGAATGTTCCAGGACATGCAGACCTCCAAGGACCTGAACGTTAGCTTCAAGGAACATGTAGCTGGTCTTGGTATCACCAAGAACGCTCTCGACTCTCAATACTCCATTCTTGGTACCGGTTTCTGGCCATTGACGGCACCAAACACCAGCTTTACCCCCCCTGCGGAGATTAACGAGGATTGCGAGCGCTTCGCTCGGTTCTACAAGAACAGACATGAGGGGCGCAAGTTGACGTGGCTTTGGCAACTCTGCAAGGGCGAGCTCAAGGCAGGGTATTGCAAGAACAGCAAGACACCGTACACTTTCCAGGTTTCAGTCTACCAAATGGCCATTTTGCTCATGTTCAACGATAAGGACAAGCACACCTACGAGGACATTGCCGGCGTGACTTTGTTGAGTTCCGAGGTCCTTGATCAGGCTCTGGCTATCCTGCTTAAGGCCAAGGTGCTTATCGCGTCCCCTGAGGGCAAACCCGAGCCTGGTAAGAGCTTCAGGCTGAACTACGACTTCAAGAGTAAAAAGATCAGAGTCAATCTGAACCTCGGAGGAGCCAAGGAGGCCAAGCAGGAAGAGGTGGAGACCAACAAGACGATTGAGGAAGACCGCAAGCTTCTTTTGCAGGTATGTATCTTGTTCGATTTGTCTTCACTTTTCATCGTGCCCTAACGTGTCCCACAGTCCGCCATTGTCCGTATTATGAAGGCGAGAAAGAAGATGAAGCACACGCAGCTCGTCAGCGAGACCATTAACCAGATCCGTTCGCGATTTGTACCAAAGGTCTCAGACATCAAGAAGTGCATAGAGATTCTGCTCGACAAGGAATACTTGGAACGACTCGAGGACGACGAGTTAGGGTACTTGGCGTAATTGGATCGGGCTTTTCCTCTCGGGAGGAGGAAACACCCTCTTGCCTCTCTCGACTGTCAATGTATTACAACACCTTCAAAACTGCATACACACCCCATCTTTACCAGGCATTCGATTTGCGTTACACGGGCACACTTTAGGCGTGTGCGGGTTCTCCAACAACAGGACGGAGGAACACTGACGAAATGGGGTTTTCTTCGGGTCAGGGGCGGTCGGCAGGCGGGCAAGGCTAGATAGCTGCATGCGAATTTTTCGTATTGACTGTTGAAATCATACCGCGTACTTTGATCCTGGTGAATGACAGGTAATGAATGAAGAGATGTTATTCATGTCCTTCAAGTATAGATGAATGAAGCCTGGAGATTGCAGAAGTTCGAGGCGACGGGTCTTGCAGCAGAATCGAACGGCTGATAGCGATTTGATTTCTGCGGATCTAGGGATATGAAGCAAATCATCAGCACCATCGATACGAAAGTTGTAGCAGGTTGAGTCCAAGGAACAATCATTACTCGAGGCACAGACGAGGAGATCCTCCATCCCAAGCTGTGTTATGTTGAGAAGACATACTCTCAATAAATAGTTGCTTGGTAGGTATCGTTATTTGAAGCTCAAGGTTGTGTGATGTTATCCCTAATGACTTGCAAAGAGTCTCGCTTTGCCAGCTGCGTCATGGAGGACCAGTTAACAAGAAGATAAACCTGAAGGGTTTGATATGATACCCGACTAGCCTTCCCAAAGCATCCTCATGAGTATTATCTCGGGCTCCGGAAAGGATAGTCTAGCAGCCACTTCAAATTTCTCTGCTTAAATCCATTCTAACAGACCTTCGATAGGTTTTATATCTATGTCGAGAAACCCCAGTGCATCCTGATGCCAAATACAGTTCTTGTTTTTTTTTCTTTTTTTTCTTTTTTTTCTCGATCTTCTCTCATATTGGTCCTGGCTTCGGTGTCGTGTTGACAACTATTTACATGTCTATTACAGGCTCTCTGAGCCTTTTGGAGATAAGAACATGTTTATAAGCTACACAGGCTACATTGGAGATAGAAGATAAATGCAATTCAGAGAGTAAGCCGGCAGGAACAGAGATTGGTATGGAAAACTTTTCCGAGGGCGAGAATGATAGTACGGGCTCACCGTGACAGTAACGTTCAACACTACCCCCCCCCCCAAAATGTACTAGACCATGTTTCTTTCGGCTTTGCGGTGCCCATTCAACTCTGCCACGGATAGAATTCTTTATGCCAGGCTTTGGGATCATTGTGAATTGGGTTGCACCGAGGCTTCCAGACACGGGCGTTTCTTCCAAAATTAATGGACTCAGCGGAATAACTCATTTGAGATGATTGGGAACAACATAGTTTCTTATTGATATAAAATCCAACTTTTTCGATGACCTTTTTGGGGAGAGGGAAACTGAGAATGGCAATAATGACGAAGAAGTCAACGCCGGCTTGAAGAGGTGTATTGTGTGTCAGACAGTAAGCTAACCGTAGACACCAACGTTACCTGCTCTGGGGACACTATTGTAGGACATGGGAAAAGAGACCATGCTTTGGGAATGTAGTTCACTTCGAAGACTCGTACGTAATCCTCTAAGTGCAGTGGCGTTTCGTTAGACGATCTCAACGATGGTTGTCTCGGGATGCTTTCCTGGTCATTCCAGCCTTATAATGAAACTGCGCAGCTGGAATGACCACATACGACCATACCCATTGGAAAACTCGGGATCCCGTCCGCTCTCCCATAGATAAGCCAATGAGGGCCGGATTAGTAGTTGGGTCGGTGACGACCAGCGAATACCTGGTGTTGTATGTTTTTGGACTTTCATTAGTTTTGCGTAGGCGTGGCACCGACCGGACCCAAGTGAACAAGCGGCTCATCTCTCTTTTAAATAATGTATGTGATGATACCAAGCGTCCGTGATCCCCGCTGAGACAAGACTGTATACTTTCATGAGTTGATATGCTCATGAGCTTAAGTGCTATGATGCGTTGCAGCAAGTGGAAGATATGGCTGAGCGATAATCTGTGACACGTAAAACGCTTGTAGGACGCACATATAATCTGTCGTGTGAAACAAATACGCACAGGCTAAGAAGGCGAGGTAAAGCACGCTGGGCTAGACTAGCAGTATCTGTGAACCAGCCCGGCAGATTTGAGGGGGATTGTCACAATTTCATCGTATATGCACGCTTTGAAAAGGGAGGACAAGCGTTTCTTGTCGATATACCAAAACTTATGTACAAATCCTGCTGTTGATTACGTGGTATAGATCTGGACTCCGATGTGAAGAGGAAGGAAAGGAGCTAATGATAACAGGCTTTCCGCGATGTTTGAATTGTGAAAACGGGGTTTAGGAACCAAGGTACCATGCAAATGTGCTCTCTAGGCCAAACTGCTATTTAAGGCTCTTCAAAGCCGTAGCGTTATTGTCAAATAGACCAGCACCAAAAGATTGAAGTCTTGTCATTTCCCCCATATCTAAAAAAAAACATCAGTTACGACGCATCACGCATGCCCATTCGATGTCTTCATAAAAGTGTGGATACGGATGTGACTGACATCTCAACAGTTTGATGCATTGTAGAGAGGCCGTAGAGCTCAACCAGCATTCGATACGTTCTTATCAGGATGCTGTTGAAGACTTTTACCCTGGTATGTCAATACAACTTGCGACTGCCCACCCTTGGATTCGGGATGGCGTATCGCAACGCCTACACCTCTCAAGCCCTCCTCCTCTGCCCGCTGATTCCAGAGCATTTGTTGAACTACACCATCCCTGGAGCACGAGATGAAGCCCATCGGCCACCGACTTCGCCCAATAGCCTCACGTACTCCCTTACTTGATGTCTTCTCGCTGACAAGAAGGGCGATGACCCCTTCTCCACGCCAGCCGACGGGGGCGCCGATGAAGGAGCCTTCCAGCTCGCGAATGAGTGCAGGGCTGACTCGCTGTGAACCACCCTTGCACTGTATGATAATTCTCATATTGTCTTTCTGTCGTGGTAGCTTCCAAATGCCAAGAAGATCAATACCGTAGTCTGAGGTGCCGCCTATTCGTTCAGTATGAATGCCATACTGTGTGAGAGCCGACGAGACAGTGTACTCATAGTGGGTTCCCACGTATACAGTTGACGATATGTCGAGTCCCGCACGTTCAGCATAGATCAGAAATGACGCCAGGTCGTGGTGTTTGGTCGTAGGAGAGTTGGGAAATATCAAGTCATGTCTGGCTTTTGCATCCCGTCCAAGTGACGGTTGTTTCGAGAGAGGACGCGTATGGTGAGGAATTAAGGAAAGACGCTGAGAACGAGAAGACAATATCCTCGGGAAACAACGGCGCAGAGCATGCATACTCCTTTTCTAGAACGTAGGAACAGTGAAGGTTACTTTGCATCCCACTGCTAATATTCACGGCTGAGCGATGGAAATATCCTTCTTGAGATCAGTGGTTGGGTCGATATAGAGCAGGTACGTACCGTAGCTCAGTGCCGTGCTGGCCAGTGCGTTGGTGCTGATATCCTGGCCATGCCCCGCGGAATACCTACCGCTTCTGGGGAAGCATAACCGCAGCCTTGCCTGTCATTTCGACCAAGACTGACTGTCACGTCCTTCGTCGTCGCAGTCCCCGGGCAACAGGCACCATGGGCGACAGACTCACTCAATTACAAGATGCTGTTGATCAGGTACGATTTTCCGACTTCTTACCCTACTTGCCATGCCGCAATGGCTGACATTTTCTCTAGCTCGCGCAACAATTTGTTGCGAGCTTTCACTTCGTTCACCGACGTCATGACCTCGAACTCCTCGGACCCAATGACAAGATTCGCGAAGTCAAGCAGGATCCAGACCAAAAGGAGGGTATGTATTTCATTGAAACCCCTGCGACAAACGCCGGCCTACCGAGACGGCTGGCTGATCATGTGCAGTTGATCCTCTGCCCCCAGACGAGTTCAAAGAGGGACTAGCTGAGCTATCGCGTGACTTGATTATCAAGGAACAGCAGATTGAAGTCCTTATATCCAGTCTCCCTGGACTAGACAGCAGCGAGGCCGACCAGGAGCGATACATACAGGAGCTGGAGGACGAACTGAAGGTTGCTGAGGCGCAGAGGCAGGACGCGATCAAGGAGAAGGACCAGATCCTCGCCAAACTCGACGAAGTGATCAGAAGCATTCGCAGACCATGAGAGTTTTTCAGAAGAACAGTGGTCAGGTGAAATTACAGCAGCATTGGGGGGTGTTTGGGCGTTGAAAAGGTCAAATTTGGGGTATGTGAAGGATATCTATGGTCCCAGCGATACCCGATCCAAACCATTTGAATGGTTTTTGCATCAATAAACTCCATCTACAAGTATAATTCGCTGTTTTTGGTCCCCTTTCCCGTGCCAAGTTAATGCCTCATCTTCTTTGGCCGTCTAAAATCTAAGCCTTCTTCGACTTGAAGAATTGGGGGAAGACCTCCCGCAGCTCCCTTAAGTGCCGGACTTGGTACTTGGATGCCTGTGTCTTTGGTACAGGCAACCCTTCCTCCACCAGATGCGCCACGTTCCAGCCGTACTCTTGGGCCTTTTGGCAATTCAGGTACGAGTCATCTGCAGTCACTTGTTAACCTGCGACCGATAGACCTGTATAAGGTAGCTTACCAACGAAATAACAATCCTCCATCTTCTCGACGCCCGCATCCTTCATGGCTCTGAGATACATCTCCTTGGCGGGTTTGCATATCAGCGGCTGCTGTCCGTAGTCGCAGAAAGTCAGACCGTCGAAGAGGTCTTCGATTCCCAACAGCTTCACCACGCGCTTGGCGTGGTTGACATAAGCGTTTGTCAGAAGCCACATAGTGCACTTGCTCTTGTCGACGTCTTCCAGTAGTTGCCTTAGTTCGGGGTTGGGCTTGAGAATGTTCTCTAAAGGTAGAGCATCATCGACTTTTGAGTTGTACTCTAGGGGGTCGATTTGGTGGTGCCTCACCAAGCCCTCAATGGCAAGACCGTAGTTAGTGAAGTATTCCTTGTGTAGCTTCACCGCATCGTCCCATGAGAGGGCGAGGTGTTTTGCAAAGTACTCGTCGATGAGTTGGGCCATGTGGTCTTGGACTCTTGAGCCTGAAGGAGGTTAGTTTGCCGGCTCGTCTCATGAATGTTCAGCGATACTCACTTCTGGGGTATAGGCAATTATCGATATCACTTTGAGCCTGTCAGTATGACTGGCCCGTCATGGATATGTGTTAGTTTGGCGTCACCTACAAGAAGAGTACTGGCTTGGGAGCTGACGTCCCATTGGAAGGGGCTTTGGAGTCCATGGCTGGGTTGGTGTGTAAATGGCGTAGACCGTAGCGAAATACAGGTTGGAGTAATTGCGTGGGCTTGCAGAGCTTAATTGGAGGCGTCAGTATGAAATGCCGTTGTGGTTGTTGGCAAGAAGACCTGAGAGGTCGAATTTGAGAAGTGAAGGTTCTAGATAGGCGTGGGAGTCTGCCGGGCATGAAGCAAGCTAAATTGGCCGAGTGGAAACCAAACGGCACTATTTATTTCTCTTTAGTTTGGAATCGGAAGCAAAAACACCTCCCCGGCAGGATTACAAATGCTAGCTAGAGCTTTGTGAGGCTTTGGATGGCAGAAGGACACAAGTGTCTTGTAGTTGAGTCACGTCGCCGAGATGGCATGTACACTACGTTGCTCTTTTGCGGCAATTAGAAGCAGCAGTTTGCAGGGAGTAGCTCCCAGCAGGACAGGTGGGTGCAGTAGCGCTAAGAAGAATAGCGTTCCAACAAATAAGTTGACGAGCAGACTGGTGCACGAGCCACAGTCTGCTTACATGCATTATTGGTAAAAATCGCTATAAGCAGTTTCTGCAAGCAAACATCAGACCCAGGAACCGTGGATCACCTGCCTCGACGTCTCAACCATTTCTTTTTCTCCATTACCAAATCCACTAACAATCAAACCACACCTCCTTTTCCCTTGTCCCACTGTATAGCAGAGTTCTTTCAAGTCTTCTTGCGCTACGTATTCAACGACTGCGCAGGCTCTAATCATTTAGGATTCCTGGCATTCGCTTGTGTTCATTTTTCTTTCGTGCTTTTTCTGCTTGGTTGCCGATCTTTTGCGCACAGGGAAGGAACTTCTCTGTGTAAGGTTGCTCTTCTACCATGGCTCAAGGGCAGCTTGCGACGATGCCTTTGATGGCTTCGCATGCCTCCAGTCTGAGTCTTTCAAAGGATGAACTTCACCAAATACAGCAGTGCGAGAGGATCGTGGAATTTCGCGATGCCATTCTCGCTGGCGCTCATCCAAGAATCAAGGTGCCATCCCAGTTAGCGAAACAGACACTTACGTCTGCAAGCCCTTCTACCCCAGCAAAAGAATCGACTGGAAACACAGCTCAGTCTGTTCAGGCCAGGAACTCGTCTGCGTCCAGCACGCAACACGCTTCCCTCCCTGGTCTGGGAAACCCTCCTCCGACTAACGCGAATCTGCCCGCAAGACCGTATGGCTCCGGCAGCACAGAGATCAATCCTATTTTCCTCGAGAAATCTGATGACCTGATCAAAGCTGAGATCCAGTTGCAACGGCAGCGTCTTGAGCGAGCATTACGAGACGAGATCGATCAACGCCGTGCTTCTATGAAGGCTTCGGCCCAGTCAGAGCCTCTCGCCGACTTTGATCTGTCCGATGTCCTGTCCAAGGCTCTGACACTCGTCCAAGCTACTGCACCTCTGCCTGCCAATGCCACCCTAGCTGCTAACACCTCAGCTGCAAGTGACTCGTTTGATGAGAACTCCTACTACTCCTCCCAACACAACTCGCCCGATTCCTCTCTCCGCAGTTCGCAAGCGGGGAACGACCCAGAGGGAGCTGCACGGGCGGAGAAACATTCCGCGCCCTCCCAGCCCTTCGACCGTCAGATGCAAGGTCAAACGAACCAAGAGTCCCCATCTGGCTTGCCTTCCTCGCTCCCCCATGCCTCTGCTACTCATCAGCCACAGGGCCAAGCTTCGACCTCCATGCCTTCCCACGCACGAACTATCCCAAGCGCAGCCGATACGGCGCATTATGAACGTTATCCGTCGGTAGGAACGACGCAGAGAACAGAGGGGGGTGATAATACAGGGTCAACATCAGGAGGTGGGAGCGGAAATGCCAGTCGATCTGAAGAGTCGGGCGTTATGGACCTTGACGACGGTGCTGATAAGTCTGTCCCAGCAGCAGGTCACCAACAGCTGAGAGGCTCTTTACTTGAGCACCAGCCCTCGCCGCTTATAGAAGTTCGCGCACAGAACATATCCCCCATTGCGCCACAGCCCGCCCATGTGTCCTCTCTTGTTACGGCACGGGGCCCGGCAGTAGACACGCCAGGCATGAGTATTCTTCAAGGGACCACTGCACAGGTTGCAGCACTGCGTAATGAGCCAAACCCTGTTTCCAGCCCAGATAGCTCACCACAGGGGGGACGAAATGTCGAGAGGCGGAAGGGCAAAAAGAAAAAACACAATCTGAGCAATAAGAAGCCAGCCCGGCAAGCGCCAGAGACTGAGCCTTACATCAAGCCAGAGCCACGGTCGGCCTCTCCCATGAGTGCGCCGTCATTCGTTCGTCCACAGAAGCGACAGAGGAGACAGGTGGGAGAGGAGCCTCGCTATGCCCAGCCAGAACGGCAATTTTCTCGGTCCTATAGGGAGGACGGCGCAGCCCCAGCGTATGAGACCCAAGAGTATCGCCCACGCCCGGTGAGCCAAGCTATGGTTACTGGCGAATATGGTTATGGAAGAGAGTATGTGGAGGAACCCCGCATCCCCAGCGGCGCTGAATATGTTCAGCGAGTGCAGTCACCTGGTGTATATGCAGTTCATACCGCGCCGAGTGAGGTTTACGCAGATTCTCCAGCTAGTGTCGATCGCTACGGTAGAGAACCCACACGATACTATCGCGATGCATACGAAGTCACGCGGATGAGCGTTCGTCCCCAGGCAGAGCGGGGAAGATCCCGTTCGCCCGTCATGAGAGAAAGAGGGTCACCTCTCATGGGGCCACCCAAGGCACCCTCCGGTAGAGTTGTGGTGGATCCCGCCAGTGGCCGCAGGTACTATGAGCCGGCAAGCGTCCTCCGTCAGCCTACAGGGCCGCCACCCCGACCTGGTGAGCCTGATATCATATACGAGAGAGCGCCGATCCGAGCCGAGTCCAGACGACCTGGATTGGACCCCCTTGACGACGATGTCCTTTACCAACGAACATCGCCCATGTATGCGGCACCACGGAGAGTGATTACTCAGCCAGAGTATGCTGTTGCAGATCCTCATCGTGTATACCGACAGCGGGAATACTCAACAAGACCAATGGCACCGCCAGGAGAAGAGTATGCCCAGGTTAGAAACGGCACGGAACGACGGATTATGGAGGAAGTGGCAAGGGAGTTCATGATGCGAGCGGCGACGGCTCGACCGGCAGAAACAGTACGATATGAGCTTCCCCGGGAGTATGGAAGAGTACAGAGTGTCAGACCAGAGCAACTTCCCCTTCAGGATTTTGCCGCTGCGCCTATGCACCCCGAGGCCCGACGAGAGGTGATCCAGCCTGGCCCGCGTTCATATAGCGTGCGGCCAGTAGCCGAGCCTCATGTGCGGAGAGAATATAGTGTTAGACCTGTGGAGCAACAGTACTACAGCCAGCCGGTCCCACCGCGAGGTGAGGCGGAGGTCTCATATATTGAGAGGCCGAGGGTGGCCGCTCCGGAAGTCTACTATGCCGACGAGGGCCCGCGTCCGGTCTACCGATGAATAAGACGGTGAAGGTGCGCCAGCACAGATGACGATAAATCTTAATATATGATTGGGGGATGTTATGTTTGGCGCGGAAAATTGGGAAAAGAATGGCTGGACGGTGTTTCAGCAACAGTTGTATTAAGTAAGAAATCTTTGTAGGACCACCAGGTGGACAAAAAGGAACCTTTGCACAACACATCGCAGGCATTAGACTTGGGCACCATGTGACTCTAGACTTGACAAGCTAATGCTGCCCACAGCATAGTTTCTGTCTTAATGTGACGAATGATCTACTACGTAGAAAACTGAGAGTGGCCCGCCACCATTTTCCATGCTGTATTCTCCGTGAGGTCGTCGTAGTAGTCCCAAGAGCATGTGCAAGTTCGCCCATTCACAAGCTGCTATCCATCAGTCAGTCCTTGAGAGAGGGGCCACCAAGCATGGATCAACTTCAAGCGCCGCATATGCACTATATAGTTTGTCTTCCCCCCTTCTGTTTCCAAGCCCCATGCCTGTCATACGTAATCTGGACCTTTTCCCATCCACTCACTCACTCCCTTCTCTTACCTTTATTTTCTTCTTCTAGTTTTTTTTCTTGTGTTCTGTTCTTGCCCAGGATACATCTGGTGCCGAGAGAGAGAGAGAGAGAAAGGGGCCCGGGGCTGCCCCCCTCCTGACTCCGACGGTTGGGGGTAGTCTGGAGTGGTTTGAGTTTCGGATCTGGTGGTTGCTACGAGCATTGTTGCTAGGCGCTCCGGGAAGAAAAAGGAAGTGATAGTGGGCTGCAAAGTCAATGGGTGGAAATGCGATGCTTTCCCCTTCTTCCTGCCCTGTGATGAAGTCATTTCGTGCTTGTTTTTTCTGGATACCTTTTCTGGGGTCCTTGCATTTCCCGCCTCAAATATGGTATACGTGAGTGGGTTCCCGATTGGAGACAGGGAGCCGATCTGTTGCCAAAGAAGAAAACGATGAGAACTGCGATGAGGAATACGAATGGGTAATTCGAATGGGACGGATTATGAGAGATCACGCTAAACAGGCCTAAGCGGTTATGTCTTTTGGTCTCCTGCTCGAAACGGGTTATCTTCACTGGTAAATGCATCATCTGCGGTCTATGACCCAAGTTCTTCTATGGATGCGAGCCAGACGAAGTCGGTTTCCATGACGGGTAATTGCCATCGAGGTCGCAATACTGGATGTCCCTGGAGGAGCGGGGGACAGCGTTATCAAGGAGTGCTCTAAACGGGTTCCCGAACTGTGCCTGTTCCGGCGGGTCCGGCCAAACGTAGTGCTACTAAGCTCTTGCATCAAGACACAATATGACTATGTTTTGGCCAGTTCGCCTTGTCCGGAAAAGAAGGTTCAGCGGCCGAAATTGCTGCAAGGACGTGCCCAGTTAATCGCCCTTCCTCATTGTTGTGTTCTGTTGGCCCGAGTGCCGATAGAAGACCAATTCGAAGTTGAAACGTTCATCCTGGGATCATCGATCTATATCTCTTCTGACGCCGAGGGTATAAAATGGCTAGCTGAATCATATACGAACCGTATTGACATCGACCACAGCTGTTAGAAGGGCCCGACTTCAATCCAAACTGTCCGTCCGCATGAAGTGTGTTTGTTGAGTTCTCGTGGAACACCAATTCCCAGAATACCCTACGTGATAAACCAACGCAGGGCGGCAGTAAAAACACAGAGAGGGATAAAGAAAAAAATACCATTCGTGCTCTGCATGTCGATTCGCTGGCGGGCCGCAGCTGCAGTTGGCAGGATGCCACTTTTTTCACGGTTGCAGATCAACCAGCTAGATCCGTGCAGGCGCCTGGTCCTGTTTTCAGGCGATGGCAGTAAACGAAGCATCTTCCCTGTCTTGGGAACATTGTCAATAGTGACTCCAAGACATGGCCGAGCCCTCAAGGGCCTGCAAGGGAAGCCCTAACATGAAGCCTTGGTGGTGTTGGTCCAACATGTGTCAGTTGCCTTTTCACGGGGCTATACCGCCGCCATCGCGCATTTGTTTCAAAACATCTTGTCTCTCGGATGGGAGAGTCCTTATGTTCAGCGTTGAGGGGAAAGAGGAACATTAGCAGGTAGCCAACTGCCATAGCCGGTACATGTACGAGCATTGTTTAGTGTCAGTGGCGTGGAGCAACCCTATTGACGTGTGTGAGGGACTGGAGCAACCTCTTGATTACATCTGTAACCGGTTGAATGACGGCCACGGCCACGGTCCACATGTGGATGGTGCGGTAGGATTCGGGAAGCTTTTGCCAAAGGCTCGAGCTCCCACGCCATGTCCACCCTTTCGAGTCGCAACGATGAGGGAGGGGGAAGAAGCTGGTCCAAGGGTTCAGGGATATTGGTTGAAATCAGGGTGAGCGGCAAAAGTTCAGTCGAAGCTCCAACGTGTCGGGGAATGACTTTTTGGGAAGTGCGTTGCTAATTTGTGTATCTGGTCGATCTTTTTTGGTGATTGGAACGTATTGTGCAGAAGGAATTGCATAGACATGGTAGGGGTTGCAAAAGCAATCCAATGTCGCCTCCCACGCACACCGCTGGGAACATGAATCGGCCAGTGAGGCAATCTGAACTATCTCCAAACAGGTCAAGGCTGGCATGTGCAGAGAGAGTCAGAGAACTTCTTGGATAGATCGACAGCAGCCAGAAAATGATCCGACCTAAGACTGATTTTGCGACGGCTGGTCCAAACCAAGTCGTTTTATTGATGAGAGAACTGCTTCCTCCGGGTAGACTGGAACCTGGCCTGCCATGAACTCGAAGGATGGATCAAATGGGACATGGCCGACAAGTCAATGGTAGATGGAACGCCCATCTGGCACCGGGGGTGTTTGGATGTTTGGTAGCTTAGACAACAAGATCCATTGATAACTTCATGTTGAACGTTTCCCCTTGGTGGGTTACATGTGCCGTTGCTAGCCTCATTGAATGCGACACGAAAGTGGTGACGACGGCGGCGGTCACGACACTGACGGCAGTGGGGTTGATTCAGACTTGAGGCAACTTTGACTAACTGCCTTCCTCTCCACGACTGCCTGTAGCAGACAGGATCAGTCTGGAGAGCGTTGTGTTGTCTGGTCTGACTTGGCCACAGCTTGAGCTTACTTGGACGCGCGCACCCTACCACCATTCAGGCCACAGTCGGCAGGGCAGCGGGCAGAATCGATCCATGCTGGGTGTCAGTCGCGTGCCCCCGGCGCTAGGAATCTAGGATCGAGTTCCTGGCGAGGGATGGGTCTCAGCAGCACGCGGTGGGCAGTGCTGCTCTGGTGTGCCCATCCGGCGAGTAACGTGTGGTGATGTTGTGGGGTCCAGCTGACCCTAATCAGCGAGATGGAATTCCCCATCGATTTTGTATTCCCCTTTCCAATTCGCAAGTTGAAACAGTATTAGGTGAATTGACTGAAAGGACTAGTCAACTGGCATTGCCGTTCAGTTCAGGTCAGTCAATATCGATGGGTGCAGGCTCCGTATTTCCCCTAACCGTCAAGGCGGCAAGAGGGCTTGTTTGATGAACTCGCTGGTTTCTGAACAGATTGGGTCCGGATCGGACAGTACGAATGAATACTTCAAGGTTTGGGAAAGAGGGTAGATTGAAGGTTTCTCTGCTCGATGCAGAGAGTGAAAGGTATTCAACTAGTGCATTCTTGGACTTCTGGGTACTTCGTAGACAAGGCGTTTGGGTACCCCTTAGATTACGTGCTCTTATTTAACCGTTCCTCATCAAGCAGCATGCCAGACGAAGGCCTTTGCACTTCCATTGGGTCTCGTCACCATATGCTTGCTTGGCTGCCAACTTTCATTTTCATCAGCCCGACATGCCTCAGCGGGAATGGCTCATTCGAACATATCACAAACATGGGGCATTAGCAGTTAGTATCCATATGTACGTAAGATGTCGGGTTACCCCTGGGGCTGTGCTTGGGCATGGGAGATTATGAAGTAGGCTCTACCCTTACCAGGTATAACTTGAAGACCTTATTTGTGGGAGAAACTTGACTAGGTACTTGATTAAAGAGAAAAAAATTTAAAAATTCAAAAACGGGATAGAGACACCATTGGGAAAGAGTGAGCCGGACATCGGACACAGCGCCCCGGACACAGACAACAGGACACAGCCCTACTGCTAGTACGTGTCCTGGTTAATTAGGCCAGGGTCCTGGCTGCCCGTACTTGCTAGGTTTGCGGTCTGCGACGGGATGGACTCGTTCGTTTTCAGGCTCATCTTGAACTTCAAAGCCATGACATGTGGTGACGAGAGCCACCACCACACCACAGCGTTTTTCTTTGCCTGTCTTTCTTCTGTCTCTGACTTGCATAGTTGGGTCAGTCCTTTGGGCGGCAGGAGGACTTCGTCCGCGTGGGATACATGCGTGAAGGCGGCTTCGCATCCAGTCAAGTGGGCAAAGCTCATGGCGCTTCCTTGCCTTCTCTTCCGTCCAAAGCCACTTCGCTTCGCAGTACCTCGAATGTCCGTGTCCTCGCACCACTCAACACCACCACCACCACCACCACCACCACATCATAACTACAGTCTCATACCAACCTCACACTACTGCGGCCTGGGCACGAAGGAGTAGGATTGGAGCTGGTATTCAGGTCTGTAACCTCAAGATGAGCTAGACATGGCACTTAAAATGCCCTGGCTTTTCCATGCTGACTGGTTAGAGAAACGGCATTCTCCTGCTCCCCATGGCTTGGTGGATCCGTGTCCCCAAAAGACCTGCCAGTAATCGTGGAGTTATGGGCTGCAAGTGGTCATGTAATACTCTGTGGTAATATGGAACCTCAACGTGTGATGTTGGCTTCGGATTGGGCATAGAACAAGTATAAAAAATAAAAATAAAAATAAAAAAAAGCCAAACATTCTGGGTATTGTATGGTTTTGTTGGATTTTAGAGGTGGTGGAAGTGGGTGGAACGAGGAGAAACCTGGGCACTAACGGCCAACATGTAACTCGAAGCGTCCGAGTCCGCCAAAGGGTACACAGGTCCAGTTTGGTTTTCGGCATCGACCCACTAGAGCCCCTCAAACCCTGCTTCCAGTGAGCGCGAGGACCAGTGAGCTGCGGCCGCTGTAGCGCAGTAGCGCTCCCAGAGCAGGGGTGTGCCGTGCATGGGCATCATCACCCGCCATGGGTGCGAACGTGTACTTGGCACCGATTTGGAGACTTGGTGAGTTCAACGGGTGCCCGGCACTTACGGTATCTCACCCTGAACCCTTGGCATCCTCAGGGCAAGATGTGCTTCTGTTCGTCCGACAATGCCTGTGAATCCCGAGCTTTCAAAGAGTAGCACATCATCTCGACGCATCGTCTCCCCCACTGGATATGCCCTCAATCTGTGTGAGGTGATGTGCCCTGGCGTGTGGGTTGTGGATGGTTTGGTGGTCTCGCTGGGGGAAACTTAGTGGTCCTGGTCTGAAGGGAGACGAGCCGGATTATTCAGAGGCCCTGTCAAGTGTCCGTGGACCGCGACAAGGTAGCACGATACTTCGCGTCTCGGGCAGTTTAGTTGCATCGCGGGTGTACCTATGCATGTACCGCTACCAGCGAACTAGGACGGGGAACTCTGGGACTTGGGGGGGCACCACTGTTGTGGGCTGGATGGACTGTGGACGGAGTGGAGCTCGCTGTGGCCTGGGACTGGGCACTGGGCACTGGCCTGGGACGGGGGAGGGATAGACTGGGAGTGGCCGGGCCATGCCATGCCATGCCTGGATTGGACTGGGCCTGCCGTGTGGCCTTGACCACCTATGACCATCTTTCGCTGGCCGATTCTCCCTACTCCTCTTCTCAGTTCTTCCACACTTACCATCCTAACCACCATCTCCAAACACTCCCTCTCTACAGACCCCTCGTTGAGTCTGAAGAGAGAGATAGAGAGAGATTTTTGTGTGAAGCGATACGCTCTTCTTTTTACCCCCTTTTCCTTTCTTCTTTTCCCTCCCCTCCCTTCTTGTTTTCACAGAATACCCCAATCGTCGCTCGCGGTCCATTTCTTTTGGCCTCCCGTTCTCACTTCCCCCCTCCCTTGCCCAGCTGTCTTCCCTCGCCCACAATATGAACAAACTGGCAAACATGCGACACTGGTCCGAGAGGATGAGCCCCAATTTCGGAATGGGACGTCCCAATATGCCCATGAACCCCATGAACCCGAGAAGAGACACAGCTCCTCAGCAGGCTGCTTCAATAAGCTCACCTCAGCCTCTCGATCAACCAACGCCCATCATCCACTATTCATTCAATGTGCCTTTCGCCTCCGATCTTGCTGGCCCCAATACCGAGGATATCCTTCATGCAACCGCCGACGCCGTACTCCGATGGACTCATCCCGAAGATGCTCCCGACGATGTCCAGGTCCACGAGCTGCCCGTCCACACCCAGAATTTGGCGAATTTGCGCAAGGTCTGCAAGGATATCACTAGTGGTCCTTTCCAGATTGAGGCACATGTCATCTCGACAACCCCCAAGAATGCGAAGGGTCAACAGGTCACTACTGTGTGCCTTTCGGGTACGCCGGAAATGGTTCATAAGAGCAGAGAGACGATTTTGAACGACAACCAGACTGTCCTGGTAGGTTTTTGACGATGGGGAAGCGGGTTAAGAATGGGCTTGGATTAACCTGTGCCACTCTAGCGTTGTACCACGGTCGATGTGGAAGGCCATCTTGTTTGTGACCTTACTGCCGGTGCTCTGAAGCAGCAAGTCACGGATACCCTGGACTACATCTCCAAATACTGCGGGGTCGATATTTTCCTGTTGGGTCCCAAGTTGACCCCGGTCGTCGACGGCATGACGGGTGACTCTGAGATGCGTGTGGATCAGAGATGGCGAGTTGCCATTTATGGTGATATTTTGTCTGTCGAGCATGCGAAGGCTCGTGTGCTTATCCAGATTGACACTCTGGTATTTGGCCAATCACCGGTTAATCCATGCTTGAGTTCGCTAACTGTAATCGCAGCTCGGGCGAGTCGTTGATGCCACCAAACTCGACTTGTCAATCCATCAGCTTGTCTGTGGCCGCCACAGGAAGAATATCAAGCTCATAGAGTCGTCGACCGGCACTGCCATCTATTTTCCCCCGCCCTTCTCTCAGATGTACCGCTACTGTCCGCCTGGTGCAAGCCGTCGAGACCCTACCGACATCTTTATCACTGGAGAAAGCCCCCAGGCTATTGAACTAGCCAAGCAGAAGCTCCATGAGACTGTTTCACGTATTAGACTCTACATGAAGGACGTCACGATCGCCCCCGCCAAGATTGACAGTGTTCTGCTCACACGCCTGGACAAAGTCCGCAAGATCCTCGAGGCAAACGGCACTTACATCTTGTTTCCGCCTCTTGCGAGCCAACGTAATATGGTCCGAGTCCAAGGCAGCGAAGGGCTTCACGTTGAGCGCACGGTGCGCGAGATCATGGCCTTGGTAAGCCTCGAAAAATTTCAAACCCCTTCTCGAACGATAGCTGATATGAATCCCTAGGCTGGCCAGTTCTACAGCGCGGCTTGGTGGATTCAGCAGCCTGACAATCGACAGCTCCCAAACCCCGCTGATGTTAGAACCATGCTTGGTGATGTTTGCGCAAACTCGGATGCCGACTTGTCTTTCGACAAGATGAACTTCTCCATCACTGGGTCTGATGACGCTGTAAAGGCCGCTTTAATGGTCATGTCTGAGATCAAGTTTCTTGTGCAGTCGCAGTATCAGATCCGTGTGAAGATTGAGCTTGCCAACGAGCACAAGGAGTTTGTGAGCGGCAAGAAGAATGGAAAGATCAACAAGATCATGGGCCAGAGCAGCGTTCAGATCATTTTTGACGGTTTCAACGAGTACAATTTCAACATTGATGTCATGGCCGCCAGCTACGATTCGATGAAGCAGGGCCTAACTCTTGTTGAGCAAGAGATGCCTGCTTCGATCTCTTTCCATGTGCCAGACCAGTACCACAAGCGTATCATTGGCATTGGCGGACAACATATTCAGCGTATCATGAAGAAGCACTCTGTCTTCGTGAAATTCTCGAACGCTATGGACCGAGGTGGCATGGGCCGCGAGGACGACGACATCAAGGTTGACAACGTCATTTGCCGCACGCCGGCCAGGAACGCCCAGAATCTCGATGCTGTCAAAAATGAGATTCTGGAGATGGTGGATAGAGCCGTGAGTTCTACAGAGATTGATGAGGGTCTGACACAGCTAACATTTCTCCAGGATTCTGAGTACACTTCTCAGATTGTGAATGTTGACCGCCTCTACCACCGCCAGCTTCTTGCGCGCCTCAGTGACATAGATGAACTGGAGAGCAAGTACAACTGCAAGATTGTCTTCCCAAGCACCGAACAGGCCAGTGATGAGGTTACTGTGACTGGCCCACAGTGGCAGGTGCCCCATTGCGTGGATGAGTTTTTGGTACGTGGCAGGCTTTGTTCTACATTTTGTGATCCATTATGCTAACATACGTTAGGGCATGGTGCCTGACAACCATGAGCTTGTGCTTACTCGTACCCCTGAGCTGATCAAATTTCTCGAATCGCCAAGCTTCGCTCACGACCTTGTTCCGAAGTTGAAGACTCAGTACGAAGTCGAGGTGACGGTTCACCAAGATGCTGACTCGGAGGAGGGGCTGCCGGCTATTGCTCTCCGCTGGACCTTCACTCGTAACAATGCCGGAGGGCTTCGGGATGCCATCGACTTCTTGCTTGCCCAATTCGCCACAGCCGGTGTTGAAGTTACCATTTTGAAGGGCTCGATTCCCCGCCCCAAGTCAGACTCTTTCGAAGATTCCCTTCAGTACTTTGACTCGAAGCTCCTTCAGCATGCCCCAGCGACCATTGCTGCCGACTCCCCCACCAAAGCTGCCTTTGAGGGCGAGGTTGCTCGCGAGCGAAGCACCATTTTCGACCGCCTGCGCAAGCCCGGTAGTATGACTTCCATTTCGTCTTTCCTTGATCGCCGCAAGAACAGCTCCCACTCGACCCACGGCAACTTTTTCAAGGGATCCAGCAATGTTTCCAAGTCTTCTCTTATTTCGATCGAGTCTACCCGCAGCTTTAATGCGGACAGAAACCCCTGGAACGATAGCGGCGTCAATCTTCCTGACGACGACAACCCTTGGGCTCATCGCCCCATTGGGAATGGCTCCGACAAGTTGACCATTCCCCAACCTGGTGACGTAACGCCACGTCACAGCACTCGCGCGTCCGGTGACAGCGGACGCCCTTCTACGTCTCATTCTACGAATTCTGGATACCCCGGTCCCATCGGACCTTTCCGTTAGATTCCCGTCTTAGAACCTCTACGTGCAAAATACCCCGGCTGGATATACCCTGGCGTACAATACCCCGGAACGTCGCTTCTGATGCATCGGTCGGCCGAAGTTTCTGTTCTGCTTTGCTTTTGATGTTTCGTTGCTCTTGCTTTGTTGTTTTGACTTTGTTTTCTCTTTCTGTCTTTCAGTTTTTGATGGTTATTTGTCGCACGATTTCACGTCCACTCCTTATACCCCCAAGGTCGGAAGACTGAGGACAAAAAAGAAAAGATACCTTGTACGCGGTTTGGTTTTCGATTGCTTGATGCTTCCAAGAGCTTCTGATGATGGCAGTCAGAAGGAGAAACGAAAAAGAAAGGGTTATGGGGTCGTGCAGCTCCTCTTATTACCTTTTTGAGTTTGGTGTTCCAGTTGCCAGATCGTGCAACTCCGTGGACTTGGTCGACTTTCGACAATTCCAACATTCTATTTTGCGGTCTCGAAGGCGGAATTGTGTTGACAAGGGAGACACGGGCTGGACTGGAGTGTCAACTGTTGGGAGAAGGGGTGAGAAAGGTTTCATACTCTTTGTGTGTTGGCTGGTCTGGTGAAGCTGCCAGATGGTGAAAGGGAAATTGTCATGGCGGCGGACAAATGGTGCAAAAATCAGCGGCTGACTGAACTGCAAGCGGGAGTGATGACTAGGGAACTGTACACCTACATGCACCTTTTAGGTTGACCTTGACATGCAATGATACCCATGGTCGATCAATCGTTTGTTCTCAAACACTTGTGATGAAATTCGTGAACTCGCAGGTGCGTGGTGATAAAACATGTGATATCGTTTCTGAGTTCAACCAAACCCAACACCACGAGCCTTCCACGTAGAACGGCATCAAGTAATTCAAGTCGGGTAGAATTGTAGTCCAGGACAGAGCTGGATTACGTTTGTATAGCACCAGGCTACGCCAAGTCCTCATCATGCGCTTCGGTGTTGTTCTCAACCCACAGTACAAGAGGACTTGGGAGCAGTCCTATCGCATCCCAAGGTATTTGGCATGCGCAAGTCAAGATGACAAGGGCGAGATCTAATATCCTGGTGCTTCACCATTGCGTGTAAAGGGGTTGTTCCAAAGGCGCAAACCATGTTGTGGGCATTGCATTTAAAGAACACGGGTAGATACGGCTTAAACTCAGAAACAATCCCGTGCTATACCTGTATGTATCCCTTGATGAAATGAGGCTCGTTGAAAGGGGGTGCCACGCAAACCTGGTGGCGTTTTCAAAGGTGATGTTTTCTCACTTGCTGTGGTGGTCAACCAAGTGGGCATGTTTCCGGCTCACCGTTCCCGCTTGCCTTTGGTTACCGATATAAATAGGCCAACGTGGTAGGCAAAACTATTCCCCCCACCCCTAAGACAAAATTCATGTTTTAAATTTGTGTAGATCAAGCTCAACGTAAAGTTTTCAAAGTAGTGGAAAGGGCATGCCGTCATCAGTCGTAATAGTACAGATACTATCGAACAGATTGGTAAAGGCCTAGTAGCTATATTTGTATTTTTACAATTAGTTGTATAAGGAAAGCATTCCATAGTAATACAGATTCTTCAGCATTGGGCAAGAAAGGGGTTTCGATTTTGGGTATTGCAACGAAGGGAGATAGTGGGAAGTCGATCATGACGCAAGGGGGCCGACTGAAACTCTTTCCTGCTGAGCCCGCGCCTCCTGCTGTGCTTTCTTGTGACTGTGACGCTGTATTCGGCGCTTCTCCGTCATTATGCCAGCAAATCTTCCTTTGGCTCCATGTTTGATCTTGGTGATCATGTCCGTTGCCTTTCCCTTGTCGACATCGTTGGCAGTCAAGGGTTCTTCCTTTGGCCGCAGCTTATTCAGGAAATCGAGTTGTCCCTGAGTTGGTGGTCCCTTTCGCCAACGCTGATATCGGTGGATGAAAATATGAGGAAACGTCTCGGAAGCATACTTGTCGCTTCCGTGCACGGCGTCTGCGAATGTTGATGCCTTCAAGAGCTCTCTAGGGGCTGCATAGGGTGACTTGGCTACACCAGGAGGCAGGGCCCTAACCTCAACAGCATGCCAAACTGGTTGGTCTTTCCCAACCTCCGCTTCCTGCTTGAACAGCCGAATATAGGATCCATTAGGCGCACAAAGAACATATTTATCCACGCCGACTTGGACCCAGGCGTACTGGCTCATGGCACGAATATGCTTTTCCCCTGATGTATCCTCAATGAGGTCAAACACTGAGCTGTAGTCAGTGAAAGTAACCGAACCTGTGGAAGCAGGAGTCTGTGAACTCGGAGAGTCATTGTAGGCATGCTGTTGACGAAGCCTCTCTGCCTCTGTCCGTTCCCTAGTCCTGTGTAGGTCTGCTGTCGATGCTTTCTCAACGATCTCTCCTGGATCAAGGCCAAAAAGCGTCGGCGTAGTGACAATCCCGGTTTCCAAGCTAGAGACCATATCAATTACATGACAGTCCGATTTTCCTTCGTGTAATCTCATGCCTCTGCCGATCATCTGTACTAAGAGGTTCCGGGATCGCGTTGGTCGGGCGAGGATAACGCAGTCAATATTTGGGATATCTGTACCCTCTGTAAATACTCCGCAGTTCACAAGTACGGGAAACTCCCCATTTCGAAATGCTTCTAGGATTGCCCCTCGTTCTACCTTTGGCGTGTCACCCGTCACGAATCTTGCGTCAAACCCGTGCTTTCGGAACGTTTGTGTCAGCCCAGCAACATGGGCAAGATCGACGCAGAAGACGAGCGTTGACTTTCGGTCGGGTGCCCTTGCCAGCCAACTTCGCACGGTAATCTCATTGACTTGGTCAGTATTAACGGCCCGTGACAAATCTCCCGGCTGGAAGTCACCGTTGACACCGCTTCTAACCCTGGATATGTCGGCAGTGGACTCGACGGTGGTGAACATCACATCAGATAACCATTTGTCGCCGATCATATCGACGTAGTCCTTGTGGTAGACTATCTCGTCAATGGCAGCACCAAGTTTGAGACCATCAAATCGTGAGAACGTTGCCGATACGCCGACCAGGGAGGGCGAATCGACTCTTTTGGTGTCGAGTCCGAAATGGCGAAGGACTCTCATGTAGCCGGGGGCAACAATATGATGGGCCTCATCTACAAGTACAAGCTTAAATCTTCGTCGGTCGAATTTTCTTAACCTGTCTCCGGACGTGATGCTTTGAAGGCTGGCAATGGTTATGTCTGCCGTGCCAGAGGCATGCAAAGAGCCCATCTCAATCTCAACTGACTTTCCAGGGTAGGCATTGGTGCAATGCCTCGCGGCCTGCTCCACGAGCTCTCTCCTATGTGCAAGAATCAAAGTTTGCGTGGCAAGCCCTGGTCTCGGTTGTATTCTCTCAATTAATTGAGTGAAGATAACCTAGAACGAGTTAGTCATAAGGGAGGCCTGTTTCTCATAAAGTTGCCTAGCTTACTGTTTTCCCACTGCCAGTCGCCAAAGAAATACCGAGTCTTTTATGCCCTTCCTTCAGAGACTGTAAGACTGACTGAATGCATTCTTCTTGATAGTCTCTAAGCTGGATTCTGGTGCTTGCGAATCGTAGAATGGGAATAGGCGACGTCTTTGACTTAACTCGGACCGGTGGAGAAAATAGAGTGTTCACTGCGCAAGGCCTGAGAAGGTTCTTCACTAAAGAGAATACCATGTTGCGCCCATTTTCAGTTTGATAACAAGCTGATATTTAAATGAACATGTCGAAGTCATCGCTAGAAGAAGTAGCCAGGGTTGGCCAGATCCTCCTATCAGCACCCAGATACCTGCCCCACAATTGGTCCCCAAAAGTGTTCCTGTGTAGCCACAGCCCGCCAATAACAAATCTGGCTGGCCCATACGTGCAAAACTGTTAGCCTGGAACCGAAAGTACTCCAAACTAAGCTCCTCTGCCTGTGGATTTCCCAGACAAGGAAATCTTCACTCATGAGGCCCTCATCATTATTATTATTGCCAAATGACAGCCTAATGTATCCGCAAGGCCACCTCGACTTCATTGCTCGATTATTTTGACCAGACCAGCTTTCAATCACTCAGGCTCAGCCTGCTATCAGAAAACTGTCTTTGGTCCTCACCATCACAACATGTACTCTCCGTATTGCATGAGCCAAATCGTCGATACCAGAGTACCGAACAAGGATGAGCATGGATCCAGAGGCCGATTATCCCACAGACGAGGGGGAGATTGAAGGATACAGCAGCCATGAGATTAGACCTTTCCACGCAACGGAATTCAGCCAGTCGGGACTGGAGTCGCGGCAGGCGGACACTTCATCCGACAGCGAAGAAACTGTGATTCGAAAGAGTCGACCATCGCAAAAACGGCGTGCCGAGGGCGAAGCTATTGAACCAATTCTCAAACGCCACAAAGGTCATTTCAATAGCAAATACCTTGATCTATTAAACGGGGACATCGTAGATGCTGCAAATCAGAATGCAGTGAGCACGGCAGATGAGCTTCCACTTTCTCAGATCGGCCTGACAATTTGGACGCCGTTTGAGAAGAAGCTTTTTTTTGAAGCACTATCCAAACTCGGCAAAGACAACCTGAAGGGCATTTCGGATAAGATACGGTCTAAGAGTGAGGTCGAAGTTCGCCAGTATATCACGCTACTCCAGGACGCCATTGAACGAAGAGAGCAGGAACAGGAGCGTGGGCTGGAATCCCTGGAATTGGCAGAATATCCTGCAGCCGTCGAAATAAGTCAACCTTGCTGCTTTGCGCTCGAGGAAGCAGCCGATGCTTTATCACTCAGGCAAGAGCGTCATGAAGAGCTCGTCGAGCAAAAGAGATGGGGCGAGTGCTGGAATATTACACAAGAGCTTGCTAAGCGCATCGAGGGAGACCATGGACTCGAAAAGGACCCAAACTTCGCTAGCAATCACGGTCTAGCATTCACCGAAGTTTTTCGCATTAAGAACTTCCTCCAACTGCCGGAGCGAATGTTCATGAACGCAGCTTATGCCGAAAACAACTGGCAATACATCAGTGAGGAGCCGCCGACCATCAGAGCTACCGCCATGCAAGATTTTCATTCGCTGTTAGTTTCTCTCACCAAGAAGATCGTCCTCACAACGCTATTTATGGCAGAATCAAGAATCAGGGCAAAAAGGAAGGTAGAGCCCTCCACAAAGGGTCTTGTGAGACGAAAGGACGTCGAGGCAGCGGTCGCCTCTTTGGGCATGAAGCAAGATAGTAATGAGTTCTGGGTGACATCTGCGCGTAGACTTCGCCTGGAAGTCTGGGACGAGGGGCCAGAGTCCCCCGAGTCAACAAGTCAGGAGACCGACGGGGAGGAACAGCCGATGTCATATGACGAAGTAGAAAAGGCCCTTCGGCAGGACTTGGATATAACCCAGCTCAAGCATACCGAAGATACGTCTCAAACGCGGGGTACCAAAGTGGAGGACGTCGAGGTAATCGCGTCGGAATCGGAGCAGGATGAAGAGGCAGGATCGGGACATCCGGATAGCGACTCGTCTATCCCTATGAACGATGCCGAGCATGAGGTTAACGAGGAAGCGAAGGAAGTGCTACACTATGCCGCTTACGACTTCCCTGAAACGCACCGCACAAGGGAGGCTCTGAAGCATAGGATCAGAAACGAACGGGCGCATGAGGCTTACGCCGAAGCGGAAGACGCGAAAGCATCGTATGAGACAGAAATGGAGATGTGGAGGCTTTTACAGAGACAGCCTCCAGAGTCGTTGGTGAAGCCGGTCTCTTTGAACCGCAGTCGGAGAGTGATGAAAAATGTGGAGGAGATTTACGATGTTGGCCGACAGTGGAGAGGGATGCTAACATATCATAGCGAGTGGGAGATGCTTGGCGCATCAAAATTGCCAACCAGGAAGCCTTGAGCTTTGGCTTGGCATTTGGTTATGACTATTCATCTTGTTTCTGATACCCTAGACTTGGATCTTTATCATTCATGCTACTTTAAGCAAGCACTTTTTCAATACCTAATACTCGGGATATTGTATCTCAACAACAGCATACTCGTTGCCTTCATGGGTGTCGCGACTTGCGACGGGTATCATTCCGCACGCCGTCCAAGTATCAGTTCATGTATTCTTTTTACTCAAGTGCCATATCACCGCCCACGTCCCCTTCCTCTGCCTCTGCCCCTGCCTCTGGCACGGCCTCGAGCAGCCCCCCTCGTTGATCTCGAGACCGGAGTGCCGCTCTCCTCAGCGCTCTCCTCTTCCTCGTTGGAGTCACTTCCACTTCCATCTTCTTCGTCGTCGTCCTCCTCCTCCTCCTCCTCTTCTTCTTCTTCTTCATCTCCTCCTCCGCCTCCTTCATCACCCTCATCGTCATCATCAACATCCTCGTCTTCGTCTTGGTCCTCTTCGTCCTCGTCTGAAGATGAGGAAGACTCGGTTGACTGAGCCTTGGGCGTTTTGCTGGCTTTTTCAGCCTTTTCAGCCTTTCCAGCCTTCTCAGCTTTCTCGGCTTTCTCGGCTTTCTCAGCTTTTTCCGCCTTCTCCGCCGCTTTGGCTTTGCCAGCAGCCCGCTTCTGGCTCCGGGCCACTCTAGCCGACTTTGGTGGGGGTGACGCGATGTCCGTACCACCATCCTCCGTATCCTCGACAGTACTGGCACGTGTCTTCGTAACGGTAGATGCGCGTTTCCTCCTCCTGTTAGCCCCAGCATTGCTACCGCCGGGTGATGGTGGTGGTGGCGTCAGCTCCAGCTCAGGCGGGGATGTTGGAGCCTCGCTAGGGTCTGCGAGTAGACGCTCCAGTTGCATGTCGTAGAAATCGGCAGGGGGTAGAGTAAATTCCTTGAACCGATCGTCGTAGTTCTCGTCTTCTTGAGCGTCGTAGAAATCCTCACGTTGGTCGATCGTTTTGAGGTCATAAAAGGTACGGAGTTTCTGCCAGATGTGTGGGATGCGCGTATGGGTGTAGAAGTCAGGGTCGATACCGTGATTACGAAGGTGCTCACTAATAGCAATCATTCTGAAGTGCTTGTGCATACCTTCAGGGCGCAATGTGAGCTTTAAACTGCCATAATAAAGAGGTAGAATAAAGATGTGAACTAACCTGCTGGCTTCCACCTAATGACACCCTTGAATAGTGAAGACAATTGGTCATCGGTCCAAAGGTTGTTCGGCCACTCATCCGCGGACGGCTTGACCATCGACACGGCCGCTGTTGGGGTATCAGCCGCTGGGGTGTCGACGTCCATGGCGTCGTCATCGCGAGCTGGTGTCGGTGTCGCGACAGCGGAGACGCTGCTTCGCGCCTTCTTCTTGGGAGGCATGGCGGCCTATTGGATGAGTAACTTAGTGGTAAGACTAGCCTGTAAGTCTGGAGTGTATGCTTTGATGCTGTATAGTTCTGGCTTCTTGTGCCGGAGTCGTCGTTGGTAGGTCGTTAAACTAACGTCAAAAATCTAGAGCGTCTGGCCTCAGTCCAGAAGTGGAATTGAGCTCCTGCAGACCAAATCGAGCTCAGTCTTGGCCCAGTAGTGTGCCTGCGAGCTGCTAGGGGCCGAATTGCGGGGATAGCCATTGGCACCCCTTTGCAGGGGTTTGTTTTAGTGCTCTGTGCCTGAAAGTATGACGCGCCAGTCGCGTCGCGGGGCTCATTGCTTCTGTGATTCGTCTCGTGCGGTGTACTAGTAGAAGAGCGCTGGGCAACATGAACATGCGATGCTACTGGTCACAACCTGCATCCCCTAAATTGACGACACTGATGCACCGCAATAAGACTACTTCCGCGGCGCAATCATGTCTGCAGAGGATGCTAATGTCTTTGCGATCCCCGACTTCTGGGAACCACCCCAGTGGGAACTTCCGCAGGACGATGCTGGCTTCTTCGCTCTTGACTTGAAAGGTGCGCATTTTCTGGTAGAGTCGCTAGTTGCTTACTGGAAGTACGATCTGACAGACAAAGAGTCTTCTCCGTTATACAGCGTACCCGAAAGCCAGCCTAGCAGGCTCTTTACGCTTCCTGCGATAGATCCCGTCTCCGAGCCGGAAGTACTGACAACCACAGAAACCCCAGAGCCGCAGCCAAAGCTACCCCCAGCTAGTCGAGACGACGAGATAGGCGACCTGTGGTTAGAGCTTGACAAGCCAGTGCAAAAATCTCCGGAGCACAAGACTTGGGACAATTTCGAATCCTTCGAATCGTCGACCTCAAAGGCGCTATTTATAACAGAATCTGGTCCAGGGGCTTTTGACGCTCTGATTGAGCTTAAGGACGATCCTTTACAACTTGGTAGCGCCGATTTCAGTACAGTGGAAGCAGGTTCATATTGCAATGCTCTCCTGGCCCTGGCCCTCGGGCGAGAGTCGATATTCTTCTCCTGGGAGGGTGAGGTGAAGTCCTTCAAGCCGGCCCTGCCAAAGATCCGAATATCAGGCTTTTCCGGCAAGGTGATCCAGGAAGTTCAGCAATCATGCCTAAAATGTGGAAACACATACCGCCGGCTGCGCTTGTTTGTCGAGACGACATACCAAAAACAACCCACTTCATGCCGTGTCGCTTTGGCAAGTTCTGTGGATAAGGCTCTGTTGGTGATACAGAGCAGCATTGCTCTGCACCATCAATCCACGCGTTCCATTCTTCAAGTCCAGTCACTCATCAGCCATACATACACCATCCTGAGACAATTTGACTCATTGGTGTCAAAGATACGGCGAGGTCACTTAGACGAGGATGTGTTCGTTATCGTTTTCCAGCAAGCTCAGTCTGCCGAATACGCTGAAATCCACCTGAGGAACATGATGCGCGAAGTATTACGGCGGGTGTCTCGGCCTTGGATCGAGCTTGTTGAGGAGTGGATCGGCACACGACGTGAGGCTGGGGTGCCCTTAGGCAAGCACGAAGTGGGAAGAAGGAAAGGCTTCATCAAGATTGAGTCTGAAACCTACATTGACGATTTTGGGGACGAGGTCGATGAAGTGGATTTTCGTCTGGACACCGAGCGGATACCTAGTTTCATGCCCGATGACATTGTGAAGTCCTTGTTCGAAGTTGGCCGCAACCTCCGCTTCATCAGGACCACTCACCCGAGCCATCCTTTGGCACAAACAAGCGTCATCTCGTCAAGCCGCCCCCCTACGGTAGAATGGCTCTTTGACTGGGATTCCATAGTTCAGTTGGAAAACCAAGTCCACTCATACGAGTGTGCCTTACGGAAAGCTATCCGCACGTACGCCACTGAAGAACCTGCAAAAACTAGCGGTACCGGATGGTCAACGAGTGGCACAGTGGGATATCAGCTACAGTTTTTTGGCGTCGGTGAAAGCCAGCTGCAAAGTCGGTTGGAGGCATCTATGAAGGACTTCGCACAGCCCATTAAGGATTCTACGTCAGAGGATCCGTTGGGCATTATTATTAGAGAGCGCCTATCTGATGTCAGATCAGAGGTTGAGAATGCCAGTACCGACTTCACGCCGCACTGGTCCTTGTTGCCGGTTCTGTCGTTCGGTTCCATCATCTCTGCCCAATTAAAGGTTGTCGGCAGAGAAAGCCTGAAGTTACTCTTCATATCTCACGAGCTCCGCGAACACTTGAAGTTGCAAAAGGAATTTCACCTCCTCGGAAACGGCTTTTTCTGCAGCCGTCTCACACACGCGCTATTCGACCCAGACCTCGAGACAACAGAAAAACAGGCAGGCATCGCTCGCCAGGGCGGCGTGATGGGCCTGCGGCTAAGCGGAAGGGATAACTGGCCCCCTGCCAGCTCAGAATTGCGCTTAGCGCTGATGGGAGTTTTGACTGAAAGTTATGACGGTCCAATTAAGGGTGGCTTGTCCAAGCCCCGGGATCGCGAAACCGAGGAGCTTCCCGGAGACCTTAGCTTTGGTGTGCGCAGTCTTTCCAGCGAAGAGATCGACAAGTGTATGGATCCAGATGGACTGGAAGCGCTTGACTTCCTTCGACTGTCATATAAGCCTACAGCAGCATTGGGGTCCATCATCACGCCCATCATCCTAGTGCAATATGATCGAATTTTCAAGCAACTCCTCCGTATCCTAAGGATGCAGTATACGGTTAACCGGCTATTCCGCGATGTTACCGCCAGAGAAACTGGTTGGCAGGATATTTCAGACGTGTCAGTTCGATTTTGTTTTGAGGCACGCCACTTTATTTCCAGTCTGAGTAGCTACATCTTCGACACTGGCATTGAGATGCCGTGGCAAGCGTTCGGAAGTCTCTTGGACAAGATTGAAGCAGGCTTGAGAAGTAATGATGAAGGGAAATTGTCAGGGTCGGCGCTCAGCCCAGACCGTCTCCGCGAGTACCATTCTCAGGTCCTTGATCGAATTATGCTGGCACTATTGCTGCGGAAAAGACAACAGCCTGTTCTGAAGCTGCTGGAGGATATTTTTAGAGTCGTTCTCAAATTTGCCAAGTATGCCAGACTTCATGCTGACGGGCAGAACTCTCAAAGGCAGGCTGAATCAACGGCCAAGGGTATGTACAAGACGTTTCGGCGAAACGTCGAGGTGTTCCTTACGGTTTGCAAGGGGCTGAGCGAAAAGGGAGATTATGGCACCAAAAAAGATGCTGTTAACGACAAGGGGCTTTCGGAGAAGATCGATCCTTTGGAAGAAAATCCTATTACACAGCTCCTGTTGAAACTCGATATGCTGAATTACTACTCAAAGGCATAGTGTTTGGTGGGAATGATAGTCAAATTGATATATGAGCAGATACCCAGGCGTTGGACGAATGGAAGGAATTGGGAAATAGAAACTTTATGTTCTGCAACTATAAACATTCCGGTTCCAGGCCAGGTTATGATTTAAAAAATTATTACTTCGGTTGACAGAAGCTTTAATCACTTCCTTTTCCGAGGTAAGGATGGGTTGTGCCCCGCCATTGCCCAGCAATGCCCCGACCTCTGGTGCCCCGCAATGTGTGCCCACTGTTACGGTGCCGCGTTGTTGATTACTTTCCGTCATTGGCGAAAACGCCCTCTGAAAGAAAACAAATCAAACCGCCTCTGCGACCGACACCCTCAGCATAGACCTTACCTTCCAGGGCAACTAGACAATATGGCTCGTCCAGGCCCCTCAGCAAGAAATTTGACTCTCACAGAAGAGTTGGAGAAACTTGAACAGTCCATCACTCTAACTCTGCAAGGTAAATGGAACTTTGCCTGGGAATAATCAGTCGTTCACGCAAGAACACTGCTGACCTTCTGTGGAGAGATCGATTCCAACTTTAGCAAGGCTCACCGGATTGTCACCACGAGCATTCTCCCCATCGTAGAGCAGTATGGCGAACATTCAAAAAATGTCTGGGAAGCTTCCAAGGTACGTCGCATTGCCCGATCAAGCAATGCCAACAGCTAACAAGTACCCTTTCAGTTTTGGAAGCAATTTTTCGAGGCTTCTGCCAACGTATCGCTTTCCGGATACGAAGAACTAGCCAATGATGAAGATGAGACCAGCGCGGTTGAAGAGTCGACGGCACAAGACGAGACATCGGTGAACTACACTCCACGACGTGGTGCTGAGGACGAAACCATGGCTTCAGCTGCCGAGTCCACTTTCCAAGCCGAGGAGTCCATGCTCGGCGGCGGCGACGACGATGACTTAACGGGCAGCACACCGCGACTGCCTAAGACGAAAACAATACAAACACAATTTTCCAGCCTCGAGTCGCCCTACGAGGCACTTAAACGCGAGCTCAAGGGCGAGCCGCCCGCCCCCCATGAAGAAGACGACGAAGACGAAGATCTTGGCCTTGGCGAGGACTCAACTGTGCTCTTCGCACAGCACACTGCCCGGTTGCCGGACATGTCAATGACACCTCGCTCCTCGCTGGTACCGCCCTCCGGCCTGCAGCAGTCGACACAAGGCCACAAGGACCCTCTGATGCATCGCATGCTTGACAAAACGTTCCGCATTCAGGCGACGCCGCACAAAGGCCCTACGTATCGCGTGTCTCCCCTGAAACGAGAAGCGAGACCCAAGGAGGAAGAAGAAGATGTGCCGTCGTGGCGGCGCCAGGACTCACCCATGTCGTCACCCGTCATGGCCGTCCCAACATTGCGCAGCGAGGCCTTCATGTCGCCCGCCAAGTCCAGGCGACTCGCCGCGACTGCGACTTCTGCGGGGCCTCGTACCCCAGGCGTCAGCGTCCAGACTCCGGCTACTGGCCGGAAGACCAAGGACGTGTTTGCTAGCAAGCCTACCCTCAGGAGCACTTTCGACGACGACACCACAACGACAGACCTTGGTGCCAGCGGGTTGGCAAAGGAGAAATACGAGATCAATTGGGAAAGCGACAGCGATGAGGATCAGGGATTGTACGGTGGCATGAGCCCGCCTAAGACGATTCAGTTTGCGCTTCCTCAGTCCAAGTTGCTTCAGACGCCTGGTGAGTAAGATTCTGCGGCAGGGATACTTGGAACCTACTAACAAGTAAATAGCTAGAGAAGCGAGTAAGCGTATTGTGGACGACATTCTGTTAACAGCTGGCGCCGAGCCGGACAGCTCAGAGTACAGTCCTACGATGGTCAAAATGAACGAGGACATTCTTAATGAAAGCTTTTAACCCTATACCTAGTTGATTAGAGGGGAAAAGAAAAAAGAGGCTGTCCATCAAAGGGATGGTGCCTATACAAAAAGAGATACCCAAAATTGAGAGCCCTAGTTCCCTTTCACATCAGTCTGCCTCCTTTCCTGGTGATTGTCACAAACTGACGAGAAAGCCGCCTGCTATTATTTTCTGGTCTTGAGACGCCACCTATCGATTCATCCTTTTTGAATCATTCGAAAGGGTTAAACCCTCGGTAATCATTATCCTTTGATATTTACCTCCTGAAGGTATCTCTGTTCGTAGTACCATTGACCTTTGCGCCGTGTCCGTCTATATAAAAGAGAAACCAGATATCATTGAGACGCCATGGCATGGGGTAGGTATCACAACTCCGTGGAGCAGCGGCACCCGTCCCTGCCCCTCTTCAGTGCCGCTTCCTGCAGCCACAATATTGAAGCCATGTGCCAGCGCTCTACTCACAAATCGTTGCGAATAGAAGTTGACCAAAATTCAGACTGCAATTAGAAGGATGTCAGAAAACTGAAAGATCAACGCAGAGGTATTGATACATCAGCCCCCGAGAGGAAATATTCCCCCACAAAAACTACATCTCGGATCGCTTTGTTTGCGTTGGGTGAGGGTTTAGAGGGAGAGGCGTACTTGATTCTTGAGAACCTGGGCTTTGGCGTCGTCCGCGGCCTTTTGGCGGGCAACAAGCGATGTAGATTTATTGGAAGATGAGGATTTATTGTGGGATTGGTGAAGTTTGTCCTTCAGGAGGGAGACTGTGCTGCCGAAGCTGGAGACCGAGGCGGCATCGGACTCTTTGGGATATTGCGGATGTTGTTGGCGGCTAGAAGAGGGCTGTGCCGGAGAGCCTTCCGCAGCGGAGCCCTGCTGGAGAGCTGAAAGAACGGCGTAGCTGTGTCGCTTATCGCCGACGACAGAGTTGGAAAACGTGGAGTGCATGCCAGACATGTTTGTGAGGGCTTTGAAGTTTACTTGGTGGATTGAAGTTGCTGGTTTGTGAAGTAAGGAAGCGGCTTGAGAAGCTTCAAGGCTTTATGATAGGAGTTATCTTGATGTGTCTGTCTGAGTGCCGATGATCCAAAAACCTCAGGCTGCCTGGCAAGAAGCAGAGCTCTTCTTATACAACTACGATATGCCCATCTTCAAGTACACTACAAAGTACCATGCTTTTACAGTCACCAGCATCAAGCAGTGTTGAATCGGGACTTGGCGTTTGGAACTTTGTCTAGGGAGGCCGAGTCTCCACAAACGAAGCTTATTCGACAAATGTCCTTATCCTCAACCCTCAAACGTCAGCAAACATCATCATCATTATCGTCACTACCGTAAGCCCGGATGAAAGTGGATCAGCCACACGTTGTCGTTCAACACAACCTTACCGCCAGTGCGGGTGTAGGCAACTAAGCTAATCCCGGATAGGTGGACAGGGGGGATAGAACCCCAAAAGAGAGTATGGTCGCAATTTTATCATGCAGCAGAAACGTGAGTCATTACGCACGACGTACGCCGCAGGAGGCGCATACTTATGACAGCCTCATGGCTGAATATACGTTCTCATAGCCTGCATGCTTGATTGACACGAGGCCATAACGAGGCCAATGGGCTTGGCGCGCACGCAAGTCAATTGCCCAAATGCCTAGAGTGAGGCGCAAAGGTTGGAAACAGACGCAATGACAGGGAAGAGCAAGGGCGAATGAGAGTCGTGTTGCTAGATGTCAGGCATCATCTTCGAGGTGTAAGATGTGGCAGTTTTCTTGCCCAGGGCGAAACGGTCCTTGGAAAGCCGTGCTTGGGGCTTGCATAGAGCAACACATATGACTACTGCCTAATGCCCAGGTGACCAGTCTTAGAGCCTACAGACAGCGCGACCGCCCATTCAGGTATTATCTCCTGTTCGGCAGTGCGAACGTTAGTTACTTCAGTAGTCCATGCAATCCCCTTGCGCAGCCACTGTCTTTTACCAAAATATTCTACGTACTTGCTTCTGTGCCGAAAACACCCACCCCTTCACTCCGCTCATGTCCGAATTGAGTCATTCGGAGAGTGTGCCATGTAAAGAAAGTGCGATCAGTTCAGCCAGCCGCTCTTCTTTTGGAGTTCTAGTCAAGTGTCAGGTGGGCCCCACTAGGCCGGATGACGCAGGCTTGGTTAGCAGATCGGTGCCGTATCACCTATGACTTCCCGAAAACCTATCGGGGATAGGGACCCGTCGAGAACCGGCAGGGAGTGACAAGACACAGGATAGTGTCACAAGACAAATTTATTGACATTTTCCTGTACGCTCCGAGAACTCATCATGAAGCGGCATAATCCGCATGTCTCTTAAGAAGCAACGTGTCGTAAAAATAAAAATAAAAAACCAATCGCACCTGGCTTACTTCCGCCTCATTTTTCGATTAATTGAGTTCACCAATAATTGACCGGACCTTGAAGTTGTTGACTGCAGCCAGAACCCGCGAATGGCCGAACGTTACGGCGATGAAACCAGTTAACTTGGTAAAACCAAGCTTAATTTCATGATTAAGACTTCGCAAACCCCCGTCCACCTTTACGCAATGTGTGATTCATAGCTACTGGTCTGCCGACCATTTTCGGCATGGCCGCGTGGCTGGTTAGTTGCGGGATATGAGTACACAAAGCGACGCGCAACTCACCAACAGTTGTACACCAGAACCGTCAACTCGACCTTGCAAGCGACCAACCACGTAATGAGAAGTTTAACCAGGACGACCATGAATTTTCACCTTAGTGTAGCTCACCGTCGCTGCACATTCACACTTACACAATCATATACACTCAATGCACTTCAGGTTCTCGCTAAATTATAACAGCTACTTACTCCAAATAACTCAAACAACTATGTGCTATATATATATATATATGCAGAGTCAAGAAGCAGGATAACGCTTGCCTCCATCGGAACCTGGAGTAAGTTACTATGTGCCTCGTCTAGCCTACTTGTATTCTGTGCATACTGTTGGTGTTTTCTGGTGAAGGGTAGCAACAACTTTGTCTGCGGTAACATATCAAAAGACGCTGTTCACCTGCTTCGTCCTCGTCTTTGCGGCTTCCCCCCCCTCTTCCTTGGACTAAAAAAAAGATGGTATCATTGGTCTAGACTGTGCCCTTTTGTGACTATTGCCCTTACATAACAAGTTTCTTGCCAAATTTTTACCTAGCGGAATATCTACCAAACATTAACGAAGATCAGAGATACTATTGCCTGGAATTGTTGGATCGGGAATTGACGAGCCGTCATGGCATTGGCATGTCTTAGTGCTGGAACGATCGTAACTACGATGATGACACGCGGGCTTCCCAGGCTTAGTGTTCCAGCCCATCCGAGGCAACCGGATTATAAGATACGCTTAAACGACGGGAATGACCAAGGGGCTTGAGTGGATATAACGTCGAGCTTCTACCGTGGACGATCTATGCTTCTAGCAGCTGAAGGGAATCACCGTCCGCTGATGGCATTTTCAAGAGCATTGGCTGGTATATTTCTTATGGAAAAGGAGAACGATATCCTGGAAACCCCCATCTGATGCTGAGAGGCCCAGGCCCAAACTTGCGGCCGCTTTACATTGGATGAACGGATACTTTGGCTCTGAAAACGCACGACGGCAAGTAGATTTACTCCCTTATACGGATTATGGGCCAAGGCCAACTGCGGGCGTGTTTGTGTGCTCCTCAGTGGTAGAAAAATTGTCTGTGTCAGCCGGGTGACAGGACCTCCACAAACCTTATTTGGAGCCTCAACCTGGCAGTCTGGAAAAGGCGTCAAGCTTGAGAAGCGGTCTGGAGAAGCTCAACCAAACGGTGGTTAGAGGCCAATCAGACATTAATTACCCCACCACAATGATGCTGCCACCAACGATCAAGCCAAGAAAAAGAGTAGAAGAGCAGTGGGGAGGGGGGATTTGGAAAAGGGACTTTTCACGTGAGTGAGTATCGTATTCGTATCTGGGATCAAGTACGTACTCATCTCACAAGCGAGCTGGTGGGAGATTAGATTGCCTGATTGGCCCCAGGGCTCGGATCTCACAGCTAGCAGATAGCTGTCTGCAAAAATCGATTGACCAATGAAAGAGCTTCAATCACTCAACCTGCCCAAACTTGGTTGCATGAAAGGAGAAGTTACGTCTCTCGCAAAGAAATTCTAACCCGGATCCACCTGAAAGATGCCTTTCCCTCGTACAAAATGCAGCAGGCTTAAGCACGTGTTTGCATATGTTTATGAAACAAACACTGCCAGCTTGGCCCGCCCGGATCGACTACCCGCCGATGGTGCATTTATTGGTCCTCAAGTGGTTTAATAAGTCACTGACAGAGCGCCACAATTGTGCAAGTGGAGAAGTACTGCCTTTGTATGGAATACATCTTTGTCGTGTGCTTTTAGCACGCTTAGCTTTAGCGGCTGGCTTAGGGGACACTGAAAGGACGTGGCAATTCACGAAGAAAGAAAGCATTTTTCACTCAGGGAAGTAGAACCCGGCCGCAGCTGATCAGAGCCTTGGTCAAAGTTTTGTTTCTGGGATTAGGTGCTTAGGCGGCGCTACATCTTTGATGTAAGACCTAGACCTTGAACGATTTCATTTGGACTCCTATCTGAATTTCAACCTGATCTATACCCTGGGCTTATTCGATATCGCGTGTTGTCGACAAATCGTATCTTGACAAATACGTGGGCAAGGGCGCGCAAAAAAAAGATGTGATCCCTGACAAGGTAACAGCTGTCGCAATCAAACGGATATTAGAATCAGGATCACGCAAGAACCCCACGCCCTATACGCAGCTCTTCGCATTCACAGGCGGCCGATTGAGATGCGCATCCAATGAGACCGAATGGAAAGTCATTCAGCCAAGATTAACACAGTCTCTCCAGGGGCTGAATAGGCAGGTTCTGGCGTCTCGGGGACAGGCCGGCCCCGAAAGAGCCATTGTGTATGGGCATCCAATGGCCATGAACTGCTTGTTTTCCCCTCCTAAACGAAGGAGCAGCACTAGTTCGGCCCAACAATTTTTGACACTAACCTCTCCGGTAACTATGCCTCGTGGAAATCCGTCCTGGACTGATTGAGACAGAGCTAGCAGAGGCTTGAGAAAGCAATTTAGCTCTGCTATCGGCATGGGCGCGATGCTGTGCCAACGGGCATAGTTCATAGGACAGCTGTCAATCATTACAGGCTCAGCTCTGCCGGTTTTGCTGGTTCCTATTATTATGGCCTGCCGGACCAATTCAAGCTCGTCGTTCACAACTGGTATACCGGTTGTCAGGACTGAGCACTAGGTCTGCTTTGTAGTAGCAACCCGCAACTGTCATCAACCTTGTGAGGCCAGGAAAAATGGTCGCAACACAGAGGATGAGATGCAGGGATGGACACCTAACGGTCTGGCAACGGACACCGCCGGCTTCTGCAACAACCCTGCCTAAGCGTACTAAGGTTCTAGACTGAATGTTCAAACAAAGGAAATGGCATGAGCTGTAGGGTGGTATCGAATCTAAGGAACAACAATTAAGGAAAAAATTTACAAGCCCATGGAAGCCAAATGGGGCAACCCACATTTCCATCACTTTTTCATCGCGTTCTTGGGGGCTTGTAGCAACGCTAATCGCTCCGGTTTGCCTGGCGCACAGAGCTTGGCTCTTCCTTGGGGCCTGCTAAGCTGAGTCTGTGTGTTATTGATGCCAACACAAGGCACCGGGTGATCCAACGCTCACCATAGGACTATCGATGGTCGGAAAAGATGTAGTGATTGCAGGGCAGGCGGCGAGTTATTCGTAGGAGAGGACGGGACGCCATGAAAAGGTACAGGTACAGGTACCTCCAAGTGACCCGCCTTGAAGACCCAGACTTAGACTTACCACGCTTTTACCACGACCACAACCTCATCTGGGATCCACTTTCGACCAGGTCCCCGTCTCCGTCCATGCCCATGTCCGCATCCACGGGAAGATAATCGACTCCCTTCTTTTAATCTTTGATTACCTCCCTACCTCCCACTCTCCTTTTTGGTGAACCTCAACCTCCACCGTGAGAGTCGAACCGCCTGCTTCGCTTGGTCTGCATATCGACCCGAGTTTTCCGTTCTCTTTACCCCCCTCCTTAGGACGAAGTAGGCCAACCACTTTTTCTTGTCCTTTTTTCCCCCTCCTGTTTGCGCTGTGCCCGAGCCGACGCGAACATCCCTTTTTGCGCGTTAAGGTGGTGTCTTTTCGCCGACTACACCTGAATCTGAAAGCATCGATACCCTCGATATCGGAACGCAACGACCATGGAATCTAATGCGACCACGTTCACTTCGGTGTTGGCCAGCACCAAGCTTGGCAACGTCAACATCCCTCCCCAAATCGATTATGTTATCGAGAGGGTGACCAACGCCAGTGCCTGGACTATCTTCTTCACCCTGTTGGCCATCGCTGTCGCGTATGACCAGAGTAAGTCGCATATCCCTGGTGGCAGTAACAATGAGCCATATCTGACTCGGCGCAGTCAGTTACATCATGTCCAAGGGTACAATTGCCGGTCCCACCTTCAAGATGCCCTTTATCGGACCCTTCTTGGAATCCGTGAACCCCAAGTTTGAGGAATACAAGGCCAAATGGGCCAGCGGCCCTCTTAGCTGCGTCTCCGTCTTTCACAAGTTTGAACGCCCGATTCCCCTTGATTTTTCTGTATTAGCCTAACCGCCGTAGGTTCGTCGTTATCGCATCGACTCGTGACATGGCTCGCAAAGTCTTCAACTCCCCCGGATACGTAAAGCCCTGTGTCGTCGACGCTGCCCATAAACTTCTCGGACCTACCAACTGGGTCTTCCTCGACGGCAAGCCCCATGTCGATTTCCGCAAGGGCCTCAACGGCCTGTTCACTCGTCAAGCGCTGGCTTCTTACTTGCCCGGCCAGGAGCAGGTCTACAAGCAATACTTCCAGGAGTTTCTGCAAGCCACAAAAGATGCTGGAGGCAAGCCCGTTCCCTTCATGACTTACCTACGGGACCTTATGACTGCTGTGTCATGCCGCACCTTTGTCGGCTTCTATATCTCTGATGAGGCTGTTCGCAAAATCGCTGTCGATTACTTCCTCATCACTGAAGCTCTGGAGCTTGTCAACTTCCCAATCATCCTCCCCTTCACCAAGACTTGGTACGGAAAGAAGGCAGCCGACATGGTTATCGGCGAGTTTGCCAAGTGCGCCGCCAAGAGCAAGGTTCGTATGGCTGCTGGAGGTGACGTGACTTGCATCATGGACGCCTGGGTTAAGTCCATTCTCGACTCCAAGAAGTGGCGTGAGGCAGAGGCTGCTGGCTCGACTGAGGGCCTCGAGAAGCCCACCCCTCTTCTCCGCGAGTTCTCAGATTATGAGATTGCCCAGACGGTCTTCACCTTCCTCTTTGCCTCTCAGGATGCCACCAGCAGTGCCGCCACTTGGCTATTCCAGATCACCGCCCAGCGCCCCGACGTCCTTGATCGAGTTCGTGAGGAGAACCTGAAGGTCCGCAACGGCAACATTCATGCCGAGCTGAACATGGACCAGCTTGAATCTCTTACTTACACCCGCGCCGTAGTTCGTGAACTGCTCCGTTGGCGCCCTCCTGTCATCATGGTGCCGTATATGGCCAAGAAGCCTTTCCCGATTACCGACACATATACCGTTCCCAAGGGTGAGCCTTTTGTTTTGTGTTGTTTAAGCAATTATTAACACGACCCAGGTGCCATGATCATTCCTACCGTCTACCCCGCGCTTCGTGACCCTGAGGTGTATGACCGCCCTGACGAGTTCGACCCTGAACGATACTACACCGGTGATGCCGAGGTCAAGGGCGCAAAGAACTTCCTCGTCTTTGGTGTCGGACCTCACTACTGCCTCGGCCAGGTCTACGCGCAGCTAAACCTCGCTCTTATGATTGGCAAGGCCTCCGTTCTTATGGACTGGGAACATCATGCCACTCCGTTGTCTGAAGAGATCAAGGTTTTCGCGACCATTTTCCCTAAGGTATGTTGACAAGGCTAAACAGAGTTGAAATTGTCGGAATACTAACATATGTAGGATGACTGTCCTCTCACTTTCAAGGAGCGCACAGCATAGACTTTATATAAAGTTCTTTGTGAGGCTAGGCTATTGTAATGGGGTCTCGCCCAATGAAAGAAACGAGCGTGGTCGGCTGATTCTGCGGGATCTCCGCTAGCGCACCTATGAATGTCAGACGCCACCTAGAGGCTGACGAAACGGGAGTCCCGTAAAAGACATGTCGACATTGGTCGACTTCATTGTCCAGACTATAACTTATAATCAACGTTTGTATGTACATAATTTCACCGACATGACCTCGTGGCTGTATGATGATAGCACGTCGTGGATGTCCACAAGACATGGTTCATGGGGTTAGACGGTCAACCTGAATGACGATGGAGGGTAGACTCAGAATAGTCCAAATTTTAAAAGTTACACAACATACGCCCACCTGTGAGGCTATTGTTCTTCGTGCGCGAGAGGGAATTCAGCTGGACATGTTTTTCAGTGTAGCAGTTGGCAGTTGCCACGAGCAATAGCCTTAGTTGTGGATTATGGACGCGGTTGCCTAGTTTATAAGTGAGCCTGAGAATGTGGTTTGTAGCGAGTGCCTTTGTGTGAGACCGGTGTAGTTGGATGGCTCATCAGCTCCCGTCTGTTTAGCAAAAAGCCGATTTTGGATGAATAGGGCGGCCCCCTCCGCAAGTGACATCAGTAGGGAGGACAAGGTCCCTGACTACGCTAAGTTACCAGTTGTGCCTCAAGCGGGTGCTGTCACTGACTCTGGACCAATCGAAAGTACCCATTGGGAGCTTTCCACTCAAGACAGCTACCCACATTACCCATAGAGCCTACACACTACTTCCATTACACACCAGCCTGAATCGACCCTTGACATTGCTCAAGCAACTAACGACAAAGACATAATGTCGTCTACCAGGAAAGCCTGTTCGAACGCGCTCCGCGCGACGAGCCGCATCGCCGTGCCCCCGGCCCTTTCGAGGTCATGTTTCACTGCTGTCGCTACTTTAAGAGTCTTTAGACATGCATCCTGCACGGCATCCACCAGGAGCATGGCAATCGCTACCGCAACGAGGTTCTATTCCACCAAGTCAGACGGCGGTTACCACGAAATATCGGCGACGGGGAGCAAGCTTTGGAACTTTGGCCAGATGAGTGAGCTCGTAAAGAACCGCAACGGTGTTGTGATAATCGGTTAGTTATCTTTTGCGATGTCTCCCTCTCAAATCGCAACGCTATTGTCGGTGGTATTGCAACCGATGCTAATGGCAGCTGGTAGATTCCCGAGAACCCGGTGAACTTGAGCAGACTGGTCGCATCCCTACGGCCATTAACATTCCCGTCGCAACAGCGCCTCAGAGTTTTCATATGTCCGAAGAAGACTTCGAGGACCGCTATGGCTACCCACGCCCCGACAAAGAGCAGGAGCTGGTGATTTACTGCAAAGCTGGTGTGCGTAGCCGGGCACTGGCGACTCTTGCTAAGGAGGCTGGTTGGAAAAATGTTGGCGAATATCCCGGTAGTTGGCTAGACTGGGAAAAAAACGGCGGAGAGATTGAGAAAGGCGGCAAGGGGCCTGGCCAAGAGTAGGGGTAATTTTGATTATGAGCAGATGACCGTAACTAGGCTAGTTTAATGGAGGATCTAGGAAGCACATATCAGGACGCAACATGGCGACATGTCGGCACGAGGATAGACGACTGCATCCAATCATGATATTCGTTGTACAGTATTGGTACATGAAGTCTCCAGTCTGGTGGGAGACATTATGATGGCCATCCCAAAGTTCATACACAAACAACAGTATTTTCCTCCTCTCCCCTCTAGTTGCTCTACAAGAAAACATAGTAGGCAATCAATCTTTGAACGGGATATCAGAAGAAAGCAGGCTTAGGTGGTTGTCCTTCAGCAGGTGGCGCGGCAGCGGGGGGCTGGGCTGGAGGGCTCGCTACAGGGCTTCCGTGGGCGAAGAAGAGGATCTTGATGGCTAATGATAGGCCAAGGTGAAGGGCGACGACAATGACAAGCAGGATCTTGCTTGTTTGGTGGTCTGTCGCGCTAAGAACGGGATACAAGTTGCGTAGAAGGAAGGCGACGGAAAGGCCACAACCGACGGCGACAAAAACCCAGTTGAGGATGTTAATGGGCGACCAACTGATGAGGGCAACGGGGATCCAGATGAGATTGGCGTAGCCGTAAAGGGCCCAGCACTCGAGAAGATTGGCCGATTCGGAGCCAAAGTAGCGCAGAGCGAGGTACAGCCCTACAGGGACGAAGAGCGTGTAACCATATATGAGGCCGGCGGCACCTGCCGTGAAGTTCTTAGCATATTTGTACGTGGCAGATGGGGGGAATACGTTGTAAAGTGTGGAGACTTACCGCTTAGAAGCTTGAAGTCGTAGGCAAACGGTCCGGTACCGGTACTAGATAGGTACTGGCTGATTGTGCCGCCAAGGAAGAGAATCAGGACGACGGTCGTGGCAATCCAGAACGGGCCGTAGAGATCAGGGTTGCCCTCAAGAACATCAAGGAAGTTGGCACGCGGGAAAAGGGCAGCCCAGCAGCGGGAGAGAACGGCTGATGTATCGACATCGAAGTACTGGGCGTAAAAGTTTAGACTCCAGAGGAAGCGCTTGGAGGAGCCGGATGATGCTGTCGCCGGGGGAGGGAGGCCGGACGCGGGCGGTTTACGAGTTCCTGGAGTCGTATCTGCAAAATTGGAACTGTGAAATTCGAGATCATCCTGAAGATCCGTATGGCCGAGGTCACCCTGTAAAGTAATGGTCTGTTAGTTGACTATCGACCTGGTGAGCACAAGGGAGGTTACTGTACCTCATCGTCGACGTCCACGACGGCGTCATACCCAGAACCTGACATAGTTATGTCTTGACTACAGGACTTCTGTATTTCCTTTTTTTCTCTTTTATTAGGTGTGGCACGCAACTCGTTTTTCTTGCCAGCAGGAAGGTGGATGCAGTGGTCGGCGTCGTTGTTCGTGAGTTCCCGCCGTTGGTGGTGATACTGGAGAGCTGTACCTGACAAGGTGTCGTAATCCCACATATGCAACTTGGCCCCAAAGCTCTCCCTGCCAAGTGGCCCCACCAGGATTTAGCCCCTGTAACACATGTCGATTGCACTAGTATGGATAAATAACAACCTCGGTTTATGCATCACCATTTTACAATCATCAAGAGGCAGGAGCAGATGCACAGTTTCTGGTCGGCTTCACGAATGGGTCTGAGGCTCTGTGTATTTTTTTCTTCTACGGTGCTGATCTCCATTGTAAGTGACAATGAAGCAAGCCAGTCGCCATCCCGCATCCATCATAGTACGTTTTCATGCCCATTGGCATCTCCGTGCTGCACTCAGGACGCCCAAGCGCTCTCGCCATACGATTCAGCCTCCGATCGAGGACAGTCAAGGGGTGGCCATCCGGGTTTCTTATTTTGAGGCAGGGCGACCAATTCATTTTTATTCGAAGAACTGCTTGCCGGTGAAGTGTTATGCTACCACAAAGCCCGATGAATCAAGGAAATTTCTAATCCCTGCCATCCTCTCCAGAATGCCAGAACCCGTGACGCCGCATCCGTAATAAATCGTTTATTTGAGCTTCTTCTTGGGGCGGAGCTGGTTGGTGTGACCGCACTTGCGCTTTCTGCAGTTGGTCGCACGGGGAGGGAGACGAGCCTATGCAATTGTTAGATATTCGGCTGGGTGACTCGATCGAAGAACCACATACGTAGCACTTGCGGCAGATCATCTTGTCGCAGTTGAACTTGGAGGCCAGAGCCTTGAGCGAGGGCTCGATGATACCACCACGAAGGCGGAGGACCAGGTGGAGGGTGGACTCCTATTCAAAGTTGTCAGCTGCTGTCGCTTGCAATGATAAAGTGCCATTCTGGTGCCCTCATCCACAGATAACCGCCTCCTCTTTCCATGACAATGCGCTGTATCCACTGACCTTCTGGATGTTGTAGTCGGAGAGGGTGCGGCCGTCCTCAAGCTGCTTGCCAGCGAAGATCAAGCGCTGCTGGTCGGGGGGGATACCCTCCTTGTCCTGGATCTTGGACTTGACATTGTCGATCGTGTCGGAGGACTCGACCTCAAGGGTAATGGTCTTACCCGTCAGGGTCTTCACGAAACTAAAGCCATCATCATCGTCAGTCCATCGGCGTCTTCGGATCGTCGCAAGAGAGAGGTCGCGGGATTTTCGGGGTTTCTCACATCTGCACTACAGAGAAATCGTTAATATCATCTTTGATTGTGCAGCACGCGCCCTGACGGCCGTATGGGGGGGCTCTCTACTTACTTTTGCCGACCTTTCGCGAACTGGCTGTTGTTACCGAGAAGTTCTGGTGATCACGGCAAATAATTGGTGGGGCGGGCTTGAGAATGGTGTTCAGCGCGGGAAGTCTGAAAAATAGCCCTAATTAGGGCACGCGGGAAGTCACATGTGGGTGAAAGTGTGGTGGAGGCACCTACCCTGTGTAGCACTGTGGAAGTCGCTTCTCGCCCCGCACTTGCCGTGCCGATTGGGGCCACTTTATTATTCTATGATGTTTTCACTCCGTAAATACGGGTTTGGCATTCGGAAGACGACCAGAATGCCAAAGAAAGGCAAGTTGTGAAAGTGGAATTACTCGGTAGTATTTTTGTCCGTATAGGTGCAACTTAAAGTATATGGGTAATCCGAAGTCTCATCTAATCCCAAACTCCCATACAAAGCCTACGACTCTTTGATATCAAAGTAGTACTGCTTCATTCGTTCAATAGTACCTTATCATCAATGTATCTGTCTGTCATACAATTTGCGAGGATTGCTCGCCAATTGGATCCATGCTCATGCTCGTGCTTGAACGTTCTCGCCGCTCACTTGCCGCTCTGCGTTGCTCTCTTTGCCAGGCCACAATGTGTGTCTCGAGCATGTTGACGGCCCGCATCAGCATTGGGACCGACAGCCCTGCAAGTCGGGCTGCGAGCTGAAAGAAGTCCTTGCCTGCTTGAGGCAGGTCCTCCTCGGATTTGTATGAGTAATTCATGGCCTTTGGGATATTGGTGTCTCCCTGTCTTTTTTGGTACGTTGAACTAACGAAAGAGGTGGCCTGGGCTTGTATTCTGCATAATCTTTCCACAGTGTTGTTTTCCAGGTCCTCAAATAGTGGCTTACTGGACGGTAGCTGATCAGATGGGAAGTATTTTGCCAACATTATGTCCTCCGCTTCGTCATAGTTAGCTGTCAATGCTTTCTCATGAGGTTCTTGGCCGACTCACACTGCGCATCGTTGGATAGTGATAGCTGTGTAAAATACTCATCTAAATCTGCAGGCTCCATAGATGTGATCTGCGAAGCTGTGACACTCAAGTAATCATGTGTCAAGGTAGTCGGTTCGTTAGCCAAGGCTGGTGCCATAACATCCTGCCATTCTTCCCACTGGAAATTCGGTACCAAGAAGTAGTTGTTATCTTGGAGCATTGGCGTGGATTCCAACGGAAAGTATTGCATGGCGGTGAACACGACAGTGGCGATAAGGAGAATCTCGGGATGATGTATGAGTCGAAGACGCGATTTCCCCAGAGGAAATTCGTAGGAGAGATTCACAATAGGTGGTATCCTGCGAGCGATTGATATCGTCTCAACTGCTCCCGGTTAGTCCAAGGTGCCGTTAAGATATGTGAGCAACTCACCAGGTAAGCCCAGTTCCCGAACATATTGCAATGTCATCAGAACATCGTTGATAGGAGGGAATATCATGTTGTAGTTCGAATTGTATGACAGAGTAAGGCTTAGAACAGACTCGTGAAGTTCCCCATGGTCAAACCTAGCCAAATGTGCGGCCTTCAGTGAGGTCGAATGGTATGTTGGCAATCTGTCACGCATCTCTTGCGGAAGTTGTCGATACTAGGGATGGTTAGTGCCCTTGGAGCGCCTTTTATCATCTTACTTACGGCTTGCTTGTAAGGAATATTGCCTGCCCTAGCCCATCTAGCAAACTCACCAATCCTTGTAGGGATTCGGAGAAGTATGCACCCAAGAAAACAGAGTCCCAAAGTGTCTATCAGCCGCGGTACAGGCCACTCACTTCCATTTTCAGGCGCCCAGTTCTGTGCTTGCTTGGGACGGTTGGAGGGATGCTCATCCTGGGAGATATCGATCTGTGAACTGAATAGTGAAAGCTCAGCTTCCGAAGCTGAGTCGTTCTCGACGGCGGTTGCAGCCCCCCGCGTACGAAGATCCCAAAGGTCACGGACCACTGTTTCCAGCTCTGGTTTATGGCCTTTGAATGTGACCAGCCAATGGATCTGTTCCCTCAAGATGAGCTGAAGACATTCAAGGTACAGGTCTCGCGCCGGCTGGCCAGTGAGCACACGCTTCACACGCTCTTTGACCTGCTTCTCTTTTCGCGAAACCTTTCCCTTCTGGCCAAAGTCTTCGTCACCAAGATCAAATTCAACGTAGCCCTAGAGCGATTGTAAGCATTTGGTACTCTAGGCGTACGTAGCGTGAATTTACCTGAAGTTGGTGGCCTTCCTTTGCACAATACCTTAAGCCATTCTCAAGGTACCATTTCCGAGAACCGCAAAACTCACAACGTTCACCTTTTGGGAACTTGTGAAGTTCTCTATCTGGTGCCATGCCGTTGATGTCGGGTTTAGTAGGAAGACGTAACCATGGCAGAATCTTCACCCCATCAGCGAAATGTGGACAGTACTCAGCTATTAATGCTAGCCTAGCAAAAAGATTTCAGTATCCAGATGTGTGTCAAGTCTTCGCCAGGGTCGAGAATAATCAACATGGCAGCATTGAAAGTACAGCGGGTGCTAACAAAGCAGTAGATAAGTGAAGTTGTCTGAAAGGGATACCATCGCTGCGGGAGCAAACGGACCACCGGTGACACAGTGTCAACTATAACACTCACACAGTACAGAGTAATTCAATTCATCATCATTTCAAATTTATCTTTTATATGAGGTTTCATTCAAGACCCCAACCAGCTTAATACTTGATTGACACGCACACGCCGCTGTTAGATCTAGCACATGTCACATTTGCATCACGAAGATGATGGTCACCGTTGAACATAACGAAAAAGGGACCACGAGGTGGGGAAATGTGCCGCTTTTCTATCGGACAGATCTGTTGCCACCGCGAAGCTCTCCCAATTTTTTCACCTATCCCATTGCTAGTCTGATCGTCGTAAGAGTCTGTGAGACAGACAAAAACAAAGGAAAAAGTCGTGCGATGTCTTTGCAGTTGTCGAGTTCGCGTAACCAGTATCAAATCCTATCCAGATATACTCCTCTACGCAACGATCGACGGGGACATCGCTGATATTCGACGCGCCAAGAAATATCTGTTATGATATCCCCAGTCTGCCAACATCTGCCAACAAGGCAGCACGAAGTGAGCGCTTGTGGAAGTCGTTGTCTGCTGAAAATAGTAGAGAATTGCGGTGCTTAACCCTGGCGGGGAGCCTCCTTAGCCTCAACGGCAGCCTCCTCACCCATAGCAGTCAAGATAACGACGTCTGTAAACTCTTTGTCAGTGCTTTCAATTCTACAACACGTATTTAGAAAATCCTTACTGGTATCCTTCTCCTCAACCTTGAAGAGTCTGTTGATCTTGTCGCCAATCTCGCCGTCAGGGACACGGACATCGTCCTTGGTGTCACCGTCGTCGTTCATGAGGGAGAGGAAGCCATCGTCGGAGATATCAAGCTAGAGAAAAAGAGTATGTTAAGATTATGCTGACTGATTACCGAGGTTCGGAACATCACTTACGAGCTGGTACTCGCGGCGCTGGACGTTGGGGACGTCCATGTTGTGGGTAGAGGGGCAGAGATCCTCAAGCTTCTTGCCGGTGAAGATGTCGAGGGCAACCAAGTGAACCTTGGCGTGACCGTGCTTGCCAGTCTTGGAGGTAGACATGTCGACGATCTTGCAGGGGCGGCCCTTGATGACGACGTGACCGTTCTTCCTCAGAGCAGAGCACTGCATGGGGAAGGTGGCAGACGCGCCGGCGTCGGCGGAGTCGAAGGTGTGCTCATGCTACAAAACGCAAAATGTTAGCATGCTGCAATAGAGATCAAAATTCTTTTCAAAAATTGGGGTTGACGCAATGGAATTGTTGGTGTGATGTGAATAAGCCTCTATTCTGTGTGTGCGTGTGCTGTGCTGAGCCATGGTGCGTTGATGCAGCCGCGGGGCTCACCCAATGCGGGGTGGTTGTGGTGGTGGTTTTTTGCCCAAGCAATGGTGGCCATAGCAGCGCATGCGATCACCAAGATGACAGGAAAAGAGAGCTTGCGCATGTGCCTACTTACCTGAGAGTCGTCGGCCATTTTGAAGGATTGACTAAGAGAAGATGTCTAAAAATCGAAAACGGAGATGTCGACGGATCAAGGGCGATACCCAGCAAAGACGGCTGCTTTTATTTTTGAGGGGGAGAGAGTTGTGTAAGGAAGAGAAGCGGGCTGGAGGGGGGAACGGAGGGGAAAAAGAGGGAAGGCGAGGCGGGAGTAGATAATTTTTTTTCCTGGTTTTATTATTGGGTTTTTTTTGCTTAGGTCCAGATTCGCGCCCCTCCCCGACCTTTCTCAGGCGCTGTGTGGGACACTTGATAGTAAAAAAGGTGGAGTGTGGGTTTTCTTTTTTTTTTTTTTTTCATTGAAAATCTGCCTGCCCCTTCCCTGAGTCCTCGGGCGGCCTTCAAGCGACCCTTGGGCCCCTGGAACCCAAGTAGGTAGGCTCGTCGCTGCCCGCCCACAGTCGTTCGTCGCAGGCACATTCCCTTGAAAAGGTACTGGCACTGGCAATCCAAGCGGGGTGGAGGTACCTCCCATAACTCTCTTTCCTTGCCTGACACTGAAGGCCTTATGCAAGACACGAGTTACGGCGGTCAAAGGCATGAGAGTAGTGAATTATTTCGCCTGGGGGTCAGTGATCAAGTAGTACGGCATAGCAGTGGATGGGAAGGAAGCTCCAGCTTCCGTGGCGACTCTTGAGTCCTTTTTGGCGCTAATGCCGCCTGACTTCTTCCAACCACTGGCCAGCCACCCAGCGTACCCTGACCTCCATGCCCCGAAGGGAGGGGATTTGCTCGGTATGTATTCAAATTCCTACCAAAAGAAGATGTTGTCGTCGTCCCTGACGATGCCTCGCATGTTTCCCGCCAAAAGGGGACACACTTCTATCTTTTTGAAGAAAGGAGACCAATGGTTCGAAAACACTAGGTACCACACAACAAATTCGCATCCATATGCCTGTCCTTTTCCTAAGACAGTACACCTGATGGCAGCCGACTTACCCCTCAGGTAAACTCGGACATGGTTGATTGCCTGAAGACTGTCACTGATTCTGCATAACATGTGTGCAGCTCTCTTCACTCGGATACGCACCTCCAATGCGCCAATGGTTTGTTTCGGCGCCAGTACAAGACTTGCCCCGCACGTTTGCTTGTCGTCCGCCTCTCAAAACACTGCCCCGCACTTTGCACTCTGCCTAAAAAACATGAACATCCGAGCCCCTGCTGCGCCACAGAAAGTAAAGAAGTACGTATTAGTGGCTGACAGATGTCGTCTTCCTTCTGTCCAATCAGAACACATTACCTTCCAGGAGGCCATCCAGCCTCGCCTGCTCCGATCAGCATCACAGGTCAACGTAGCCGGAATAAGACAGCTTTCGCCTACCAATTCACCACCCATCGATCAAAACCTCGATGGCACGGTGCCTAACCCTACCGAATAAACTGCTTCGTAGCCTTTCCTCACCACAATCCCATCATGTGGCTTGATCGGCTTGCAGGGCAGCCGAACCCATCACCGTCCTCGTCGCAGCCTGGCAGCCGTCCCTACTCTCCTCTGCCGCGACGAGCATCCAACAGTCCCTATGTTACTTCTCAGAGGCCGGGAGTGACACCAAGAGGGTCAAATTTATCCCTCGTCTCTAACGATTCTTCGACCTCTTTTCTCGCCGCTCGCAAGGTCAATGGTTCTGGCCTCAAGCAGTCCCAAACGACATATGATGGGCCCGACTCGGTCGAGATCTTAACCCGGATTTTAGATACTATATCACCCTCAAGCACTACTACGATACGCTCGGAACCAAAAATAAGCGAAAATGATTTGGAAATGGCATTTGATTTCGAGGGATTGAGCCTCCGAGAGCTGGCAAGCTCCGAGAGCTCGGTTACAGATGGTACGGATGGTTATCGACGGCAGACCGCAGAAGAATGTACGGCTCCTACTTGATATCATCGACCGGTTTCAAATATGCTGATTTACCGACATAGTTGAAACTAGCAAGGCCCAGTTTGAAGACTTGCATAGATCCATCGCAGCATGCGACGGCGTCCTCAGCTCTGTTGAGACCAACTTGACTAGTTTCCGCAACGATCTTGCGACAGTCTCTGCGGATATAGAAACTCTGCAATCTCGATCCACAGCACTCAATGTCCGCCTCGAAAATCGAAAGGCTGTCGAAAAAGCATTTGGACCGGTTGTGGAAGAACTCAGTGTTTCTCCCCATGTCGTATCCAAAATCGCAGAGGGTCATATTGATGAGGCCTGGGTCAAGATGTTGGCAGAGGTAGACAAACGGGCAACAGCATACAAGAATAATACAGCCAGCCCAGAGAAGAGCAAAGCTTGGGCTGATCTCGGTCCATTGTTGGAAAAGCTTACAATGAAGGCCATTGAACGAATAAGGGACTTCATTGTGGCCCAGATTAAAGCGCTACGGTCTCCTCACATCAATGCTCAAATCATCCAACAACAGAACTTTCTGAAGTTCAAGGAGCTTTACGCTTTCCTTCACAAGCACCATTCCAAGCTTGCCGAAGAGATTAGCCAGGCTTACATGAACACAATGAGATGGTACTACGCTAACCAATTTGCTCGATATCAAAAGGCATTAGAAAAGCTCAAGTTGCACATTCTTGACAAGAATGATGTTCTTGGTCACGAAGAACCGTCACGAAGAGCAACTGTGCTATCTGCTACCAAACCAGTTGGCCCGCCGCATGATGCCTTTAACTTAGGACGTCGCATCGACCTACTAAAAACGAGCGACCAATCCGCCATCTCTTCTTATTTAGCCGAGGAAGATCAAACTACACACTATCTCGAAGTTCCTTTCAGAAACTTCAACTTAGCATTAATTGATAATGCAACTGCAGAGTATACCTTCTTGGCAGCCTACTTTTCGCCCCCGCTTTCGTTAGCAGCGGTGTCGCGGCAGTTTAACTACATTTTCGAGCCAGCATTTGCGTTGGGTCGGACACTGACCAAGACTCTGATTACTGATACCTACGATGCGTTGGGTCTACTGCTATGCATTCGGCTGAACCAGCATCTGGCCTTTGAGCTGCAGAGGCGCAAGATCCCCGCCGTGGATGGTTATATCAACATGACAACCATGCTTTTGTGGCCGAGGCTACAGGTTGTCATGGACTATCACTGCGAGTCTGTACGACAACTCACCAACTCTCTACCAACGAAAGCTAGGGCTGCGGATCAGAACAGGCTGTCTGCAGCACCCCACCTCGTTACACAGCGATTCGGCCAAATTTTGCAAGGTGTTCTGGCGCTTAGTGGCGAGGCAGGAGATGACGAGCCCGTGGTTACTAGTCTACGTCGATTGCGTTCAGAGGCGGAAGCTTTTCTGACCCGCTACAGTCAGTCTTTTGGCGACAAGCGCAAGCGTGAGCGATTTTTGTACAACAACTACTCGCTGACTTCAACCATCATCAGCGATGTTAACGGGAAGCTGGCAACAGAACAGCAGGAGCATTTCGAGGAACTCAAGTCAGCGTTCCAGGAGGGTGCTTGAACCACAGACGGATATCTTCTGGTGTAGGCGCGGCGTCGGATGCTCTTTTGGAATGGGATATCATGCAAGCGGTAGCGCTCTTTTCTGCTGTCACAAGGCTCTGAATTAATGCGAGACACCTTTCTCTCGTATCTTGCGGTTCCAAAATCCAGACTTCACCCAGCTCTGCCTAGAAAGTATATGTCCAACTTGTACCGTTTGTCCACTTTGTCCATAGTACGGCCAGTTGCGCTACCGGGTTGGGATTCCGGCTTAGATACACTGCCACAAGGCTAACGACAGCAGCAAAACCCACTGTAATGGCGCCCTTTCTGTATGCCCAAATTACCCTCATGATCTTTTGCCGGCGCTCCAGAGAACGGAGCTCGGCAAGTTGTTTTTGAAAGTATACATGCCCATCATCCATCGTCTGCTTCACGCATAACTCAACGGAGCGAGCTGTCTTGAGGGAACTCGCTTTAGATATAGAGCGCCAAGCGGGCAGAGTATCAGGTGGGTACCGCTCGTAGAGTGCTGCGGTGTTCGAGATTAATGCTTCAATATCCATCGTTTGAGGGACTTTAGAAAGGATAAGGTGCAACATAGACGGGTCGTCCTCATCGTTGTCAAAGAGCTCACCCCGCCGGTCTAGGACTATTTGGGCGAACATATAAACACTGAAGACCGGCTCGCGAGTAAGGAGGATGTCGAACAAACGGGCAATGTCACCATATGCCTGGATGTCGTGAGCGTACATTGTCAGCGTTCCCGCTAGGGCGTAGAAGGGCTCGGTGCCGGAGAGGTGCTTTTTTAATTTTGGATCTGCCGCATTAAGAATATCAGGTATCAAACGGAGCTGCGCAATAGTCGGTTCAAGGTTGGTGAGCATGAAGTCACGTATGCGGAGAACCGAGAGGCGCGAGACGAGGCGAGCACGCCAGGGTGACTTGAGGACTAGCAAGAAAACCTGGCAGATGTCATGGTAGCCCTGAAAGTAGCATAGGTATGGGTATCGTCGGAGGACCTCGATTATTAGGTCGGAGAGCTCGCTCTTATTTTTCTCAAGTTCTGCGTCGGACTGGTCTGAAAAACTTAGCTCGGTTCATTCACTCGTCTGGTACTGAAATATGAGTTTCTTACGGTTGGGATAATAGATGAAAGCCCTGTTGACATCGAGTTGGACCTGTTCCTCATCCCTGTGACGCGGAAGGTCTTTCCATGGGATCTTCTCGTCTATGCCGGTCGTGCTAACACCATTGAAGTCTTCGTTGCCCGTGAAGCCGAGGAGGATTGGCCCTGCCGCCCAAGATAGGTTGTTAGTTTAGTTGAACTTGTAGGACCTGGGCGCGTAGTAACCGGCGCGTTTGGAACTAACATGCTCGCCGACGCAAACTATCAGTGATAAAACCGCCTCTAGTTCTGGCCAGGGCCTTGAGGGCCTCGATGTTTCGCCACTCGCAGGCGTCGAGGATCTCGATCGTCTTGCGATGGGAGTAGTCGCTCTCTTCGTCAGTTGTATTGGTGCCCATGGAGTCGAAAGGTTGAGGAGCTTGAACTGTCCGAGTAACCAGTTGATTAGTTTCCGTAGTTCCGCTTCGCCAGCGAGCGATATTGTGTTATGAATCTTGTGTGGTCGATGGGGACGCTCTTTCTGGGAACAAAGTGTTCATCGTGTAGCGTGAGTGTGGTAAACTACTTTCTGAGGCTGCAAAACTGGGTGCCACCGATTTTTTTTTTCTTCTTCTTCTTCTCGGTGAGGGGACAGCCCAAATCCAGACGATCTTGGCAAGATCAACTGGAAATGGGACAAGTTTTCAGCGGTATGAGCTTGGGGTCAATATGAGGAACTGCTCGGCCGATGAGTTGCAAAGAGTAGCGAACGGAACCGTAATAAGAGCAGGGAAACTGGAGTCAAAGCTACCACAATGACGGAGCATCTCCACTGCGGATCTCTGTCGCACAACGGGTATGCGCTACTGGGCTGCCTCATAGGGGAACTGTGGCATCGTATTGGGCGTCCAAGGCCCCCCAACGACATTGGGACGGGATGCACAAGCTAGTCAGCCAACCTTAGGTAAGCCAACTAACATTCAGGGCTCCCAATAGGTTCACGGGTACCCGTGCGTGTAAAATTTCACGGGTACCCGTGGAAATGACTAAGCAACTCTGATATGGGGCTCATGAGCCAATGAGAGGCACGGCCTGCATCAAACTTATCCGGAAAGTTTACGACTTTACTACGATGCACTCTTCGGGCTTACTACCAGCGTATAACGCCTCCTGCTCTGCCTTATCTTGCTCGACTCGTTTCCAGACTTCGCTCATACCTCTCTCACTGTTTTTAAAGGGGTTTTGTCCATCTTCCGCAATAATCAGCTCATCGACCCGTTTGTGTTCAGCCCTATCCCAGTCCAGATAAGCCATCATCTCCTCCTTCGTCTAATCCCTTGACCCGTGTGAGGTAGTGCAGCGTCCTTTCATCTGCTTATAGTCAAGACACCACTCATAACACTTTTTGTCATAACGTAGCGGAAGTCCCATTGCCCTTCGATACTCCTGGTTTGTTTTGATACTCCCACGAGGTTAAGCACCGTACCAGGCGCTTCTTGCTGCACAGTACCGTCCGTATATCGCCTAAGGTAAATCGTATCCTAGCAGCGAAGGTGAATGCGAATGCGCAAATGGTGATAATACCCGAGGTGGTGATATACTGGTCTCTACCACTATAGCAATAGTCGGTTGAACCAACTCTGGTACGTCCTGCACGGCGTTTGAAGGAGGTTCTTGTGTATCTGTCGTCGTCCCGGTAAATATCGCAGTTGATACTGTAGCTAGATCTGGAGTAGGTGTCGGTTCAGGCAATAAATGCGTGTATCGCAGAGGGCACGCCTTTGAAGTCATAGTATGGCCAACTGTATGATACCTACTGCATTTGCTTGGGGCCCGTGAAGCAACTTCAACAACTTCGAACCCGCTAGGCTCTCGTCTAGTGCTTGATTTGGGAATACTGGGATTCTCTAATTGCAACCTGGGCTCTATGCGCTGGCGAGGCTCCAGCAATAGCTGCGGCGCTCTATCACGCCTCAAATGCCAATGTGCATGGAAGTGCTCACGTAGAAGAACAAGATTCTGTTCTTGTAAAGTCTTTAATTTGTGTAAGCATGGGAGACCATATACTCGAGAAAACGTCCCCGTACAGGCTGTGGAAGGATTTGTGTCTTTCTTCGTGAGCAGCTTCCGTTGCTCTTCTACTTTGCGCAAGGCTTCATGCGATACCCAGCCAAGCACTACGCCGTACATTAACCCTGAAAGCTCAACTAGTATCCGTATTTGCTGTTTAACTTGATTTGACTTTAGATCCGATAGCTGATTTAGTAAAGCATGCTTCATTGCTTGCTAAGCTTTAAAAAGGTCTAATATGGATCGTTTCAAGTGCGATTTAAGTAGTGCATGAATACCCTCAACTCGCGAAGTAGCTATATTGCCAAAATAGGTATGCTGATCGACCTAGGCTTTCACTAGCTTCTCCTTGTATGGTTTCAACCAAACGGACGTAACATAGCCGACTTCTTCGAGATAGTCTAGAAGATAGCGTTCCTCAAACTAGGAAACGCGCTCCTCAAAAACCACCTCAGATGGCAAGCTGATGATCGAATGCCAGGAGTTATAGAATTCTTCCCAGCTCTGAGTTGAAGGTTTGAGCGCTGCAGGATTGTTGACTGTCTTTGGCTTAGTAGAGTCAAAAGCTGGATTACAATGTTGAAGAACGGCCTTGTTCGCATGCCAGAGGCAAAGCAAAGATGCAGAAGAGGGGAAGATGGTTGCAACAGCGTTAATGCATGCTAAGCAGCGATCTGTGAGGATAACCGCAGGTAGGCTAGCGTTGCACTGACTATACAAGGATTTGACCCGCTCCAAAGCCCAGGTATAGTCATCTTCTGCCTCGCCGCTAAGAAATGCAAACGCAATACAGAACGACCGTTAGCAAGCATCGACGCCAACTATATCAAGAAGTGGCATACCATACTTATTAGTCTTATAGGTACAGTCTAGTAACATGATGTCTAGGTAGGCTTGGAGAAGGGCTAAGGAATCTGGATGAGCGAACAAGACAGCCGTAACTCGGCCATCTGGTGCAAACTGCATGCGACTCCAGAAGCCTTCCTCATCAAGTTGATTAGCAAGTGCATGGATCGAGGTCTGCCCTTCACGAACATCTCGTTTAGCGGCTACAATATGATTGTAGATATCCTGCTAGGTCGCTATAGAGTCTGTCGTTTGTCGTATGTATGTTCTGATGTCCCTGGGTGCGACGCTAGCGTTTGAAAGACCGGCTACCTTGGCTTGATCCTCCTCAGATAGCTTGCGATGCGTTGGGTGAGCAGACGGATGTTGGCTTGGGGGATGATTATGAGAAGAAAAACGCTTATCGGGCCGGTGTCTCAAGCTCCATGTGCTCTTATCTAAAGATTCCTTAGCAAGGACGGAAAATTGACAACCAGTCCCCCTACTAGTAGTTTGCCTTTGCCGCGCTATTGATATGCTTGGCGGATGACACGACCTATCGCATGAATATGTAATCGTCCGTCGTCCGCTTTTCTCCTTTGTTGATCTCCCGGTAGTGAATGCGTATCCCTTTGTCGCCGCCCAGTTGTTGATTGACATAAAAAGCTCATCGCGAGATTTATGATCGCTTTCAGGGGGGAGACTGTCGTCTGGGAATGTGAGTATTGAGTCTTTGAGAGCTATTTCCATTTTTAAGAATATATGACTGAAGTGCTGGATGCAAATAACGCGTGAAAGGTGTATGACACAAGACGCGTTCATTGACGTGGGCAGGTTGCTTAGTCATTTCCACGGGTACCCGTGAAATTTTACACGCACGGGTACCCGTGAACCTATTGGGAGCCAACATTCAGCGTTGATTGTCAGCATCAAACGTGAAGTCACCAAGCAGCCTATTGGAGCTGAATACAACTGTACTCCCAGTCGATGACAAAAACGAAACTTTCGTAAGAACAAACTACGCCAACTGTAGTATTACGTGCACAGGCCAAAAACACGGTCATGTTCCCCCTACTCTACATCTCCTGTAACCTAATCAGGCATAGGTATCCGCTGCAACCTGTGGCTTAATTACCAGTCCTGACGACGAAGTTCCCAACATGTTGGCTGAGACCGAGATCACAGATGTACAGGAGTTGACAGGTCATAAAATCCAGATCTGACATGAAATACTTGGCATGATGCGGCCCTGCTGGGTTTGCCATCTTCAGCTTTGTTCACATCTCTAGTCATTTCTGGATCTCAATTGGTAAAACCACGAATTCACTATTCAGTTCCACAGGATATGATTGCGAATTGCCAGTCGGTCTTGGGCGCTTAAACCGACTTACCGCACGATTTGTGCGCTGCGAGGTTGAATTGGTGTTACGCACAACCTGTCGGGTTTTTATGCCGGGCGGATTGAGGTCCATGATACGAAACATAACATCTAGAAGCTCTCACAACAGTAGACCTTCCTAGCCGATCCCAAGATTACCAGGTTGAGCCAGACATTGAGAATGGAGATTTAAATCGAAGGCTGGGCCTGCACGTCATGCGGGCTGTCAAGGGAGGATGGCAAGCTGTTTTCCCGGCTTTCCTGTCTTGGTCATGTTGCAAGGAGGCGAACATTATAATAGTGATTTGCTCTCAATCGTCTATTTGGCACCAGGGGGAAGGCACTACTTCTGTCGGCAAAATTGTCCAGACGGAAGCTGACTGGCTCAGATGGAGAGACATGTTGGTCGCAAGCTGCAAGGCCAGATGTCGGTGTCTACTTATCTCAGGGCATCCTGTTGGCCAGACAGGTGGAAGGTAAATGTGCCGTTCGACAAGCTTTTGTGTTCGGTTGACTCCCTTTAAGCGGCAGAAGCAACACAAATTACGACGGAGTGATCATTTTCCAACCAGGCTCCAAATTACATAGCATTGTAAGACAGGGAACACTGCTTGAAGTTCTTCTACGACTTGCCCCTCCTTGTTCTCAAGGACTTACAAATGTGCAGTCGGGGCTCACTCCGACTTGGGTCCGTTGCGGCCCGTCTACCGCTGCAAAATAGGACTGGTTGGTTGTTCCGCAACCTGGGAGACAAGCCTAGGGGTTCGGCGCTCCATCTACGTGCATATGACACGCGAGGTGGTATCGTTGTCATTGTCACTGGATATCGCCGTTCTTATTCTGCAGGCGAAAATTGAGAGGACGAGTTGCTGGCACAGGGGTAGCATCTAACATGACCACTCAGCCATACGGGATGGCGGACAGACCCCTAGACCCACAGCCATCTCGAGCTTTTAGCGCCAGGAAGCGCCCTCCATCAGTGACTACATAGGTGGACCTGGAGCAAGTGAAGCACAATCTGACAGGCTTCTTCAGCGGCCGTCCGTGACACCCAGACCCTCCCGCCACTTTGATTATGTCGCGTAAGGATAAGGTGGGTTTACCTTAGTGTACCATCTCCCTTGCCTTGGTTTGCTGTTGCCCTGTTGCCCACTTGAACAAGCAGGTTGCTCCAAAGCAGAGACTTCACCACCGCCCTGCCATTTCACGGTCCAGGTGTTCCGTCACAGTGGGGCGCCGCGTCGAGACGCACATCATAAGGTGCAGGCAGGGTAGGTAGCCATAACAGTCCAGGTTACTTGGCCAAGATGGGAACCTCTCGCGACCCTAAGATGCCAGGCCTGCTTGCTTTGGCTCCACCTCATGGCAGCCTGTCCTACCTGCAAGGCGAGGACCTTCCGGCTTACGAGCCTGCTGACAATGGAATGTTGGTCTTCCTCTTTGGGCCCCTCATTGGAGCGAAGAGGGGTAGGTAGTCGAGTGTGCAGCGGCAGTGGATACGATAGGACGATGAGGTGCCTGCTATGTATGGCAGGAGGACTGCTGTCAAAATTGATGGCTTTAATACTGGCCACCACCCACCTTGGGCTTGCGTTACCCTTACCTGACTGACAGTGAGTGTGGTCTGCTCTTAGAAACGTGGGGCCCCACCAAGTTACTCTTAAACCAACCTCTGCTCCGCTGTCCCAACCTTCGGCTCGACTGTCTACCTACCTACATCACCAACTTGTTTTTTCTTCTGCTCTACTCTGCCTGGCGAATACTTCAAAGTCCCTCGGCCGTGGCAGGACTGTTTTCGTCTTCCACTCGTACGGCCGGTAGGACAATATTGCTTGCTCTGTGTCGGCTTGGAGACGCTCCCGAGAGAAGTCGGCACTTCAGTTGACTGCCCCTTCAACCACCAGCCTGTGCCACCCCGAAATATCCATCTCCCGCATTGCGCTTCCCACGGCGTCTGTATCCTTCCCCTCTCGCCATCTCACAACCTCGCACAATCATGTTCACCTAACATGATCTGTCGAAATGGCTCTTCAGACGAACGTATTTAGGAATGGGGAGTGGGTAACACAAACTGTCGACCTCAAAGCCGTTCTGAAGGGCTCAACCGCCGCTGCCTTACCCGCCGCCCCTCCACCTCCTACCCCACCAGACTGTGGTATTTTGACCAGGACCATCATTGAAAGTCCTGTTTCTCGTTGGGTGTTGCCTGCTCTTTTGAGGTCGGCTCATCACAACGATGTTGCCTTTGTCGGCGTAAGTATATTGCTTCCGCCTTATGCCCGCTTGTACCTAGTCCCGGACCATGGATCGAATCTAGCTCCAGTTACCCCAAGGCCCCCTTGTCAGTTCGGCAACCATCAACCGCTAACCTTTCTAGGACCGCTATGTGAGTATCAGTGAGTTGCGGAAAGATGGACAGCTCCAAGAGGTGCTTCGGAAGAGCGACTTTGGTTGCCGCATCCGAAATGCTTGTGTCATTGGAAACAAGTATGAGCGCTTCCGCGTCTCTGCCGATGATGCTGGTGTTGACCACATTAAGAGCGAAGATGAAGACGACGACACTCAAATGGCCGACTTCGCCTTTGCTTCTGGCCCTAGTGGACATCATGGGCTATTGCCGCCGCACCTATTACTTCTTGTTCTTGAATCTGGCACCTTTGTGTTTCTTTTCATCAGGAAAGACCTTCATGGCAAGCTGGAGTTTGTTGCTTCACCCTTTCACAACCCTGCGAGGAGGCTGGGTCATCATCTGGGCTTTCATGTGGCTGTGGATCCTAGGTCTCGCTACATTGCCGTCGCGGACGCCCAGAACAAATTTGTTGTTTATGAACTCGAATCGATGGAATCTTTGAGTGACCAGTACATGCGCCAAAAGTCTATTACTCCGATCAAGGCACACCACCCTCGCGCAGTCCAAGGAACGATCCTCAAAATGGAGTTTCTCTACCCTCGGCCGGAAGATCAATACCATGTCATTCTTCTTATTATCCTTGTCAAAGGTGACAAGTCAAAGATGGTCATTTACGAATGGGAGCGTGGAGATGATCTGGGGCAAGTGTTTGCCGAAGAGAAACGTGGTCATCGTATACGACCGGAGCATCGCATGCCGCTGCTGGTTATTCCCCTGACAGTTAGAAGTTCATTTCTCGTGGTATCTGAGAACGCCTTCGGCATCTGCAAGGATCCTTTGCAGGGACCACCTGATATTGAGAACCATTACCCTTTCGACCCGAAAGACCATCCTACAACACGCTTTCACCATGGGACTGGTGTACCGCTCTGGACAGCCTGGGATAGACCTGTACGAAGGCGAGGCTACTACGATACGAATGACCATATCTACCTGGCTCGAGAGGACGGGGTGATTGTTTACTTCGAATTCAACTCTTCAGATGTCCTTGGCGTTTCCATGAATGTGGGCGAATGCGATTGCAACATTTCCAGCGCCTTCACCACAATGTACGATGCGTACTCCGACTTTGCCATAGTTGCAGGAGACTCCGGCCCTGGCATGGTTTTCCAGGTGTGTATTCGCAAAGGCCTCGTCAACGGGTGAAGTCTAATATATTTCAACAGCTCAAACCTAGACAAAGTATCGTCCAACTTGGGCCCATTCCGAACTGGGCCTGTTCTGTCGACTTTACAACCACAGATGACCTTTCATCTTGGAAATCTGATGCTGGACGCCGAGGCAAGTCGAACGTACAGTGGTCAGAACGCACGATGGATTATGCAACAGCCCCGGACAAAATTCTATGTGCATCCGGAAATCATCCGCAAGGCAGTATAACTGAATTACGCTACGGACTTCCAGCCAATATTATCACGTACTTTGAAACACTTCCTACGAAGAAGGTCTGGATTTTCCAAACCTCTAATCCTAGTTGGCCGTTCCAGATGCTTATGACCAGCCCTGGAACGTCTGATGTCTTGCTCGTATCATCAGATCTCTCACAGGCAGAGATGGCGGAGCCTGCCGCGACGCAACTCGACACGATGTCCCGGACGTTAGCAGCAGCCCAAGGACCTGACGGCACTGTTGCCCAAGTTTCTGAAAATTTCATCACCATCACAAGCTCAAGTCAAAGGTAAGCAAGCCTTGATCCAATCTACTAGTGTCCGAGGTTTCTCACCATACTGACAATTCACAGTGCAAAGCATGCATACAGTGACTTTCCGGACCTTGATGGCGTGGTTGAGCACGCGGCTGTGAGAGGTAATTGTGTGTGCGTATCAATCTTCGCAGATTCTCGCTTCAAGATCCATGTTTTCCGCACCGACAACACTGCGGTTTCTCTCACGCAGACCTACTCTGTTGATGGTGAAGTCACATGCCTTACACTTTGCTGCATAGGCGGGCAAGAATGCATCATTGCAGGCTTGTGGCGGTACAACAGTCCCTGGCTAGCTATATATGCGGCAAAAGGACAAGAAGAGATGCCTGTGTTAATACGGCTGGACATCGGTACGTGAAATTACATGCCTAACAAAATATCATAACGCTAACAGAACGGCCATCAGACGAAGAAGTTGCTGCTGCGGACCAAGCAGATGCGATGGATATTTCACCAACCATCGAACTTGTCAACACTATTGTGGTAGTGATTGAATCTACATCAAAGACAAGCTTGGCTCTAGGATCTCGAAGTGGTCATCTAATAACGGTACAATTAGACGGCGCCCCACCCTTTAATCGGGTTATTTGCAGGGAGAGGCTGGGCACCGTTGCCGCAGAAGTGTTCCCCGTTGATTCGCCTGGTCTCCTTGGATCTATCTTGGTCTGTTGCAATGATGCCTTGCTACTTTTGCGAGATTTTGAGGACAAGAGACCTGGGCGTTTTGCTACTAGACATCGCGTCTGGGTGACCGATCTGAAAGATCCAGCCACAGCATCAGTTCCCGTCATCTCGGCCTCCAGCATACCAAGCGACCAAAGTAACGCTAACCGTATACCATTGGTGCTTCTTTCTGGTGCGCGCATTTCATTCACAGAGCTGTATCTTCAAAGCGGTCCAGTTCCCAGACGGCTGCCGCTGCAGGGAACGCCGGGAAAAGTTCTCTATTCTAAGACATTGCAATGTCTAGTTGTTGCGCTACAGATTGGAGATCAGCCAAACATCATGTTCATGGATTCTGACACGGGCGAGGATATCTCATTTCCTCTTGACAGAAGCGGGAACCCCACAACGTTTATTAACGGCCTGGGAGGTCACGGTGATAGGATTCTCGGGATATACGAATGGTTGTTTACTCAAGCCGGCATGACTTTCCACTATCTGATTGTCACCACAAAAGGAGGACGCCTTGTACTGGTTTCTCCCACGAAGGAAGACGTTCGGGACTCCGATGGGCACAAGCGACGAAGAATTCGTTATTCTACGCGGTACAAATGGAGAGAGACGACGCCAATATGCTCTGTTGTCGGGGACGACCAAGGTATTGTTTACTGCGCTGGTAAGATGCTTCATTGGGAAGTCCTCGACACATCGGAAAAGAAGCTGGTCAGGAAGAAGAGCTATGAACTCAATTCACCTGCTCTCTCACTGCGGATAGTGAACGGCAAAATCTGTGCGCTTACCTTGAGCGACTCTATGGTGGTTATAGACCATAAATCCGATCATCAGGACGATGAGATGGAGCTTATTCATACGGATCAAGCTACACGAAAATCAAACGATCTGTTCGATGTGGGCGATTGCACAGACGGGCCACTGGCATGGCCCGTGACTCTACTCTGCGGTATGAACCGTGATTTCGCAGCAGTTTGGGTTCCCTGGCGGCAAAGGCATAAAGAGTTGGAACTCGTTGCTGAAGGGTCACTTCCCGTCAGTGTCAGAAAACTTGGGCGTGGACACGTGCGGCCTGCATGGTTAGCGACAGAGCATGTCCCACGATATGGAAGAATATCCAGCACAGTGGATGGAGCTGAGGTTCTGGGCATGTGTCTCGATGGGACGGTGCTGCATTTTAGCCTGCTCAATGTGCAAGTATGGCGATTTCTACGGCTTGTTCAGAACCTTGCTTCGAGGAGTCACCTGCTATTTCCCTATAGTTACGAGGTATCACTCTTGGACGATGAGGAGTACGATGCAGAGGCCAAGGAGACACCCAAGTCGATGAAGCACATAGATGGAGACCTGCTGCAGCGATGCGTTGAAATGCGAGCATTGGAGAGGCTCATTTCGGAAGATAGCGACGTTGACCTCCTGCGCGAGTACTTAGACTACTTGGATGATGGAAGGTGGACGGCATCTTTCCAAGACGCCAACGACGTTTCGAGGTACTTCGACTTGGCGTACGATATCCTAGACTATTACCTAGCCCCTGTTCTCTAAGTACCTGGGGGAGACGCATGCCAGACAAGGCAGGGAGCAGGTATTAGCGCAAACTTGACCGACGACCGAATAAATTTTTCACTCCTTGATTGCCAAACAAGCGGAAGGAACAGGACAGAGATCGCGGCCGACACACGAGCTTGGGGTGTTGGATTGTGTAATAGTCAATGTCACATCTCACAAATGGTTACCTAAGTGAGTTTCTATATTTTACAGGATGCAGTTTACATAACCTAAGTTGTGCGGAGATCGGCTACATCGATTTGACGGTGAATCATGACAAACAACAAATTTTCGTTTTCGTATAGAACGCGTCGATATCGATTCTACGTGAGCTTTGGTGAGACTATTGTGTTTCCCCTCTCTGCCTTATGTCGTGGCCAGAGTATAGTCGAACCTTGATGGGCAGAACAAGAAGATAAATAATGAACCGTCAAATATGTGTGTGCGGCGGTGCAGTGGCTGGGACAACTTGGCCTCACAAATCGTGGTTTGCCCTATCTCCGAAAGGCGAGCTTTTTTTTTTCTTGTTTTAGGTCAGGTACCTACTCAGGCCGCTGCGCGTGGCTGACTGCCTGTATTAGAGCAGATATAAACCGAATTACGATACTGTAGATGAGATTGAACTTCTAGTGCTTTCATAGCTCAACACCCAAGATACAATACCTTGATCTCCAAGTGAGCCCCTATAGCAAGAAGCGAAGCGTACCTGGAGAGTCGGTACCTTAGCTGACACGCTGCCGCACCACTGTGCGGCGCTCTGAATCCCTCCTAAAGTTGGAACTTTGCCCCGCAGTGAATCTGTGCCCATGCGTCCATCCCATTAACCCGTAGGTCGACGGAACAGATAACTGCGGCGACCATTTATTCCCACACCGGAGTATAAAATCATTGTCCGTATTATGTCGTGTCGGATTCGATACAGCGGACCTCATCACCCCCAGCACGCGGAATTTGTTGCCACTTAAACCTCCCTAAAAGCTTTTCCCTGCGCGGGACACCAAAAACAACCCCACCCATTCTTGGGAAATTCCATTGACTCTCTGCCGTCACTCACTTTCTGCCATCGCCCACAACCGGCAACTTTTTTCTTTTTTTTTCCCCCCCTCTCGCACTGGGCACGTCTTGCACCTAGGACAACAACATCAAGCTACAGTCTCTCTACTTGATAGCCGCCAAAATGCCGCCTAAGAAGAAGGGAAACAAGGCTCGGGCCAACGATGACTGGGAGAATGAGCTCGGCGAAAGCATCGCCCCCGCTGGCACCACCCCAGAGGCTGCTGCCGAAACGCCAGCCGACGAGGAGGAGTCCGGCGGCGCTGGTGGTCTTATGGCCACTATGCGCAAAAACAGGGAGAAGAGGAAGAAGAAGGGTATCGAAGACACAGCTCCCGCCGAACCCAGCCCCGAGCCCGAACCTTCGCCCAGTCTCGCCGAGAAGGCTCCCCAGGAAGCGACTATGGACGACGAGTTCGCTTTGCCTGAAAAGAAAGGCAAGGGCGGAAAGGGAAAGCAGGCCGCTACTCCCGCTGCCAAGGCCGACGATGATGAAGGCGACACCGGCGGCCGCGTTCTGACCAAGGCCGAGAAGGAGAAGTTGAAGAAGGAGAGGGAGAAGCAGCGTAAGAAGGAGCAGGTAGGTCCACATCATACTCTGGCCTTGTGCGATGACAGTTCTTTCAACTCACCTTCTTGTATAGGCTGCGAAAAAGAAGGGATCAGCCCCAGCCCAAAAGGCTGCCGAGCCTGCCAAGGCAGCTCCCGAGAAACAAGAGGCACCAACACCTGCTGCTGCCCCGGCCCCCGTGGAGGAGAAGGGTGGCAAGAAAAAGAAGATTCCTGCCCACCTTGCTATGATCCAAAAGCAACAGGAGGAGCTACGTCGCAGACAAGAAGAGGAGACCCGTATGGCTGAGGAGGAGAAGGCTAGAATCGCCGAAGAGGAGAAACGCTTGGAGGAGGAATCTAAGCGTAGAGAGGAAGCCAAGGCCTTGAAGAAGCAAAAAGAAAAGGAGAAGATTGAGCAACTCAAGAAGGAAGGCAAGTTCATGACCAAGGCTCAGAAGGAGGAGAAGGCACGCAACGAGCGCAAGCTCCAGCAGATGCTTGCTGCAGGTATCAAGGTGGGCCCCGCCGACGAGGGTGAAAAGAAAAAGAAGGTTGTCTACGACAATAGGAAGAAGGGCGGCAGAAAGGTTCAAGATAAGGTAAGAGCAGAAGCTGTTTACAGTTGCTCATGTTCGCACGCTAATACAATAACTCGTAGATTGACGAAGAGAAAGCCCTCGCTGAGGCCGCCGAGCGCGCGCGACAGCAAGCTGAAAAACTTGCCAAGGAGGCAGAGGAGAAGGCGGCGAGAGAAAAGGCCGAGGCCGAGGCTGCTGAAGCCAAAAAGAAGGCTGCCGAGGCCAGTGACTTGGAAGACGACTGGGAAGCAGCTGCCGCTGCCGACGATGACGACGTCAAGGATAGCTGGGACGCCGACACCGAAGATGAACAAGAGAAGAAGGAAGCGGCCAAGGCCAACGAGAAGCCTAGTCAAAAGGAGGATGAGAACTCAGAGTCTGAATCCGAATCAGAGTCCGACGACTCGGAGGACGAAAGAGAAACTGCCGCCCGCCAAGCCGAGCTTCAGCGCAAGAGGGAGGCTGCCGAACGTCGTGAGAAGGCTCACCAGGCTGCTCTGGCTGCCAGGTCCAAGGACAACCTTCGTTCCCCCATTTGCTGCATTCTCGGTCACGTCGATACCGGAAAGACCAAGCTGCTTGACAAGATTCGTCAGACCAATGTTCAGGAGGGTGAAGCCGGCGGTATCACTCAACAAATCGGTGCTACCTACTTCCCCGTTGAGGCCATCAAGCAGAAGACGGCAGTGGTCAACCCCAACGGCGAGTTTGAGTTCAAGGTCCCCGGTCTGCTGGTCATCGATACACCAGGCCACGAGTCTTTCTCTAATTTGCGGTCTCGTGGTTCATCACTCTGCAACATCGCCATTCTTGTCGTCGATATCATGCACGGTCTTGAACCCCAGACGCTCGAGTCTATGAGGATGCTGCGTGAGAGAAAGACCCCGTTCGTCGTAGCCCTCAACAAGATCGATCGTCTCTATGGCTGGAAGAAGATTGACAACAACGGCTTCCAGGAGAGCTTGGCTCTGCAGCCCAAGAGCGTCCAGAACGAGTTCAAGAACCGTTTGGAGCAGACTAAGCTCGCCTTTGCCGAGCAAGGTTTCAATGCTGAGCTTTTCTACGAGAACAAGTCCATGGCGAAAAACGTTTCTCTTATCCCTACTTCTGCTCACACTGGTGAGGGCATCCCTGACATGCTTAAGCTCATTGTTCAACTCACCCAGGAGCGCATGGTCGGATCTCTTATGTACCTCTCCGAGGTTCAGGCCACCGTTCTTGAAGTCAAGGCTATCGAAGGTTTCGGTATGACTGTTGATGTCATCTTGTCCAACGGTATCCTGCGAGAGGGTGACAGGATAGTCCTATGTGGTGTGGAAGGGGCCATTGTCACAAACATTCGTGCCCTATTGACCCCGGCACCGCTCCGCGAACTCCGTCTCAAGTCTGCCTATGTGCATAACAAGGAGGTCAAGGCCGCTTTGGGTGTCAAGATTAGTGCTCCTGGACTCGAAGGCGCCATTGCTGGCTCTCGCTTGATGGTTGTTGGCCCTGATGACGACGAGGACGACTTGATTGACGAGGTCGAGTCCGACCTGGCAACTCTGTTCAGCAGAGTTGAGAAGACTGGTCGCGGTGTCAGCGTTCAGGCTTCTACTCTTGGTTCCCTTGAGGCCTTGTTGGACTTCCTTAAGGATTGTAAGATTCCCGTCGCCAACGTCGGAATCGGCCCTGTCTACAAGCGCGATGTCATGCAGGCTGGTATCATGTTAGAAAAGGCCTCGGACTATGCTGTGATGCTCTGTTTCGATGTTAAGGTCGATAAGGAAGCGCAGGCCTACGCTGATGAAGTCGGTGTCAAGATCTTCACTGCTGACATTATCTATCATCTTTTTGACTCATTCACCAAGCATATGGCTGATTTGTTGGAGAAGAAGAAGGAAGAATCCAAGATGTTGGCCGTCTTCCCTTGTGTCCTTAACACTGTCGCCGTCTTCAACAAGACCAACCCAATCGTTGTTGGTGTCGATGTCGTTGAAGGTCAGCTGAAGATCAACACGCCTATTGCTGCCGTCAAGACGAACGCGGTGACCGGAGTGAAGGAAGTCATCAGTTTGGGCAGGGTGTAAGTTTCCCTCATATTCCCCGAATCCCGTTACCTATTTGTTTGCGAAGCATCGGCTGACAATTTTTTCTTGTACAGAACCTCGATCGAGCGTGATCACAAGCAGGTCCCCGTGTGCAAAAAGGGCCAACCGTCCGTGGCTGTCAAGATCGAGATGGGCGGTCACCAGCCGACGTATGGTCGCCAGCTTGAGGAGGCGGACACCCTTTACAGTCTGATCTCGCGTGCCAGCATCGATACCCTCAAGGAGTTTTACCGCAAGGACGTTAGCAACGACGAGTGGCAGCTTATCATCAAGCTCAAGCCCCTCTTCGACATTCACTAAGCAAAAGGCCGAGCTCCAAGCATGTATCTGGTGTAGGATGTCGAGCAGTCGGCTGAGTTACGAACATAAAAGGGACGAAAGAGGGAATGGGACTGTCTGGCACGGGCTAATGGGGAAACGAAGGTTGTTTCGTTATAAGTTTCTCATCTTTTTCCATGAAACCCCGAGATCTATCTCACGGTAATTCTGGAAGCTGCAAAAGGAAAATACTACAAGAAAACATGGCGACATTTAGTTGCCTTTCCGTGCTTGTACTACTTGCCGCTCGTTGATGAGGGGTTGTGATGTAGCTGCATGGAAGAAGACGACTTGACTTTCTACGCAAGGCCTGAGAGAGATATATACAGTACTCCTTGCTTTGTAGTCCTTGCTTTGTGGCCTTGGACAAGGGTAATCTCAGCATACACTCATAGGAAAAGTTTTGAGTAGCTCAGGTGTGATCAAAACGTCATGTCATTGCTCTCATTCCATGATAACCGTCGAAGCTGCTCTAGCCTAATAACCCCTATGCCAACCCGAAAGGAAACATAACTTGGGTCTATTCTATCATCTTGTCACTTTTCTTTTTCTTTCCGTTGCGGTATCTCTTATTCCCGCGTTCAGGAGCCAGTGAAGTCCAAGGCATCTTATTTCGTGCCCTCGCCGGCCTCCTCGGTCTTCGCATCGGCGTCGGCCATCTCCTCGTCCTTCGAAGCCTTCTCGGCCTCAGCGGCCTTGCGAGCCTCTTCCTCAGCGGCGCGCTTAGCAGCCTTCTCGGCCTCAACTCTCTCCTGGACGATCCGACGCTCTTCTTCGACCTTCTCAAAGTGGCGCTGAACAATGGGTCCGGCCATAGCGCGGATCTCATCGATCTTGGCAACATACACAGCCTTGGTGGTGTCGTCACCCTCATCGTAGAGCCAGTCCTTAATAGCTCGTTAGTTGACCTATGCCAGCCAAGAAAATTTGGGCAGCACACTTACCTCGGACTGTTCAAGCTTCTCGCGAATCTTGGCCTTTTCCTCGTCACTAGCAAACTCGGCATACTGATCGTCAAGCTTGTTGCGGAGATCGTAAATGTAAGCCTCCAGCTCGTTCTTCTTCTCCTCGGTGTCGGCGACGAGCTTGTCCTCCATAACCATGGCTGACTCCTTTTCGAGGAGCGCAGTCCTCGCGGACTCGGAAAGCGAAGCTGTACCGCTGACAATAGGGAGGTCGCCCTTGCGAACCTGCTTCTTGACCTTGCGGGTCTTCTTGGGAGCATCATCCTTGTTGTCAGTGTCCATGGCCTTTGGGAGGGAATACGTTAGCTTGGAGGACTCTTCAACGCCTTCGTCGGAAACACTAGCAGGAAAGAAACGAGATGGGGGATAGATATTATGGCGTTGGCGCTTCAGCGGCGACACCTCATAGCCCCCCGCTTCGCTAGACAAAACATCTGAACAAGATATCGCAACACTCACATCAGGGTCCTTCTTCTCGCCATCCTCTTCTTTAATCTCCTCTTCGACCTCCTGGTCCTCGACGTAGTAACCGCTCTCAACGTTGAGAACACCGTGGATGTTAACACGGGCCTTCAGCTTGCAGATCATAAAGTCATCCTTGCCGTCGGCCTTGACACCCTTGACAGAGAAGCGGCCGATCCAGGGGTTAATCTTGCCAGGGAGATCTTGAGGGTTGGCGTACCGAGCCTCAAGGTCAAACGGCTGCTTACGATAGAAGGTAAGAATCTTGGTGGAAGGCAAGACATTGCCACGGTTGAAGACAGTCAGACTGGTGTCCTCATCGGGAATGTCTGGGGCCTTCTCCCAAGCGAACTCGATAGGGTAACTCATGATGTCCTGGACAGTGAAGTCACGGACTCTGAAGACAGGGGAAAGAATAGCGCAGCTGAAAGCAGCGCCACGAGCGACGGCCTCATCCTGATTCAGGGTGTAGGACAGAGGCTTGCCGAAGAAGTCCTGAATTCTTTCCTTCAGGGCGGGGATACGGCTGCCACCACCAATGATCTCAATGACATCAATGTCATCCTTGGTCAGTTTGGCATCGGCAAGAGCCTGCTCGAGAGGAACGTGGGCGCGGCTCAGAATGGGTTCGACCATAGCCTCGAACTCTTGGCGTGTAATCATGGCGGAAACGTCGATGTCGTTCATGATGGACTCGATGTTGACAGGGGCCTGCTGGTTGGCAGACAGGATCTTCTTGCACTTCTCAGCGGCGGCGATGGTGCGGGCCATGGCACGGCCGTTGGAGTGGATGTCGATCTTGTACTTGCCCTTGAACTCCTTGCCCAAGTGGTCAACAAGAGCCTTATCGAAATCACGACCACCGAAGTGACGGTCGAAAGCTGTGCCCTTGACAGCCAGCTCACCCTTCTTGAACTCAACGACAGAGCAAGTGTAGTTGCTGTGGCCGATATCAACGAAAGCGACGCGGCGAGGCTTCTCCTCGGGAGCGGGGAGATCAAGCTTGGTGATACCCCAGCCCAGAGCGGCAGCAGTGGTGTCGTTCATGAGGCGCAGAAGCTTCAAGCCGGCGATCTCGGCGGCGTCGATGAGAGCGCGGCGCTGGATATCAGTGAACCAGGCAGGAACACTCATAACCAAGTCAGAGACGGGGAGCTTCAGCTCGTTGGCCGTCGTCTGCTTGATCTTGCTCAAGTACATGGCAATCAATTGGGTATTGGTGAACTTCTCCTTCTTGCCCAAGTACGAGACTTCAGCGCCAACCTGGCCGTTCACGTCAACAAGGGGAGCTGTAACATATTGCTGCTCGATCTGAACATCGGGGTCGGAGAAGGTGCGTCCGGCAAGACGCTTAAGGCAGCCGACAGTGTTCTTGAGGTTGGAAATTTCTTGCGTCTTGGCAGACTCGCCGAGGTATCGCGACTTGGGACCAAAGCCAACCAAAGACCTACAGATCACAGTCAGTCATTTAAGCCGATCAAGGACAAATGGTTTGAAGCATGGATATTTAGGTGGTACATACGGCGTCGCACGGTTAGAAACCTCGTTGGTGATCTATACAGCGCGAAAGTCAGTCATGTCGCTCCGTCGCAAAAAAGTTTCATTGTTCTCTTTCGTTGAAGGGGCGAGGGGCAAATGTTGGGTACGCACCACATCGACACCACGATTCCTGGCGACGGCAATGACCGTCTTGAGGGTTCCGAAATCGACACCTGCAGGAATAAAACAAGTCAGTCAACAAACAGTTCATGACACAAAAAGCCAGTAGAGAGCGGTAACGAAGAAAAGGCGCAAAACGTACCAACGACACTCATGTTGGGCGGCGGTGTTTAATTCCTGTGAGGTTGTGTAAACAAGGATTATTCGGCGGACGTTGATGGGGGAGCGTAGCGGGGTGCGCTCACAACAACGCTGCAAAGAAAGCAGAGAATCTGATGGGGGTCGAGGTGAATAGAGAGTGATTATCCGACTTGCCGGGAGGGTATGTGCAAGCGGTCGAGTCGAAAGTCGTCTCGTTGAAGTTGTGAGAAAATAGAATACAGACAAATGCAAGGTTTAAAGAGTTTGTCGTTATGCAAGAGAGCCTGAAAGGTGGGATGTGTGGGAGTGGGAAAAAAAAAAAAGTTGCAGAGCACAGGTTCCCTTCTAGCGCCAAGTGAGACAGGGCGGGTGAGGTAAGAGGAGGGGTATGTTTGGTAGGTACTGTGGGCAAGGGCTAGGCAGGGAAGGTACGTGGCCAACTGTGATGTTGTTTTGTGTGGTGCCCTCTGTATTTGGGTCCCTAAGCAAGTTGGGCAGTGGTACAGTGGTTGCGGTAGTGTGTTGCTCTCAGTGAAAGGAATCTCTTTCAGTGGCTAGGGGCGGGAACATGATTGCCCCGCCAGAATTTTGCAAAGATGTCCGCCCGCTAAATATTGGTGGGTGCCGAATGGGAAAGAAGATTCTCCCTCGTTCTGCGCTGTTCCTCTTACCCATGCGCCCACGTCTCTCGTCACTCCTCCAGCCCTGCCCCTCCATCCTCCACCCCTCCACCCCTCACTCGTCGGTCTCCAACCGGCTCTGGGGCCAGGTACGTAAGGCGAGGAGGCAAGCAGCAATCAAGGCGAGAAGAGAAATTATTGTGGGCTGAGCGCTCCAACGAGGAAGTGAGGTACTTTGAGCTGGGGGCCACACAGATAGAAAGGCACCTTACGGAGTACAGACTCTGTAAATAGAAAAAGACACAGTCATTTGCATATGAACCCGATCGTGTAGTGAAATCAGGTACGGTGCCCTGCTGTTATCCCGGGTCCGTCCTAATCCTGGCCAAGTTACTAACATGGGATCCCTCATCTAGCAACTTGAACAGAGATTGAGTTCCGGTCCAATAGCTCCGAGCCAACTGACATGACAGAATGAACAACCACATGTTTGTGGCCAAGGCATCAACAAACCTGTCATCAACGTCAGACACAGAGCGTCTCTTGCGGTAAGGCAATCGGGCGCCCAGCCTGCGAAACCCACTGGACTTATCTAATCTAATCTTGGCAAACCCCCACCAGATTGGGTAATGCAATCCCTCAAAAGCACCCCCCAGACTCCCCATCTTTACATAAGATACTACCTTATGCCCAATCCCAGCAAATGGAATCACCAGTTGCAACACGGGACCGTCGTAGAATCCCCTCGATGTTCCTACAATCCCCCCAGAGCTTCATCCGCCCTTCCGTTGCCAATGCTGAACACCTGTCACCCATCTAGAAACATGGTTGACGATTCTTTACTTTGCATGACCACCCTGGGCATGCCATCATCTCCCATTACTCATTTACATCACTTTTCAGGGCACCAACTTTGTCAATACTGCATTGTATTAGGTAACTCTTGCTAATAATCGGAGTGCTCATACTATTTTCCATCAACTCCCACACAGACAACCCTGGTCTCCTAGCTTCGACATAGCCTACACCTAGGCATAACCATCATGATTTGAAAAAAAGGAATGTAGTCGATGGTGCCCATGGTGCCCGCGCACTCATTGGTTTTTGATGTGTAAAAATATTTTTTTTTGATTTTTTTTTTTTTTTAAATCGAGGTCCATCATTGAAGCCAATCTCAACGCCAATGTTATGCATATGAACCCACTCTTCCCAACTCCTCCAGTAGGCACTGGTCTCGTACTTCACCGATTCACCGGCTGCCCTTCGGCAAGTCATCTCTGGTTTCCTGGTCGCTGTGTGAGCTCTCGCCTTCAGAAGGAACTTCTTCCAACATGACAGTGCGGACCAGACTGGCCCGTGCCAATGGACTCCGACCACTTCGCGCTGCGCTGTGCGATGCGCTGGGCCCCTGGCGGCCTTCGCCAGATTTGGGTCTATTGTCTACATGGCTGAGCTTCACGTTGTCGGTGTAGGGGCCGCCTTCCATTGTGTCAGGCGTGTCTTGGAACCCAGCTTGCTTCATTTCGGATTCGGAGTACTCATATACCTGGCCGCTCGTCTGGCCACCGAATCGCTTAGAATTGGCCAAGAACTGGTTGAACTGACTTTGTTGTGCAAGCTCGTATTTTTTCCGGTCTTCCTCACCCATGATGCTCTCTACTCGGCGAGGCATGTACACCGAGTTACCACCAGTTTGCGACGATACCATGCTGTCGAAGGAATCGCGCGATTGCAGAGCCCATGCTGGGCCGAACCCGCTGGGTCCGGAACGATGAACGGTGGATGGAGAGTCGTCCGGATTGATGTACCATCCAGTTGAAGACTTCTTTCGAGCCGCAAAACGACCCTCGAGACTAGACGGCGGCTGCACCACGCTGTGTTTGCGGCCAATCGATCCCATGGGTCTCTTTCCGCCGGCAATGCTCTCCTTCCGGGCCTCTGTGGCGGGAATGAATGACTCTGGTACGATGTTGAGCTCGTCACCGGCCTCTTTGGCTTGTTCGATGGCTTGCTGAGGAGTGGTATCGACATCAGCAGAAGCAGCATCTGCTCTAGGACCTCCCCATGTTCTCTGACCTGCCGTGAAGATGCCGTAGACCATGTAAAACCAGTTGAAAAAGGGGTTGAGGATAAACATGATGGGGTAAAGCCAAATCTTGAAGCGCCTCAGCTTGGCGCCAAAGTACAGCATCATCAACCAGTTCAGTCCAAGGGAAATGGCGATAAACCCGACAGGCAAGTTCTCCACCTTCTTTGAGGTCGTGATAATGGCCAGAACCATGATAAAGAAAAGGAGTGCAGTTGTACGAATAGTGTTCTGCATGAAACGGACAAGGACTAGAAGCGGATAACGTCTCCAAAGACGCCAATCAGTAAGCATGCATACTTCATTGCTAAGGAAACCCAAGAACCAACGCCGGCGCTGCTTGATAAGTGATCTGTAAGTCTGGACAGCTTCAGTCTTGCAGAAAGCAGAGGTGCACATTTGAATCTGATAGCGCTTCTTGGCGCCAATCATGAATAAATGAGTAAGCCAACGATCCTCACCCAAATGGCACTTGGCGAAGTCGAAAAGATCCTCGCACTGCTCGGCTTTGTCGGCAAAATAGTACTTGGCCATGCGACGGAACGCCGAGAATCGAAGCATTGTCAAGGCTCCAGGAAGACATGTAACGGCACCGCATCCAGATTCAACGGTACGCTCGAAGAGTTGACCATGAATATACTCCATATCCTGAAGTAGGGTGATCAAGCTGTGCTTCTTAGTCGTAGACGTGATCACACCAGTCATGGCCAACATATCTCGGTTGTTGCCGGGGCTCAATTCCATGTCGAAAACGAAGTTTTGCAGACAGGTAGGGTCTAAAATACAGTCCGAGTCGATGAAGAGAATGAACAAATTGTCGTTCCTTTTGAGGTACGTCTCGTAGACTTTGTCGATGAGCTTGAACGTTGCCTTTTGGCAGTGACGTTTTCCTCCATGGGGGAAGCGGGAAACTGTAATGCGGGCAGACTTGTACGAGACATCGATGCTTTTGGGATACGTCTCGAGTGTCAGCGGAACTCCAAGCTTCTCGATTGTATTCAAGTACAATTCATCTTCTTGGTCGCCGTCGAATGACAAGAAGACGTGAATGCATGAGGGTGGATAATCGCAGTCGACGACCGAGTTGATGGCAACAACAAGGACGTCAGGATCCTCCTTATAAACCGGCATAACAATAACAACCTTCGGTGCCGAAACTTCGTCGAGGACCTGCTTGATTCTCTTTGTGCGGCCAAGCTGGTTTGTGACCAGTTGGTAGACGCAAAAAAGCCAAGGGATGGTCAGTAGACCAGCGAAACTCCAGAAAGCGAACCATTGGAGACCCTGGACCATCTGCTCCGGCCAATATTGAACAACAACGCTCGGAAGCGGCAGGGTGACAATCATAATAGGAAGGAAAATTGCTCTAGAGACCAATCAGTAAGTCGACAGATCCAGGCTATTCTTAGCGGGAGAGTGTATGCCCACCTGAAGCATGTGAACAGTATCGCGACAATAACTGCTAACACCCTGATAGTCCAGTGTTCTGCCTTGATGAAGACTTTCCACAGACAATATAGGAATGCAGCAATCCATAGGAACCATTCAAGAACAGCTGCCAGCATCACCAGGCCGACGATCGCCGTGTAGACGATCTAGAAGAGTCGAATATGAGTAAAAGTCTGACCGGTCATGGAGCAAACACTTACGTCCTTTGGGGCCCAGTAAAATTCCTCGTGTGCAGGTGCCATCTTGGGCAGAAACTCTTTGCCGCTCGATACGTCTAGTCAACCGCTCGAGAAATGTGAAGCTTGTCTAGCACACCCAGAGGTGAGCAGGAAGCCGGACAGAAATGGTATCCTCGAGCGTATTGGGTAGATCAAATCGCGGTGAAGGAAACAAGATGATACGGATTTGACGTGGTGTCGTCGGGTGGCTGCAGCTCGAGTGCTCGGCGAGTGCAGTCCTTACACTGGTCCCTCCAGAGCTGATTAAAGAGTCCAAGTCGGATTTTCGGCGGTCTCGTCGTAGCTCGATGCGTAGTTTCTAGACGAAATGGTCTTTCGCACCAGGGCACAACCGTGATTCGGCTGATGTTCGTACCCTCTGGAGTAGTTGATGTTCTCCGCAGATAGCTATTGAGCTGCTTGATATCAAAGTGTGGGCACCACTGCCTTTTTCTTGATGGGATGTCAGTCTGGAGCACCTCACAATGGCCGGATTGGGAAGCCACTCACACCCAAAGCCAACGCTTTCCCTTTCACTTTGGTTTTCAAAGTATTGCAAGGTCGGTCACGACTGTGAGAGTGTCCTAAGAGATCAACGAATGCATCGTCTTCTCGGAGATCAGCAGCTAGAGACAAAGAAGGGGCAACATGCGATGAAGATCGAATGAGGCACAGGAGGGAAAATCAGATAACGAGAAGGTTGACAGGCTTTTACTCTTCTTAAGAAGCCGTGGACGTGACGTGCGAGTTGACGGAAAGGGAAAGGCCCCTAGATGAAGGGGGACCAGCGGGTTCGAGACCAACACTTAGGAACGCGCCCGGTTTGGATCGATCTGGCACAGACTGGCGAAGTCCTGGAGGGCTCGCAGGCAGTTTGTGTTGGCAGGTAAGCAGCACGGAGCAAAGTGACCAGGCAAACAGGCAAGCAAGTATCCGGCATTTCAGTGATCCCTGAAATGCATGGGCCAGGCCACTGTTGGATGAACGGGCAGATTATGCATGTATGGACGGCAACTTTGAGCTAGACGACGATTGGGGGGTATCAACCTCCGAATTCACACACTTGCTAGCTTATTGGGATTACGGCTGGCCGGTTCGAGACAAAAATTGCACGCCTACCAAGGTTCCAGAGGCGTCTTCTACCCCATCTTTGTCTAAAGCGTCCGGCTGCGTCTGAGCTACCTCAAAGCAATGCTAAGCAGATTGTCATCGTGGCGATAGCCTCGCCCAGGTATGTTGTAATGTCTCTCAGAGACAAGAACAAGGAGGCATGTGGGATGAAAATCAACCCTAGCCCTTAACTTTCCACGAAGCCGGCAAGCTGACGAAATACTTGAGCGACTATGCTTGAACTTGACCATTCCCGTTGTCTCCTTATTGCATCGCAATAGTGAGTCTAGGTACGGGAACAGGGAACAATAAGTAAGGGGCAGTGGGCTTAGGAGATGCTTTAGCATCAGCTCTCACCGTTCAATTTCAAGGTCCGAGCAGGATGTAGCAAGAAACGATAAAATGCCAAGTACGCGATGAGTCGACAAGGCAAAACATCCAAGCGTGCGGTAAAGCGGAAAATTGGAAGGCATTGCAGCATCCGCATACCTATTCAAAGTGAAGTAAAGCTCCAAGCTGCCTACCTGAGCTTGGGCAGTCCTCGGTATGCCTGTTCCGTACCTACCCTGTGGTTCGGGGACTACACTAGAACCAAGACAGCCAGGTCGACGAAGCTCCAAGGATCAGACGAGGCGCCTAGCGGATCGACAAACACAACTGGGGCAGGTGGGGGCCACTAAAAACATCCGTGGAGGATAGAATTGCCTGGGTTGCTGTTGAGTTTGAGCGGGGACGGGAGGCTCAACTTGAGGAATGCAACCTGAGCACTAGGAGGCGGTTGCGGAACACAAGAGAAAGTATCTTGCTGGCGAGACATCTGTGGTCGTCGTGAATTGCCCCGTCCTGTGTCAATCCTTCATATTTCTACCATAACACCTCGCATGAATTTTCCTTACCCACGCTCTTGCCATGTGTAGTGTATCACATCATCCATTTTCCCCCCCATCCATTTCGTGCCTTTCTCAAACAGGTCCATTATGATCTGGCCGAGGTACCTGAATATGGACTTTTTTGGCTGATTGAATTGGCCAGAAAATCTAGTCGATTCAAACTGGCAACTGTCGAGGCGCACTCGTCATCATACTGTCAAAACCGAAGCAGTTTCCTTGGGCACTTGCGATGCGAGGCCCCAAGCCGAATCCTTGTGTCTACAACGGGAACTCTGATTGGCTCAAATAATGTGCTGTTGTGGATCACGGGCTGCGCCGACTAGGACAATTAAGCCCAGGAGCAATAATCCTTGTAGGTGAAGATCCTGGAATTGTGGACCTTTATTGCCTACCCAGGTGTACATTACGGAGTAGGTCAGGGTCCATTTCACCTTGTTGTAGTCCTCTGCTCCACTGGTCCACCCTCTGAACACTGAATATTCAATCACTTGAAGCGGCGTAGGAAAGTATAGGGAAAGGGGTTGGCAGTCGGATACTTACGTGATCATAGTCACACCTCGAAACTAATTGACTAGCAGAATCTATAGGTAACTTTTGAGATGTGCCAGCTTTAGATCTCCACACAATCTTTACTTCCCTCAGTGCCGCCTACGCTCCCACATTGTTATCGCTTCCTTACATTGCCCACTTTCAAGATCCGTATTGCTTTGCAATGGGCCAAATCCTTCGATCGTCGCATGCGCTTTTCGCCTCTTCTAATTAAACTAAGCCAGATGTCGTATAGGAGCGCACTCGCCTGCCTGTGGCGATGGCGATGGCACCATGCTCCGCCATTAGGACGTCCGAGGACGTCCGAGCGACCGTGAAATCAGCTCTGGAATGTGGTATTTCAGGTGATCCTGGGACAACGGCGGGGGACGAGTCCTACTACCGCGCGCTCCCTCCTAGGCCTCTCGATAAATGACCCCACGGCGTTCGTTTGCGGCCTGAAGTCTTCAAACAAGTTGCCAGCAATCACCTGTGCTGACTCGGGTTTCACCACTATGGCCGATGGCGTTCTGGACAAGAATCTGAGGGCGCCCTCTACACATGCGGCACATCTCCGTATTCTTCCAAGCGGAATTCATGTGTGTAGGGGGCAAGCAGTGTGCCAGTTCCGTCAAGTAACATCATCCCAAGTTTCCGCACATCCGTGATATCAGATTCCGTTTGCGGCAGCCACGTTTCCCGCCTGTCTACATCGGCACGAAGATCGGACGAATGAGTAGACGTCTAAGCATCATGGTCGATGGCATGGCTTGGTGCTGGTGCATGAAGGGGTGCCCCGCCATGTCAAATTATCGCCCTTGAACTCTGCCCTGGGTCAAACTCTGTTTGCTTCTTTTTTATTTCTTCTTTTTTCTCCGTCTCCAAGGTTCAGACTAGATTTGTATGCCTTGTACCTGCATAAACCTACCGACCCTACTCGCCTCTGCCCTACCTACACTCGTCCGAGTGCGTAGCTAAACGAGTAAAGTTGCCTCAGTTGCTTGTAGTGACCTCCTTTCAGCTTGAAGCGGTAGGTGCCCGTTGGCCAGCCGCCCCGCCTAGCAACATACATTGATTGTTAGGACGACATACGATAGAGTCTCTCTCCATTTCTCTTTTCTCTGTGTGTGTATGTATGTGTGAAATGATTAAATGTCGCTGTTGACCAAGTCAAATATTGCTTCAACTGAAACAGTGCACTTCATCTTTCCTTGCATCGGATGCTAGCACCTGCCAAGAAGCACCATTGTGTTACATTCGATCTAAAAGAATTTGCAATCTCCACTACACCCTTTCTTCCTTGCTCTGCTGCAAATCGTAACCACAACCAGCGTTTCTGGATCGCCGGTCTACTTCACTAACTGACCTACCTTCGCCGCGGATTACTACAATTTGAGACGGTCGGCTCATGATGCAGCCGGTTTTCTACATGTCTGGATTTCTGTTACCATTGCCTCATCAGTCAGTTCAATCTGCTCTGCTGTGTAGTCAAAACTTCACATAATCGCCACATCCCATTCCCTGCCGCTGCATCTTGACGGCAGTTAAAGCACTGACAGAGGTTTTGCCATTGAAGTCGTGTTTCGCGCATATGTCGCTTTTAGTTCGTTGAAACAATGCCTTCATCCTTCTACTGAATCAATCGTATCTATCTTTGCCACCCAGATAATGGGAGGGACAGTTGCCTCAGAAGCTCAACCTTACTAGCAAGACTTAGCTGTAGACGTCGTGCCATGTGTCTCGGCTCCTACAAAGATGGGAATTCTTGTCGCAGCCTTACGCGGCTGAACCTCTGTTCTCCATTCCACATCCCATCAAGCTTTCCATTGCATGAATTCCAATCCGGTCTTCCAGTCTTCCAGACCAATCATCGCCGTGAAAGCTTTCTGTTCTTGTGTATATGGGCTTCGCTTGCCAACAAAGGCTTAGAATCCTTGCTTGTCCAGCTTTCCATAAGTCTTGGTAGACTGCATGATTTCCTTGTCGAGATTGGCCATTGACTGAAATTCTCTGAGAAGCCCCATTCGGCAACACTCATAGATGCTACCTGTTGCATGCGACATGATTTCTATGCATTGAAGGCTTTGCCGATCGCTCTCCAACCAGATCCCTCCGCAACTGTGGCGTCGTATCAGCCTTGTATGGCGACCTCTGGTAGCCTGCGATGGATAGTTTATCTGGAAACCTAGTTTCTCAAGATAGCCCTTTTCACGTCCTGTAAAGAAAGCGGGATTCCCCTTCGTTAGCTATCCTGTTCTGATCGTACGCTTCATGCGGCTTCTTCTCCTGTATCTTAGCTAGGTTCTTAGCTCCCACCTGGCTTGTAACACTTGTCGGCAATACCATGATGTGATGGAGTAGCTATTGACTACCCTAGTCGTCCTTGCCTGCCTTCACACTGAAGCATGGGATATGTTTCTGCACGAAATCATTTGCGCGCCTGCCCGAGGATCCGTACCAATCAACATCACTTAGCTGGAGCTTGCGAACTCGCTGTCCGCCACGGTCTTTGCCGCGATCCGATCGATTGTGGTGATATGAGGCTGGCTTATCGTGACCTATTCCAGACTTGTGAATATGCGGGCCTGTTTTGCAGCGGAATTTTGTATTCTTTACCTTCTTGATCTTCGCTCTCTCGAAGATCATAATTCAAAACGAGGTTCTTGATACGTTGTTGTTCCTCTCGTTCGGCCTGTTGCTGGTTCTTCATCGCCACGGCGAACGTAGAGTCCGAAGGCAACTCCACAGTCCGGGTCTTTTGCCCTGTTAGTGAAACGGATGAGTTTTCTGAATGATTGTACATACCTGCTGGCGGTTACCTTTCTTTGTCAAAAGAGAGAAAGCCATCGTATTGCTAGGGACGGAGGTGGTAGTGTCTCCAGAATCCTGCCCTGCTGCGCTTTCCTTATTTTTGCCTCGTACTGGTAGTGGCACATCGAAAAGTGGTTTGCGTTCAAACTTGCGCGATTCTAGGCTCTCCGCCATCATCTTAGCATACTCACGATCGAACTCGGCCTCAACCTCCGGGTCAATCTGCTCTTGTTGGCGAGTGACAACGATGGCCTCGTCTTCGCTTTCCGAGTCCCTGTGTGATAAGTCGATTTCTTGGTCCTACAAAATGGTTGTTTATTAAGAGACCTTTGTGATGTCTTGCTGGTGTTTTCTCACCTCGACACCTTCTTCTTCAGAGTCAGACTCTTCCTCGTCGGCCTCAGGTTCAGGGAGGTCTGCATCTCCATCCTCATCGTCGGAAGAAGATCCAATGGATGCGTCGTCAGCATCAACAGCCTTGTCAGCTCCTGAGACTTTCTGGTCTTGAGCTATGGCAAGCTGAAATGCTTTGGAAGCTTCTTCAAGGTTCGATGCAAGCTTCCACTGGGGTCGAGTGAGAGCAAAGGTGTCCTGCACAATAAACTCGATGTCCATCGGCAATGGCTGCTTGGTATAAATATAATACTGCCCAGGTCAGTTACGACTTTTGGAGAGAAGAGTTTGTCCAGACAAACCTGAAAGAAAGAAAGAAAATAATCAAGCTTTTTGCCAGCAGCGCCCTTCGCAAAGTACATGCCACATGTTTCAAGAACTGTCGCAATTAAACGAATGCGGAAAAAGTCGTCGGGAAGGTCGAAGGGGTTCAGTCGACCCGGGATTGGAGGTCCACCATGACCAAACGTCATGATCTTATACATAGTATCAAAAATGACTGGATGCTCAACCATCCTGTAGTTGTACAGTTCGCCAATGTACTTTACTTCAGAGATGCGTCGTTGATAAAACTTGAAGTCATTTTGTTCAAGTCCAAAGGAGATAGACTCCATGACATTATCAATTACCTTGACCACAAACGCCGGATGGTATCGGTATAGTGCGCTGAGCAGAATAGCTAGAAGGTGAATATTGCCATACTTGACTTTGCCCGGTTTGGAAAATACTTTCTGGAGGATACCGACAACCTTTGCAATTATAGTTAATCTTTGGACAGGACAGTATGACTGGCCAGCTCTACTTACCTCTGCCTCTTCCCAATGGAGTCTGCGTATCTGCTTTAAGATCTTACTGTAATTACGCTTAGTCATGTCCATATAGATCAGCTTGCGAATGAACAGCTCCATTGGAGTTCGCTCTTTTTGTTGAATTGCTGGCCGATCAGGGGGGTCTACATAGTAGACAGCATTCTCGATCAGCATGCGCTCAGCCTGGCCAATGTGCTGGACGGACTTCTTGCGTTGCAGCGTCTCAAGAAATGTCGCCATACGCGGCGAAGTCTCTGGGTTGCGCAGAAGGTAACGCCCACAGTTCTCCAAGAGGTTGCAAATGATTTCGATGTTCATCCTTGAAAAGTCATCAAGGCTGACCTTGAGACAGTGGAAAACAACATGCTCTGGGACAATACCAAATTTGGTCAACTCTGCAAGATATCTGATGTTGCTCAAACGGACTTGGCCTAAAAAGTCCTTGTCCTTGCGTCGCTGTAGACTGCGAAACTCAGCATCAAGATAGTCAACCAGACCTTTCGGGATATCCGGCATATATCTTCCCAAAGTCGCAGCCAACCTGGACCACGAAGGAAGAAGGTCGCCTCGGCCTTTGGGGACTTCCGTTAAAGCCTTGATTAACCTGTTTCTTGAAGCCTTGGAATTCAGATAGCAAAAGTCAATAGCGGCCTGATCGATGACATCCTTGTTAGTGAGGTCTGGGAGTCGAGCAAGTACCGCATCAACCTGGGCCCCAATTGTCTTGTTGGCAATGGCAGTGGACTGGTCTTCAGCTGCGTCCAGGACCTTGGGCGCATCTGGAACATCAGTCGGGTCAATCTTCTTGCCCACTTGCTCCTCATTATCAGACTTCTTCTTTTTTCCGTCATCGAGAAGAATCCCGGGAACCTTGCCCTTCAGATCCACGAGATTTTCGTAGAAGCGACGCTCATCTTCATCCTCCCAAATACCAGCGCCATCCCCAAGGCCTCGCAGATATTCGCCAGCCTTGACTAAACCAATCGAGCCATTGGAGGCTGCCAAAGAGTCATCGTTGTCCTTGAGATCAGGCATATCAGCGCCTATGGCGTCCGCAATAGCCTGGGCATTGGATACAAGTCTTTCCTGGGCCTTGACCTGTTTCTCAAAGTTGGCTTGTCGATCCTCAAAGACCTCACCAGATTTGACATAGGCCTCGGCATTCCGCCGAGCTTGAGAATGTATCAATTTCTGGTCACGGACGACATGGCTCTTAACATCCTCAAAATACTTCTTGAGAATGGCCTTGAATTTTTCTTGCAGTTCGGGAGGTGTAAACGGCTGGTCGTCGACATCACCAAAGGAATCTTCGGTAGTGCCTTCTCCCTGCGCAGGGCCATTGGTGATCTTGGTAGCGCCGTCTTCTTCGACCGTTTTCCGACCTTCCCCTGCGGTAGACTTGACACCTAATATATCCCAGCTGAAGGCCTTCACAAAAATGACAAGCAGGGGCAAGTTCGCATGCTCCCTGTCATGGCCAAGCAGGTCTTTGAGGACCTCGAGAGGGAAGGGCTCAGCCGCCCCGCTCCTGTTGGAATTTGCCTTCAGCTTCAACTCGGGAACCTTGCCTGTCGCACCCTTGGTGGCATCGTCGGGTCGAGTGACATCATCGAGAGTTCGGAGAACGTCAACGAGCCAAAGCTCAGCGACGACTCGCAGGAGCACTCGCTGGCGCGTCAAGCGCTCTTTCTCTTCCTTCTCCCGCACCTCTGGGGCCAGCGACTTGAGCAAGCTCTTGTCGGGTGTGGCCATTCCCTTGCCTAGAAGCCATCCCAGATATTCGGTAAACTCGCTGGGGCCAAAGCGTTGGTGCAAGGCGCTGACAATTTCGACACCTGCCTCGATCTCCCCAGGAGACTTGAGTTTGCATAGGCCCTCGTAGCAGGCGGAGATAATCTCGGAGAGATACTTGTGCAGACTTAGGGTCCGGATCTCTTGTAGGAAGGTATTCAAGGTCGCGGCGGAAATGGCGGTTCGGAGGCGCTTGATGAAGGCAGTATTCTTCTTCAGCGACGAATCGAGGGACTTGCTGACGGTGAACAGATCTGCAAAGGGAGATGGTCAGAGGAGGGGCGGTCCTGAATGGTGGGGTATGGGCATCATGTACGGACCAGTGTCGCCATCCCAAGCGCGAGTATTTAGGGAGCGCAATTCGCCTACGTATGGAGTAATGTCAGTGAGTTGCACAAAATTAAAGGTAGAATGACGGGCTCGGCAAAACTGACGCTTCCTTGCACGATCCATAGCGGATCGTGAAGTCTTTCAGTGTATGTGGAGAGTGTAGATGCAGGTTGATGCTACATAAGACAAGATCGCAATGGTGAGGGAGCTGATGCTATGGGATTGAGTGCTGTAAACGAATGTGACTCTGCGCGTCAACATGGGCCGGCATCGGTAAGGTTATTTGCAGCAGCAGGCCTTGCCTGGAAGGGCTCGTAGTCGAGGCGAGTCGAATCGAGCTGAAGTTTGGGTTGTCGAGGGGTTTGGCGAGTGCTGGAAGAAATCCAAGTATGAAGGTTGGTGAGCCGTTGGCGGTCGCTGATCTGCAAGGAAACAGCGGCGGAGGCTGTTGTGTTCTGCAGGTGGTTAGAAGCGACCTTGATTGCCCAGGCACACTTCACAGCTTGGATCAGCACACAAAGGTGCACTAGGTAGGCGGGTTAGGTGGGTGTAGTGGGCGTCAATTTAATCGGAGTTAGGGACAGTACGGTGCAGTGCCCGCCAGAAGACTCTGGCCCTAGGTGCCTGATCGGTAGATGACTGTCGACCTAAGGTGGCCCCTGCTGCAACTGCTTGATTTCACAAATTGCGGCTGCTCTGGCGGCCCGAGCAGTCAGCGTCATGACCCAGAACCTTGGGTTTGAAATTCGGATGGATTTATGTTAAAGCGAGGCAGTGGGACCGGACCAGCCGGGTCTCTGCCGGTTGTATGCGAGTCGGTGAGCTGAGGTGAGCCATGGTGAAAAGGACCCATAGCCACTTGCAGCAAGGATGTTCAAGATCCGTCATTGTGGCTTGACCTCAGTTGATATCGCCTCCAATATTTATCAGCTTATGACATGTCCCCGTATCTACTCCTACTCTGGGCTGCCCGAAAACCAAGCAATAGTCCACTGAATGTTAGCCGATGTCTTTCGAGGACCTGCTGTCACCAGTTGGAGTGAATCGGTTGACGAACAGCGAGTCGACATGTCAATGAACGGCCTTCATAATCATATGGCAAACCTGCTAATGATGAAAAGACACTTAGCAACAGCATGTAGATCCGAAGCCAGACCGAGAAGCCTTACCATAATGCTAGTTATGACTAAATACCAGGCCATCCGAGGCACTCACCTGATAACTCCCGATTGTCCGGAGTACTGATTTGCAGGTGTAACTTCTGGATTTTGCATCTCCGTCAACTCCAGTATCTAGTCGACAGGGTTGCTCTGCTCTAGACCTGGTCTCTGCAGCAATGTCCAAACGACGTAACTAGTGTTGGCTGCTCAACACCAAGCAATAGATTGTGCCAGTTCAACACTACAGCACTGCTGAGGCTATGTGTACTAGTCATCACGTTTGCAAGCAGCAGAAATTATGTGCAGTGGCTGAATGGTATACGCAACAGGAAGACCAAACTTTCCGTCTTTCGTCGTGATAAATGTCTCTTTGCTGGGTGTTAGACGTAGCTTACCGTTGGATGATGGGCAGGCTGCCGTGGCCCAGTGCTGAGCACTCATTCCCAGTAACGAGAGCCAGTAAACACGGTACTAGCACTGCATGATGTATGTATTTGCAATCGTAACTGCAATTGCGTTTGGCTTCTGCTGACCATTGATTGTACAAGAAGCGATTGGCGGCAGCAGGTTATCAAGCCACCTCTACAACCGAACCATTCCCCCATGCCTTGGCACTGCCAACGGGCGTTTGTCGGGATGGGTAATGGAGGGGACGTGATGATATGCAACAGGGGATCCCATTTTTGGGGCTCAAAGTCGCAGAGGCCGAAACAGCAAAAGCCGAATAGAGTATGGACATGGATTGGCTCGCCTCACCTGCCTCGACACCACTCCGTGAAGAGTTCCCCGTTCCTGATCCTCACGGGCCATGTTCGGGCCCAGGGGCGTGGAGCCGACTAACACCGTCCAATCCCGTCGCTCCTTTGTAGTTGCTGATAAGGAAAATAAATAAAAATAAAAATGCGATGGACGCATCTCCGCGCTAGAAGCACTTCACCCCTTGCTTTGTGCCCTTATCGCCCCAATGGAATCAGCCGATTCTTCGACATCAATTCATCGTCCAAAGGAAAATGACGCCTACTGATAAGAGGTTGCGTCTGTTCTTTTCGAATTCCGCGGGTATTGGAAAACACTCAGGCCTCTAGGACAATTTGATTCTCGCATCTCCTCGCCCGTTGCCGTGCCGTATCTGTTCCTTTATCTTGGTTTGACAAGTCTTAGTGTGTTGAGCATATCTGATGTCCAAGGCCTTGTCAAAGGCTATGAGCTTTGGGCTCGGTTGTCTTCTTCTTACCACATGAATGACACGGTGAGGCAAGGGTACGGTGGACAGAAACAGGGTCCCTGGGATAGGGTACGTTATGGATCCAGAGAATGTCAAGTACCTTTGCCCACAGGGTAGAGTGGGTGCGAACGGACGGTGCCTTTCATCGTTTAAGCCGCAGCGCATGTCCGTATAGACGATCTAACTATCTCCCTGTAGGAGGGACGGGCTGGCCCTACTTATCATTCTTCCGTCTGGTGATATGCTGTTGTATGGATACCGTTCCATGCCATGCCGTGCCTTAGCAGATCGCCTCCCATTATGCATGTGGCCCGCCCACACCACAATCACCCAACTCCAGTTCTAGGAAAACCAAATCTATTTCACCATACCACCCGTAGTGGTACTTATTTACCACGGGCCCAGCCTTCGTGAAGACCTTGCTCCTCCCTCATTCCCCTTTAACATTCTTCTATGCCATATCCTTAAGGCGGCCATCATCTGCCATTCCGTTTCTTCATCTGATTCATGAACTCAGCCTTTTCCGGGCTTGCTTATGATTACCGTCCAGGCGAAGCAGCCTACATCACTCTACTCGCTTCATTATAACAAACATAGTTATTTAACCTTGACCAAGCCAAACCTGCACATCAAATCTCCAATAAGTCATGGATGTGCTCGCACCCCAAGCTCATATACCCTTACGAGAACCTCTTCCCAAATATGACATAGCATTCCCTCCAAGTCCGGCAACCACGGTGAGAGAAGGCCAGTCTTACAGCGTCGACGGTGGATCAGACTCTTCAGTCACCGGGGGCCTACTTGACGAGCCCAGCGCAGAAGGACCTCGCGGATATCCTCTACCCCCCAGATCCAGAGTCAACAAGGTCCTGGCGGAAGATCTCAAGACACCAGATAACCATGTTGTTCGAGACCCTCGGCTAATACGCTTGACTGGTATCCATCCTTTCAACGTCGAGGCTCCGCTGAGCGAGTTGTACGACGAGGGATTCATTACGACCAAAGATTTACATTATGTTCGAAACCACGGAGCTGTGCCCAAGTGTGAGGATGAGGATATGTTCGACTGGGAATTCACCGTCGAAGGCGAGGTCGAGAATCCCATTAAAATATCCGTCAGAGACCTAATCTCCGACTACGAACAAATCACATACCCCGTCACCCTCGTCTGTGCCGGCAACCGCCGCAAGGAGCAAAACATTGTCCGCAAAACAAAAGGATTTTCCTGGGGCGCCGCTGGATTGTCAACCGCCATTTGGACCGGTGTCGCTATTGGCGACCTCCTTGCACGGGCGATGCCCAAGAGGGGAGCACGCTATGTCTGCTTCGAAGGTGCCGACAAACTGCCTAACGGGTATTACGGGACGAGTATTAAGCTCAACTGGTGCATGGATCCCAACCGGGGTGTCACTGTATGTTATCGTATGAACGGCGAATTGCTCCCACCCGACCACGGCAAGCCCGTACGCATTATCATTCCAGGTCAGATTGGCGGCAGAAGCGTCAAGTGGCTCAAGAAGATCATTGTGACGAAAGAGCCCAGCAGCAATTGGTATCACATTTATGACAACCGTGTACTGCCGACCATGGTCTCCCCCGAGGCCAGTGCAGACCTGCCCGACACTTGGAAAGACGAGCGATATGCTATATACGACCTCAATACGAATAGCGCCACCGCCTACCCCGCCCATGACGAGGTCGTGCCATTGATCGAGGGACCCCAGTCGTACAAGGTCCGCGGTTATGCGTACGGTGGTGGCGGTAGACGTATCACAAGAGTCGAAATCACACTCGACCGTGGCAAGACCTGGATGCTTGCGAACCTCAACTACCCCGAAGACTCATATAGACTAGCACCCAAAGGCGAGACTCTCTACGGCGGCAGGGTAGACATGGATTGGAGAGAGACATGCTTTTGTTGGTGTTTCTGGGATTTGGACATTCCCATTGTCCAGCTCGCCGAAGCTGCAGATGTCATGGTACGCGCCATGGACGAGAGCATGATGACGCAGCCAAGGGACATGTACTGGAGCGTTTTGGGCATGATGAACAACCCTTGGTTCAGAGTCATCATTCACAAAGAGGGACACAACTTGCGTTTCGAGCATCCGACTCAACCGGTCCTGGGTGGTGGCGGGTGGATGGAACGTGTGAAGAAAGCTGGCGGTAATCTTTCTAATGGCTTCTGGGGCGAAAAGATTGAAGGGGAGGAAGAAACCACCGCCGAGCAAGAACCCGCCAAGGAGATCTCTATGACCAAAGAAGGGGTAAAGCGAAGCATTACCATTGATGAGCTTCGACAGCATGGCGGCGAGACGGAGCCTTGGTTTGTAGTCAATGGCGAGGTGTATGACGGTACTCCTTTCCTGGATGGCCACCCAGGGGGGGCCACGTCTATCTTTAGTGCTGCCGGCCAAGACGTATCGGAAGAGTTCTTGACCATCCGTAAGTACATCCTCAACTCAGTACGACTCATCTGTCGTGTACTAACATATCCATCGTATAGACAGCGAAAATGCAAAGGCTATGATGCCCGACTACCATATAGGCACTTTGGACGAGGACGGTCGGAAAGCTCTCGCTTTGGGAGAGATTGAGCAGGAGACTGATCAGGGACCACGAGCCGTCTTCCTCCAGCCTAAGGTCTGGACCAAGGGCATTTTGACGGAGAAGCGCAAAGTGTCACCCGACAGCAAGATTTTCAGTTTCAAGCTCGAGCACCCAGACCAAGCCATTGGCCTGCCAACTGGACAGCATTTGATGATGAGGCTACGTGACCCAGTAACCCGCGAAGCCATCATCCGTGCATATACCCCTCTCTCGGAGAGCACAGAAAAGGGCAAGCTGGACGTGCTCATCAAGGTTTACTATGATACGCCAGAGCGTAAGGGCGGCAAGATGACACAGGCACTCGACGCCATCCCCGTTGGCCACTGGGTCGACTTTAAGGGCCCTGTTGGGAAATTCGAGTACCTTGGAAAAGGCTTCTGCTCCATCTCCGGCAAGCAGCGCCGCGTCAAGCGCTTCGTCATGATCTGTGGTGGCTCGGGCATCACACCGATATTCCAGGTCCTTAGGGCCGTCATGAAGGATCCCGAGGACCCAACAAGCTGCGTCGTCCTTGATGGTAACCGGAATGAGGAGGACATCCTCTGCCGCCACGACCTGGACGGCGTAGCCAGCACCAACCCAGAGAGGTGCAGGCTGCTCTACACTCTAACCAAACCCACTGCTTCATGGAAGGGGTTGACTGGCTTCTTGGACGCAACTATCTTGGAAAGGGAGGTAGGCGCGTGCCGAAATAATGCCGGCGGGGAAGAGCTCGTCCTCATCTGCGGCCCGGGACCGATGGAGCAGAGTGTGCGCAACATCCTGTTTGGGCTGGGCTGGAAGGAGGAAGACTTGTTGTTCTTCTAAACAACACGCCATCTTTGACTTGAATCGCCTGCTGCTGGGAAGCTTTAGAGTCTTCAGACGTCGTCACACTCCGCTCCTCCGGACGTGTTGCAAGTTTCGGGTCTCGGCAGGGGAAAAGACAGGGTGTGGTGAAGAAGAGCCGCTTCCGCCTCGGGCCGTCATGGCGCGCAGCTGTCACCGCGTAATTGCCGGTGACTGTCGCCACCCACATGCTCGATTTTTGGGTTCGCGATTGCGCAAGTGTGCGTGTGTATGTGGGGGTCCATTCCTAAGGGGTGGTATTCGCAAGGGACGAAATTGAGCATCTCCGGATTAAGCTTGATAAGCGGCTTAAACCTTGATAACGTAGATAGATAGACAGAAGGTTGGGATGGATGGGAGGCTTCGGAGTTCGGGTGCTTATCAGCGGGTCATGTCTGTTTTTCATAGTGCTTTGGACATCTCCGCGGACGAGAATCAAAAAGGATCTTTGCAACGACATCTACGTAGTTCACTTGCATATGACAGGCCTACCGGGGGCCGGGGGCCTCCCGTATCTAAATGGGCGCAAAACGAATGGCATATCAACCTGTTACTATCATCGCATGAGTAGCTTGAGACGAGAATACGCCCATAACACTTTTAGGTTTATCTTTTAATTATGTATCTACCTAAGTACTCGTCTGTGCTGTGAATGGAAAGTACGCTACGCTTGCTAAAAGACGAATATTCTATCTTTACCTATTTTATGCGTAGCCGAGAGGTAGAAAGCTTTGGAGCAAGCTATGCCGACTCAACCGCAAGGTCTGCTTGGACAGCATTCTAACCATGTACACTCTGCTCGCAAGACACACATTACTTCTGTGCCTGTTTTGTTTCTCGCCTTCGCTTTGCACTTCAGTGGCCGGTAGCGCCACCCTCAATGCCAGCTCGAGAAGCACCAGCGCCATGGCCGGGCGGGTTAGGGTAGTAGAAAGCCGCGACCGCGATCGCGAGGTACACAATAACGCAGAGGAATCCTTCGAGATAATTGCTCTTCTGGTCGCGCAAGAAATTGCCGACGGTAATGATTGCGAGGATGAGCATGGAAATGTCAAAGACCTCAAAAACCAGATCCATGTGTTTGTGTCGACCCCATGCGACAATGACAACCAGCGGGGCGTTGAGCAGGGCTGTTTGTAGCGTAGCGCCGAGGACATGAGAAAGGGCGAAGTTCATTTGATTATCCCAAGCCTCGTCGACGGCTGTTAGGTGCTCAGCCGCTTTCTCAACAAGGGGAACAAGGATCAGACCCATAAATGGGTCGGAAATGCTATGCTCCTCGACAATTGGGGCGATTTGTTCAACAAGAAAGATGGCTATAAATGTTACTAGCGTGATGGAGATGACGAGAGCAACGATGCACTCAGTCAGGGTAAGTTTGGCCTTCTTCAAGTCCCTGTGCTTGTCGTGGTCCCGCTGCTCGTCATGTTCAAAGACGGCGTCATAGATTCCGTGATGGGTGCGAGCCTGGAAATAGACATAAACCATATAGGAAATGATGAGAAGGATGGCTACGATGCGTGATATGTGAAGCGTTTTGCGGTCGATCTCTTCAACGGTAAGGATGGATCGGAGCGAGCGATCGAAGATGGTAGGTACAGCCAGGGCGACGCCGCTATACAGGCCGTGTGAGCGCTTGGCCTAGCAGTAGTGTAGTAAGAGGGAGCCACTTACGCAGTTAGTAATAAACCACTACCGGCTTCGGTAATGGTATCACTGAATTCTGTCTCTTCGCGCCGCATGCCGCCAGCGATGAAGCACAATCCCAAGCATAACAGCATAGTTGCCAATATAGAGCCAAGAATAGCGGCTTGGATAACCGCGAATTGGTTGCCTTTGAGAAGAACCATAAAGAGGATGACTTCAACTACAGAACCCAAACTGGCATCGTGCAAGTCAGCCATCGGCAGAACAAAAGTGCAATGAGCTCGCTCACGTTGTTTCAATCAGCACTCCAAAGACGTGGCTGACCTTGCGGGAAAGCTCCTGCCCGGCAAAGCCAACCATGTTGGCGCAAGGAATCATGGCAATATAACTTAGAGCAAAGATTAAGACATGCTCATTCGGGAGAGCATCTAGCAACCCTAGTGTTAGTTTGGATTATCCCGAATAAGATCCACCAACGCCAACCCGAGAGCCATGACGTACATTTAACCGCGAAAGCAGCTGGAACAACAGGCCAGAATATATTGCATATCAAAGAAGCTCGACTTGATGACTTCCAGGTGATTCTCAAAAATTTAAGCGGGTGAAAGCCACTACGACCACTCTCACCCGAGGGCTTGACACGAGTTTTGCGGCCGGGCGGAGGACGGTGACGTTGGGGGCCATAGTGAACGGGTAGGGAGTCCGTGGCTGATATGGCAGAAGTGCGTGCCTTTTCAGGGGCAATGGGAATATTTGACTCCCGCCGTCTCGAGACCGACTCACGGTAGGTTTGGCGGTATGGGGACCGGGGGGCCGACATGATGACGAACGAATTTGCCCAAATGACTAGACAAGTTGTGGTTGATTTGCGAAAGAAAAAGCAAGGCAACGCCTCGAAGTTGACAACAGAGACCAGAAAGATATATACGATGACGGGGCGGAGGGCTCCCAAGCAGGTGCAGAGCGGTGTTGCTGAAGTCAGGAACACGGGAGACGTTAACAGGCCAAAAACCAAGACTTCTGAAGGTGCTCGCCGGGTGAGTAGGAGGAGGAAGGGGCATGGGATGATGATAAGAGATGGGGAACGGGGGGGTCTTGTTCTCCAGTCTGGTTTAATGTGGTCTAGGCCCTTGGTTGAGGTATATGGCAGTCTTGCTTGGGAGGCTGACCTTGGCCTGGGGTAGGCTTCGGACGAGGGTGTTTCAACTTCAGCCTTTCAGTTGGGGCCGGGTTGTTAGCAGGCGTTGTGCGGGCAAGATGGACGGGAGGTCCGCAGGTAAACAGCAAATCTGTCGATCCAAGATTTCCCTGGGGGAGAGAGAGTTCCTAGCATGTTCGGGCTTCGTTGCATGCTCATAATGGAAGCCAAAAAGGGGCCTCCGGATAGTCTTTTGCGGAAGAAATGTGACCCATGCATAAAGAAAGGCAGTCATTTGTGGACAGAAGAACAAGGTGCGCCGGGTTGAATCAAGGCACAGCCTAGCTTGCTGTCATGCCAAGACTACTGACAGACTCCTTGGGCATACCGAAGATATTGACCGCCTAAGTGCAATAACTGTGAAACCGCAAGTACAGGATACTTTCTGGAACGTGTGAAGCGCCGCACCTGGAAAGGTTCCTAAGTGAAAAGGTCCACGACAATGGCGCTAGCCACGCCTGCCATGTGTTGTGTTCACCGACTGGACATGTTGTACTTAACCCCCAGCGAATGGATTCCCAACTGACAACTACGGAGTCCTACGTAGACGGTGAACCACAATTTTCCTGATGGTAGTGCAGATAAGCAGCGGCTACGTCACCAGCGCTACGCTGTACCCCTGTCTGGAGTACGGGATAACAACAACCAACCCCCTAAGAAAAAGGTCGATTGACCGCTTGCCCCCCTCCATGCCTTCTTTCAATATCATTGACGCCATTCCGCGCTCTTCGATGCCGAAGCCATCATATCAAGCCAATCAAATACCCCCCCCTTTTATTTTTATTTTTATTTTTTCTTACTTCAATACATTTTTGTTTTTTCACAAAAATACAAAATATGGCCGATGGCAATTCAACACCTGTCTTTACTGTTTCGAAAACGATGACAGATACACGCCGAGCGGGTACATGCTCTGTTCTGGCCTTCAGGCAAGAATCATGCGACGCGCGGGTTGAATCGATCCTGTCTCAATTGGAACACAACACAATAGGAGACATCCCTGACGCGTTAGAAGGCCAAACAAGCCAAACATTCTGACGGAGGCAGCCAAACACGGACCTCAGCGCGGGAAGGGAAAGAGAACGCAACACCCAAGACCCTGGCCTATAACGTTGGACGTTCCGAGATTCAAGATCGCAACTAAGACTTCCAAGCCCCAACCTAGAAGCTACCAAGAATAGGCTTCAGTGGGTGCCGCAAGTGCCCAGAAGATGATGCACCAGTATGATTTCGTATTTCATCCCTTATCCCCACTACAGCATACCCGGGGAACACATCAGACACCCTTGGCAAAAGCTTCTTTCATTTGCCCCCACATTGTCTCTGTTCTTTCCCTCTGATTACTACAAAACCATGTGCACATCCGTGTAAGAGAAGAACCACATTTGTGGTAATGCTACTGTCTGTGGCGTGCGAACAATGCTGCCATCTCAACCTGAACCACGCTTCACTCCGTTAACATTACTCTTGCTATCACTAAAGCTTTTGGCCATCCTATTCGCAATTGTAAATGCCTGAAGGAGACATCAGGAAATGGGACTTGCCGGAAAACTACCTGCCTGGGTTCTCCCAGTCACAACACCGTACCGAATGTCCCTGTGCGGGGCTGACTCAATGCGGTTCCAACTGGCCCGCGGCCTCCGGGCCCCTACTCGCAGGCGATTTTCCTGCCTAGCGGCTATTCAGATCTTCGGCGCCCGCCTTGAAGAAGAAAACAACGTTCGCCGTAGGAAAGGGTTTTTTCTCGTCCGGGTTAACCTGGTTGATGAACATGGCTCAGATCTTCCCTGGCCAGCCAGTTTTGTCCACGGCTCCAAGGAGCTTTGGCTGTCACACATCTCTCAAGCATGTCGACCAACCAACCGGGCGTATTCTGTGACCCGAGTATGTGGGCACCTCCATTTTCTTCTTGTTCATATTTCCTCGTAATCTGTGAGAACCTTTGAAGGCATTGGAGGACACCAGTCCTTTGTCTTCTCCTTGTCCCTTATTCGTCCGGCATTACCCTCTGAAATAGAGAATGACCCAAGACGGTTCCCATAACATGAAAGCAGCCACTCAATTAATTCGTATCGCTTGAGTCCCCACACATCTGTCTCTGGCACCATTGCAGCGCTGCCGTGAGAAGCGAGTTGGTTTAAACTGGGTGGCGGCCAAATCTCTGGGGCCTTGAACCTACGTCGTTTTCTATGTGTGCGAGTAAGGCTTCTTGTACTGGCGATGCATTGAACGCTTACCTCACGGAACTGGTCGATGGGAAGACTGAAAAAGGCAATATTGACGACAATATGAAAGGTAGAAATGTCCTTTGAGCATGGCAACACTAAATGTACTGCGGACATGAAAGGTTCTTTGGGAAGCCAAGGGCGGTGGTACAGGTACTAAAAATATGTTAGATAGAGGCTGTATTGATTTGCCGACTTAAGGAAGAGAGAAATGACAGAAGAAAGAGCGAAAACCAATATTTCGTTCAATGGTAGCAAATGAACATACCACCTGAAGAAGATTCAGCTGTGCTGAGACTGTACGGCTGCTAGACAATCTCATCATGTCACTACTTGGAAAATAGCAATGTTTATACGGGACGGCTAGCCCTAGGGTTAAACTTGCTATTATAACAGAAGACCCTTGCTGAGATATTGGGGACAGACACAGTATCCCAAGATCCACAATACCGTTAAATTTTCAATATGTGAAGACATCTCAAACTTGCTCCTCTCGTACAGTTCTGTAAAGTTCTTTTAGTGTTATCATGATCTCGGCATCAGACCATAGCTTAAAGTCTGACCGGTCAATATTACTCGTATCCATGTGTCCAGTTATGCTTCGCCGGTCCACGCTTCCGCTTCTTCTAACAACACAGAGTCTTGGTCCTCAAACTCTTCCTCCTTGACATCAACAAGTCTGAGACTATTTCGATCCCTAGCCGGCACAGGCTGGGCTACGATGACCGTCTCTATGCCTGCCGGGCTGTATTCTTCGGGCCCCATGGGTAGGGATTCGATATCGATCTCATGATTCAGGAGAGCCCTGAGGACTACCTGGCTGCCCGCCTTACTCATGACCTCGTTCGCCCCTTTGCACTGCTCTGATGCCACGCATTCTATGCAACCATTCTCACAACAGCAAGTCTCAACCCGTTTAAGGGCTTGCTGAAGAAGGTGATCGATGTGTTCGAATGCCTTGGTGCTGATTCCCGATCCGCTGGCGCCTCCCTTTGCATCGTAGAACGTTAGTCGTCCCGGTCTCTTCCTTTGCGTCTCCTTCTTAGCAAACTCCTTTAACGCGATTTTGCATTCTGTTCGCACATCGCCAGGCATACTGATAACAAAGTTCGGCATGAGGCTGAGGATCGCATGTTCGGCCGCGTGAAGTGATGCGGCAACATGGAGTCTCCTATCGGCGAGTATTTGAAGGGCCTTCTTCGGTATGTCTAGCCACATTCCCTTGCCGTAACGAATAACCGGTGGGTTATCGACGTGTATGGCGTCGAGAACACGCTTCTTCTTGTCAACCTTGAAAAATCCATATACATTCTGCTGGATCTTAATTGTGCCATAAAATGCCTTGGATAGAGATCCAGAGATCCGCCGAATAGCTTCAGTTTCAATGGGATCAATGTCAGTATAATCTCGCTGCGTAGTTGTCCATTCAACCTTGACCTTCTCCACCCGTGCCATCATCTTGTCAGGCTGGAAATCCCTCACGAGGTATTTGTTCCCCTGGTGCAGAAAAATGGCACCGTCGTAGATGGTGAAAGTTGCTCTAGAGGCCTCGAGTTCTTCTAAAACCTCATTTTTGCCATGAGTAATATCGATGATAGCAAAGTGGTCATCCTCCGCATCTCGAATAGCAACAAACCTTGAAGGTACGGGGCGAAACCGATCATGACAATGATAGAAACCCAAGGCATCTCTGAGCAGTCGTTCTTCGCAGATCCGTGGAAGATCTTGGCCAAAATATTCTGCGTCTTCCATAGGCCTTATGGGCATTTCGTAGGCTGCACATTGAACATGGCCCTCTCTTATAAGCATGTTCTCGAGATCGACCTGAAGCTCGCAGTTGGGCTTCGTGAAGAGCTCATCGGGATTCAGCATGTAGTGCTGGTCGGTTGGGAAACAATCTCCCACCAAGATGGATAGTGAATCTTTGTTTCTTCGACCAGCTCGACCGCTTTGCTGACGTAGATTTGCTATGGTGTATGGGAATCCCCAAGTAAGCACACAGTCCAACGTTCCAATATCAATACCAAGTTCTAGAGCAGTGGTGGCGACGATGCCAAGTAGTTTGCCCTCGAACATTTCTGACTCGATTCTCCGCCGATCTTGAGCAGTGTAGCCTCCCCTGTAGCCCATGACTCGGTTGGTACATTCCGGTCGTCCAAGAGATTCCAGCTCTTGTTGCACAGCACTCACTAGCTTCTCACATTGCTCCCTGACTCTGCAAAAGGCAATGATACGGACGCCCCTGAGCATTAGTTGACAGAAGAGGCGGGCACACTCAAACATAGCATCACCACGACCACTAGCTGGATCACCTGGGTCTCGATAAGGGGTGTTCCAGCACAAAAATTCCTTTCGACCTATGAACGTTGGTTAGTTAGGTGGTCAATTTCAAACACCCGGAAAATATCAATACATACCGGAAGGGGAGCCGTCAAAATCAACTAGGCGAACATTTTCAATGCCAAAGATGGTCTTGAAATGCTGTTTGGGGTTCGCAACGGTTGCCGAACATGAGATGAACTTGATATGACGGTTGCCTACAGCAGCACATATTCGACGCAGCCTTCTCATAATGAAGGCCACATGCGATCCCATTTGCCCGTTGTAGTAGTGCAGCTCATCAACAACGACATACTTAAGGTTCTTGAGAAACGTTCTCCACCTTTCCTCTTGCGGCAGTATCGTGATATGAAGCATGTCTGGGTTGGTAAAGATAATCCTGGCCTCGTCTCGAATTGCGTTACGCTCGTTCATCGGGGTATCTCCATCGAAGGCCTCCACGAGCACATCCTCCATCCCTGGCATATAGCTCAGCATTTCTCTTAGACTTCTCTTCTGATCTTGTGCTAAGGCTTTTGTCGGAAAGATGTACATTGCACGCGTGTTGCGATCTTTTTCCAGAGCATGTATCACAGGAAGCTGGTAGATGAGGGACTTTCCTGAGCTTGTAGAGGTGGCCACAACAACATGCTGGCCTTCCAGCAAACCGTTGATAGCTTCTGCCTGGTGCGCAAAAAATTGGGTAATTCCTTTAGCATTGTACAATGCATTCACCAAATCTTGGCTAAGAAGAAAGTTCAGTTCTCCAAAGACGGGCTTCTGAGGCTCAAATACTCTGTGGCCGTCTGGAACAATCTGTCCCGTGTACCAAGAGCAGTCTTTTAGCTCCTGAACAATGTCAGGAATACTCTTTCGTTCGGCGGGTATAGACGTGGGCAAAGACCCTAGGCTTTTCTCAGGTGGCGTCTCCGGAACAGTTGGCATAGGAATGTAGGCTTCGGCTGCTTTCGCCAGTGTTCTATCGGGATCCGAGCCATCGGAGAGGCATTGGTTAAGAAACAGGTTGACCGCATTGTTGAACTTCTGATTTCTCCTCTCGATGAGCTGTGTCATCTGCTTTTGGCTGTAAACTGGTATTCTCAAGGCTTCTTCCCTCAGTTTCCTCGATGGCTTGGTAATCTCGCCAGTCTTCTTGTCCTTGACCTGCCGCTTCAGATCTCCGTCTACGAATTCGAAATACAACACCTCTTTGCCCCCTTCAACAAACTCATCAGGGTGGTGGTCAAGTTTCTCGAGGCCAGATATACCTCCGACCGAAGCATCCGGGGCAGGGGCCTGGGAGTGGAAGTCTCGTCCGGCTTTAAAAGTTACGTCGCGCTCCGCCCCTCTGACCTCAGTCTGTAACATTATTTCGTCCACGTAGGCAAAATTGACGCCCTCAGGTCGGATGGCGGCAATGGCGGCGACATCCTCAATCGTCAATGTTCTCTTGATGTGCGATTCCACTGCAGTTCTTATCGTTTCAAAGGTCGTAGCCAGGTGTTTGCGAGTGCAGCAGAACGTGAAGACTAAGTTGAGGGCACGATGTGTCTTCTCCAAAGCCTGGAAAGATTCAGGCCATTCGGTCTTACACCCACTAGAAGAAGACGTTGTACTGCCTGCTTCAATCACAACAGGCTCAGTTTTCTTTGAAACACCTTTCTTTCGAGGGTTTGTATCCTGTTGGCTGTCTGTAAAGGCCGCATCTTCGGTGCTAACTTTACCCTCTGCTTTCACTTCCTCAGTTTCTCGCCTCTTTCTCTTTCCTCGTGCACTTCCACTTTGCATAGCTAACAACTCGATCCGCTACTAGAGAGCGGCGTCTTCAGAACTAGCAAACTGCTTGCGTGAAAAGTTGGACAAGACGATGGCGGTTAGACACAAGGCAATATTGTGAATAGAGGGCGCATGAAAGTCACAATTGGGGTTTATTTTCTTAGACACAGCACAGTGGAAGCTGGTCGCAAACGCGTAACGCCACTAGCGCGTGGTTTACATGGTCATCTGTGTCACATAACCCACACCCTGTCACGTGAGCCGAGACTTGGAAGTACTTCTATGCCTCAAGTCAAGGGCACCATCGCTCCTCTTACCAGACGGTCCACGACTTAATAGGAGGAAAGGTTTAACTCCTCCATCTTCCCCTTTATTAATTTTATAGTTACGTTGAATCAGCGTTGAGGTGTGACAGTTCATGTTACTGTGTTGGATTCATATCTAAATGCACCCAAAAACACCCGTTTCCTGGTGGAATGCCAGGACAGCAACTCGACATATTGGCGGCGACAAACTCAACTCTTTAAGCAAATAATTGCCGTCCGACAGACTGTATGCCTGGATTTTCTTCGCCCGCGATCTAGCCTCCTAGTAATGCTCGGAACAGCCGTCCGATTATTATACCATACGCTTAATCTGTAAGATTGTGTGCCTTAGTATATGTAGCCGCCAGCCTGGTTTGTGACTACAAGCTACCCCATCGTTGGAGAGCTCAGTTACTGGAAAGCTCTCGTTGTACCATCCCAACCTCATTCAAGAACAACTTGGCACTGGCTGCACTCATCTGCACATCGAACGGTCAGTAATTACATCTCAAATGAAGATTATCAAAGGCATTGAATACACATACCCTCATGTGTACGCTCACAGGCTTAGCCTCTTCACCCTCAAATGCGGTAAACATAATCCCGACAGATTTAAGGGAAGTCTTCTCCTGGAATTTCATGGCTGGGAGGATGGCCGTATTTAAGAGTATTCTGTGTGTTTGGTCTTGTCTCATGATGAGACGAGCAACTTTGTGGCCTTTGCTGCCGCCAGTCTCGGGGTCATCATTCTCCTCTTCCAGGCCTGATGCGTCAAAGGAACCGGGTATCGGGACGCCAGCATCGTCGAACGAGACGCAAGCCTCAGGAACGTTGATCTTCAGCATGCCAGATCCGCGCTCTTTCCAGCCGACATCCTTCTCCAAATAGAACATCTTAGCTCTAACTTGGGTTGTCGTGGCCTCGCCAGCCTCTCCGTCATCGACAGTAACTGAGCCTAATTAGCAGGTCAACCTGGTATCGCACACATCTAGACTCACTCTTCTGTAGCCTGGTCCGCTTCTTATCATCCACAGTCTTTGACTCTTCTTTGTCAGACTCCTCTTTTTCGTCCTTGTCGCCAGGCTCTGAGGCAGACTCGTCGCCGCCCTCGGCCTCGTCGTCACTCCCATCTTCCGCGTCACTTTCGGGAGCCCCAAAGGGCTTAGCAGGCTTCTCACTCTTAAAAGAAGATTCGCCCACCTTGGCAAAGCTTGTCAAGGGCTTGCCTGACAATGCGCTACCGAAGGCACTGCCGAATGTCGAACCGAACCCGTTTGCGCCGGCGGGCTTAACGCTTGCAAATGGTGAAGCGGCGGCATTGGCGCCCCCGAAGCTCAAAGTTGGTGCTGTGGCAGGCACTGCAGCAGGCTTGGACGGCGACAAGGCGCCGAATGGCGATGTTGTGGAGGTTGATGCACCAAAAACGCTTCCCTTTGTCGAATTTCCCAGAGAGCCAAAAGGGGAGGCACTCGAGGTCGCCAGCTTAGCAAAACCAGAGGTAGCAAAAGCCGCAGCCGATGTTCCTGTCTTCTCGTCCTTTCCATACTCCTCTGTCGTTGCTGATGTCGTTTCGGTTGTAGCGGGATCTGTTTTCTTCAGGTCGGCAGTGACACTTGATGGCGTCTAGATAGGAGAAGTCAGATTAGAGGCTCAGATCGCCATGAGTGCAAGGATAAAACCTACAGAAGAGTCATCTGTAGGACCAGCGGTGACAGTTACCTCATCTCTATGCCTCTTCTTTTCAGGTTCCAGTCGCGAAGCCCTGTCCTTAGCGGAATCACTTGAGGCGATGCTTTTACTGTCCGCCTCATCGGCATCCTTGCCATCTTCTAGCTGATCGTGCGCTCGCTTCTGCTGCTTCTTTGGCGATGTAACTTGCTCTTTGTAGTCGTCATTTGCGGAGGGTTGCATTATCGTCTCGCCAATTGCGTCAACGGTAGATGATTTCTCTGAAATGGCTGTATGCTTGAGTTCCTTGCGGGCAGCAGCAGTTTCGGCATCTTCCTTGGTGTCGATAGGGTCGGACTTCGGGCTACCGCTTCGAGAGTCGTCAGCCATGATGACAAGGTCCAAAGATCGAGTTGTGTAGCAGTTCGTTGTCGGTGTTGGTGGTGCAGGTGGTGGGGAGGCCTTCTGTTTGACCCTGCCCGACTTTGCAGATGGTAAGACCAAGCAATAAAAAAAAAAAAACGACAGTAGTCCAAAAGCGATCAGATTGCTGGCGGCAGTGCCAGCAGATGCGCCAGGGGGAAAACGAGAGCGTTCCTCCAGTAGGTTTAGAGGGAGAAAAAAAAAAAAAAAAAAGGAAATAAACCTGTCTGCAGGATGGATGCAGAGTAGGCAGGTGCAAACCGGAGGCTGATGTCCCTCCCACGTTTCGGAGCTGGTCGCGCGGCTGTGAAGGTTGTGGTGCGGCTGTTGAAGGTGCGGGTGCGGATGCGGTGACAACAGTTTGAGTCTGTCTGTACGGCAGGCTGTATTCCCCTGCAATGACTACTCCAGTGTCCGTTGTCTCTAGAGGCTCAGCTTTGCTAGGAATAATTGAATGGGGCCGACCTGTAGCTGAAGGCAATCGGCCCAATCATTCGGCACACCAGGACGACAACGGAACCTGGATTTCGATTGGGTCAGTCGCAGACTGCCTGCATTAGCGCGCTTTACCTGTCAAGATTGGTTGGCCGGAACCTACCTAATTAGAGAGACAGAAAACGTGCTCCAGTGAACCTTCTAAGGCAACGGGCTCACTGGGAGCCAGTATTCGCGAGGAGGGGTAGATTCATACAGTGGAGAGTTCCCTGGCACACCTCCTCCCGACCGTCATTCTGCCGACTGGATTCGCATTGACGAAACATCCGTACTTCACTGCGAAATCTGAGAGTATCAGGCTGAAAGGGCAATGTGATGACCTGTTGGCGGAAACCGCCGTTACCGCTTGCAACCAAAGAGCAGCGAATTTGCTGGTATAGTTTCTAGTATTAACTGTTAAAGTTGTAGCGTGGCACAATCGCTTTGTATCCAAATTACACCAGAAAAGTTAAGTTATTGGACAAAGAAGAGATACCAACAACCAACGTGTATAAACAAAAACCCACGTCTCTTTGATTGGCTGGAATTGATAAACCAAGTTTACTCTTACAATACAGTGGATATCTAGAACTGCAGCACACGCCCAAGTCTTTCCTCCAAGTACGTACGACCCTCTCTCTCTTTCAGCAACCTATATGGGCTTGCATACCCTTAACAGCTTAGCTGATAAAGCAGAGACAGCCTAGACCCAAATAAAAGACAAACAATGGATAAACCGCAATGCCCACTCTGTTCTTGACAACACCGCTGCCGCCGAGGATGCTTACTCCTGCAGCCAGGGACCATGCTACCAGGAAGAGATAAACGGGGACACGGGCAATTGTGGGGATACCAAACGCCGAGAGCAATGCTGCAATCACCAGGGGAAACAGCGTGTAGCCTATAATGCAGACGCTTTGCGCAAAGGAACTACAGCCATCTGTCAACATTCGCTTTTCGGAAGAGGTTCGCCGATCACAAGGGCAACGAGAGTTCAACTTACATGCTTCCTCCCAACAGCTTGATCTGCAATGTCACAACTGCCTCTCCGATCCAGATCATTGCAAAAACACCGCTGAACACGACATCTTTCTGATCTGCTCGTGCATTAAAACTCAAAAGAAGGCTGAGCAGAAGGCAGAAGATGAGGGGGCCCCAAAGATCCCAGTCACGTAGGCCTGGTGTCATGTTGTTCTGCGATAGAAGAGCCTCCGAATCCATGAACCGACTTGCCAACCCTGTAATCTCTTCGCGGGCACCGGCAAAACCAGCTCCGCGAATATTTGCGTACGCACCTCGGAGGCCGTCGGCATCGAACATGGTACCTCCGAGCAGGTACTTGGGGTAGAGAACCTCTCTCATCTTCGCCCATACGGCGAGGAGGTCTCGACGAAGGGTGTCCCATACAGATTCGTCAATAGTGTTCTGCGGTGCACGGCGGTCTTCGCCGGGTATCCGCGAGGTCCAGGCATTCTCGTTAAGAGGCCGGGATGAGGAAGAGCCGGAACCAATGTTTCCTGTAAGTGGTTGGCGTGAGGATTGATGGCCGAGAGGGTCATCGAAGTCATCTAGATCAGCTGTATGGAACAATTGTTAGCTCCAAAGTCACTGAAGAAATTGGAAGCGACATAGGTGCTTACCATCATCAGGATCAATAAGGTCGTCGTCGGCCAAGGGAGGGTTGGCGTAGTCGTCTCGTCTGCTTGTAGATGCCATTGCTTGGTTTGGTTTGAGAATAATAAAACCAATCCAGCTCGAGCGTTAATCTCAGGATGCCGCGCGCAGTCTGTCGGTGAATGTCTTTTGAGTCTTGTTCAAGCAACTGACAGTGCGTCTTTGGTGCTTGTGGATGGGATGGAAAGGATACCCAACTGACCTACGTAGCAGCTTGCGACTCTGCAAGACTCCACGGTTTCCTCAAACGGTGTTTGAGTGGTCCAAGCTCCCTTGACTCGGAAAATACTGACCCGCCTTCCCGACCACACCATTCACATTCTATCCAATCAAACGCACTGTTCATCCGCCGCTCTAAATACTTAACCACGTCCCATTTGGTTCTTCAAGTTTGAGAGCTTTTAAACAATTTCTCAATGCCCTTAATGCTCTTACGTCAAGTGTTTTTCAGCCTGAATTAGGCGCAATATACATCCATCACTTGTAGCTTCCTTTGTCAATTTCCTCTTCACTATGGGTATCTGTCTCACACTCTGCTTACATCACTAGTGGAATAGAGAGTACCAAGTATCCCCTTGTCGCCCATGTCTGCAGTAAAATCAGTGTAGGTAGGTTTCCGCCAAGGCCTGGTCGCTATTTTCAAAAAGAATTCCAAGAGTAGTTTACAGGACAACTTTGTATGCCTGCCACCCGCAATGTAGAGACAATACATAACCCAAACGCCATTGCTAAGTAAGGTCATTGCCAAATGGCTCGTTCCAGCTCTGCCATGTGGCCAAGGTAGGCTTCAACACGTTTACTGCCAAGGATATGGATGACCCTGAGATGGATCGTTTCTGTCACTTGTGTTATTTGGTAAGTTGTTGGGGTGACCTTGACCATTGTAAGGTGGCGGGGTTTCATCCCACGACTGATCTTGAAGCACAGCCTGAGATGCGGAACCCTGAGTTTGCTGGTGTTGCTGGTGTTGGTGTTGCTGGTGCTGACGATGATGGTGATGATGATGATGATTGTGATGGCTGTGATGTGCTTGTGTGTTATGGAGAGGCTGATGATGATTATGACCGACATTTTGGTCGTATGCAGATGTATATGCAGGTTGTAGCCCGGGCCATGTTGGAGGAGGTTGAGAGTATGTGTAATTTCCCATGCCACTCTGTGGTACATGGGTGTGTCCTGATGGCGATTCATTGGAGTGCAGCTGTTGATACGCCGTGGATGAGGAGGTGAACCCAGCCTTTTCCTTTTCATCGTATTGGGCCCAGCGACGAACCGCCTGATTTTCTGGTCCGAGATAGGATACGTTGCCGGCACTAGGATCCCAGACTGGCAGCCCATCGGGCTGGGCCTCGCCACGCGGCAAGCCATGTGTATATGTAGCTAAATTACCGTTGATACCGACAAGTGCCCAAGCAAACACAGCAACATCTCGAATAGAGCTCATCAGATGGTCAACTGGCGGGCCGCCAGCAGCCATGACGTTATCATGAAGAGGCATATACTGTGGCATCAGAGGAGCCCTGAAGTTGTACAACATCTCCTGGGGCACATGAGGCCGGATTGGATGATGGCCCCACGGTGCTGCGAATAGACCGTTGGTGTATGTAGGCGTCAGGAGCGGCGGATGAGGGGCTGGGATGGGGGGGCGAGCCTTTCGGATCACGACAACAAGCCCATCAGATGTGCATGAGACAACCGCCTCCAACTCAAAGGTTTGAATTGGCTCACGACGGCGATTCCTTAACGGTACAGCAGGCGAAGACCCTTGGTTTGCCGGTCCATCAAGAGACGGAGCGGTAGTAGCAGACGTCTGCTGCGTTCGGCTGCTCGAACCAGAAGTTACTGTAGTAGCAGTCTGAGATGTAGAGCTGTGGGTTGACATGTTAGGCCGGCCAGTGTCCTCTTTCTTGATTTGCGGGCTTGCGGGTTGTTCCTCATCGACATCCATACGGCCATCAAGCTGCACACCTCCCCCTTCTGAGTCACTGGAGTTTTCGCTGCGGTGTTCCTCTTCATCGTCTTCATCGTCAAAATCCTCCGGTCGACGTGGGTCTCTATACCAGAATCTCAAGTAGGCAATCGAGTCATTCGCTTTCGCACTCTCCAGGCACCGAATAGCATCCGGAAGGCAGTTCTCCTGGATACACTCGTAAAAACTCTTATCCTTAATTTGGTCCGGTCGAACGCCGAGGATGGAAGCTACTGCGTTGGTTGCAAACATGACGGTCAACGTTCGGGTAAACCGATTCAGAATGAGAGCCGCGCGAGGTTCGCGTTCAGCTGGGGACATTCTGAACTTGGGTGATAGATGTTCGAGCATGTGATAGCGGGGATCGCGAGGTGAACATGAAAAAATTCGGCGGATCTGCGGGGCCTCGATAGCTCGCCCTAGACAGAAAAGTCAGTCAAGAAGAGAGCATAAGAGTAAGGGCTCGACTTACTTTCGCTCTTTTCGCCTCTTTGATATATGCTGGTACATGCTACCAGCACATCATGAACGACTGTAAAGCAGCACTCACAGCTCACCCACTGACCGTCGCGTGCCTGAATACGAACATAGTGAAGCACGGCGGCCTTGTCCAGCAGGACCCCGCGATTGTGGACTGAACGAGCAAAAGGTACCTCTTCAGGATGGAAAAAATCGAAGCACGATCTACCCTGTACTTCTTGAGGGTTGTAGCCCAGAATATCGTAAACAGAGTCGGATACGAAAAGAATGACAGCATCAGGGTCCGTCGAATGAATGGTCATAAACGTTTGCTCCATTGCGGATGGTGGTTGGTCTGTGGCGCAAAACAGGGTCTGGGATTGTATGTTTGATAAGTCGCAATATTATATCAACTTCTCCACACGTTGCTCGGTACCCCAGGTGGCTTCAAGGGGATAAGAGTTGAGGAAGAAAGAATTAGGTACCGTTCTGTTTGTTGAAGAGCTTCGGAAAAGAACCGTCGCCGAGTGACGTGAAGCTGGAGTCTGGGAAAAGAAAAAGAAAGCTGACGGCGTGAACTTGAACCGTGGTATCGTCCAAGTGAATCGACCTGGGCGACTTTGTTTGAAGCTTCACTCGAGTCGGTGCGTCCGCGCCTGATATCAGTATAGGGCACAGACCGCAACGTTAACTTCAGACGAAAGACTATGAAGAATCACGAGCTATACCGACCCCAAGTATGTCAAGCTGGAAGGGTCAGGGGAAATATGTGCTGAGAATGGCAGCACAGTGCGGCTGCGGTAGCTACTATGAGCTATGAGTTTGTAAAAGTTGAGTCTTCTTCGCAAAAGGCAAAGGCGAAAAATGCTAGATTGATAGTCAGAAGTATTTTTGTACTACCTATCCACAACTGACGGTGCTGCAGACGTGTAGGGCAATCGACGTTTGCTACAAGGTTTTGACTAGAGATTTGTTCGAGATCCAGGTGGTCGAAGCGAATAGGAGGGGTGCGAGCGTAGGGTAAGACGGGGTTGCTGGTGTACAAGCGCAGCTGCAACAGTAGCTTAAGGTACAAGACCTGGCATATGGCGAGGCAGGCAGGTAAACAATAAGGAAACTGAACGTGACGTTGAATGAGCGTTGTTGGCGATTAGAGAAGACGAGTTAGTGTTTATGTCCGAGGGAAATCAAGTATTGCCGATGAATGTTATGTTGGTGATGCGAGGGTAGAGTAGGTTGTTTGTTGGGCAGGAGGATGCAGCAGCGGGAATTGACACCTAATAGTGTAGTATCCGTCGCGGTTGGACAATAGTAAGAAGAAGGAGTTTTGAGGTAGTGCGATGAGATGCGGCTGGTGGGTGCGACGAGCATCTTTTATGACTGCTCGTTGGGTTGGTGAAGGAGGCGGCGGGGGGAGTGACAGCACGGCACCGCAACACACATCATCTGTGCAGCGCAGCGGGCAGCTTCGAAAAACGGATGTGGGTAGGGCAAGGTGGTAGGAAAAGCCGACAGGGGGACTACTGCCAGTGCGACCCCGGCACACACCCGTATCCAGCTCCAGTGTGCAGGTGTGCCTTGTATCTCTCTCTGTCTCTTTTTACCACGGTCTGCACGGGTAGTGGTGCATAGGGGAAGGTACTGTGTACGACTGATTCTGGGTACCTAGTAGCAACAGCTTTGCCAGGGCCTAGGATCTTCTCTCACGTCAAGCCCATGACAGCTCTGTCTGTCTGGATAGTGTAGTGTATGCAAGTACAGCCGGACGGGACAGGGGGAGAGGGTGCAGTAGTGTAATATGAGGTACATCATAGACAGGGCTGGCGAAGCTCCCCGAAGACTTCCTGTTGCTGTAAAGCTTTCAAAAATCCTTGGACGTCTTCATACTCGGTTTCCACACTCAACAACTTTCCCCTAAACTTGCAAAAACCCTCATCCCAGTTATATCCGAATTTCCTTGGCTATCTGACGAAATCTTTGGAATCGGACCTCAGCTATCCGTGGCTTGTGTAAACTCGCTCCCTCTCTCTCTCTTTCTCTATGTAGGCAGGGAAAGGGGGAGAGACTGCACAATCCGCACTTGTTGTCAATGTGGGCTTGCTGAATTGACGTTGATAGCGGGGCGAGGCAATCTGAACCCATGTCTATTCCCTGCTTTTAATATTCGGCGCTTTTTCGTCTCTGCTCATCTCAGTGTGTAAAGCAGCGGCAAGAAACCGCTTTTCTGACACGCAATGGTCGAGGAAAATTAATCCACTTACCAGGCACACGGAGATGAAAATATAGAATCTTTTTTTTTTTACCCAGACGGGGGGATACAAAGTTTGTAAGCAAAGTACAACTGGGAGCGCTCGGATCCATTAAGATGAACCCCGCACCAGCAAAACAGCTGAACTATTGAGATGTGACAAGTGTCGCCATATACATTTCGCCTGACTACTAATGAGGGCATGCATCACAGAGCTCAACTTCGTAGAGAGACCCTTCCTACTTCCACTTTCCTAGTGAAGAAAAGCACACTCCCCCCACCCAAGGCTCAAGTGTACATGTTATTCGCACAAAGGTCGGCTACATCTTAATGATAGCTAATTCTACTGGCTATGCCTAAACATGCAAGTGTGCCGCAAATTGCTAGCAGCGTCATTTTAGCTTTGCTTCTCGTCCACCCAATAACGGCTTGTGTTACCTCCAAGCTTCTCCAACCCAACAGACAGCCAAACCAACAAGGTCTCAGGCCGTTAAGTTGTTGACACATGGCAGCTTAACTCCCTGATCAACGTTTTCTTCCGGTTCGAACACCACGCCAGGGCAAAGCCATGCACCGACAACTTGAACTAATAGCGACTGGGTCGCAATTCCTGCTAGTGGGTATGGAAGGCGTTGCGGGCAAGGCCATAGTTCGTCCAACAGGTAGCAATATAGGCTTGGATGGTCTCATGTGGAATAAAGCATGAGCTAGATAGAACACAGTGACGCTTCTGGGCCGTTTCGTTTCCCCACCCGAGGCTGTGATCTCATGCTGCTGAATTCTTGTGCGGGAGTCTCTGTCGCCTCCTTAATAACAAGCAGAAGTAGATACGGGATGAACAAACTACTCAGTTTCAGATGAGAAAAACTCTTCCGCCATAAGTCGTTTGATATTTGGAAATTCTGAACTGGCAGTCAGCAACAGCTCTCAGATCAACAGGAAGTCTGGCAGCCGTTTGTTTAGCTCCCCACCTTTACCTTCCAGACCCATGTCTGTGATGCCGATAACAGACATGGGGTCTGGGGATCTTACAAGGTCCAGAGGGCAGCTCTTCTCTTTTTCTGGCAGAGCTTGCGAAAACACGGCCCTTTTGCCAAATGCGTACCGACAGCCGATTCAAATTGCAGGGCACTTGAACCCGTTTCTTTCCCCGACGTTTCGTCTCCAAATGCACCTTGCCAGGCCCGTCCGTCATCCGTGGCGACGGGAGCGAAAAGGTTAAAATGGCGTCCGTGTGGGCAGAGGGTTCGGGTGGAAGCAACGCTACGCTCTGCTAGGAATAGCTCAACCTCCGTCTTCAGTTGACAGCTCTGAAGACAAGAGAACCTGGTTCACCCAGTTGGCTGCTGCCAGGGTCCCTGAACGACAGAAACCACAATTTCTCATCCTGCGTCTCTCTCATCAGCAAATTCTCCTTGAGCAGGCATGCCCAGAGAATGGTTGAACCGTTTAAGGCTACCCAAGGGCTGGGATATATCAGAGGCAACAGTCGTTGTCGACAGAAGATACTTCTGATGATAACCCTCCCTGCAATTGACCCGTGCAAAGCGTGGTATTTCCAGCTGCTTAACAAGCCACAGCCATGCGTCAAAGCTGCTGTCTGCTGGTATGAGGAATCATTTACTATGGAAGTGGGCTTTAGCTTTAAAGTCGTTATTCCCCAGGCCTTGTCTGCTAGAGACGACGTGTATTGCTCCATTGAGTCAGTATTATGTTACTCTTTGCTCTGATAGTGTCTACGTGGGTGCGCTAGATTGTCGTATTGCTTGCATATGGTGTCGCGGCAGTGGATCGCCACACGAAATATTGATCAGGGTCTTTGGCATCCATCCGTGACGTGAGCCGCATCTAGACAGGTCGCCGGCGCTGCACTACTGGGTCAAAAGGGTTCGTGCGACAAACACGGAGATGTCACGACGGCCCATGACCAGGTCTCGGGCTCCACGAATGTGGCCTGCTATGTATAACGGGACATGTTTATTAGCAGTCTGTGGAGCCCCGGTGCAATGTTTGCCGTAGGGGCTAGACCCATTCTATGGGTATCCGTTTTTTTCAACCGACAGGGTAATTCGTGGTTGTCGCGAAGGCAATGCCAGTTTGATGTTGGTATTTGGTGATGGATGTCTGACATCGAGAGTCAGTGATTGGGCATGATGAGGCTTGAGGGGCGGCCTTTCGCTCATGTAGTGAACAGTTAAGTCATATCCCACTTGTCCGCCGACGTACCCCGACGCCTTTATCTGAGCGGAAGAAGTGTAACACTATATACGTCTGTCCATCTGCGGCATCAAGATCAAGGGCTGGAACCGGGGAAAGATGAATGAATCGATGCAAAGTCTGGGCAGTCAAGCTGCCCAAGGCCTCAATTTATGAGGGGCTTTAGCTGTCCGTTGGCTTTCCAAAAAGCAACATATGGTTGCGGCTGACTGTTCTTCTGGCAAGTATGACACCGATATATCATAAGTGAGCATTGGAACCATAGTGTTATAGATACTAAAGGACAAGTTAACTTATTGCTGAGATGGTTAACTCGCAGTTAGAACCTTCAAGTATTAGATACACCTTGTCCCTGAATCCATTATCAACAGGGCATTAATCAAGGAACTGCACCAGCCCACCCAACACTTCCTTGGCCTGGGTTGGCATGCGCTACAGAACGCGACCCTCTGTTTCTGCTCTTTGAGTTTTTTCCTACTTTGGCCTTGGTGTGGTTTTTTCCCCCTTAGATTTCTCTTCTCGCGAGACTGGAATTTTCCTCTTTTCCTTCCTATTATCATACTAAGCCCTTGGCAGGCAGCCTTGAACACACACTGTCTAATAAATAGATACCTAGTTTTGCAATAACAGAGGCAGTTCCATTCTGGGCATACTTCACTGCTCTGTGACGGCGAATGAATAGCGCTCTCACTGAGTAAAGAATGTAGTTCTCTAGATCTGAGTATAAATGAATGAACCTGCCATTCGTAATGCTTTCGTCTGCTACATACTTGATACAACTCTCACATTGTATACATCAAACACACTTTGGTAGGAACCTGCCTTTTCAAACGCTTTTCTTGCCTCCCTTCGCACAGTTTTTATTTCGCACACCACCCCAGCCAATCTGGCTCAGAGGGGAGAATGCAAGCGAATTTGGTCAGCAACTTTTATTGAGGATATTGAAAAGTGTTTGAGAAGCTGAACATCATTTGCAACTCCCTCCTAGCTTGCGGAATCCGAATGGTGTTATCCGAAATATTCAAAATGGAGACGACAAACCCAGAGCTTCCTATACCAATTGATGCAGACACCCTCTACAACAACGAGAACCCCTTTGCTGACCCCACTCTGTCATTCCAGGTACACTTCTTCCGGCCCATGGCGCCCGGCCCCTCCTAACCCTCCAAAAGAACTCCATTAAAAGTACCTGAACTTCGCTGAGGCAAGTCAGCAAGCCTCCCACCACTGGGGTCCTGCCAGCCTGATACTTACTCGAGCAATACTGCCCCACCTTTTGGCCTTGCCCTGCTCCCATAGAGTGCCACTACTCCGACTGCATTTCATCTCAGCTTGTTCGTTCACCCCTTTCTGGCCGCAAGTTCCGACTCCAGCAATTCCTACGGACAATACTGCACACTTTCTTGAGGGGCGCAACTTCTGTTCTCACTGCGCGCCTAAGCCTTTCCACAGCCTATTCCAGTTTCCCACCGCGTCTTGTCTCACCCCTGGACCACTCAACCCTGATCAATGTAGTTTGTGCTGCGACCCGCTATCAGTTCCTGAACGAATCAGTCCAAAGAAGGAGGGGCAAAGACGCTTTGGCTCGAGAACGATACGGGGGGTTGTAGCGCTTTCATCTCAGCCACTCATCCACTTCACTTCACCTCAACAAGCAAATCCGCCATGGCCCCCACCACTATCGCAACTCCTTATGACTTCCCAAGATTGAGAGTCTCGGTACATCTTGAGGTACGTAACTTCTGGCTTCCTAACCCCAGTTTGCATCGCTGTGTAATTACGCGACAATGTGTGCACGGGAGAGTGTAGTTGAAAATTGATGGATATGATAATCTACGAAACGCATGCACGTTGCCTTTGAATCATTCATTCTGACATCCAAAACAGGATGATACCAGATATCTTTCTCAAGATGACACGGTCCCAGGTAAGTAGCCCTCCCGCTATTTCGATCTTGCTCAAACGGCGCGTAACCATTCTCCAGAGTTCTTTGATGTCAAATTCTGTCCCTACCAGCCGTTAGATGCGAGACCTATCTTTGCCGCTGTAAGCAAGAAGCATGTATGTGGTTCGCCCTATTCTGAACTCGTTTTTCTCAGCTTGCTCTTCGTCTTCTCATATCTGACCCCTCGACCTTAGATTGTCGTCTGCCGCCTCACAGCAACTGCTGATGACTCGAATCCTTGTGAAATAATTAGCATAATTAGGGATGATGATGTGCGCTCTGCCACTCAGTCCGTATATTCGCAAGGGCGGCAAGAACTGACTACTCGACCATAGCCCGAGGCAAGAAACTACTATTGCACCTGGACCAGAGATGCCGCAACGGGAAAGCCGCTCTTGTGTTACGGCGGCGAAGATGCGAAAATAAAAGTATACGACATTATCGAAGACAAACTTGTGAATGTAAGGCCCACCATTAAATACATTCGTATATGAATGCCTTTTGCTTACGGCTTTCACAGTGTCTAGTCGGCCATGGAGGAGTGAGCCACTTGTCTCAACTGTCTAGTATTCGAAGTGTAAAGAGTGTTGATAATTTTATTTAGGACATTTGTGATGTTGCTACGTCACCTATCGATCCACTGATCATCGCCTCGTGTTCGGATGATACAACTGTCCGTATATGGAGCTTGGATCCGAAACATGAAAAGCAGCCTTGCTTGTGTATTCTCGGAGGCGAGGGCCACTATTGGAATCTTCTTACTCTGGTTTGTCTCATATCGCTTCTGTTATCATCACCTGCAAGAGGGCTGTTACTGATAGCTTTACAAGGCCTGGCATGACACTGGCCGATATATCCTCTCGGCCGGCCACGATCAAATAATCAACCTGGCAAGCACCGATTCTAGGACAACCTATTTTCTTTTTCGGAGCTAACAAATGTTGTAGTGGACTGTACCAGACCTCCCAATCGACCCTACAGATCGCCCAGTTGAGGTTCACTACCCTCACTTTTCCACCTCTGAGGTGCATAGTAGTCTGGTGGACTGGTCGGTTTTCGAATGAAGACAGCACAGACACAAGTTGCTAACGATATCCAGTGTTGCATTTTTCGGCGACTACGTCCTATCCCGAGCCTGCCATGATGACGTTATCGTCCTGTGGAAGATTGAGGGTTTCTCATCCCTAGACCCGCCGCCGCCGCAGTCCATGGCTCCCACAACCATCAACCCAGGCAACCTAACCCGTTCAGCATTTAACCCGGGAGTTTCGACAGAATGCCCGGCGCCATACACTCGTCTCATTGAATTTCACACACCTGGTTGCGGCCCGCAGTTCTTCATGCGGTTTAAGCTACATTTCGTCCCAGACCAACATCCCATCCTCGCTTTCTGCAATGCCAATGGCAAGATCTTCTTCTGGGATTTCGAACAAATTACAGGCTTCAATGACTATGTCAAGGATATGAAAAAAAAGGACCTCAATGCCACTTTGGAAAAGCCAAACTGGCTCAGCGCTATTGTCCACCGGAGTCATGGAGGCGCCAAAGCGGAGCCGACTGTCAGAGAAAAGAAGGCGGCGGGGAAGATGTATCAAACGGACCTCGAGCAGACACCTGCTTTCGCTAATACATACAACAAGGAGACGTTGCAGACGTGGGATAGCAAGTACAACGTCAAGAACCCCCAAATTCCTCTGAGAGCCCACAAGGTTGAGAATTTTGGAGCCTCAACTTTTGTTGGCAGGCAGGTCGCTTGGAGTCCGGGAGGTGAATGGTGCGTTGTGGTGGGTAGCTCCAACTTCGCTTTAGTTCTACAACGATGGGCACCTAAACGGGAAACATGAGGTAGCAGAAAAGAAATGTCGCCCTCAGCGACACAGGAAGTCAAAGTTCTGTTAGGCGGGCAACTATAAAATGATAATCATTCCTACTAGCTTGCTGTTCGGTACTCTCTGATAGGTAATGAGGAAAATATGGGCAATAGGGGGCCGGTATCTTCCTCCGTAGGGGCCAATATCCCCTGAACAAAAGCATCAGGTCGACCGCCATATTCAATCATCCTCTGGAAACTGCTTAGTGCATTGTTCCTCTCTGCTTCACGCCGAACCTTGGCCTCTGCCATCTGTCCCTCTGTTTGCGCGCAAGCTGGGATGAGTAAGTCGCCCATATACAAGGACACCATTCCCCTTAACCTTAAGAGTTCGGGTTTGGTCGAGTAGGGCCGGTCCTCAAGCAAATCATCCATGCGGCTAGCCACCTGTCGCAGGCCATCCAGCGTTCGCACACGAATCAGGTCTCTCGCCTGGCGCAACCGCCTATCCCGCGCGTCTGCTTGCCAGACGGGTATTTCCGCTTTCATATCGGTGTCATCCATCATTTCATCAATCCCACTACCCGGATGAGGCTCCTGCCAGGAGTCATCTTCCCAGTCTTCCACCTCGCGCTCCAGCCGGCGCAGGGACGCCGTCTGTTGAGTGTGCACTTGATAGACCTCGTAACTCAGGAGCGCGGGCCAAAAGTCAACAGCCGAGACTGCATTGCGGTATTTGAAATTGTAAGGATACCGCTGGATAAGATCTTGGAAGTATTCGCGCACTCGTAGTATGTTTTCGGCCGGATATGCTTCTACTTCTTGGCTCTCATCTGCTCTGCTTTCTCTGCCATCACCCTCGCGCATCAGTATCTCAGCACCCAGTGCCCAGTAATTGTTACGCCTGATATCGACAGGCTTGCCATACACATGCGACCTCACAAGAATACCAAACGCACGTTTGGCGTTGGCCACGTCTCCTTTGTCCAAAAATCCGTAGATTGCTCTGACCAAGGGCCTGAACTGCTGTTTCTCTGAGGCGTATCTCGCCTTCTTCTCACCATCCTTCTTTCGGGAGCGAGGCTTTCTCTCCTCATCCAGATCTCTTTGCTCCTGCTCATCGCTATCGCTTTCTAGCGGCTTTGCACTGGCGGCAACGGTGACACCATGCCTCGTTGGCACGTCTGGGTTTTGCCACGCGCGGTGCGGAAATTTAGGCTGCTCTCGTGATGGTGGTTGGTCTGTCTCCGATAGGCCAGCGAGACGAAGTTGATGAAGGACAGAAGCTGTGTGACTGAGAGGATTGATAGAGTCTCTGGGTAAATGAAAAAGGTCGGCGTCCGAGTTGTCACTCAAGGACATGGCAGAGGCAGACCTCTTGCGACTGTGCTGCGATTGGCTCATGGTTGTTCGACCCGCTCACGATGGCAGTTGACTAAGGATTAGTCAATAAATGCTGCATTATCTACGAAGATTTATCTCAAGGGATCAAATGAGCTGATAGCGTACGTGGATCTGTCTTTGGAGTTTGCGAGGTAAACTTTAGTGGCGTTCAGACACTCTATGAAATCTGGAAAAAGTCGAAGGGGCCCCACCTATCCAAGTCCCATGTGTAACTGAAGATGCTGACCCTCGGCGAAATATTTGTCACAACAACATCGCCAGGTTTTGGCGTTCTCTTGAATTCGGTATTCCACTCCAGATTATTTAAAAAGTGACAAAATATCTCACCAAGACCTTAAACAGACAAGAGCTGGCGAGGAGGGGCTCTGCACAGCATGCACATCGCTCGCAAAGGACCATTTCAAACTTAGCCCACCGCATGGACCTGGACATCAACATTATAGGTTCATACATAGCTACTGTAATATCGTATTCAGACATTGCTTGGCACCGTCTTAGTCATCGACTTTTTAGTTGTGTAGGCCATACAACAATGAGTCATTATATAGCCATTACTCACTGGATTTGCCCAATGTGACATCAGATAGGATAGTCGGATCCTTAGGTATCACCAATAATCTAACCTTTGTCCAGTAATATGGGTTAAGTTGTTCGTCATCACGCAAATCAGCTTAATGCGAAAAGCAACATCTCGATGTATCTGTCATCAGTCGCCTAATATACACTGGTTCTTTTTTTGCAGATGTTCCCTGCGGTAAGCAGTCCGGCTTACGACGATTTCCGCTCAAAGTAGGTCCATTGGCCGTCAACTGGCTTTTCTTCCAAATCTTCCCAACTAGTCCAATCGTCATTGTTAGCATGCAATATCTGATGGAGACGGTGGAAAGGAGGGAACGTACACCTTGGCTTGGATCATTGTGTCCACGAGCTTCAGTTCACCCTCGGCAACTTGAATTACCTCCTCAATGAGGCCTGCTCCAATCTTGGTCTCTAACTCGGAAATCCTAATCGCAAAGAAAGTCAGTCTTGTCATTGTGCTCTTAGCCCAAATTGCTGGAACTTACTGGTCAGCCGTCAGTTGTGGCTCGGGCTCCCACTGCACCTTGGCCACGTCATTCAAGTCCTTGCGTTCAGCAAGAAGCTTGTGGTCCTGACGCTCCTGTTCACTGCGAGGGCCTTCCAAAGTGCCACCCTCATCTTTCTCGCCATCCCATTCCTCAACACGGATATCCTGAGACTCGTGCTGCTTGCCGACAACGAACGTTCTGTTGCCGAGCCTGACAGTACGAGCACCGCTGCCATCGACACGACCGCTGACAAGACGGAATTGTTCGGGTTTCTCCTTGACAATCTGCTCGGCCTTCTTCTCCCACTCCTGGTAGCCGGGAGGTACGGTGCTTTCGACGAGGGCGAGGCGGTGCTTGGTAAGAGATTCGACGGATTGGCGATACAGGGACGACTCGGGTACAGCCTTGAGCTTCTCGAGGGTGTTGCCGTACAGGTACAGCAAGGTCGACCGAGGGCTGTTGTGCGTCCAAAGGCCAGTTAGGCCCGTAGGAGTACCGGGCTCTAGGTAACGAACAGGCTTGACGCCCGCGAGCAGGCGAAATGTCCTTCGCATGTTTGCGGTATCAATTGGTTCGAATTGGGGTTGCGGCGTTGGGAGAATAGGCTGTGGAGCGTGAGGTCGGGAGCTGGTATTGCAGTGTCGCTCTGATTTCATCAACCAGTAGATTTACTTACATAAGTCAGCACCCCACAGTCACGTGATGTCTTGCACTGACACAGACTAGCTAGCCACGGATCTCAACATCAGCGTTGAATATGGGATGGCTCGCGTTTTCAAATCGGGTTTTTACTGCCAGACACCTATGGACGAGAAATTCAAGCTGGGAATACTTGCGCGTATTCCCAGGATAGGTACTACAACTTCCACTATTGCACATACCGCATCCAGCCCGGTTGCGCAATGGCGCATAGGTCTTTGGTCACAATTATGTGTAGAAAACATAAAATCATACGCAACATTCGCAAACTTTCACTACATGGTCGTGGAAACACCCATTTACAGATTAGCTGTACTAATTCGTTCTTTCTCCAAATTAGCAGACATCAGGAGTGAATTGAATTATCCTCAGCAAATGTGGAGAGCCTGGACAGGAAAATAACCATCCCAAGGCAGAATGCGGTGTATAACAGAAGCGGTTGCAGCCATGTCGGCTGCCGAAAAAGAAAATGTGCCTTTGTTCCGGGCCTGGAGGAGTCCAACAAAGCCCAGATCAAAAAGCTTCACAATTGTCGCTTGGTGCTAGGAGCCAAAGGCCCTATCGTTGAAAGAATGGTGGCCACAAGGATAGTCGTCTTTCGAGCTGCTTAGGAGGCGCTCTCGCGGCTCTTACGATAGCTGGCCTAGAGCGACGGCGTCAGCACGTAAGGGGACTCATTAAACATCGAAGTTGGAGGCGTGACCAACCTCCTGCTCAACCTGCAGGCCATCCACAATCGGAGCAAGCTCGCTCAGAATCTCATAAGCCCTCTTGTGATACTCGATTTGAGCGGCGATCAGATCGGCGAGGTTGCGAAGGGGTTCGGGAGTGTCGAGAACCTGAAATGATGGTTAGCAATCATTGCTTGCTGCTTTGCAAAGATGCGACTACATACGTTCTTCATAACGCCAACGGCCTCCTCGGTCTGCGTGACGAATTCATCCTCGGCTTTCTCAATCTCTTCCTGCGCCTCGGGGCTCAGCTCCTGAGTCTGAGGTTCATCTGCGCGCTGAGATCCGGGGCCAAGTTTCCACGTAGTGCCATGAGCGCGAGCCTTGGCGGCATCGAGAGTTAAGCGCGAATTCTCGACATTCTTGCGGGCCCGAGTAGCGAACATCAGGTTCGTGTTCAGGGTGGTGTTCCAGCCAGCGAGGAAACGGCTCTGAATCTGGGCATCTTGGGCCATGCGTGCCTCGCCAACGCGCTCCATAGCCAAAGCATACTTCTCAAGAGCTGTGGCCAGGGGATCTTCTCCAGCGCCGGTGTGCTGCTGGTGAAGCACCTGGCTGCTAGCCAAACTAGCGCGGGCGATGGCATGGTTGAAAGTCTTGGGCTGAGGCTTCGCGGTAGGAGGGGCAGTAAGGGCCGCCTGGGCTTCGGCGGGAGAGCCTGCAGCGGAAAGAAGAGTGACCTTCTCACTGACAGTCCGGCCGAGGTCTTGGAACGTCTCCTTGATGTTAGGTGGGTAGTCGTAGGCCTCGTTCGAATATTGAGAGCTTTTAAAACGTAATGTTAGTTGTCATCGTCTTTGCCAGTTACTATAACTGTTGGGTATTACTCACGTGACGGCTAGCATTTTCTGATGAACCTGCTTGAGGGCATCGACTCGCTTTTCGAGATCGATGTAATCGGGAGGGAGTTGAGTCTGCGAGGAGAGTAAGCATCTTCCAGCCCACAGCAGCCGATCGGGCCATAACTTGCCTTATCTTCAGCCTGACCAAGCTGCTCCTTGGTGTACTGAAAGGTACGAGAGGCAAAGGGGGTGATCTGGGCCCCCAGAGAACTGTGTTGCGGGTTATTCGTCAGCCTGGAGGCACCCCTCGCGATAGGTGTCGGCTGAATGCGTGACATAGACATACGAGAAGCTCTTTCCAAAATTCTTGAAATCCATCGCTAAGGCAGTGGTATGGTCCAATGTGGAGGAGAAGGCGACACAACTATGAAGTTGGAGGTAAGCACTGCAATGGTGCTTATTCAATGACGACGGTAATGGTGGTGGTAGTAGTGGTTGTGGTATTTCTGCCTCGTTGCCAGCTATCAGCCAAAGGTAGACAAGTATCCAGTAAAGAATCTTAAATTAGCTGCACGGCAACGTTCTCCATGCTGTCACAAGCTATCCAGGGGAAGCCAGACCAGTGCATTAGCTATGCATAGTTCACGTGACTGAAGGGGGACGCTTTGCAGGTCGTTCATGATTGGCCACAATAGACGGCGCACGAGCTCGGAGCCACTGTCACTCAGGTACTTTGTTGATCGTCGTTACTAGTGTATGCTATATATGGGGCTTGTGGCACCTTTCCAGGAATTATCGGAGCCCTTGCACCCTTCATACAGAGCCAACTCAGTTCCAAGCTTGTCAAGTCTTGCTAGCTACACAGCATCCAAACATCTCACTCAAACCAACCTGGTAACACTGAATACTGAATATTCATAGCATCGAAAGCCGCGAGAATTGTATCGCTGATTTTTGCTATCCTGATTATGCCTACATTCTGTTATAGGAAAGCAAGAAATCTCTCCATGCCGCGCTTCTCCATTCAGTTTTAATCTGGAGGTTTTGAGTCTGCCCACGAGGGCTCAATGTGACGGCAAACATTCTCATAGTCCAATAGTTTCGGATCGCTCAGTGGCAGGTGTGGTGTTGTCCAGAACATTGTCCAGTTGGTGTCCTTGAGCTGCCATGTTCCCAGTGATCTTTCAAAATACCACTTGTTCACTGGGTTGTCTTGTCGACTTCGCCAGCATAGCCCCTCCGGGAAACACCCTCGGACCATGGCGTTAAACACTACATCAGCGACACCACCGCTCCCCTGACGACTTTTGAGAACCGCGAATTTATCCAGATATGGTACAAGCCGTCCTGTTTTGTAGGCTGTTTCATCATCGAGGCCAAACGGCTTCTCCCACGTCAATATCGCACCACCTTCGTACTCTCCAGCAATGATGATGCCGGCCAAGTTCTCATTCACACGGTCAAGATAATGCTGAACGTCCAATTCCCTGTTGAACGAATCGTTGATAAGATGAACGAGTCGTGGAAGGTCTATGCAGGTATCAGTGAGCCTCAAGCGAGGCGCTCCAGGCCGGGGTGGAAGCCATGCGCTGATTGTAGGGTCAGGATACACTGTAAGGGGCATTCCCCGTTTGATCAAAGTTGCCATGTGCGTCTCACCCGATACTCTGTCCCCTTTATTTCCTGAACGTACTCTCTCAATCGGCAATGATGATGAGAAGACGGGCTTGTCTGTCAAGAGGTTGTGGATCAACGGATTCTGCCTGTTGCGTGTCGTAACCCGGGTAAACTCTTGAATGGGCTTATTGGCTGCAGCCGAAGGAGTACTTATAATGGCCGACGATGTTGAGGGCAACATTGAAAGCACGTTCTTCGCAAGTCGAAGATTACGGGCATGTAACTGTCGCACATTCTCTGGTAGTTTCCCTCGTCTTGCCTCCAACCCCGACGGATGCGTGAGTGCGTACATGATGCCCTCAAACTCTTGTTCCAGGTTGATATATCGGTGACAAGAATCATGTTCGTCAGCTAGTGGTGTGCCCCCAACAGGATCTAAGATGATGACTTTTTCGACTGAAGCTACTTTCATGCCTGCGCTGCAAGTAGCTTTGGGTGATGCCACGGAATTTTCAGCTGCGTTGAACTGAAGTCCGGAAAAGTATTTAGTCAGGGCGACAATAGTCTCATCAGCATCTACCACCTTGACACATTTCATATCAGGTGCCATCGTGACGGGAGGTATGACTACGATGGCATTATCCTGTAATGCTCGAAGTACCAAGTGTGGATATTGGATATAAACGCCAGAAGGCATGAAACCCTGGCCTTTGGCCATATGTGGCTCCGTCTCAGCGACGCATTGGTCTAGTAGGATGGAACCCGGTTCTCCGAAGTTCTCAATGGCCTGTTGAATTCTCCAAGACTGCTCCCGCAGTATTTTTCGAGACGACTCGACACCGCCATCAAGGACGATCAGGCTCACAAGGCCGAGCTTACGAAGCTGAGAAAACGTCTTGGCAATGGCGCCTAGGGTTTTGTCATCCAAATTTTGCGGAAGGGCCATTTTGACGATGGCAAGGTTGACGGGCTCTTCTAGAGGTACTGCCAACTCATGCTGATTACCCTGGATGAACTTGGGTGACTGATTGACAACCCGAATAGAGGAATACGTCTGGTCTGATGTTTCTTGAAGCTTAGAGGGCTTGCGCTTCTTGGACACGCCGTCGCCCGATTGCGGGGCATATTTTTGCAAGTAGCCCTTCGCATCCCGGCGAGTAGCCGAAGCTTCTAGCACAGAAACTATGAAGTCCTGGAACAGTCGTTAGATACCAATGAGATTCATTTCTAGCTGATGACGGAATAAACATACTCTATCTTCCGCCCGCTTCTTCTCCCTCGCCTTAGAACTCGATGAGTGTCTGACCGCAGAGAGGGCAACTTGTAGAGCCTCATCCTGCCGAGTGCTTACTGACCGCGGGCGGTGGTACAACTTGCAGTTGGGTGTGCTGCATGAGTCGAGGGCAAAAGACGCCTGAGGTGGGAGTAAGAAGGTATCCTGTAGCCTGTATTTGTAGGGAACCAAGGAGAAACGCACCCTGTTTACCAGATGACTGGCTTGTTTCAATATAGGAGCACGCATGTTGCCATATAGTGTAATGTGATGGTGAAGATGGAGGGCGTATCAAACAAACTTGACAACCCTTCAAAAGATGAGTGAACTTTGAAAGATTCAAATGGCAGCGCGACTTCTCACCGAACCGCTGATATCTGAAAGCTTGAGGTAATATCAAATGCAACAAGAGATTGTTTCAGTTTTGAGGTCGCCAACCCTTCACAAGTCAGGTAGCGTATTGATGGGGAAGGTCAAAGGCTAGCCATGTCGTCGGACGGCCATACGCGACGGTCGCCAGACAGCTATTGGATATGATCGGGTCTCAATTGATCGAGACTTGGATAGGGAATCTATGAGAGAAGAAGGATTAAGATGATGTGTACGAAGTGTGAAATTGAAGAGACGGTGACAAAGACCAAACGGATATTCAGGTTGTTGACGGGCTGTGGCCCTGGTTTGAGCCAGTGACTTTCCACTTTGTGAGTCAACCGACCTACCAGAACGCGTACTGATAAGCCGATAAGACCTACAAGTTCCCCATCACCACGCCGGCCATCGGCGACCGTCTTGTATCACCGTAGCACCGAGGCGAGCAGTCGGAAAAGCAGCGAAAGTAGACAAAGAAAGGAGGGTAGAAGATCAATTCTGTCAAGAGCTGGTGCCATGATTGCAATCCCCATCAACAAGCATTTGATTTATGCAATTTTATAAATGTCTATTTGATTCAAAACCAAACAAGCGTAGTCACACACGTTCGTTATTGCTGTGCAAGCAGCAACACAGGCAGTCAGCATTACTGTGCCGCAATAGTTTGACTGCAAGAGCGGGAGCTGCCGCAATCAGTAAGGGTGAGAGACCAACGTGTCGGTTCTTCGTTAGTGCAGCAGGTTCAGTGCCTGAGCTGTCCAGGGTAAGGCACTTTGCTATATGCCTTTGGTGGAGCGAAGTTTTTGGTACTGTCCATACCTGTGCCCAGGAATCCTTACCACCTCCGCGAAGGCCACCCCGCTTCTACAATTACCTTGTAGTAGTGTACTTGTCCGTGTAATCGCATCTGGGGCCAACTTTGACTGCCTGTAGACTTTAGTGTCGCTGACACATATGTGGCAACTGCTGCCGCTGGATTACATGTTACATCTTTGACAGTTGGTAAGATGTCGAGCATATACCAGTATAATGCTCAGTCTAAGTACTACCCATCTTTTTAACTCCATTCATTAACCCACGAACGTGACAGCGACGATTCCCCAACTATCCGCAACCGCACTTTTTTGATCTTTTTCTCACTTAGTTGTCGCTTTCAATCCACAAGTTTCAATATGAGCCCGAGACTCCTCTGGATTGGTCTTGGCAACATTGGTAGGGTAAATAAGCATTCCCACTGCTCCTTCTTGTGTGGATTAATTCCAATCGCGATCAGGAAAGCTCATTCAACCTAGGGCATGTGCAGGAACCTCGTGGAGAAAGCCGATCTAGACAAGCCACTGCTCATCCACAACCGCACCATCGAGCGGGCCACTGCCCTCAGTCAAAGTCTACCTCAAGGCAAGACCGAGGTCGTTGAGTCCCTGGCTGATGCTATTAGCCAGGCTGATGTTATCTTTTCATGTGTCGCTCATGACCAGGCAGTGGAACAAGTCTTTGCAACTGCCGTTAAGGGAGATATCAATGGCAAGCTCTTTGTTGAATGCTCGACCATTGCCCCCGAGACAACCGAGGCCGCAGCAAAGTCGGTCCTAGAGAAGGGGGCTGAGTTCATCTGCGCTCCTATCTTTGGAGCCCCCGCTATGGTAGCCGCCGGCAAGGCGACCATTGTACTTGCGGGGCCCAAAACTTCCATCGACAGAGTCCGCCCGTACATCAACGCTGTAGCAGCCCAAGAGATTAATATGGCTGATGAACCCTATTACAAGGCATCGACCTTGAAGGTGTTGGGCAACACAGTCATTCTGGGCATGGTCGAGCAGCTTGCCGAGACATATGTAACTGCAGAGAAGAGTGGCCTTGAAACCGGCTATGTGAAGCAGTTTGTTGATGCAATGTTTGGAGGGAGCCCCTATCCAGCGTACTCGCTCCGCATGCTGGAAGGTGACTACCACAAGAGAGCCGAGCCGCTTTTTGCTGTTGATCTGGCAAGAAAAGATGCTCGTCATGCAATGGCCATCGCTAAAGCTGCTGGCACGCGGCTGTGGAACATTGAAACCGCCGACAAGCATCTTCAGGAAGTTCGGGAACATGCAGGGCCATCGGGTGACATGGCAGGGATCTACGGCGCCGTGAGGAAGGAGGCAGGTCTGAGGTTTGAGAATGACGCGGAGTGATACCGCACCTTAGAGACCAAGTTCCTCAAGTCAGCCCACCTGTAACTAAGATGTTAACACTGAAAGAGGAAGTGGTATTGCCATGTCCTTTAAGATGGCCGTCTGATATGTATTTTGGACTAGTTGGTACCGGAGCAAAATACTTTGATTCTGTATTTTATAGTGGAAGGGGTGCGTAGATATGGGAAACCAAATCTACCTGAAGGGGATTCCAGATAAACTGACTAAGCCTGTAGTAGCAGCAGTAGCGACACAGTGCTAGGAGGTGATGAACAACCAACTTGGTACTGTGCTTCAGACTGCCTCCACCTACCGTCCAAGCCTCGTAGCCCACAGTCTCACAGCACGACACCAGCATTGGATCAACCGGCGAAGCGACCCGACTACACCACTGCGAAGGTTGCCATATCTACAGACAGAAGCTTGAAAAGTCCTCGATAGAAAACAACAATGGCGCAAGGGTTCGTTTGCCGGCGTCCCTTCTCTCGACAGCGCAAAGCTAACTCTCGGACAACAGGTACAGCGTCTTCGTCGGCCTCGTTATTGTCGCAGCCATGGCCGCCGCCGCCTGGTTTCTATCGCCCAAGGGCGAAAACCAAATGTACGTCTTATTTTTGCGATGCAAGATCAATGCATGACTTTGCATGCCTCATTGCGATGCGGCTAACGTTGGTAATAGCATCTGGAGATCCTCCCTTCTCCTAGCACTCGCCTGCTGTTATCTCATGTGGGCCATTACGTTCCTCGCCCAGCTCAACCCTTTGATCGAGCCACGACGCAGCAACATTCGACCAGGTTTCGAACACCATTGATTGGGTGGCATTGATGGCAGCGCGCGGTCGCAATGGAATGCTGATGTAATATTATCGACTTTGCACTATAAACTCACATGGACGGCGTTAAGGATTGGCTGGGGGTTTGTCACATACGGTTAAGATGCCGACTGTCGAGCGTTATCGCCGTCGTATCCTGAGCTACAGTTTACAACAGACGACGCCGGCGAACTCACAGTTGGGGTCTATACTGAAGCAGATTTGTAGGAAGAAAGGCGAGGCAGGCATGCATGCAAGGCCAGTTTACGTCACGCAGAGTATTGAATGCCACGGGAATTCATTTGTTAATATATTAAGTGTTATCTGTCACTATCCTGCGGCTAAGTCGCTTGCCCATTCTCTGGCATACATTAAAAGTCCCCAGAGAGCCTTACCATCTGCTGCAATGCTCGTCTCCCCAATAGAGTCAACGCCATCTAGTCCAGCAGCCCAAAGGACACCCCGTCCCACTGCCCAGCGCGCCAAAGCCCCTGTTGTTGCAAGCAGTGTAGAAACCCCATAGCCGCAATCTAGTAGTATACGGAGAGCCTCGACGTTATTTGCCACCACGGCCCATCCAAGTGACCGCGCAGCGGCTGGGACATCGTATTGCCATATAACCATGAGTATCGGAAAGAGTTTCGTTGAAGACGATACAAGCAGCGCAGTCGAGACAGAATTTGGACGAGAATAGCGAGGTAATATGTTCAACATAATAAGAGGAGAAATGGTTGAGGAGGTCATGAATCGAATACTGACGTGGAAAGCGAGTGTTGACAGGGCACAAAGTATCACTAATACATCGTTAGCTGTCGCTCTCATTACTTCGCTGAAGGCCAAAAACAACATACGGAAGAAGAGATATTGCGACACGATAGACTGCTGGGTCAAACTACCCAGGTTAGCCACCTCGTCTTGAGCTGAAGCGGGAACCGACTGCTTTTCGATGCGCGCCCACGTCAAATAGACATCGAAGAGCAACAGAAGAACGCCGAGTCGTACGATAGAAGACTATTGAGTACGACGATTAGTTACGTGAGATTGATGGAAGGTCGCAAAATGACCGGCTTACATCAAACCGATCTTCGTCTTTCATTAGTGTATTGTGAAGCAGATGGCGATACACTTGAGGTTTTATCAAGACCAGGTCGATGAAGAGCACCACGAAGTCATGCTCAACGTACTTGTCGCAAAATTGACCACAATTTCTGCACACCGTCAAACGAATGTTATGCCCGCTCGACTTATCGTCGACGTTCGAATATTTGGTCCATAATGTCTTGACCGGATGCCGGCATTCAATGCAAATGGGCATCTCAAGGCGAAGTCAGGTTATGGGCAACGGAGGGGTGACGCGATGAAGGCGTTTGGCATGGCTGGAGGTACTGATCCTGATGGAGCTGAAGCTGAGTGTTTGGGCGACCAAGCCAGCCTTGTCTCGTGGTGGTGTGAGCCTACTATGGTTGCGGCCCTCGTTCTGCGACTGCTTCTGGTTCTTGCTGCCGTTAGTGGTAGCCCTACAACATAGGTAGATGTGGGCCTGCACGAACTACGTAGTACAGCTCCAAAGAAAGAACCTGGGAGGGGGTCGGAACTTTCCTGCTACTGTGTATGCTTGCTTGGCCACGGCCACTGAAGGTACTCTGCTATTCTGCTTGCTCTTCTGCTTGCTCTCCTTGCAGGGCCCATAGGTGGCGGAGGCAAGGTGGCCACCCCCACCTCGCTGGAATTAGAGCCATATACCGTAAGCCGCTAATTCATGTCCTAAAACAGCCCAGGCCTGAAGCGAATTGGGGATGACAGGAAAGCCACATATCCCGTCCCCACTGCAAGGTCCGCTAATCATTATTCAACGGGACAGGGCTTCTGGTTACGTCGTCTCAACCAAGGGTATCGTTCCTAAGTCCCAGCCCAGGCGCACGCAGTCGGGGGTCCAATGCAGTGCCAGCCAGTCCAATCCGATCTCGTTCCAGTCCACATACCCTTCAGTCGAAGTGCTGGCCACCACCTCGACACATTTCTATGTAATAATACCTTCACAACATAACTGCTACACCAAGTCTAACTATACACCAAGGTAATTCCAGCTCGGCTGGACCCATCCTTCGCTCTTCCCGTCCTTTCATTCTTCACTTGGCCCGCGATCGCACTTTGTCCTCCCTAACGTGCCCTACCTTCCCCTCCGATACGCTCAAGGGCGAGTCCACATACTCTCCGACATCCTGTCGAACTTAAACATCACAGACGGGGCCCTTACATTTCCGTCAATCTCTCATCCTGTCTACAGCACCTAACCTCGCAGTGCGTGCCCACCCGAGTCCAACCTACGACGCCACATCCTTCAACCTAGCCTCCAATCTGAGCGACCGACTGTCATCGATGACAAAAGCTGCGCGCTGATGCACCCTCCCCAGTTTGCCTGTCACCTTTCCGACGAGGTGGGCGGCCTTGCTCGAACATGGCGGACTCCATAAACCCCGTCGGGTCGCCATCCCGCATGTCCTCATCCGCCCTCTTACCAGCACGTCACGATGCCGATGCCCGACCACGTAATCGCCGTCTTATCAGCACCGCTGATGACCCCTCCACGGGATCTATGGAGAGGCTTTCAGCTTCCTTTTCCGCCCTCCACACCCCGTCTAGCCGCGATCCAAGTCCCATGCCTTCCGGCCACTTACCACGAGACAGCTCCGCTAAGCCGAATGCTCGCAATGCATCCGCCGATAAGCGTCGAAACAACACTTCCCCGTTCAGTGCGAGTTTCTTAGACACTTCATGGTCTCAAGGTTGGGCTTCAATCCAGGGGCTAGCGTCTTCTATTCTTTCTGGCGGAAGTGTGCATGATGCTGGCTACGAGTCAGATCACCGAGAAGGAAGACAGTCGGTAATCAACTCCCTGAAAAGAGATTACTCAACGCCGCCGCGGAAGACGCCCAAAGCTTGGGGTCCCGAGCCGCCATCTAGCTCGCGGCCCGGTCATCAAGATATTGCAACCGGCTCGTTAGCTGAGAGAGACACCGCTCTCAAGGCAGCTCGTACAGCGAGCGTTTTGGAAAGCCATGAGGGGGTCAACGGGGGCCTCGACGTCGCAGGCAGGTACAAGAGGAGGAACTCAGACGAAGTTGCGAGGGATGCTGTACAAGACGATGTAGTCCAGGATCAACTGGTCTACATACACCATGTGCAACCGACTGACACTTATGCGGGCATAGTACTCAAGTACCGGTGTCGCGAGGACGCATTCAGGAAGGCCAACGGGTTGTGGTCAAGGGACATTCAGGTACGCAAGTGGCTGGCCATACCGGTAGATGCCTGCGAGATTAAGGGCCGTCCATGCGAACCGCCATCGCATGATCATCAAGGAGTGGATTTCCTGGCACCGACACCAGAAACAAGGAGCGCTCACTGTGCTGAATTTACAGCAGACCAGTCACAGCAGGTCGACTTTTTTAGTTTGCCGATCAGCAACGGCTCAGCCTCGGGTCCCAAGAGCGAAGAACAGGAGGAGCTGCCATGGACTCATGTTCGTTGGGTCACGTTAGATTCGAACACAAAACCGGTTGAGATTGCTCGCGTGTCGAGGAAATCGATAGGCTATTTCCCACCTCGACGGAAGAAAAGCCTACGCTCTGCCTCGACACTATCCACCCCAAGACATTCCTTGGATGCCGTAGGAATCGCGGCTGGGTTCTCGGAAAGCCCGGAACAAGTTGGGAGGCCGTCCTCACGACGGCAGAGCAATCTCAGTAATCGGCCCAACTTACCTAGCACCCCAGGAAGGTCTACGCCGGCGTCTTCTAGGAGTAGAATGAACAGTGATGCGGGAGACACAAGACCTGCGTGGATGAGACGGCCTGGCGGCGTTGGTTCCATGGGGAGGAGTGTGCGAGCCCCTGGTCCGGATAAAGATTACTTCAACACGTGGGCCAAAAAGCATCTACCTGGAATTGCCATTGACGAGTCGCTTCCGTCCATCTCTGTCATGGGATCCGAGACTGCAAACTTTGGCTTTAGGCCGGGATCTAGTAGTGGAATCGTGGAGAGCCCTTTTGACGAGGGTCAGGATCTTGCAGCGACATCTAGGCAAGGCTCGGGTCTCGACCGGGCAGCAGCAGCTGTGGAGACGTGGCTGCGCGGTGCGTTTGCCAAGTCACCAGGGACACCTACATTGGGGGGCCGTGGCCGCCACCTGGACGACCTGGATCTAATAGAATTAACCGACACCAACAGCGACGATGGGCGGCTACCGACCCCAGCTGTAGGCGGAGGCGTCACAAGTGCAGGGATGTTGGAAGCTACGCCGATGACGGTCAGTTCAACCGCAAGGAGCGACGGAGACAGCTCCGTGAGAGGTCGAGGATTGAACACGGCGTCTATTGCCAAGGGCAAGAAGTCTGATTAGGATTGGCACAATAGTATCATTACTCTTGTTGCCACCATGGATCCAGGACATACACCACGACATCACCAATAACAGTTTTCTTATTGATCATGGTAGGCAGCCGGAACGGCGCGCTATAGGGTGTGGCCGTCGTGTTGTCCTTGCTGCGATCGTTGCATTGAAAAAGGCGTTAGCGGGCATGAAATGGGGTGGGGCAAAGGAGGGAACTCGTCTATCAACAGCCGCCTTCCTTGGGTCTGGTTCAAGCCTGGCGGAATCTCGACGAGGTGCCTTGGAACCTCTTTGAACTTATTTTGAGCTTTAAATTCATACTAGACTTGGGACGGTCGTTGACAGTTTATTTTATTTTATTCTTTTCTTCCCGATTCACTCTAGGGGCGTTTGAAGAGACTGGAGCAGGTTGAGGTGACCCGACCAATGGTGGAGAGATGTGTGCATAATCAAGCTGACTTGACGTGACTAAAGCTTCAGTCTTGGATAAAATTATTACTCCCTCAACACATGTCCATTCTGGCGTGCTTGATTATGTGGCAGGTCTCTGTACACCAAGGGTAAGCGGCGCATAGTCCTGTGATGAACATCGAACATACAATGTAGTCAGCTGGTAAATGTTAGACTTCTGCTTAATGCGTACACGGTATGCCTGAGTTGGTTTGTGTTCAATATTTGAGTATGACTTCCCACGTTGCTTGTCTTGGTATATACTTCCTTCGTGCCAGACCTTTTCTGGGTGCATTGGAAAATCTAACTGTCGTGCAAGCAATTGGGACACTTATTTCCTTCCGTCAGAAACCCACCATCGCTTGTTGTTACAGCCATCAACCCTTGCGACAGAGCAAGCTCTAAGCGATGTCTCAAAGATGCAGAAGGCGTGTATGATTGAAAACTTATGACGCAACTTCCTCCTCATTGAGGTCCTAATCCTAAATCAAGATTCATGCTAGCAAGATCACCGTTGTTGATGCCAAAGAATTGGAACCTGTTGAACATTAGTTTCGGAAATTTGGGGCTGACGTGAATCGGCCATCACTCACCAATCTTCAACATTCAAGGTGTTAGGGACAGGTTGCCCTTGGGCAGATCCTGTGCTCCAGCTATCACTCGGGCTATGACCATCCGGCATTAAACCGTCGAAGTTGGCCGTCCATAAGTTGCTATTCAAAGTGCTGTTAGAAGCTTGCCCTTGGCCTTGTGGCTGCTGCTGCTGCTGCTGCTGCTGCTGTTGCTGAAAGCCCTGCAATCCCGGCTGTATCACGTTGTGCCCCTGAGTAGGGCTTCCGCTCAGTCCCATCTTGCTAGACCCTCTTTGTTGGAACTGGCTGTTCTGGCTAGAAAGGCCACTCTGCATGTTAGAATTCTGAAGCTGTGCCATGAGGCCAGCATCCATGCCTTGTTGATTCGGAGGGGGGGGCGACATTTGAGGAAAGGCTGGCATACTGGCGCTGTCAGGGAATAACTGATCGGGCTGGAAATTCTCCCATAGCGATTGAGAGATGTTGGGTGAGTTACGCGTGACGAGATACAGGTCTGGCGGTGTGGCAGGAACGGAAAAGGAAGGATTAAAAGGGGTTGCGGGCCTGGTCTGCGGCCTTGACGATGTACCACCCATGAAGGTGTCGGCATTCTGCCTGGGATTTGGAGAGGTGGGAGGCGGCATAGTCTGAGTAGCTGAAGTCCCGTCGCCCTTCATGTGACTGGGCGTCTGAGGACGGGATCGCTCGTAAGACTCTTGAGGAGTCGGGGTATTGACGCTGAAATCAATCGCCATGTCGTCGTACTTCCTCTTCGCTACATCCTGTGGTCGCTGCTGTTGCTCGAGCTGAGCCAAGGTTTGCTGTGCCTTTCTGTGTCTCTTGCCAGCAGCCTTCTGCAAACGTTCCTCCAGGACCTTGTTCCCAATGATGGATTCAAAAAGTGTATAGACCATCTTACCCACCAACCACACTCGTGAAACTTCCTTGAGAGCCTGCATGCATGTTCGTAGTCGATCTTGAGTCACTTGTTGGATGGACGGGACTGGAGAACGCATTTGATAGACATGCATGATGAGCGCAGAGAACAGACTGTAAACGACAAAAGCTGGGCAGAAACGAAGTTCGCCATGAGCAGCCAGATTTTCGATAATGGAGGTGATCATAGCTGCCGCCTGGAAGGCGATGTTTCGCGAAGGGTATGGAGAATCGTCAGGAAAGCGACTTCCCCCGTTCGGTGGCATATGAGCCCTGTGTAACAGGCATAACGTCGTGTAATAGTTTGAGTGAAGTAGGGCAGACCAGAAATGATGCCGTGCAACTTCCCAGTAGACCAGTTTCGGGCAATTTTGAAGCCAGTCAGCCAACGCCATGTCGCTGTGCGTCAGGTCGATAGCGTTGCGTTGGCGGCCCTTGGAGGCGACAGAGTACTGCTGGGACAATACCAAACCCATTATTTCGCATAGTTTGACGTACTGCATAAAGAACTGCACGTGTATCGGGTCTGGAGGGTACTCGCTGTTTCGGTCGCCATCGTCCTCGATGAAGTCGTCTTCTGTGAGCATCTCAACGTCCGAGTCGTCCAGGTTGATATGCACCGGCCGTCCAAGGGCCACAGCAACCGATCTGTCACGCGTGAAAAGGGTCCACCAGACTCTCTTCCATAACCGCTTGTCAGAGCGACTGAGTTGCGACTGCTCTACACTCCGGTGCATTCCGGAACCTTGAGCGACAATTGTAGCGACCCGACTCCAATAGAAGACATTCTTGGTGACATCTTCGGGTCCCTCCCAGTACCAACCCATCAGCAATAGTGACTGGACAATTGTCACCCGGTCGTCCTCATAGTTGGCATCATATAAGGCCTTAGCCCTTTTGTAGAAGGTCAGTGCAGCGGGGGTTGTTGAGCCGTTGGCATCCATCAGTTGTGGATTTGTGCAGACGCGGGAGCCGGCCAGCAGCACAGCCTGCAATAGTAGGAGGGAGGGAGGGTTCTTAGGATCGCGATACTGCCTCATGAAGCGAGTTCGGTTGATAACGGGCACGATCGGATGAACCCACTTGAAGTAGGAATCAATCAGCTCATCGCAGAGGGACCTTGGTGGGAGCAAAAAAGCGCCACGCTGATGCAGAATATCTATCTCGACGTTGTCAAGCTCCGTGAGCCGAGCTCTCGAACCCCGGACGTTTTCGGGTAGCGGGTAGTGAACAACATCGGAAGAGCCTTGGCGATCGTGTACAAGCAAGGTCAAATTGGATGACTCCCCCAGATATGCAACTCTTCCAGCATCGGTGATCGGAGCTCGGGTGAATTTGGGCTTCATTACTAGGTTCAGGTAGGTGCCACTGTCGATCTCCTCTTTGCGTGCTTGAGATTCAGTGTAAGTTGATGACGGCGTACCATCGGTAGTATGATAGACGGCGGGTGTCCTCGGCGGGAAAGTATTTGGAGCGGAACTGCTGGGGGCTCTGGGTGAACGGTCCTCGGTAGCATCCCCTTTCTCACTGGAGCGAGTATTGGTTAGTTCGATGTTGGGAAGAGATGACAATGGCGAACTGGGACAGACCTGTCCGAGTCTTTGTTCGTTCCGGCATTCTGGGTTTTCTTCCGTTTAGGCGTCGGGATGCGACATTCGATTTGAAAAGCAACGCAATTCGTGCATGGCACACCAAGACTCGCGGCATCACATCGTACCTGAACAAGACGTTAACAGATGGCCAGGTATAGCTTGAATATGGTTGGTCGTAAGATGAGGGGGAGATATGGAGATGACACTGGCAGCAAGAGAAAGAGCCTCGGTCCAGCGATAGAAGAACAGAAAGGAGGGGAAAGTCTTGGGGATGTGAATCGTACCTTACGGGCGTGGCATGTCTACATATTGCATACCAATGGTCAGCTTAAAGTAGTTTACAATCAAGGGTAAAGGTCAAAATGGGTGAGGTATCGATCTCGCAGCGCAACGTAGCGACGCGGCGCGCGCAGCGATACCTCGGCACAAAGTGGGCAGAGGGGCCACGGAATGGCGGGCGCTCCTCTCATGGCATGGTAAGGCGGGATGGCTACGTACCTCGCAAGCTCTAGAAGCTCGTTGCCTTTTTGGATAAAACAATAGACGTCAGCACACTCTACATCATGAACAAAGGCTAAGTAACGCAACGAAAGGCTCAAGGCAGGAGGGGAAGGCAAATGACGAACCTGCGAAAACTCATGTGGTTGGCGGCGGCGGCGGCGGCGGCGGCTGCTGCGGCCGAGGCAGAGCTACTGCCTTGAGCATTGGGGCTCGTGTTGGCGACGTTGGAACTGGAACTTCCCCCCGCCTGAGAAGGTGAGTCGGGCTTTTGCGGCTGCTGCTGCTGCTGCTGCTGTTGGAGTTTCGGGGCCGAAAGATCGGTGGACGACATGTCGACTTCCATGGCTGAACTGGGTGAATTGTCTTGGACCAGCGACCGTAAAGCGGGTGCTGCGACAGAGTCGGGAGAGAGATCAAGGAGTCTGTCGACGAATTTCTCTGGGTGACGACTAGTAGTAGGGGGACTAGGAGGGAATAGGAGTGGTAGTAGCGCTCGCTCTGGCCCAGGTGCAAGGTCTGCAGGCACCAAAAGTACAGACACTGGCTGAGGCACTGTCGGCGGCAACGGAACCTGGTGGTGGTGCTGTGCCTGGTATTTGGGGGTGTGCTGGGCTGAGGGCGGGTGGCGCTGGTGCTGCTGCTGCTGCTGCTGCGGGTGTCGCTGAGGGTACAAGTGCTGGTGCTGGTGCTGGTACTGGTACCGGTGAATGTCTAGGTGGCGAGGGAGCGTGTTCGTGTGCGGGCGCGGGTGCGGAGGTGCTTGGAGGGGGGGTGAGAACAGAATTGTTTCCCCTGAGTGGGTGGAACGGGAACTGGAACCGCTGGTGCTGCTGGGGTTGGAATTGGAATTCGGAAAGTGCCAGTCTATCGATGCTGGGGCAGACGCTGGGACAGCTGCTGTTGTGGTCGCCAGCGATCCCATTAATAAGGGAAGGAGTGGGTCTTCGGCTGGTGGATCAACCTCTGGCTCTAGCTCATGCACCGCACAGGATGCAGGTGCTGGGGCAGGAGAAGAAGACGGAGGTGGAAGACCACGAAGAGGATATTGAGCAGCAGACGCGGTTTCGAGTGCGCGAGCGAATCCAGCTCGCAGTTGGTGCTGAGACGTGAAGACCACTGACCCTACAGTATCCTCCTCTTGCTGCAGTGACCCTGGAAGGGTGTTGTTGGTATTTTCCGTCAGAACACAGGATTCGGCCGTGTCAAAGCCTTGATATAGGGTCCCAACGTCTACATCCAAGCAAATACTGAAGTCGGGTTTAAAATCCGGATCGATTTCGATTTGGTGATCCAGGTCGCTATGTCTTAGTTGAACCTGCAAACGATGTCCTTCATGCGACTTCTGTTGCCTCTGCTGCCTCAAAAACGGCACGTCCGGGAACTCGATACCGCCGTCCACTTCAAGACTCGGCACGCTTGACCACTTGGGCACAGCCATCCAGGCCTCGCTTCGATAGACTATAGAGTCACCTGTATTCCTGGAGCGGAGTCTTTGCAACACAGTTTATTCCGCCTAGCAGCAATACGATAAAGCGGGGCGGAAATAGACACACTGATGCACTGCAACAGATGGCATTCGCAAAGAATGCGGTTGTACCTTTATCCAAGTCAACATTCTGCTTTTGCTGCCAGGCCCAGAGCAGAAACCCACACAGCAGCTGTCTCATGCTCGGAGCCACCAAAGACAGGATACCTTACTTTTGCTATCCGGCCTCAGTGCCCTGCCCTGTTAGTCTCGTCCTTCTTGCACGTTCGCGGCCTGAAAGTCAAGCAGAGCTATCAACCGGAGTTTCGACGTCGCCTGGTGAGGGACACCGTATATCGAAATCAGAGATCAGGTCGGCGTTCTCCTAGATGCCTGCCGTCCGCTTCTCGGCCGGTTTGCCGCTATTGGGGTTGCCTGGGAGCACAGCCCTCTTACATCACCAGTCTGCTGTCAATGTATCCCAGTAAACGGCATTCGGTTTCATCTGGTCTCTCGTTCGTTTTTCCAGAAAATTGGCTTCGGTATGGCTCGAGTATCAATCGGCCTTGCAACAAGGATCGACCCAACGTTGTTCGTGTCCCTGCGTCTCGATGGCGAGCCGATATGATAGCTTCTAAGCGCCTGGCATGGCTACGCTTCGGCTCTGCTTAAACTTTACCAGTAGACGCGGTGCCTTACATGGGCAAGAGCGAGCCTCTGCTAATATATGTGACAAGAAGGTCGACTGAGGCAACAACACCAAGACTTCGAGAATGACATGCGCAAGGTCTATTTTCCCCCGTTCCCAGCATGGATATATCCCCTGCATGACCAATGCCCGGCTTTACCCACACCACCAGTAACAATTAGTTCCCATACGTCCCTACTATTAACGCTGAAATAAATGGTCTCGTGGGAGGGTGTGTCGGCATAGCCAGCGTTCACCCAGAGGTCGTGGAAGAGAATGAAAAGAAAACGCTTACAGAAACAACCTTCTTGGCAAGCATGTGAGACCTCTCAACGGCGGTGCTGGTAGGATCGTGACCCCTCCCCCGCTAATCAGCCCTCATCCCGGATCCTGGCGAAGATGTAGTTGCAGTACAGGAAGCGTCTCAACCTCTGGGCAAGATGGTGCTTCTCTTGTGTATGAGTGTGCATCTCAAAATGGGGCAGGGTGATCATATGTTACCATAGAGAGCTCTAACTCATACCTGTGTTCCGAAATCCATCCATATGAGCCGCTGTTCGCCATAGTACACTCGCAATGTCCATGCTGAAAACGGGCAATGAGTGCATCCCCTTTAGGTACTTTCCGGGCTATCCATCACTTCTGGGCCCTAGGTCCCTGCCTTTACTGCCTCTGGACGCATTTTTGCGGAATCTACTTGATCTGGGGTAAAGGATTTGGAGGGGTGGTAAAGGTAAGGATTGTGCATATGGGGGCACTGGTGAGTATGTGCTCGTATGGATTGGGGATGTGCTCCGAAACGGCTTGGTCCCCGCATGTTTTGCCTGTTCGGGTAAGACTAACGCCATACCTCAATGTGATTCTGATTTCTCCTAGCGCTCCAAGTCGCGGCCGAGAAAAGCATATGATCACACCTAGCCTAGCTGATCCAACTAGTCCTGAACCTGGTGGGTTCTTGAGAGTTTTGGCACGTTTTGCATTGTGGCAACTTGTCACCGACTTCTAATCGTAAGTCAACTTGGCTGTCGTTTTCGATGGCCAGACAACACTTTCCCAGCCATTATCTTTACCTGAGCTCACGTTCTAGTGGGGTCGTTGAGCCATGGAGTTTTTTGGGCGGTTGGATGTGTGCATGATACAAATGAAAATTGAATAAGATGAGAGGACCGATAGAGGACAGGCATTGATCTTCCCATCATTGAATTGCACGTTGAAAGGGTGGACGAGGACATAGAAGGCCCATAAGTAGTTTGACATGGAATGTTCCACGAGTACTAGTTGGGGGAACACCACGGGTGACTATGGGTGCCTATCGAGGGCTGTCTTGATCAAGCAAAGTGGCAGAGCATCTTTCAATGTTGATTTTCAGATGCTCGGAGTATTCTTCTCAAGAGTTTCAGCCCACTTGACACGCCTTCTGGCTTTGGTGTGAGGTAAACATAATGTCAAGCGGTTGATCATACCTCGCAACACCTCCCCTCCCTCGTCGCTTGCTGTGTCCCTTTTGAGGACAACCTCCTCTCAGACCAGGCATGCAAAGGAGTGAAGCATTAAGCCAAGTCCAACATCCGAGGCAGATAACTACCCATGTTGATGACGCCGCCATCCCTCTCTGTCTATGGCTCACTAATCTATCGACATGCCACCATTATATGTCAATGAGTTTGAATCAGACATTTTCAGTAAGTTCCATATGAGGCACGGCATGCCTACCGGTATGTCTATCCACTAAATGGTCTATTCGAGCCCCTGTAGGCCTTCGGGTGAACCCGGCCTAGTACTCATTGTGGAGCTTCTGGCCAATGGTAAGAAAACGAAGACTCGACAGGTAACCGATGAAAGTAAATCATCTCAGGTAACAAGACTTTGGGCCGATTCACAATCGCAGATTCCATTAGGTAGTTTCCATGCAGGCGATCATATGTCTAATAGCTTTATCTGTTTGTCAAAGTTGATTTTGGTCAACGCCGGCTCCCCAAGTCTAACACTACAAAGAGATGCCACATACTATGTACAATGTTGGTCGCACGGTCAAGGCCGTCCCTGACTCTATTTAATCAGCAATCGGACGTACATTGCCTTTAGCAACTGGGCTCTATGTAGAGGCAGTATGCATCCTATTTGCATGAAGCCGCTACACCTGAAGGTCGCCGATAAACAGTGCACTAACACCTTCTAATACCGCCAAGAAAATACAGAGTAAGCTGGCAATGAAAAAATGACTGATGGTGGATCCAATCTCTAACCACGAGCCTTCATCCTTGACTACCCAGAAGAAATAAAGGGTGAGAATATCGCTGATAGCCATGACGACCATGAAAAGCGAGGATGGAGCAACGCCTAGTCTGACGTTGAGAGTTCCAAGGTTTGCCGAGATAAGGACGAATGGTATCATGAGTTTGAGGATTAGGAGTATCCCTTGCGAAAACGGGTCGAATATTGGTATCAGCCGGTATACGCTGTCCAAGCTGAAGGCTGAGACTGAAGCCACGTTACCCGTACTGAAGAAGGCTGACTGTAGCAGGACGAAGAAGAACAGTGCCACCCGTGCATCTGCAAGTGTAAGGACCCTGAACGCCGGCTGCAAATCGCCCTGTGTATTGCCGGCACTTTTGTTGGTTATGGAGGTTTGACGCTCTCCGGTACCTCTGTTAAAAACAAAGACACGATGTTCTAAACTGACCCAGGCTACCAACAGTATGCTGAAAGCAACGTAAAAAAGTCCTTCATATGAGATGGTCAGAATTACGAATGTCGGAGCACAAGTGAGAAATATGGTCATGAGGCGATGCAAGTAGTGGTTGTTGGGTTGCACTCGAGAAGCCAGAGGCATAAGAAGCGAGACCACTAGATGGCTGGTCAGCATGGCATTGGGAAAATAGACCAAGATGGCTTACCCAAAATCATCCAACCCACAGTTTGATTCCCCCGAGGCAATCCCTGCTTTGCTTGGAGAGACAACACGCTGGATCGAGTGACGATGATTGATAAAAGCACTAACCCAACCTGATGATTTTTGTCAGTTGCTTCGCATGTTCAGCCTAAAGAAGTTCAACGTACTTGGATGCCTGTCATTGCCCTTGCAATTGGAAGGGTTTGCCTAGATGCATGATTTGAAGACGACGTTGCCAGCAACTTATCTTCCCAAAAAAGATATGCGATCCCGATCATTGCCATAGTGATTCCACCAGCCATGCTAGATGTATGTTAGCCTGCTAAAAGCTTATTATGAGTGCAACGCTATTTTTTGCATACATGAGAGAAACATCCTCAACTTTCATGGCTGGGAACAGCGTAAACGAGCTCATGATGATGCATGAGAAAAACCATGTTGTAGACGGCAGAATATTGGCTTGTAAAAACTCCAAGCCATATACTGCTGGCCAAAATGCACCGAGAATATATATCAAAGTGAAAATTTCCCGGTGTATGTATCCTAGGGCCTGGATCTTGTCAGTAACTTTAGTTCACACGTCAGGTGACTCCACTTACCAGAGACATAATAACTCCCAGATAAATAAGCACATTCAAGAGGGAAGAAACCGCAACGCCCCCGGTCCTGATGTGTCCAAAAAGCGCCTGTCGCCCTTTGGCAAGAGAGCCACGTCGAGCCCAGACCTCCTCCCAGAATACGACGGGGAAGAACCCGTATGCGTAGTAAGTAAATGGGGACTTGGAAATGATAAATGATGCATACAGCGTGGCAAGTATAGACGTAAAGAACATTGCCCCCAACGTCGATCGTGAAGGGGGATGAACTTCCTGCAAAACATGTAAACTGATGACGCCAGTCAATGCAAATGCCATCCAACCGAGATAGCCAATGGTAATCAGTGCACGGAGGAAAAGCCAATCATACGTCTGAAGGTACCTCAAACCCTCAAGAGTAATTTTCATGAGAGCAGCCGACTCCTCGATAGCCTCCTCGTAGTTGCCGGCATCAATCAAGCGGCGAATGTCGGCTACTCGGCGCTTTGGAGCCATACCTGCCACACTCAATGGCTGGAATGGTCGATAACGTAACTCTGTGCCCCTTTTCCGTTCTTCCTTGACACCATACATCTCTAAAATCTCGCATGCGTTGGCAAGAGCAGCTTCTGCTTTTTCTTCAATGCCGGCGGAGATGTAAGACAGAGGTAGCTCGCCAACTGAGTTGGCTGGAAACTCAACGCCAATGAGGTATGCCATCAAGGCGGCAACGTCTGCCTGCGCAACATCATGTCTCTTGACATTGTCGAGATGCCAATCTGAGGAATACTCATCATGTCCTGGGGCAATCGTGTCGGGAGCCAGCACTGGGGGAGCAATTCCTGAACCCCAAGTGATCAAGGGCGTCCGCGTATTGTTTGGGTGTCCATCGCCGTGACTGCCCCAGTCACTCATGCCGTGGTCGGCAGTGAATACGAAGGCAGTTCGGTCGTCAGCATAGAACTTTTCGATCAGCTCTGCGATTTCCTTAACGCCTTGGTCTACAACTTTAATGTTCCTCAAGTACTCCATTGAGTAAGGTCGGTATGAGTGACCGGTGGTATCCAACCCAAGAAGATGAAGAAAGAAGACGACCTTATCCTGACGCAAGGCGGTGCCCAAGGTTTCGTTCTTGGCCGCCTCGGCGAAGAAATCCTTCACATGGTTGAACACCCAGTAGTCTAGCTCCAAAGCATCTTGACTAAAGTCCTCAAACTCGTGCCCGTAGGTGTAAGAGTCGACGCGTCCGGGGACAGCGCCTTGCTCAAACATAGGCAAGATATCGGGAGACCCCCAACTCCAAGTATGACGACTTCGATTGAACACGCTGTCGAAATTAACAGGGTTCAGCTTCCAGCCAGTTGCGACAGCCGAGACATCCTCATAGAGACCGGCAATAAGGGCAACGTGGCCAGGGCGAGATTCGGTAGGTACGCGGGTATGCGATACGCCAAAAGTGCCGTGCTCCAAAACGCGGGATCGCAAGAAGGGGGCCAGAGGTCGCGGTGTTAAATCTTGCTCGGTCTCTGGGAAGGGCTCGGGGAAGGACTGAAAGGCTTTGTCTGCTCGTAGGCCGTCTCCTAGATTGCTGGGGTCATTGACATGCTCGCAAGGTTCATCTCGGTAAGGAGCATTTGGAGTTGGCCTAGAGGGTTGATTGTTGACGTACCAACGAAGAGAACAAGGCGGTCAGCAGGTGGCTTGACATTGGCAGGTCGATCTATCTTGACAAGCCGCATGCCCGAAACAATCGGACTCACAAAATAGATGTCGAAAATGGAGTATATGTAGACAAGATGAAAGACGAATGCAATCGCCAGGAAACTGGCGCGCGAAAAGACGCCCATGGCAGGCAGAGAGCAAAGGACACAATGGAGGGCTCCAATTGAGTTCTCTCGTATCGTTTGTGGTGCGTCGTCTCGTCTTGCCTTGTCTCGCCTGTCATCCAGACGTCGTCGTGTCCTCGACGCTTCTGGGGTAGAAGACTGGCTAGTAGGCGCAGAACTGAAGTGGAAGGGACGGGCTCGTGTGTCCAGGCAGATTAAGTAGTTGGAACCCTTCGACCCCCAGCAGCAGAAAACGATTGAAAGAGTGGACGCGCACTTATCTCAAGGTGTGCGCATGGCTCAAAAGCTGTTGGTAATGCGCAGGATTGGGAATGGGGGATTTTCGCCCAGGAGAACACAATCGTCACTCCCGCCTGTTGCATCGACGCGGAAATTATTTGGTGGTTACAACACGTCGCTGGCTTCTTAGCGCAGCTAATTTTGGACTTGCGGAACACATGGGCAGACAGGGGTAGTGAGGTGCAAGGTACTATCATCCCTACACATTCGCGTACTAGTATTTCCCCAGAGCGATTCTGCCAGTGAGCAACTCCGAGCTACGTACTCACCTGCTCGTATGGAGAACACATGTGTGGATAAACAGTACGTGTCTTGTCCTGGTCTTTTACCCAGGAACCCTTGGAGTGGGCCCTGGCTAGCCAGTAATAATACCTGGTAATCAATGACAAAGCTCATACCAATGCTGTGAGCTTAGGGGGGGAAAGCATTTAAAGAGAGCGCAAGCTCAACTTCAGCAGAAGCTGAGACATCAGGGTGCCTACTATGTACATGGCTTTGCGAACCTCTGCGGACAGTCGTAAATCACACTCTTCCTCCAGGCGGGCCGTGTCCGAGGCATCAACTGCTTTTTTTCGGCCAGATCGCGAACGGGTGGGTGAAAGTCACTTGCATGTGTTCTTTTTGGTTACGGACCGCTTTCAAGTCAGAATTCACATAGTGTCATGCCTCAGCTAGGCAACTCCTCTCCTCGGCAATATCTCAAAAGCCAAGTCGCCAGGCCAAAGTCTGTATGTCTAGCCACGACAAGAATAACGAGAAAAAGATATCCAGGGGTATCGCCCAATTCCAAATGCGTCTCGGCCATTGCAAAATTCAAGCAGTGGCCATAGAACCACTATAAACCTCTCAGACCTCTGAGACAATTTACTCCATCAACGACTTCGTCACCCGTGAATAAAACTTCGCAGCATGTGGCCGGGAAAACTCGATCTCCTCCACCAAAAAGTCGGGAAGCAGATCAATTAGATCCCGATCCCGGTTAGAGTCCAGCTGCGGCTTGTAGGTGAAGTGCGCTTCTTCGTAGCTGTCCTCCGAATTTTCTGTCTCAACCTCAAGCTTGAAGTGGAGAGCTGTAATGCTGTTAGCTTCCATTCCTCATCAAACATCAGTAGTATATTACACAGGGTACTCACTTCCGTTTCTTCCCGTTTGAATGCAGTCAAAGACTTGCCCAGCCGAGTCACGCTTGACTACCCTGACAATCAACCCTGTCAGATCACCGTAGAGGTCCTCCTTCAACTGAGCCGTTTGCACCGCATCTGAGCTAGCTGTAGCAATAGCACGAGCGGCTGCGTTCCCGCCTTTTATGGCGCTTCCTGGGACCTTGACAGTCACTGCTGTCGCAGCAGCCTCTGCCGACCTGCTCGCCGCCAACTTGTTCGACAGCGTCTTTACTTCTTGTTTCGCTTCAGCAAGAGATGCCGACAATTCCGCCACTTTCTTTTCCATTTCCTCAAGCTTCAGTTTACTTTGCTGGCCTTCCTTGGCTAACGCTCGTTGAGTCCCCAAATCCTCCTTGAGATTGTTTATGAGCTCGCTCGCAACTTGGCTGCGTCAGCACACACTGTTACGATGTGAACCCTTGGCTTTGAAACTTACTGTTCGCCCTTTCATCGCTCTCCTTCTTGAGAGTGTCAAAGTTGCGTTCAGCCGCCTTGATTCCAATTTCGCGCAGATCACGGTATTTAAGCTCGAGATTTTCGTACTTTCTGGCCGCATCACCTAAACGCCTACGAAGGTGTGCGTCTCCCAAATCTGCGTCCAAGTTGTCTCGTGCCCGAGCGCGTTGGACAGGCTCTTTGAGCACAGGCACATCGTCGGAATGGCCAATGTCCGTCGTGTCGATATCGGTAGCTTCTGAAGGTTGCGTCTCTAAGATTTCAGAGTTTTCGTTTCTTCCTAGCTTGTTTGCCGGACGGCGCCCGCGCTTCGTTCGCTGCGCTGTAAGCTTATCGGTGGGATTTGACGATTCCCTTGTCGTAACAGCAGCTGCTGCCCTCGGTCGACCTCTGGGTCTTGCAGTGCTCGTTGTCAGGGGCATGGTGTCTTCCTCCCCCGAATCGACCATGCTCTCATCCTCGTCTTTGTTGTCGGCTTTGCGCCCTCTCTTAGCGGTCTTCGTGTCCTCTTTACTCGACTCTTCGACGTCATCCTCGCTTCCAGTTTTATTGGTGGAAGCGATAAGAACAGCTGCAAGCTTATCATTAGGGCGACGTGCGGCTTTTCTGGCGGGCTTCGTAACCTTGTTCGCTGGAGGTCGTCCGCGGGGTTTCTTTGTTGGTGCCATGTCGTCCGTCTTCGACTTTCTGTGCTTGTGGATCTGGGCGCCTAATCCAGATAGTTCGTCCGAGTCTGAATCCGCCAATACCAACAATTTCGATGATCTAGAAGCTCGTGACATTCGCACCGTACGTAAAATTTGATGACAATAACCACAGAAGTTGTCACTCGCTGGATTGTTTACTCGCGCTGAGAGTAATCGCGGAACATACGCGCTCAGGTGATATATAATCACACAACACCAGAGGCAAATGTCGTTTGCCACTATCACTTGGCCGTCCAAGAAAGATTATAGGTCGCAAGTTCGGTAGACGAGAGAAAAAGAGATTGCAATAAAGATGTGGACATGCTGTAGCTATGCGGAATTGTTGCGCAAGTCATTTACCATTACTTCACTTGTCTTTGTAGGAGTAACCCTTCGGGAGAAGAAAGTAAATAAACGGCCCAGCAGCAACCCTCGGCATGATACCCACTACCCCTAGCACTGAGCGGTACGCGCCTGTGGCGGTGCGTACCCCACGCTGAGCCATCAAGCAGCAAGTGGCTTAAGACTTCCATGGCCCGAACCTCGGGTGGCGTATTCATAAACTCCTTTGTAATGGTGGCCACGTCTCGTTCGTCCGCTCGACGTTATCCCACTCTTCACTGAATGCGCCCTACACCTGATTTTTTGGTCCTGTTTGGTCAAAAGCTGTTTTTTGGGCAGCATTCCCCCAACATCAATTAAAAAGTTCACTTAAAACGCGAGTTGAAACTCACCAATATCTCCTTGGAATATTCGGCACGTGCAGACACGATTGCATCGCGTCGGCCCCTTGCCGTAACGCCAACCCTGATGACGAGCGATTTGGACCGCTGGGTTGGTTCCGTAGGAAAGCTCCTCGGCATGGGTGATCGAAAGAGAGGTCTAGGCGATTTCGCCTTGGACTTGTTGTTGGTGGCCGGTATGGTACGTGGAAACATTTGTTGTCCTGGACGGCAGTTTCGAGGCTAACTAATAATCATGGGTTTTCTAGATGGCAACTGGAGTCTACCTGGCCCGCAACTTTCTTTCGTCCCTTACGAATACACTTGCAGACCCTGACCGAGAAAAGCACGAACAAGCGCGGTTACAAGCCAAAGCTCATCTCGAACGCTTACGCAAAGGCAAGAATACTGGCAAGCCAGGTGACGATTCTGCGAACGACAGCAGCTCGGCTCGTCGTGGCCCGAAGCCAGAGGATCTGGTGCTAAACGAATACGAGAATCTTATTGCTCTGGAAATGGTAGCACCTGAGGACATTCCCGTGGGCTTTTCTGGTCAGCAATATATGTTCCAGTGCCTAAAAAAGCTGCCGGTCCGCTGACAAAGGTGCTGCAGATATCGGTGGTCTGGAAGACATTATTGATGAGCTGAAGGAGTCAGTCATATACCCTCTTACTATGCCGCATTTATACTCCCACGCTGCGCCGCTCCTTTCTGCGCCATCAGGCGTGCTGCTTTATGGCCCGCCGGGCTGCGGCAAAACTATGTTGGCTAAAGCTGTTGCACATGAAAGCGGCGCATCCTTCATCAATCTTCATATCTCGACAGTGACAGAGAAGTGGTATGGAGATTCAAACAAGCTGGTCAGAGCTGTTTTCTCACTCGCTCGCAAGATGCAACCTGCCATCATCTTCATTGATGAAATCGATGCAGTGTTGGGCACCAGAAGGAGTGGCGAACATGAAGCAAGCGGAATGGTTAAGGCCGAGTCAGTTGCACATCAAACGATGCTTATCGTGTTTTATGACTAACAAGGGCCAGATTTATGACCTTATGGGACGGTTTAACATCGTCAAATTCGTCCGGTATGCCGGCGCGAATTGTCGTACTTGGAGCTACAAACAGGATCCATGATATTGACGAAGCTATTTTGAGACGAATGCCTGAAAAGTTTCCTGTGTCTCTTCCGGGGAAGGAACAAAGGCGGCGTATCTTGCAACTTATCCTGCAAGATACGAAAACTGATCCGGACAATTTTAACTTGGAGTATATTGCTAAAGTCACAGCGGGGATGTCTGGGAGTGATATCAAAGAGGCATGTCGCGATGCCGCTATGGCGCCGGTTCGCGAATATATGAAGGAGCACCGGGCCAGCGGCAATTCCATGTCTAGTATCACACCCGATCACTTCCGCGGTATCCGGACCGAAGATTTCTTCGGGCGGAAAGGTGGTGGCCAAATACTGATGGAGAATCATGCGAAGCAGTCAGCAAAAGCCTCAGGGACGTCGGCTGATGAATACGAGGACATCGTCGAGGACTTAGGCTAATCAAATAAATCGGATACAAGGTGATGTTATGGTAGTCCATTATCACTAAGACTCCTCTCCAACTAAGCAAGTGCATGGAGGACACAATGTCGTTTATACAAGATACTGTCTCGAATTATGCGATTGATTTGATACACTATTACTCTGGAGGGAAAGACAGACATGAAGCATCTTAGAGTAGCTCATCTGTACAGTTATGTTTGGAAAATAACAACCACGATGCACTGGGCGCTAGCACAGCCCTTGCCAAACTTGAGAGAGATCCATTCCAGTCAGCAGTCGCATCTATGGCGTAGCGGAGAAATAGTACATAACGCCATGTCAAAAGTCTGTTTACATCCAACAGAACGCCACCAAATCTGGCTATGCATATAATATGATCAAAGCATCATTTTGATGCTAAAATAATCAAGGGCAATGCAAATGATATTCTGGGTTTATTCCTCTTTAACTTGCATACGTATTTATATTTCTGAGATTTCGCTCTATGAACGGGACTTTTGGGTGATCCCTTTCGCGTTGCCGTGTGGCCGTGTGGCATTGTGCTGTGAACAGAATTTTTGATCTGTAATTGTAACAATCAGCACGCAAGGCGCACATGGGTCATTCAATGTCTCCCTGCCGCCCCGCCATCGCCGACATTCGGGGGCCATGGCTACACCGACAAATCACGTCATTCGTGGGGCCCCACAAAACAAGTCACGCCCAGTGGGTGTGGATTGGAGTCACAGACTCGTCCCCAAAAGTCCGTCGCCAGTCTTTCGAAGAAGACAAAACTTCCCCTATACATGTTAAAACACCACTTTACTCTCTTCCCGTCAATCACCTGCTTTCCTCGAGTACGCCGGTGCTGCATGGGACAGTTGACTTGCTGAGCATTTCAGTCTGCCCGCGGCGAGAAGTCTGGCTCATCACGAGACCAGCGGTAAAGTACTCGATTCTTGGCCTTAGGACCTTTCTCGTTACTGTTGACGCTTCTCGCTTCTTCCATTGAAGAATCAATTGCGACGGCCATACACGTATCACCTGTCTACTTTGTCTCCCAAATCAACCTTGAACTCGCAAGCCATCGGATTTGCTGGTGGTCGTCTTTACCTGTGCTACCCCGCCATTCACAGTACGTGACTGTCTCACCATGGCCACACCGCCGAATAACGGAGCCTCTGCAAAGTCCAGCAACCCGCTCAAGCGAGTTGATCTCGACGGACATGACCTCCCTCCATCCCCCGCGCCTTCCAGCCCTCGCAATGGTCGCCGCCGATATGCTCTCGCCACCGAGCTGGTCTACACCGAGAGCAATGATCAGTACGGTGCTTCTAGCATTCCCATCTATCAGTCTGCCACGTTCAAGCAGACCAGTGCCAACGGTGGAAATGAATACGATTACACCAGGTCGGGCAATCCGACACGTACTCATCTGGAGCGCCACTTGGCCAAAATAATGAATGCAACGAGGGCTCTTGCCGTTGGCTCCGGCATGGGTGCTCTGGATGTCATTACCCGTCTGTTGCGACCAGGTGACGAAGTCATCACGGGCGACGATCTGTACGGAGGCACCAACCGCCTGCTCACGTACCTTTCGTCGAATCAGGATATCATCGTGCACCATGTCGACACCACTGATGTTGACTCTGTCCGCCACGTCATCTCTGAAAAGACTGCCATGGTTCTTCTTGAGACGCCGACGAACCCTCTTATCAAGATTGTCGACATCCCTTCCATTGCCAAACTTGTTCACGACGCCAACGACAAGGCTCTGGTTGTTGTGGACAACACCATGCTCTCGCCGATGCTGTTTAACCCACTCGACATTGGCGCCGATATCGTATATGAGTCAGGCACAAAGTACTTGTCTGGTCACCACGACATCATGGCTGGTGTTATTGGCGTAAACGACTCTGACATCGGCAACAAGTTGTATTTCACCATTAACGCTACAGGCTGCGGCCTTTCGCCGAACGACTCGTTTCTGCTGATGAGAGGAATCAAGACACTCGCCATTCGCATGGAAAAGCAACAGGCCAACGCTCAACAGATAGCCGAGTTCCTCGAGTCGCATGGTTTCAAAGTACGGTATCCCGGACTTAAATCCCACCCTCAATACGACCTTCATTGGTCTATGGCACGTGGTGCTGGTGCTGTCTTGTCCTTTGAGACAGGCGATCCGGCGCTTTCGGAGAGAATTGTCGAAGCTGCTAAGCTGTACAGTATCAGCGTGAGCTTTGGCTGCGTCAACAGTCTAATCAGCATGCCCTGTCAGATGAGCCATGCGAGCATCGATGCCAAGACCCGAAAGGAGAGGCAGATGCCAGAGGACCTCATCCGGCTATGTGTGGGTATTGAAGATGTCACCGACTTGATCGAAGATCTTTCCAGAGCCGTGAGTCTTCAAAAGTAATCTTACAATATGCCATATAAAACTAACAAATAACTAGCTTGTTCAGGCTGGGGCAGTCAATGTGACTTTGGATGGCTTTCATGCGACTCAGTCCGTCCAGCAATCCGGAGAGGTTGCCTCAGAGAGAGGGGCATAGTGCTAGAATTTGACGGACAATTAGTCAAGTGTAAAACAAGTGGAATAAATCCTACTTGGTGACACGATGACAATAGCCAGGCGCATGATGTTCGCACTGAAGAAACGGGAGATAAAAGTATGCGCGCAGGAGATTTATGGGAGAAAATAAAGCATAAATTATAACATATCATCCGCAAGTGAAATACGAACTCATGCTCATGTCACGTGGACTCGATGAGGTGGTTTCTCTCCACAGCAAATCATGGCGACGGTCAATCTGAATCTACAGTCCAGCTTGTTTTCAAGGAACTTGGCTTTGCATCAATATCGCAGTTCGGCGGAGTAATTTTACATCCGGAGGCGTGCGGCCCTTTTTCAGCATATATTTCAACTCTCATTAGAGTGCTAGACTGAACGAAGCGCGCGAACACGAAACTTTTCTCATTACTGTGAAATATCCCTCCTCATCCTGTTCAGGATAAGGCCTTTCGTTTACATGCGAAACCACTACCCAGAGACTCTGGTCACCCTGACCATAGTAGGGAAGACGTAAAACAGCACGCCGCGAGGAGCTTCAGGGTTTTAGGGTTCTTATGCCTCTCACATCAGACTGAGTTTCTTGGCAAGAGATCGCTTGGCGACCTTATGCACGACTTGGGCTTTTTTGACCACAAGGCCCCTGAACCGAGTTGCGGATGTAGCTGTGTTTTACTATTCAACCGCTGCCGGCCCCTATGTAGAATTCTCAACACTACTTCAATATAATCTGGCAAATTTGACGCTATGTACTTTTCACGTGGTTTTCATGAGATCTCTGCATTCGTCATTGCTTTTAGCCATGGCTATCCTCATTCTTGGGCTTAATGTACCGCATTGGCAGGCCACGGCATCGTTATCTGTCACGAGACGTTTTTATGGCTGCTGATAGGCAACTAGTTCGTTAATATAGCGACTCCAGATGCTAATACGTTCCTAACAATCTACTATCTACCACATGATATACTCCTGCTGAACTCCAACCTGCCAAAAATGAACTCTGCGATGCATGATACATATGTTTAGGAAAAATCGAAGCGGTCTGGCAAAATTACAGGCGCCACCAAAGTCCAAGCATACATGGCGTAGCAAACCCAAGCACTCACAATCTTGACCCAGCTGGCCCAGTAAGATCGGCCGACAGGGGCGAAGTTGCCGTCATTATGGTCATCCCAACTCTGTGTAAGCAACGTAGCAATCCAGGTTGTGGCCAGGAAGAAGATGACATGAAAGACGCTATAGTTGTACTGGGTTCTGGTGCGCTCGTCATCGCCAGGCGTTTGATTGCCACCGGCATCGCTTTCATCGTCAGAGAGCAACGCATCAGCAGGCAAACTACCCTCTTCCACAGCTCGACGCAGTGCTTCTGCCCGCATCTGTTTGTGAGCGTTGGGTTGCTGGGTGACAAGGTCGTGTTCGTCTTCTTCCGGAAGACGGATTCCGCCGGAAGAGCCTAGGCCCAGACTTTGTGTCGCGGCCCGTGTTGTGGTGTAGGCAATTGTGAGCATAGTAACGATGGCGCCGATAACGATTGACGTTGTGCGGGTGCCCTGCGCTCGAATCAGGGGGTTGCACTGTTTGTCGTCAGGCTCCATGGACACAGCTGACATGGTAAGGTAAGTGCAGTAGACGGCGACCATGGCGCCTTGAGCAAGACCGGCCTTGGGGTTGTATTCCTGGACAGTAGGGTGAACGGAAATGAAGGAAATCCCAATCCAGAGTAAAAGATTGATGGTAATAGCTGCCTGGTTCATAGTGCAACCTCCTCTGGCAAAGAAAATGTACTGGACAATAGTCATAGCAAGCGAGGCCAAGTACATGCCCAAGGTAGATCCAATAAGCACTGTCCGCCAGACCTTGGAGTCTGTCTCTTCAATCTGCTCAAGGCAGTACTCGGCCCAGTTGTGGGCAAGGTCAACCAACAGGATGAGACCGAGAATAAGAAAAAGCATACCGCCAACCTGGGCGATATAAGACCCCCAGAACTGGAAGAACTCATCGGGGATCAAGAACGAGAGCACGATGAGGGCCAACCATGCAATAATTTTGGGTCCCCAGTATCCATTCTGAATAGCTGCGCGCGGGTTCTTGGAGGATGAAACGCCGAAAAGAAGACCCGCGAAGATGAGGTGGAAGAGGCCGAGAGCGAAGTTGAAGCGGTGGACGGCCATCCAGCCGTAGCAGTTGCCGGTAGGACACCCAATTTTAACGTAGTCAAGCATAAGATGTTCCAACTTTTTTATCGCCCAAGGAGTAAGCATGATCCAGGAAAGAATGGAGTTAACGAGGAGGATTAGGGCGTAGCCAATGCGAGTAGCGACACTGTCATGCTGGTTAGCTCAAAGTTATCTACGGCGTTATTCATGGGACACACCTGTTGCCACACTTCCCACAAGCGCTGCATACAGCAGAACACGTTGCCGCACCGCAGCAGCTAGCAGCGAAGCCTGCCATCTTGGATACGTTAGTATGTGTCGCGATTGATTTGAATAAGAAAAACAGCCCAGTTTGCGGGAGAGGATAATAGAAACGAACATACTGTGCCTATGCTTGGCACCGCCATGAGCGGTAGAGACAGCAAAGCACCCATGGCGCTGATTGTTCAAATGCCAAACGGCCGGTCGTATGTACAGGTTCCGTATTCCGGGGAGGTGTAACAGAGTGATGGAAGTGTATTGTTGTTGCTGTTGTTGCTGGGGTACCTTGATTGCACCAACGAACTGACGATATCGCGGACGGCATTGGCACAGGAAGGCTTGCGCGGACAACCACAGGACGACAACAATGGGCTCGAGCGTTGAAGGTGCACGTGAGGCTACGTAGTTTTGGTGGGTATGTGCTTACATAAGGGTAAATGTCACTACTTTGTGGGTCAGGTGAGGCTTTGAAGAACCGCTCCGAGGTCGGCGATCATTGACAGGGACGCCACTGGCCCTCTTGGAGGTTCATTCTTGGTAAGCTAACTGCCATTCTCGGATTGCTGGCCACCATCCGCAGACTCCGATTATCCGGCTCATACTACGTAACTAGTAGACAGAATGCTTGGGAAGCCGTGCGCTATTGCTGGAGTTTCAAACTGGCTAGGTCTTCCATGCGTGCCCCGTACAAAGCATGGCATCGTTGAGTTATCTCATGTGATTTAGTGCTATATATTCAACGCACTTCAAGTTGCCCTATTCAAAGGTGGCTTTTTTGTACAGTGAACATTACTTGTACGTTGGCGTCAGACAACAACTCTAAACCATGATCGCATTATTTTTTAGCTATTCCAATTTCTGCATAATGTTGACGTACTAGTCGCAGACGTGTGAACGGGGTTTGCGTTAGCGTCACTTTATGGTGTTCGTAATCAAGCCATTTGATTTGATTTAGCTATGTGTCAAGCAACCTCGGAATTTGAAGATGATGGCCAGGCTGCTTGAGTGTTTGGCTCCATGTGAGTGAGATGAGTGGTCAGAGCAGGCAGGCACTTAGTCGAGATGAGCGTACCTTCAATAAAAGTAGAGCAATCGTTACTTGGCGTGCTGGATCTGGAGCTGCAACTGGGATTGAAGCCCTAGAGGCATCGGACAACAGTTACATACCCGCGCATTAAAACAGTCATGGACAAAGCTGTTGGCCGTTGATTGCTTGCTGTGCAGGCTGGGGTTTTCTCTCGATCAGTTGCAGTCCATATCTTGACTCTTTCCCAAGGGTATATAATACATACACACAATGTATGGATACCTGACGATGCAAAACGGAACCAGAAGAAAAAAGGGATCAACATACGGATAATGGTGTACTAAAAGACACAGTGAGGAGGGAAGGCTGCTTCCATTCTGGTTTGTCCCCCGCGTGCAAGCGAAAACTGGCATGGGACTACTGTAGGAGTACTCTTCTGGGCCAGCGTGACAGCCTTGGGCAGGTGCTACATGCAGGTGCTCCACGCCCAGCTGCCCAGATCAAACAATGTACTGGGTACTGTAGGCTTTACGTATCCAATATGTAATACATGCACCACGATTGGTACTCGTTACGTAGTGGTTTGGCCGATACGGCAAGCCACTTTAAGATAAGCCATTTTACTGTATTATAGGGCCCCGACATTTCAATTGCTCGCGCTCCGACCAAGGAGCCCCATCCCAAGGGGATCGAATCACTGGCCCCCTTGAGCCCCAAACACACCCATACCTCCCTAGGAAATGCAGGTGCACAGAGCAGGGCAGGTAACTACTACCAAGAGATTCGTGATCCCAAAGATAAGGGATTCGGCAACAGTCCCTTCCGCAAAAGCTTCCCGTTGTCCTCATCTCATCCTTCTCCTTTTCTCCTCCTCTTCTCTATTTCGCTTCCACCGTTCCATCCTCGCTCCCCCAATATACTCTACAATCTCTTTGTCGATTTCTTCATGTTGCATGCTCTCGGCTTCACCCCGATCGCCATGAGTAGTGCTCCTCCGATAGTCCAAGTCCATTGAGCCAAGTAAACCTCACTGTTATCGCCATCCTCCAAGTTATCGCCGTCATCGCTGCGCCATTCACTCTCCGCTGGCGCCAACGATAGAGCCTTTCACGTGCCTGAAACCCCAAGCATGATTTCTTGAAACTCAACAACCATTGTTAAGTTTCGCACACCATGGCCAATATTCGAGAGAAACAGTTGCACCTCGCACGCCTCGTCGCCAGCGTTGCAGCAACAGTCATCTCTCTTGCCTGCGGCACCAACGTAAGTTGGCGCCTAGATCGTTCCCCAAACCCGTTACCAACGTAAAAGTATATCATTACTAACATATGTTTGCTATACAGTATGTCTATTCAGCATGGGCCCCCCAATTCGCCGAGCGATTGAAGCTCTCCTCGACTGAGACGAACCTCATTGGTCTTTCAGCCAATTTGGGAATGTATTCTCTGGGTGTTCCCGTTGGCATACTGGTCGACCACAAAGGGACTCGTTCCGCCGTCATTGGCGGCTCCTTTCTGCTCGCCCTTGGATACTTTCCCTTTCACATAGCCTATGACCGCGCGGCTGGTTCCGTTCCGCTTCTTTGCTTCTTTTCGTATCTTACTGGCCTCGGTGGATGTATGGCTTTTGCTGCCGCCGTCAAGACATCCGCTCTCAACTGGCCACATCATCGTGGTACTGCGACCGCTTTCCCGCTGGCTGCTTTTGGCCTGAGCGCCTTCTTCTTCTCAACCTTCGGTACCCTCTTCTTCCCTGGAAATACTAGCGCCTTCCTGGCTTTACTATCATTTGGGACCTGTGGCCTGACCTTCCTCGGTTTCTTCTTCCTGCGTGTTTGGCCGCACACCAACTACCACAGTCTACCCGCCAGTGATGGTCTGTCTGGCTCTCAACAACTTCACCGTACATCCTCAGAGGAGGCGAAACCCAACCGCTCCAGTCATGGGCATCACGCGGTGTTGGATGAACCTGGTACGTCGCCCAAAGTTATAAATACTACTGCCACAATCACAATCAACTCCAATTCCGACAACGAACCGGTTCGCACAACATACGAACCGTCCACGCCGTCTCGCGAGGCAGATGAGGCGCAAATCGAAGCTGTCGACGCCGATGATTACGAGCCCGACGAGACGTCTTCGCTAGTGTCGAGCTCCTCTTCTATGCCTGGTGATGTTTTTGTTCAGAGTAGTGTTGATATGGATCGTTCTCATCGTGTAGATATCCGTGGTTGGAACCTGTTTCGTGAGCTCGATTTTTGGCAGTTGTTTTGCATCATGGGCATTCTCACCGGCGTTGGTCTTATGACAATCAAGTATGTCCGTTGGCCTCACATCCTCCCTCCTCCCCTAGGCTTTTTGGATTCTCCATGTCTCGTGATACTGAACAACATCTATAGCAACATCGGAAATGACGTAAAAGCCCTTTGGCGCCACTGGGACGAATCTGTTGACGAAGCCTACCTCATCACTAGACAGCAGATGCACGTCTCCATCCTGTCTATCTGCAGCTTTGCGGGCAGACTCCTGAGTGGTTTGTTTTCTGCGCTTCCTGGTAGTTGAATCTCAAGCTGATCCCTTGCTACCAGGTGCTGGCTCAGATTTCATTGTCAAAGTGCTCCACGGTAGTCGAGTATGGTGTCTTGTTGTCTCCAGTCTAGTTTTTTTCCTTGCGCAAATCCTAGCCCTCACCATCACAAACCCTCATCTTCTGGGTTTGGTTTCTGGCCTGTCTGGTATTGCATACGGGTTTTTGTTTGGAGTATTCCCCTCCATAGTCGCCGAGTCATTTGGAATCCACGGCCTCAGCCAGAACTGGGGTCTGATGACACTGTCTCCTGTGGTTTCGGGTAACATCTTCAATATCTTTTACGGCAAAATTTACGACAAGCACAGCATTGTGGGCCCAGACGGTGAGCGAGTTTGTCATGATGGGCTGAACTGCTATCGTGCTGCCTATCTGATGACCTTGGCATCATGTTCAATTGGTCTCGTTCTCACACTTTGGGTCATTCGCCACCAGCGCGTGAAATGGGCAAAAGAGGAGAAAGACAAGGCAGGGCAAACGGACTAGTCCTTCATCTATGATATTATAGTATTGGAGTTCTCCGTCGCGAAGGCGCCAACAGGAACAGCTCTTGTTTGACTCTGAAACTAGAAGTTTGCATCGAAAGGAGGAGGAGGGAAAATAGAGATCATGGGCGATGGTAATCGATGATGACCGACGTTGGACCAAGATGATACTGCGCGTGTAGGATTTCACGCTATCATAACCTCACGAGGCGTTGTCACTTTTTATTAGAGATAGATTGTTTAATAGACTCTTGATCAGCCATATCATGTGACATCTCTCTGTGTTCCAGAACTTGAGCACTACGGCAAAGTCATAAAAGACGCAACAGGTCTTGAGGAGCGACTTAGAGATCTACCAACGCTTTGCATCCCTCCAAAGGTCATACCGTGGCTCATGGACGACTGGATTCAATTGCAAAAACAATTTCAGTAATTGCAGTGAAATGCCACTGATAACGAGCAACACATGCTGTTATACACATCTTCAACCCCCCTGATCCCCTCTAAACCTTGTCCTTGACTGGTAAAACTCTGCCTCTATCTAAGAACACGAATACCCCTAGGCCGCTGGCAAAGTAAAAAGCAACGGGTCAAACATCAAGCAAGAATAATACCCCCATTACAGCATTATACAACAAAGCCCCGAAGCGAGAAGTCCCCCCGTACTAACCCGTCTTCCGGTCCTTGGAAAATTTTGCCCAGCCATCGCCTTCTAGACGCTTTGCTCTCTGGGTCAATAATTGGGATGGAGAGGCTTTAGAGGTGTTAAATATCTTCAAACATAGTCCATAAGTAACCGTCGACGCCTCTAGACAAAAAGCATAGACAGTCTGAACTCCCTGCCAATGCAGCCTTAGACAAGAAAAGTGAAGGGGAAAAAACGAAACCAAAAACCCTGTACCAACGCCAATGTCATGGTCAAGCAGATATGTCATATCTAACCCTCAGTTTATAGGGTAAGAAATGTCTATGCCAAGACATGTATATAGCCAAGACCCTCTATATTCAAGAAATCAGAACCCCTACCAGTTACAGCACCTTAGCAGGCCAGGTCAGAGGGTTACGGTAGGCCGTCTTTCTGATTGTCAAGCTTTAGTATGTACAGCGTGCATAATAAATGCGGGAGATACGGCGCTTGACAACGCAGATGCTCATCAGGTTGCCCAACAACCTACGCTTGCTCGTCTTGCTGGAAGCGCAATCCAGCCTGTCTTTCAGGGCGTCTTGCCCCGCTTCCGGTTTTCACTTGCGCTGTTTTCGAATATTGAGCTCAAACCGACAAGGGGCCAGGTGTCAGAGGTGGAATGTATTACGACCAACCATGCGGCCACGAGGTTGACGAGGTAGTGCAGCATGTAGGCATATGAGACGCCGTATATAGCCGCGTAAATCGCTGTGCCGAACAAAAGAATACTTGTGAGGTGCCTTAAGTTGCCGGTAACTCTAGGTACCATTTTACCGGTCGTAAGATTCTCCACAAGTAGTATGAACGGCATAATTGACAACACATTGTGGTGTGAAGAAAAGGGCGTCAGCCAATGTACTGCAAGGTTGCGAATCCAAACAGCCAGAATAGGCAAGTTGATCGGAAGAACCCAAAGCATGAGTAGCAGTATGGAGTGCGCATAATGATAGAAGTCGTAGTTTGGCCCCGACTTGATCTCTGAAGCTATTCTGAGGGCTCGGACAACAGTGAATAGCTGAACAAGGCAAGCAACCAAGTATGCGAATTGATAAGGTATGAAGGTCGACACCAAAAATAGGAGGACCGCAGTAGTAATCATGCGGCGTCGAGGCGACGAAGGGGCAAGGATTGGCAAATGCGTTCTTCGTCGCTCATCTCTGCCTTGGCCGAAGGGATAGAGGACTACCCAAGCATAGACGAGGCCAAGGAGCTGCGTCAAGGCTAATGTGAGAAAATGAAGCACTGCACAAACGCCGATACAAACCACTCCAATCAGAGGTACCAAAAACCAGAAGAATGGATCCTGAGTACCTGTGAGAAGATCATTATCGTGGAAATCACCAGTAGGCGACGTTGTGTTGCGCCAGTGCCAAAGACTCCCAGCACCTGCTGGCCAAGTTCCTGTCATTGACAGAGAGAGGAACGTCAACGAGAGCAGCATCAGGGGCAAGGATTGTCGTAGACAAAGATCCAAACTCTCCGAAAACGATATAAACGTGCCCGTCGTGTCATAGACCCTAAACTGCTTACGAAGTACCAGCGCCACCACAAGCAACGGAAAGGCAGCAAAGACAGTTCGGTAACGCATGTACAACTTTCCCAGACTTCCCAGAGCATCCACTGTTAATCTTATCTGAATGCTGGATTCGCACGTCGGGTCCGTCCAGAACTGGAAACTAAGTCCTTGCTCGTCATGATTTTTTGGTCGTAAGGGGGGAGGGACGAAAGGCGCGACTCCATGTATGCTAATGCTCGCATGTCTAGCATTGACGAAGAATTTGGACTCATAAGGTTGAGCCAAATGTTGTCGGATAAGGGGGGAGAAGAGCTCGGTAGTACCGCCACACATTTGATTGCCAATCTCCAGATTGTAAGCCAGCAGGCTGGACTGTAGTGTAGGCACGTTGATTTCCGCGACCATTGGACGATTGGGAGGAAGTCTCAATGTCATTCCAAAGGCCAATAGTCGTCGTAGGCTTATATTACGTCTCCTGTGCGATTGAGAATGGTCACTGAATTCGGCCACGACAAAGTTTTGAGAGGGTTTGAAGGCTTTGTCAATGACAGCAACAAATTGATGATCCGCGATGTCTTCGGTGTCATACTGGAGGTAGGAGAACGGGCGGATGATAGGCTCGTTTTCCAAAGGAAAAGGGTGGTGTAGAGCTCTGGTTGAAGCGGGCAGAAGCATGGCGTCAGATGCGGCATTCTTGCAAGCCAATCGAGTGGTTCCTGTGCTGTCGCCCGAGAGATCCATGTTCATAGAGAACAAAGTCGTGGCTTGGCCAGGCTGCAGGGTGAAAACGCTACAAAATAAAACCTCAAGTTTGCCGTGCTCTCCTGGTATATCTGGGCTAACATCGGACAAAAGTGTAAACCTTTTCCCCTCAGGTGAGCTTTGAGGCGGCACTGGAAGAAGATATGCCCTTGGTTTCGGTTCGTGCCCCAGTTGTCGCAGGACCAGACGCTCTCCTTGGCCCATAATGGCGTTCGAGTTGTCTTCAAGTGTTAGAAGTGTTGTTGGTCCTTCAGAAGGTAAATTTTTTTCAGCAATTGATTCCATGCCTGTAAGAAACCATTTTTTAAATACTCTCATCCTTTCAGCTCTTGGTTTCGTCTGCGAAGACCTGTGGACGTCAACCACGTCGTACATGGCCCGGGCAACAACCTTTCTGAACTGGTCGCACCACAGAATGGCCTGATGATCCATACTGGTCCAAACATTGGGAATACCAGTGGTAAAAACTGTGAAGCCATGTGTCTCTGGGATGATTGACTCGACACTGGCATAGTCGGACGGAACAACCGTGTCTAGGCCTCCACCAGCAATAGAGACAAGCGTGACGTGCCATAACGGGTTGTTGTTGGCCCATTGTTGCGAATAAGCTCGACGCCAGTACTCGTTAATATCCTCATAAATGCTTACAATTTGGCCGTCAAAGGTAACGGGCGGGCGTGAGTGGGGTGCAGACATAGTAATGATAGTGTTAATCGAATTAGACTGGTAGTTCGGCATAATGAGCATAGTACGCGCCACAATGCCACCCATGGAATGACCCAAGATTAGAACTGATGTCGGGTCTGGCAAGTCCGCATCGCGAGCGGACATGCGCGGGTCCATATAAAGCGATAATATATATCGAATGGCCTCATTTAAGTATTCTGCCTGATCCAGCATCGTCTGTCCGTGAAATGCAGTAATATCCTCGTTGAAATCGACGGTAAAAAAGTCAAGATTGCGGGCGCCGGCAGCAGCGGCAGCTTCATCGTGCTGAAGCGATTCATGATAGTAGTTTGCCGCTTCTGCTGCTATCGGTCGTACTTGCTTATAACTACCGGCATTACCCGGGATAAAGAGGACCGGAACGCCCTTGAGCTGGTACTGGTCAGCTGGGTGAGGCGCTTGGTCACAAAAAGTGACAGGACCTTACCTTTCTTTCGTCGTCGACTCCCTGCTCGCGGTACAGATACAGAGAGTATTTTGTTGCAAAACGAGTATGCTCAGTATCGAAATCGCGTAGTCGGATATAGGAAGGCCGCATATAAGACATGCGACAACCCTTGGCATCGAGCTGACGAGTCCACGACGAGTTCAAGATAGCACAAAGTAGAGTGATGCCAAGAACTGTAGAAGCGAGAGCAAGAATGGTGATGGACCATGGGCTGCGAAAACGGGAGCGGCGACCGACCAAGCGCGGCTCTGCCATTTTTTCGGAAGCCATATGCTCTTTGTCGTCCTGATCGTGGTTGGTCGCGTTGTCCTCGTCGTTGTCGTCGTGCTGTTCGGTCCCGCCTATACTTTGAGGGTCGTGGTGGTTTGTCAGTTGGTTAATTCGGTACACAGGCGATGGCGCAGCCAGGGATGGGAACGGCGACGACGACGCAGTTATGGAACGGTTCTCGAGCGATCCATTCGGTCCATGTTCGAGCTTCCAATTGACGTTGGTCGTTCGTCTACTTCTCGCAGAAGACGGTCTCGGGGCAACTGGTGGTTGATTGGGATGTGCGACAGAGTTGGGGCTGTGAGCAGGCTGTTGGACAGCAGGAGGCTCGGCAGAAGGTTCGTCGCTGTCGTCGGTCGAACCCGACGAGCGCCTCTTCATGGATGGAGAGGGCTCGCACGAGTCTTCCTAAGAAGGAAGCGGTTATCGATTGAGCTTGAGCGTGTGGACGTAGAAAAGGGAAGGGGGTGGGAAGGAAGGAAGGAAAGGCGTGGGCGAAGGACAAGATGGATAGGCGGGAAAGGAGGGACGAGAGAAAGAGGCGTGCTCAAAACGCAACACCTTGGACAGGCGAAAGGTGTGGTGCTGGGACTAGTGCTGCATAGTGGTCCTAAGAGGTGAGTTGGTGGGTAGAGGGCGCAGGGTACCGTGCCGTTAGTGCCTCCATAGAAAGGTAAGAGCACTGCAGGTCTGTCGATTGGTGTAGCATATGCTGTGTCAAGAGTGGAAGGGGGAAAAAAGGCTTAGATTTGGCTAGTGAAAAAGCTGCCAGTAGTGCCCCCATGCAACTCTCAGAGCTGGTGCTAGGGTTCTGCTGGGACAAAACTGGCTGCGACTCAGCAAAGCGAGGTATCCAACGTTTTTTTTTTCTTGTCTCATACATGTGAAATATTTCTTAAAATATTTCTTAAAAAATTTCTTAAAAATATTTGTTCAAACGAAGTTGGTGATACTTTCTCTCCAGATTCCTGGAACTTGGAGGCAAAGAGTTCCTGGACTTAGTCGGCCTAGGAAAAAAAGACTCGACCCGAAGCAGCCGGCTGGCTCATGAGATCATACTTGATAAAATACCTCAAGATGTATGAATGAACCACTCTCACTCCGTCGCCGGCCCTGCATTGACTACCGTTTTTACTCATTAATGTTTTCATTATACTCTCATCTCCCGCGCTACCCCGGTATCCCTGGCTCTCGAACCGCCCATAGCGGCCCCAATGTGACATGAAACGGTTTCTCTCGTTTCTCAAGCTAACACTGCCTTGGGTGACTGTCGCCTTCCCCTTTTTGAGTTTTATTATTTTGTTTGTTTCCGTACTGCAACGCCTTCTTTGCACGACACACCTTTTCTAACGAAGCAAACAAAGTCCTCTCGCCAATACCACAAGCCACTTCTTTTATGTCCAAGTCATCCATTATGTTTTTTCGAGTTATTGACAAGCCTGGTCAAGAGTAAGATCCCAGTTACCCGCGGCATGATATTCTCAGCAAACCCATTTTCAACAACGGCGCGAGTTTTGTGTCGTCAGGTTAGGAAGGTGGAAATGTGTGTGTATATTGTCAATGTTGCCCACAGGTAAGTAATATAGAAGCTGCGCCGCTGCTCTAATGCCTATCCCAGCCGCTCCGTTCATGCTGATTTCCAGTACCACGTCGCGCCACGGGGCCCTCGGGACTTTTCATCTCGACAGTTCTGAGTAACCTGGTCGGATCCCGGGCTCAGTGAGAATAGTACCTGTCTCAATACATGTTAGTCTACGAGCTAACGAATCATCCAATCACCTCCCTCCCGTTCGGCATCCATAAGAATGCTATGTGGTGGGTTGATGCCTAGATCCATGTCTACGCCTCAAACCCTGTCCCCATGTTGTCGCATCGCAAAATTGTAATGTGGAAAGGTGTTAAAAAAAAAAATTGGGGGGGGGGGGGGGGGGGGGGGGAGGGGTTTCAAATGTCGTTCAGCATTAGCTATGAACTAAGTTGACAGATTCGGCCGATAACGAGCTCACGACTCGCCATAGGTAGCGATGTGTGGCATGCTGTGCTACTTGGCCCGCACGCCCGCAACGGTGTCCGAAGCAGCCGGTGTTTCTGGTCAATGACTTTTTCCAATATTCCATCCTCTCAACATCTTTGAGAACTTATTATTCTGTCATCTCTTGGGACCATCTTGTACCGAGCGTGTTGCTGATCGCATGCCACATCATCACTTGATTGCTGCAAACTACGCGTGGTTGCTCCTTGAATGCTTCTGGCCAACATGCCAATCCTACCTTCCTTTCCCTTTCAAACGCAGCAACAAAGGGTCATAATGCCACGAACGAATATCGAGCGGTTTAATGCTTGAGAAGATGTTTCTTGGCGGACATCCATCAACTCCACATATCGAGAATTGAAATACCTTCAAGACATACACGCAAGCCCGACGCGCACGTATAATTTTCCGATCTATTATGCCATAATTCGTATGGAGTAGCAAGAATTAAACGATTGGGCGCGATGACAGCGCACTTGGTCGCATATTCAATGAAGATTTGCAGGCCTGCTACACGACCTTGCCGTGGTCAAAAGCTACTTGTCGATGGGATATATGGTAATTCGGCTTTGGGTGTGTGTATACGTTGTTCAATGCGACTCTATTTACTGACTGACAGATTAGGATGATGACCCACGCTTTTGCTGCAAAGCCCCTGCAAAGCCCCTGCAAATCCCGACAGTCAAGCATTTCAACGTTCAACAAGCTCAAGAACCATTGATCTGCGCTTAGCTATATCCGTATCATATACATAAATCATTATGTAATTATACGCGACGTCATTCACTAAAAGGATAGCATTGTCTCTAGTCGAGGTCGCCTTGCGCTTGCTTACCTAACTGTTTAAGAAATGCTCAAGGTCCCCTCAGAACCACTCAACGCGTCTGAACACGCGTCTCGCCAAGGAGATTGGCCACATCCCTCACCCACCTTACCTTGCATTTGAAACGATAGTAACATACCGATGGGAACGCTTTGAAGATCACTCGCAGTAGGAATGGCTACAATCAAGCCCATCGAGGGCCGCACAGTAAGCGCTCGTCAAACTGCATGTCAACTTACCTGAAAGATTTGCCTGCCTTCACCCCGTACCACCTCCATAGCTCTTGCAATGTTGCAATTTCAGGGCACTGACATACCCCAAGGTCCACCAAATACAATCCGGTCAGGTCATCGTCGACCTTTGTTCTGTCGTCAAAGAATTGGTTGAAAATAGTATCGACGCCGGCGCAACAAGCATAGGTAGGCATTCCGAAAGCTCGCTTATAAATCCCAGGGCCCTTCCTACTCCTCCGCCAGAGCTCTTATTAGCTCAGGTGAGCTAACCATACTCTCCAATTTCAAGATGTGCGTTTCAAGAACCAAGGATTAGACAGTATCGAGGTTCAGGACAACGGGTCAGGGATCTCTCCGAATAACTATGAGACCATTGCCCTGAAGCACTATACCTCGAAACTTTCGACATACTCCGATCTCGCTACACTGCAGACGTTTGGCTTCCGTGGTGAAGCCTTGTCCTCGCTATGTGCTCTGTCTCAGTTCAGTGTCCTCACTTGCCTCGCAAAAGATGTGCCCAAAGGTGCGAAACTTGAGTTCGACACGTCGGGGAAACTCAAGAGCACGCACGTCATCGCCGCCCAGAAAGGTACCAACGTCATTGTGGAAAACCTCTTCCACAACCTGCCCGTCCGCCGCCGCGAGCTTGAGCGTAACATCAAGCGGGAATGGAACAAGGTCATTGCACTTCTGAACCAGTACGCCTGCATTCAAACAGGAGTTAAATTCACTGTATCACAGCAGCCTAGCAAGGGAAAACGTATCGTACTCTTTTCCACCAAAGGCAACATGACAACACGCGAGAACCTTGTCAACATCTTCGGCGCCAAGACAATGACAGTCATGGTCAAGTTAGACATGACACTCAAGTTTGAGCCCACTACTGCTTCTAGTTTATTGCCTAGTCAAAAAGACATGCATAGCTCCGCTGAAGCTCGTCTTCAAGGGTATGTCAGCCGACCAGCGCACGGCGAAGGCCGCCAAACACCAGACCGGCAAATGTTCTTCGTTAACGGCAGACCATGCGGACTGCCTCAATTTGCAAAGGTGTTCAACGAGGTTTACAGGTCATACAATTCATCCCAGTCTCCTTTTATATTTGCCGACATCCAACTTGACACGCACCTATATGATGTCAACGTTAGCCCCGACAAACGTACAATTCTATTGCACGACCAAAGTCGGATGCTGGAAAACTTGAGAGAAGCTTTGATTGCTCTTTTTCAGTCACAAGATTATTCCATACCGGTTGCCAAACTTTCAACGCAGAAGGCACAGGTGGAAGCGCAAACCCCTGTAGTTGGGAACACCGGCTCTGAAAGTAGAGAGCAAAGTGCAAAAGTCCCAGCTTTTGCTGCAAAGACTGCAACGGAAGCAATACGAAGCGACAATTCCAGCTCTGAGAATGAAACTGATAAACCCACGCGAAAGGGGCGGACAACGAAGCCCACCAAACTGACCGCAGCAGAGCTACAGTCGCAGAACTTGATTAGCCGATGGATCGGGAAAAAAGCTGACGAGCCCAAAAGTTTGGAGATCCAAGATTCACGACATAAAGAGTCGTTGGATAGCAGAAACGATATTGAGGAGTCGGCCATGTGTCAAAAGTCGGCAGTACCGCAGGATGAGGATGATATCTCTGGGGAGCTCTCAACATCTTCCATGGAGGTACCGGATAATGATTTGGTTACTCCGATTGGACTTTCTCGCAAAGTTCTCGATTTTCATACTCGTCTTTCTGAGGTGGATGCCCAAGACACTGTTGGGACACGATTAGCGGATATAGCAAGTACGCAGGATACCGACAAGGAAAACACAGAGGCAGAGGTTCCAGCAATTACGCCAGTCAAAGCACCACGACATACCAGCCGACCATTGACAGCGACACCACGGCTGCTTAAAAGGTCTGTTGCAGACATGGCGGCCGTTAACATTGGGTGCCACAGGCCCACGGGCCCAACAGAAACTCAATCTAAGCGAGCGAGGGTCGATACTGGCCCAGAAGCGAGAGAGCCTCCATTCGACGAAGCTGCATACTCGATAGCAAACTTAGCTACCGGTTCTTCCCCAGATGGAAGACTATCAGGGATTCAGCGAAGCAAGCAGGGGAGGCTATCCAAGGACTGCTCAGAAAATCCCGATGAGGACGACTCAGCCATTGCTACCGATGAAGACGCCTATGTCCCTGCCTCATCCAAGTCGCAAGTGGAGAATCATCCTGACGAGGCAATGAGCGTTGATGATGTCGGTGGAAGGTTAGCATGCACTCCAGGAGGGCCTGATGTGATGTCCAGCCCGACAGATAGCCCCAATAATTTATCTGCGAGTTACAGCGACGATATAAACACACTTCAGTCGACTGTGGAAAGGGGTCGAGCCAAGAACATCTCTTTGGGGCAGGACAATACAAGCAGTAGATCTCTTGTTCTCAGAGCAGGGATAAAACGAAAGGATGCTATTTTGCAATACGAGCAAAACATTAGAATGAGTAAGGAAGCCTTAAAATCTCTTCTGGAGTCGTGGGCGTCGGAATGCAAGCGAGCCGCATCACAACGTAACCCACTGAAGGGTGCCACTAGCATAGAGTCCGAAGACGCTGAAGAGGTCCTTTCTTTGATTATCTCGAAGTCGGACTTTGGAAAGATGACCGTTGTTGGCCAGTTCAACCTGGGTTTTATCATTGCTGTCCGACATGCAATACGAGGCGGCAACGATGCTACATCGACAAGTGGGGACGAGCTTTTCATTATCGATCAGCATGCATCAGATGAAAAGTACAACTTTGAACGGCTACAGTCCGTAACTGTCGTCCAATCGCAACGTCTTGTTCATCCCAAGCAGCTCGAGCTCACCGCTCTGGAGGAAGAAATCGTTATGGAAAACCTAGCCGCCTTGGACATTAACGGCTTTAAAGTTCTTGTGGACGATTCAGGCGACCAACCCGTGGGTTCACGGTGTAAACTTATCACACTTCCCCTGAGCCGTGATACAACGTTTACTCTTTCTGATCTTGAAGAGCTTATATCTTTGCTTGGGGATCACCTGAGCAGTGCCAGATCTGCCCCACGGCCGTCGAAAGTGCGGTCTATGTTCGCGATGCGAGCTTGCCGTAGCAGCGTCATGATAGGCAAGGCACTGGCGCATCGGCAAATGGAGAGGCTGGTCCGGCATATGGGCGAGTTAGATAAACCTTGGAATTGCCCCCATGGGCGGCCAACCATGCGGCATCTGGGTGGTCTCGGTTCTTGGGACGATAATGGCTGGAAGGAGGCCCAATCTCGAGTCAACTGGGCTGAATATGCTCGGAGCTAGCGTTGATGTGCGGACCTTTGAGGGAGTTTGTTGCTGGACAGTGGATGGACGGATAGTCGAGATATGGGACAGAGACGACCTATCATGGCACACGCAGCAAATTTACGACTAGACACTGATCTCAGACTCAAAGGCACCTAGGTGAATTGATTTCTGGAATAAGTCAAGATTTTGAGTCGAGTTCTTGTATACAGAGGAAAAATCCTATCCAACTTGTATTTTGCCTATTCTATCCCTGCTCATGGAAACTCGGATTTCGCAATCATGCTATACTCTGTGCCTTCTTACAAAGCTGCCTCGGCATAAACCTACAAATCAACTGGCCATGAACCCCTCCAGTACCCCTTGAAAACTCCAAAACACAAAGACACTACGGCTCCCAACCCACCGTTTCCCGTATCAAGAGTGTCGCCGGCCTGCCTCATTCTTTTAACATGCTGTGGCGCGAATATCCATTCATCGACCCTGCAAGGCCCTCCTCCGCAACCTTGCCACTTACATTGCGACGCCCATAGGCCGCAGAGTACGGCTTGTTGTCGTAGTCGTTGCCGGATGATACTTGTCGGTTACTACCAACCATGACAGGCGGCGTTGCGGGCTTGAGCTCCCCGTAAGGCTTAGAGTAAAAATCGGATTCCGGCTGGATCGAGCTATTGCGGTTCCGCGGCCAGGGTTGTGCGGCCAGAGAAGAAAGCCTCTCATCAGCAATATCGTTGCTGCCGCTACCCCGTCGCGGATTGGAGCTCACCTCAGAGAGGGCATGGTCTCTCGACATGTGATACGGCGCCTTGCTCCTAGCAGGCGCCGATTGAGGATTAGATCCTAATGGATTAGGGTGCGTGTTGGTGCTAATGTCGTTCTCAAAATCGCTGCCAGCTAGATCATTTTCGTCTTGCTCTGAGTCGGAATGGTCAGGGTTGTATCGTTGGTCGAGGGCTTCATATGCTTTATTGGTCGCTCGCTTCTGCCCTGCCAACGCGGCTGCGTCTATGGCGCGATTGCGCTTCTGCGTACGAGAGATCAATGAGTCAGTAGTGAACCAAGTTTCGGTGAATTTGCCCGTGTTGCGAGCCTGAGTCAAAGGCGAACTCTGAGAAGAGATGGGCGTTTGAGGTGCTGAGGTATTTGTATCGTGAAGTGAAACCTCGGTGTACGAACTACGGTACGAGCGAGGCGCAGAGGTGCGTGTATATTCACTGGCGACGCCCGAGTTCCGCAGCGACTTTCCAGGAGCAACTTGATACTGCCGGCTGGGTAAATCAGTACAAGAGTTCCGCGTGAGGTTTGAGAGGTCAGATCCGGCTCGAGTATGTTGAAAGGGAATGCTCGGGGGTCGAGAAACGTCCTCGTAGGGTGCACCAGACCGTCGACGGTCCTCCAGAGGTGTAGAGTGCCGTTTCTCATTTTCATCACTGAAGCTGGTCGTGACGCTAGACTTATTTTTCTTGTGCTTAGCCCGAGAGGTCAAATGATCTTCCAATGGATTCATGTCAGGGGGCATCTGAGTAATCTTGCGAAACATTAAACCTAGCCATCCTGAGATGAAAAGAGATACCAGGTGCAAGCCCCCTGCGCCAATGAAAGTGTAGGTAACAGCGGGAATAAAGTAGCCCAACAGGTTCTGGTCAACCCAACGTGCCGTCCAGGAGGCACTGTTGTCTTTGGCATTCAAAGCCCCGTACACATAGAGAGGTATGACACCCAGGTCCGATATGCCAGAGAAGAGCTGGTAAGCGGTTGATGAAGCAGGGCTTCGACCTCCAGCTGGCCTTGACAAATGGTAAATTGCATAGAAGCAGTGCAACATGACGACACCCGGCTGTATGCTCATCAGTCCGGTCATCCGAGGAAATTGCAGTGTGTAACAAACTAACCGTGATGCGCATCACCCAGCCGGCCAAAGTCTCAATGTTATTCAGCAAAATGAGTAAAGCGAGGAGGCCAGCGGCAGCTATCAATTCCAATACTCTCAGACCTAGCTGGAAGACCCGCATGGCCTTGATCCAGCTTTTCGTTCTCGGGCTGAGGGACACATAATTATTGGACCGATGTGAGAGCACCAAATGAGCACTATGGCAAAGACGGAACTGTTAGTACATGTTTTTGGGCGAAAAGCCTCGATCGCAAAGCGTCTATATAGAGAATGCTCACTCAGGATGGCGATTGAAAGTGACCAGCGGCCCGTTGGGTTTTGGCTTCCGCGGTTTGGGCTCCCAGCTGGCGCGTGTCACTGCCTTGGGGTCGAACTTGGGTTCGGGAAAGCGCGGGTCGTGGTTGTGACTGACGGCGTTGTAAAGGAAAGGCTGTTGAGCCATTATCGCGATAGAACCTTGGTGGCCGGTTTCCTCTTGGCACCAGCAAGCGGATTATTGAGGAATGCCCAAGGAGACCGCTGGGAATGAACGCTTGGAATGTAGTCGATGTGATGCAACCGACACCAGAACTTGTGGTTGGGACTGTGTCTAGGGTCCCTAGGGCAAATCGAGCATGTGGATGAAGGAGGGGAACGCCCATAAAATAGGGGGAGCGTGGTAATAGTTAAAGTCAGACAGAGAGATATGACAGCCGGGCACAAGGAGGCTAGAATAAGTCGGGGTCAGATTGATAAAGTCAGGTATAACGCTCAACATGGTGAGGTCCGTACTAACACAAGGTCTTTGCCGTCATCAACACCCAATCGAAGCCAGTTCACGGCGCATAGGTTGCCGCAGCAACATAGCGTGCATGTCATTGTCTCCCAACTTGGCTACTTCTCACTGGATGAGGCACCATAGGTTGCTTTTAGGCGCTGTTAGTCAAGTGGGTACGTACTGTCTCCCGTTGTACAAGCCCTTTCTCTGAGTGGCCACTGTGACCTTATATCTCATGCCTGTCAAATTTGGGAGGAATCAACACCCAGGATAATCTTGGATTGTCTTTTGTCTGTGCCATTTTTTAATTGATTGGTTTATTTCGTATATTCTCAAATAACACACCCTGCATAGCATCTAAACCAGCTGGAGCTAAGTTCCACTCCATATTTAGAACTGCATCAAACACACAATCGGGTCCAACGTGCCCGGACTTCGCGGTTCTGTGGTTCCTTAGCGTCCGTACATTGCAGTTAACCCACGGCTTCGCGTCTTGGACGGACTCCGGTGCTATATCCGAACAACACCCGGTCGGCGGCAGGGTTACTTACTTCCCAGAGCCAGTCCACTATTGAAGGTGCTTTTTCTCTCCTATCCTATTCCTTTTGTTAAGGGCCTCAAATAACAGCAGTTCCCTTCCTTGACGATCACAGGGTGTCTTACACAAACATACTTTGGGCGAGGAGCAAATTGAGCCCGAATTACGGCATCAACCACAGCGGCTCTGAGCCAATGCCCGTCTCAATGCTTCTGTCACGGACTTGGTCGCGGCTAGGCCCAAATTGCGGCCATGTCCGGCCGAGGGTGGGCACCAGCAGCTCCGAAGTTCGACGGATAGGCACCGCCGCAATCGCCGCAAGGCAAACTCGTACTCCCGAACACCCTTTTCGCTTGGCTGTCATAGGTTCAGGCCCTGCTGGTTTCTACTCCGCTTACCGCGTCATGTCCCAGCTTCCTCACGCAAAGGTCGACATGTACGAATCGTTGCCGGTCCCTTTTGGCCTTGTCCGCTTTGGCGTTGCCCCAGATCATCCTGAGGTGAAGGTTGTTATCAGCTCTATTTACCTCTGCCGTTGTGTCCTACTAATACATAGTAGAATTGCCAGGACAAGTTTGAGGAGGTTGCCAGCTCACCTAACTTTTCATTCATTGGTAATGTATCTATCGGTGATTCGGGGCTCCATCCAGATAGCTGTACTGTCCCGCTTTCCATTCTGTTGCGACAGTATGATGCTGTATTGCTGGCATACGGGGCTGCCAAAGACAGGACGCTTAATATTCCAGGAGAGTCGGGGCTCCAAGGTGTCTATTCAGCCCGGCAATTCGTAGGCTGGTATAACGGTCTGCCCGAGTATGCGGGGTTGGCACCAGATCTATCCAAGGGCGAAGAAGCGGTCATTATTGGGCAAGGTAATGTCGCTTTGGATGTAGCCCGCATGCTTCTCGAAGACATTGATGTACTGCGTCGAACAGACATCACAGAAGATGCTCTAGCCCGGCTAGCGTCCTCCCGTGTCAAGCGAGTTCATGTTGTAGGAAGACGCGGACCTATGCAGGTACGTGCATCTGCAGCCGCACACGACAGGCAACCATCAGCAATATCATTAACCTTTGCTTCTAGGCGGCCTTCACCATCAAGGAGGTGAGAGAATTGATGAAGATTTCAAACGTCGCCTTCCATCCTGTTGATACGACCCTCATCCCCCCTGACATCAAAGCCCTTCCAAGGGCCGCAAGGAGGTTGATGGAGGTAGTAGCAAAGGGTTCACCGACTCAAGCTGATGAAGTCAATAAGTCTTGGTCGCTGGACTTTTGCCTCAACCCCATGGAATTTCTGGCCAGCAAAGCTACGCCATCTAATATCGGCAGTACCCTGTTCGAGCGAACTGAACTGTCCCACAAGTATGATCCCGGTGCACAGGCGCGCCTTACTGGAGAGCCAGTAATAGTGCCTTCCGATATTGTGTTCCGGTCCATCGGCTACAAATCCGTCCCCCTGCCAGGTTTTGAGGAGGCTGGCTTTATTTTTGACGATCGACGAGGTGTTGTTTTAAATGATGGACGCGGTAGAGTCTTCCATCATGGCCAAAAGGGAGCCTCAGGTTCTCTTAAGTCCGATGTCTCTCCTGGCGTCTACTGTGCCGGCTGGGTAAAGAGAGGACCTACCGGCGTCATCGCTTCGACCATGCAGGACGCCTTTGAAACCGGTGACTCAATCGTACAAGACTGGCTATCCGGTTTGCAGTTCCTTTCAACGCCGGACTCAAGTCCAGCCGGTTGGCATGGTGTCAGCGCAGAGATTGGCGACAATGCTTCGAAAAGAGTAAGTTGGGACGACTGGCATAGGATCGACAATGCAGAGAAGGAGAAGGGCCGTGCCTTGGGCAAGGAACGAGAGAAATTTACATCCACTAAAGCCATGCTGGAGGTTTTGGCATAGAAAAAAAAAAGATAAGAGCAACCACTTGTAATGATGCTCATTCCTGTATATTGCAAACGTTATCACTGCTTGACCTTTTCCGTCAATTCGGGCACTTTTTCAAACAAATCCCCCACGAGTCCAACATCTGCCACTTGGAAAATGGGAGCATCCGCATCTTTGTTGATAGCCGCAATAACCTTGCTGTCCTTCATACCCGCAAGATGTTGAATGGCACCCGAAATACCGACTGCCATATAAAGCTGAGGTGCAACAACCTTACCAGTCTGGCCAACTTGGAGGCTGTTGTCCGCGTATCCGCTGTCCACCGCTGCTCTGGAAGCACCAACTGCAGCACCCAGAGAATCGGCTAACGGCAACATGACCTTATCAAAATCTTCCTTCGACTTGAGACCTCTGCCGCCAGAGACCACTCTACTAGCGGTTGCGAGGTCTGGCCGATCGGACTTGGCTAGATCCTCCGAAACCCATTCGGTTGTAGAATCGGACTTGGGGTCAATGCCTTCCTCAACGGCAGCCGTACCAGTAGTAGCCTCGGCAGCAGGGAAGGCGGTGCCCCGGATCGTGATAATCTTAATCGGATCGGACGACTCGACAGTCGCGATGGCATTGCCAGCATAGATGGGCCGGACAAAGACGTTCTCGCTCTCTATAGAGGTTATATCGGAAATTTGCTGAGAATCTAAGAGGGCGGCTACGCGGGGTAGCAGGTTCTTTCCAAAGGCAGTGTGTCCGGCGATAACGTGAGTGTAACCACCCTTCTTGATGTTTTCAACTAGAAGGGGCGCATAGTTCTCGGGCAAGCCCTGCATAGCCAATGCGTCAGATGAGCCGAATGCGACTTTGCCATGAATTGTACAAATGGGGAGGGGGGAGCGGACCTTGTCATATGCGCTATTGTCCACAGCGATAATCTTCTCGACACCTTCAACCTTGGCCGCCTCCTCAGCCACGCTCCTGACATTGCTTCCCGCCACAAACCCATGAACGGAGCCGCCCAGCTTCTTCGCCGCAGTGATCGCGCTCAAAGAGCCGTGGTTTAACTGGCCCTCTCTCTGTTCCAAAATGGCGAGAGTGGACAACAGATTCCTTGTCGACGTAAACCGTTGCCTCAACAATCCGTTGACCACTGGGGCAGCCCCGCTGGCAATGGCCCTTCGAGCTGGAAAGAGCATCGTAACCGGGACGAAAGTAGAATTATGATGTCAAGTTATACTCAAATTGAAGAGCAGTTACGAGAAACCTGATGGAGGCTGCAGCAGGAGGAATTGATATGTTGACGATGCTGAGTATATATGAACGGTTGGACACGGCCCGGGGTTACTACGCCGAATTCGCATGAAGCCTTCCTCAGCTGCTTGCCCAATACGTGCCGTCATCAATGTGTCCAAAGAAACACCCCCTGGGGTGAGGCTAGTATTCCATTACAATCGGCTATTTGCTCGTTGCGGCCTCAGGAATCTCCTGTGTATTCGATACACACGTGAAAGAACGGAGTCACGTGAAAAGCGGTCCAAGCATACCGTTCGAGCTCTTACCTAAGAAGCATTTGGCGAAGAAGAGATCTTGCCCGCATTAGACGCCAGTAACAGCCCGTTGTCCCCAGCATCTCGCGCCAAAATTTCTCCAGGTTCAGACGCGACTCCATAACCACCACACGCATCGTCAATCACCTTTCAAACTACGCGCTGTAAGAGGGGCACATCTGTGGGCTACATCATCAAACAACAAATTTTAACAGTCGCATGCCATAGATTGATTCAGTCATTCAGCTTGCTTCCTATTTGCGCGTCGCGCCGGTGCATTTTCTCGCGATTTACCGACAACTTTAATGTCCGTTGTCTCCTGAGGCTGCCTCGTTGAAATCATCATGGAGGACCAGGCGAATTATGGCTTATCCAGTGCTACCTCTCCTGGCAGCAATCCAATTCTCTCCCAGCCGCCCTTACAATCTGCCGCACCCGTATCTGGAGACGGCAGTGAAGGTACGTGTCAGTCTTGTTACTCGATCGGGATTCGCTTTTTATCAAGCATGGCCAGCTAATTCAACTGATGGAAGTAGACATTCAGATGACTGAGGGCCCCATTGCGGAACCTAGCATCAAGCAGGATAGCGCAACCCCCGCACCAGGCGTGACTACCGATAACCCTCTCGATGCTTCCGACGGTCCTGCTCCTGAGGCCAACCAGGACGAAGAGATGGGCGGTTCACGTGAAGAGGCCAAAGACAGCCAAGGTGCAAAGGAAGGCGATGATGCTACAGCTGGAACCGATGCGGATGGGCAGGACTCCAAGACCAAGGAAACGCTTGAGTCGGCAGCTCGGGAGCATCTCATCTCGCAAACACATGCAATTGTCTTGCCCAGTTATAGCACATGGTTTGACATGAACACCATCAACGATATCGAGCGCAAGGCCATGTCCGAATTTTTCAACAGCCGTAACCGTAGCAAAACTCCGGCTGTTTACAAGGACTATCGCGACTTCATGATCAACACCTACAGACTGAATCCAGTCGAGTATCTTACAGTGACAGCTTGTCGGCGGAACCTGGCTGGAGATGTTTGCGCCATCATGCGAGTTCATTCCTTCCTTGAGCAGTGGGGTTTAATCAACTATCAGGTAACTGCTTTGACATATAAAGATCGTGGCGACTAAGACTAACGGTATGTAGGTTGATGCCGAGCAGAGACCGTCGCATGTTGGACCCCCATTTACTGGTCATTTCAAGATTATTTGCGATACACCTCGTGGTCTCCAACCATGGCAACCGTCAGCGGATGCAGTTGCATCCGCTGGGAAACCAAGCGCAGATACAGAAAAGAAGGTAGCGGCAATGCCTGTTCCTAAGGGCGATCTTAACCTTGAAGTCAGCCGTAACATTTACGAAGCAAGCGCCAAGGGGACAAAGCTTAATAAGACTGAACCGAAGACCAATGGCGAAACGCCGGTAACCAACGGCATTTCTGGTGTGGAAGAAGCGACAAAGACGCCCATCGTCAAGGTCAACTGCCACACCTGTGGCATCGACTGCACTAGATTATACTACCACAGCTCGCAGGCCGACCCTAACTCGAAGACCAAGTATGATGTTTGTCCAAGCTGCTATCTCGAGGGCCACCTCCCAGGCAACCAGACCAGTGCTCAATTCACCAGAATGGAAAATCCTACCTACACAACTGTTCTTGATCGGGACGCGCCATGGAGTGACGCCGAAATTCTACGGCTTCTGGAGGGCATCGAAAGGATGGACGACGACTGGAATGAGATTGCAGATCACGTAGGCACCCGCACCCGTGAGGAGTGTGTCTTACAGTTTCTGTCTTTGGACATTGAGGGCAAGTACATTGATTCAGACCTTGCCGTCAATGCACCTACTGGCCTTGCCATGCTCGGAACACAGGGTGGCCACCTCCCTTTTAGCCAGGCGGACAACCCTGTCATGTCTGTAGTGGGATTCCTGGCAGGTCTCGCAGACCCAGCTACCACCGCAGCCGCAGCAAACAAGTCGGCAGAGGAGCTTACCCGTAAACTCCGCAGGCGGCTGGAGGGCGAGGATTCCGAGGAGCAGGCTATCACAAACGGCAAAGGCAAAGACAAGGATGGCGACTCGATGGAAATTGATGTCCGACAAGATGTGACTACGACTACAACCACTACAACAACGACCACGTTAGCGACAATTCCAATGGCTACGATGGGCGCCCGAGCAGCTGGCCTCGTATCTCACGAAGAGCGTGAAATGACACGGCTGGTGTCTGCTGCTGCCAATCTAACTCTTCAGAAGCTGGAACTAAAGCTGAAGTATTTCAACGAGATGGAAGCTATTCTCCAGGCAGAACGTAGAGAGCTTGAACGTGGCCGGCAACAACTGTTCTTGGACCGTCTGGCTTTCAAGCATCGCGTCCGAGAAGTACAGGATTCGCTTAAAACCGCGGTTGATACGGGAGGTGACCAAGGCCTCAAGCTTGCTCAGGAGGCGATGTCGGATGGCGCAAATCTCACATTCCAGGCAGCACCAGGATCAAGTGCTGTGCAACCATTGAGTAGTGAAGGGCAGATCAAGAGCTTTGAGGCCTAGGGAGAATCGTCAATGTTTGTATTGACCGCAAGATGAAGGTGAGCATGTCAGATGTGAGTGTCAGAGCGATGGTTCGCCCACTCTTTGTCCTATTTTTCCTTCTTTTTCTCCTGAGGGCTTGGGTTGGCGACGAACAGGAAATGGAATGTACAATTGCGATGATTTGATATAGTTAGGTAATCCGGGGCGTCCGAGGGATTTCCCAAGGCTTGGCGACGTGCTGTTGCGTTGTGCAAGTAAGTGTATTAGATACATAAAAACATACTTATCTACTCATTTTATGTCTGGCTGCACCAAGCTGGTAAGACCATCATCTGTGTATTTCTAGCTGTAGAGTTGGTTGGGCGTGAAACATAAATTGCCCCAGCGCATCAAGCGCGTCTTGATTGAATGGCCCGGGCTGACGGTACCCCAAGACTGGCCAAAGATCCCCGTGCTCCGAAATCATGAGGTAGTTTTAGTCCGTTCGTCCACAGGTCGCTCGGGTTAAGGGTCAAGATGAGCGCGGCGTAGCTGTACTTGGAGGCTTTGCTTTAGGGTGCAGGTCCCACTTCTTTGGCTGTAACCTCCGTTGGCCCAGGACGGACCAGTCTGGGATAGGCCTTCTCCTTGTTGAATCCTTGCCTCCTTGTACAGAGAAAGGCACTCATCTTCGAAAAAAAAAAAAAAAAAAAAAAGGGTTGTCGATGGCTGTGGCGCGAGTTGCCCTTTGGCTTGGTTATTCATCCTTATAGCATCCCATCGTTGTGGGACATGTGTACCTTTGAAAGCCTTCGATTTTAGAGCTGAAGATGAGGCAATGAAGCTGCTAGTATGCATAGCAAGTGCAGATGATGAGCAGGCCTGCCCCCAATGAAAGGAAAGAGTGGACACCGCTGGGTCCGCTGGAGCGTACCCCATATCTGGAGCTGCTTGACTCCGGTGTCCACAGAAGCGTGGGGTACGTACTGTGTACCCAGCAGACCGCAAAGGAAAAGGAGCAAGTGTTGTTTTACCTCGGCCCAATGGCTCAATTGGCCGCCTTTACGAACCAGCCCTAGCCATGCTTGCCGATTGCACCGCACAGCGCCGAGGGACGTTGGAGGGAAAACAAGGGTGCTTGACTCGAAGGAGGGGGTTGCATACAGTTGTAGCCAAAGGCACATGGAGGAACTGCAATGCAGCAACACTGCTCTAGCCTGTAACAACAGTTGCTGCAACAGCAGCCTTTCCCCGTTCCCCAGTAAGTTCTCCGCCAGCCAGGCTGACGTGGAGGGGGCACGGGGGGCACGGGGCCACGGGGGTCGAGAGTGACGAGGCACGTCAACGACATTGAGCGACTGACCGTCGGACGGGACCACGGCGGACTGCCTCAAGGGAGGGAAATGAGAGATGAGTTACGACCAAAGCCAAGTGTCATAAGCCGAATCTTGTCGTAGCTCAGCATGATAACACTGGGACATGCCCAGCTTTCATCAGATAGAACTGCTCTAATTTTTCTTTCCACCTACGACTTGCTCAATTTCTGTTACGCTGCACCTTGCACCCTTACTTGACTACAGCACACACGGTTAACCCTTCATTCTGACCGAGGTATCTTACGCTACAGCCGCACTACAGCTGCCACACTACTGGTCTTTGTTACCGTCGCATTCCGGCATCCATTATTATTGCCTTCACAAGGTGCCGCTTTACCTCATCGCCCTTTGGCTCTCATTCGTCTGCCTTCCACTACCATTGCCACCACTGCTGTTGCTAGCTACCTATCAATCGCCTCACGCGTCCGTCTCAATTTCCACCCACACAACTGCACAAACACCCACCACAAACATACATCCTTGTCCCGGTTAACTAAGGCCCGCGTGGGAGCTGGGCTGCTGGGTTTGGCTTGTGACAAGCAGCCACTCTTTTGACGGCTGGGGTCCGCTCCGGTCCATAGCGACTGACTTGCTACTCGACTACCGCGGATCTTTGCGGCTACGTGTGCCAACTATTTTAACACTGCACTTCCACACGCACCAGTCGGTCTTCCTTTTCAAGAATTGGTCATGTCGGCCGTCTTGCGAGCTCTGGAGGCTAGGTCTGCTACGGCAAGAACGAACTTTCGATTTCAAAGGTTCAATCGTCCGGTAAGTTGTACTGAACGTTGTCTTCCGGCCTGACTCTTCTCGCCTACATTTGCATTCAATATCCCCTCCTTTATCCACCTGCCCCCCCGTCATCCTTCTGACCGCGCTATGTTCTCTTCTTGTTTTCACTTGAACACCAAACTCCTAACTAGACAATCTCCTCTTAGACCATTGGAGCCATGGCGCCAGCAGCAAAGCGAAACAACAGTTCCCTTCCTACGGGTAAGTTTTTTCTTCTTTGTCACCTCGAAGGCTCACATTGCTGTCGTCCTTGTGCAGCGCAACACAAACAATGGCACTAATCATGTTGCGAACATCCAGGTTATGTCGAAGACAAGTCAAAGGGTCCGATGTTGAGATTCCAGGACTCCCTACCCCGGTTGCCCGTACCCACGTTGGAGGAGACAGCGGCCCGCTATGTCAAGACGCTACATCCTTTGCTCTCCGAATCTGAATTTGCCGCCAGCAAAAAGGCCGTTGAGGACTTCGTTAAGCCCGGTGGTATCGGCAGCAAACTACAGGAAAAGTTGCTTGCCCGCAGAGAGGATCCTGCTCACCGAAACTGGCTTTACGAGTGGTGGAACGACGCTGCATACCTTAGTTATCGAGACCCTGTCGTCCCCTACGTCAGCTACTTCTACTCCCACCGCGATGACCGTCGCCGGAGAAATCCCGCTAAGAGGGCTGCTGCCATTACCTCTGCTGTTCTTGAATTCAAGAAGCAGGTCGACGATGGCACCCTGGAGCCTGAGTATATGAAGAAACTGCCTATTTGCATGGACAGTTACAAGTGGATGTTCAACACCAGCCGCGTCGCTGCAAAGCCTGCCGACTATCCGGTCAAGTTCTCTCATAAGGACTACAAGCACATCATCGTCATTCGCAAGAATCAATTCTTCAAGATTCTTCACGAAGTCGACGGTAAGCAGCTCAATGCCTCGGAACTCGAGCAACAGTTTAGCAAAGTTTATGAATTGGCTCAGCGTGTCCCCGCTGTTGGCGCTTTGACAAGCGAGAACCGCGACGTCTGGGCCGACGCGCGCGACATTCTGCTCAAGGCGAGCCCGAAAAACGCGGCCGCCTTGGAGGCTATTGAGTCCTCGGCCTTCGTTGTTTGCCTCGACGATGCCGCTCCCGTTACACTTGAGGAGCGAGCGCACCAGTACTGGCATGGCGATGGTGCAAACCGCTGGTATGATAAGCCCTGCCAATTCATTGTTAATGACAACGCTACATCGGGATTTATGGGAGAACATTCCATGATGGATGGAACCCCCACACATCGCTTGAACGATTTCATCAATGATCTTATCTTCAACAATAAGATCGACCTCTCCGATCCCTCAATCCGCTCCAATCTGCCAGATCCTCAGATTGTCAAGTTTGAAGTTACCAAGGAGGTCCAGGCCGAGATTGATCGGGCCACCAAAGATTTCCACGACGTTATTGGTCAACATGAGCTTGCTGTTCAGGCGTATCAGGGTTATGGCAAGGGTCTGATCAAGAAGTTTAAGTGCTCGCCCGACGCTTATGTCCAAATGGTAATCCAGCTGGCTTACCACAAGATGTATGGCAAAAACCGCCCCACATACGAGTCAGCGGCCACTCGCCGCTTCCAGCAAGGTCGTACCGAAACTTGCAGGACTGTTTCGGATACCTCTGTCGCCTGGTGCAATGCCATGGCTGACCCCAATATTGAAGATCAGGTCAAGATTGACCTGTTCCGTCAGGCCATCGATGCCCATCTCGAGTACATCACTGCCGCCTCAGATGGCAAGGGTGTTGACAGACATCTCTTTGGTCTCAAGAAGCTGCTTGAGCCTGGAGAAGAGCTGCCAGCTATATACCAAGATCCTGCCTTCTCATACTCAGCTTCCTGGTACCTTTCAACATCACAGCTTAGTTCTGAGTTCTTCAACGGATACGGCTGGAGCCAAGTTATTGACGCTGGCTTTGGCATTGCCTACATGATCAACGAAAACAGGTATTATCTGCCAATAGAAAAGCCCAACTTATACATAATGTGCCGGACTAATTCGTTGAACAGTATTAATTTCAATGTTGTATCCAAGGGCCTGGGTAGCCAGAGAATGAGCTTCTTCCTCAATGAAGCTGCTGGTGACATGCGAGACCTTCTCATGCCTTCTCTCAAGCCAGCGAAGGCTAAGCTATAGAAGTATAGAACGCAAGAACAGGGTTTTGATTTGAAAATTAAGCGAACAAGGCGGCGCTGGCTTCCGCAACGTGCCTGTACCCCAATGTGTGTCTGCGTGTAAGTGGTTGAATGTGCTTAGCATCGCTACTGTAGAAGCATTTCTTTGGATCCATAGACGTATTCAGGGGCGTTAGCTGCCATCCTCAATTATTCGGTTACTATCAGTTCTACTTTCTTCCGTGGGCATCAAGCGTGATACTGCTTCTTAAGCTAGTTTTCTTTCTTGACGTCGTCCTTATTCGCTTTCACCTTATCATGTTGGCTTTGCTAATAGAAAGGCGAAAGTCAATGCAAGTCGAAGAGGCGCGCAAACACACATGTTAAGTTCAATTTGGAAAGATGAAATTGTGCACAAATTGGAGAACTATGAAATATGACCATGCTAACTCCTGGTCTAATCAGAACTGTCGCCGCTGTTGCGTCAAGTACCACGATGATATCTAGTTCTAGAGATGCAATTTTCGGGTTTTATCAGCCAGAATGAGATACAATCTCATTGACAAGGTCGCCTTTGCTTTCATCATAGTAGGAGCAGATTTGAGACGGCAGAGGTACTTCTTTGTAGTCCTCATCCTCTCCCGAAATGACGTTAAGGTTGATGCCGGAGGACTTGCTCGAGTAGATCTTGGTGCCTGTGCTCTCCTTGCTGAAATAAATCTGAGCGCCATCAATGGAATCCATCAAGACGGCAGGTACGGCACCGAGAACCTGCAATGCAAAGTTCTGCGATTTGATTACGTCTACAGTGGATACAAGGGACTCCACGATGAGAGACAGGCGCGCTGAATTCTCAATGGTTACCGCATTGGCTTTGCCCTTGATGATGATAGTAGTGTTGTTGCACTTGCTGATCAAGATTGAGTGTGATATAGAGGCTTCGACCTCAATCGGTTGAGGCTCCTTTTCGAAATTTTCCTAAAAGAGTTAAAAATAAATCAGCCTACTTCGTGTAACGTGGAATATATTTGAAAAAGGAATTTGCATCGTACAATAGTCCACTTGTTGCCCTCGAGCATCTTCTTGGGAGGCTTCTTAACGCGCATACTCTCCGGCTTGGGCTTCTTTCCGGGGGCCGGACTCTTGCCGCGCACTGAACCGTCATGATCAGACACCGTCGAGCTGGCACGAAGCGATGGATTTTTGTGTGTCATTTCAGACTTGTCAACTTTACGCAAGCCTTTAGTCACAGCCTCGCCTTTATTCAGCTCGGAGAAAACGGCGCCAAGACCACCCTTTCCGCCGGTGGCTTCTTCCTTGATTTCAAGCACGGGAGGAGGGCCGGGAGGCGGAGGCGGAGGCGGCAGGCCGCCAGCTGGAGGTGGTGGGAGAGGAGCAGCTGCAACAAGAGTTGCCGACAGAGACTTGGCGACCTCCTGGGCTGGCTGGCCCTTGGGGTTCCATGGAATGCCGTTGGGGAAGTGTTGCTTCACGTAATCGGCCAGATCGCGAAAAACTTGGTAAAAGGCATTGACCCATTCCGTTTGCTGCGCGTCCCTGCGGGCTGTAAGTTAGTATGCCTGGATAAAGAATGAAACTTTTGGTTTTCAAGGGCTGCAGTACTTGTCTTTTTGCTCCTTCAACACCCTGTTGCCAAAGAACTGGGCAGAACCCAAGGAGTCCTCGACGTGCTTGTAGGGACGGTTGTCAACGGTTACCCAAGCAAGAACCATGATACCCTCTGCTACGGCGCTAAGCTGGCTAAAGACAGCGGAACCACGGTTGGACTCCTTGATGTTGTTCACGGCCACAAGAGCTTCATTGATAGGTTTGAGAAGGTCCTGGTATACAGCCATCTCGGCACCATTCAGGTCAGGCTTCTTGGCCTTTGTAGTGATGAGAAGAAAGTGGCGTTGAGCTTGGAAACCTTGGAGAACTTTGGCGGCCTGGGTAGAGGTATTCAATCAGTATCGAACAGGTATGCTGATTGCTTGGGGCTGGTGCGAACGGACCTGATCGGCAACGAGGCCACCCAGCGTCTTGCTAATATTGACATATTTGTCAACGGATGTGTTTATGAACTGATCAAATTCTTCGATGGACTCAGGAACCGGTTCAGGGGGGGCCTGGGGAGCGGCAGGCGCTTGCGGTGGAGGCGGCGGCTGCGGCAGTGAGGTATTAGAGGCCGAGGGAGGAGTTGCGACAGATTGGTTGAGCGAGGGGACAGCTTGAGGAAGCTCGATCGTGGAAGAGGCAATGTCTTCGAGTCTAGCTGTGGCAGCTTCAAGCCTAGCTTTGAGGTTAGCTTGTTATATAGAGGCATAGATTGCAAAAGTAAGCAGCAAGCAGGATGAAGGATAATGTTGACCCCGTATCGATTGACAGTATGTTGGATTGTACGGGGATTGATTGGGGCCGAGGAGCGCAAAGTCGTACCGTTTGATGAGAGTTGTAAGATTATGCATATTGTTGGTTGCCATGCTGGATGCAGGAGTCAAGCCGAAGCTTCTCGGGAGATAATGGCGCACAAGAAAGAATATCGGTCGGGAAAAGGCACCGACTGGTGGATGTTAGGTGACAGAGATGGTGTGACGGAGAGCGTCGGGACACAGAGCTTTCGACTGGAGCAATGGAAGCGATGGCAACAGTGGCGGTAATAGCAGGGCGACTCTGCAATGCAAGGAGTGCAACACGGTCAGGGTGCAGTTTGCGGGTAGGGAACTAGAGTTGACTCGAGTGTAATGATGGGTGATGGGTCAAAAAGTATGGACGGTGGGTTTCAGCTGATGCGAAGCAGCCAGGATAAGGATAAATGCGCTGGTGGAAGGGGTAACAGGTCGGCGCAGACCTACTGAAATATTTGTTGATGGGTAGAGACGGCTACGGGTGGTAGTGATGGATGATGTGTTTGGGATATGTGTTGTCGCAAGCATCTAATGTCATGCCAAAATACAGTGACGTGGACAGACATTCGGCTCCTAAGCTTGCGTGGGGCCTGATTGAGTACCTTTTAGTGTGTGTGAAGCCTGGTGTGCGTGGCGGCTTTGGATATCTGACTTTATGCAAAGCAGCCTGCTTCGGGTGTAGGTACTTGTTCACAAGACATCCCAAGCCCACAGCGCTAAACTGCTCCTAAACAAGCAGCACTGTTTCGATATAACTTTGGTGCCTGGACAGATGAGGCTCTCTAAGATTCATCTTTGAGTACTTAATGGAGTTAACAGACAGCCATTGGTGCTGACTTCAGAGGCACCACGACACTCCACTAATCCAGCTACATCTCGTGTTCATGTACGTGCTGCCGACGTCGCTCACTTACGTGTAGGTAGTGCAATAACATTGCTCGGTACTCTCCTATCACGGTCGCCTCGTAACATCTAACTTCGAGTCCAAATCATGAAGTTTCCAGCTAGATAGAGGTGGAATGTCTCCTTATTGAATACCTCAGGTGCAGGTCAGACGAGAGTTTCCCTTTCCAACGATGCCTTCCTGCAGCACAATATTGCCGAAAACGGAGTGGCCTTATACCGTGCAGTGCAGGCTTACCCTGTTCACGCCGCTGCCCAACTTGTAGTAAATTAGGGCACTCATTGGTAGATGTATGCGGTTAGGTCCCTCGCCATTGGATATTGGTGTGAAAACGCTTGAGTGATAAGAGCTTATCTGCTTAATCCGATGGTTCCAGATTTGCATTTTGTACTCTTTCGTCAGCCTTACGACTTGTCTCATGTCAAAGTATTCAAGACTGGATATGTGCATTTCACGGATCGAGTAACCCTAAACTGCATATGTCTAGGAGAGGGCAGATCGAGTGTCGCAAACAAACTCTTCTCGTAGACACTCCTGGTAAAACTACGCCTTCCCACCATAGCATCTAGCCCGGACTAAACCGGTTTCCTTTGTCAACTCGCCCAACAACCGTGCTGCACCGTTGTCGGCAGCTACGTTCAATGCCATGGCACAAGAGGCTTCACAGAGAGCTTTAGAGCAACGGCTCACTAAGGAAGAAGTGGTTACTCTACCACCAATTGATTTCGTTACCTTGGGCATGTTCATCATTGGTGAGTTGCCGATCTTTGCTAAGACTCCTTCACCCATGTCAGCTAACCATCATGTTTGTTGCTAGATGAGATACATTTCCTGCCGCCTACTCCCCCTGTTCAAGACATTCTTGGAGGCGCTGGGTCATATGGTGCCCTTGGAGCTCGCCTCTTCTCACCCCCACCCGACACATCATCCGTTGGCTGGATTGTCGATCAAGGTTCTGACTTCCCACAATCCTTAACTAACCTCATTGGCACCTGGGAAACGTCGGTCGTGCTCCGAGAAGACCCCCAGCGCCTCACTACCCGTGGCTGGAATGGCTATGAGACGGCTGAGAAGCGCGCCTTCAAATACACCACTCCCAAGAAGCGTCTTACCGCCGAAGATCTGACCCCTCATCTGCTGTTATCCAAGTCATTCCATCTCATTTGCTCACCGGAAAGATGCAGAGAATTGGTGACCGACATTTCCTCTGCTCGTAAGCGCGTGTGTCCGGATGATCTTTACACCAAACCCATATTCATCTGGGAACCTGTGCCCGACCTGTGCACCCCGGATGAGCTTCTCAATTGTACAAACACACTTCCACTTGTCGACATCTGCAGTCCGAACCACTCAGAGCTCGCAGGCTTCATGGGCGACGACGGAATAGACCCAGAAACCGGCGAAATATCCACTTCGGCAGTCGAGAGGTCCTGTGAGCAGCTACTCGCCAGTATGCCCCTCCAGTCTTTTACCCTCGTTATTCGTGCAGGTGACAAAGGTTGTTACGTTGCACGAAATGGCGGTCGCAAGCGCCAGCCTGACGTGCGCGAAGGCGCTGGCTCGAAGCGTCGCAAGAAGGACTACACCAGAGGTGGCCTCCAGCCGGATACCGACATGGAAGCATTGTTCGCCGGCCTCTTGCAAGACGATGAGGGCGTCATTGCCAGGGAAGAAATCGAGGTTGATGCAGGGACAGAGAAGTGGATACCGGCCGTTCACCAAGATCCCGCCAAGGTAATAGATCCAACTGGTGGTGGTAACACTTTCTTGGGCGGTCTCGCTGTTGCCCTCGCAAGAGGGAAGACCGTTGAAGAGGCGGCAGTGTGGGGAAGTGTCGCCGCCAGCTTCGCCATCGAGCAAGTCGGCGTCCCCCTCCTGAGCAGGGACGATAATGGTGCCGAAACATGGAATGGCGTCCGAGTAGAAGACCGGCTTGCAGAGTTTAAAAAACGATTACAAGAACAGGAAACATGGTAAACGTAAATTTGTTTGGCTATAATAGGCCGTCCTTTGTGTGTGTACCAGAAAACGTACGAGACAAGGTATTCAGAAATAGAGTTGCTCTGGTTCCGTAATGTAGAAAGTCGAGAACCCGGATTTTACTCATGATCAAATGATATACCCGCCAGACGCCGCCCTCCTGCTGCAATCCCAACGCCCGCTTCCATACATTGCCATCTCAACATACCGCATGCCACATCATATTAAATCTTATACACAAGTTCGCCATCAGTATACCTGTCTCGGTGTTAGCTACTGAACAAGCGGTACGATACGTTGAAAGGGGTAGTGCAGGCAACATACATAATCTGATTAGCTTCGTCCATCTTCTTGAGAGCTTTGACTGCTTCTTGCTTGCTAAAAGTACCACCGCCATTTGACCGTAGTTTGCTGTTGACGGCTTCGATAACAGCATCGACATTGGCAGAATCGTCCTCGAATAACGCAGAGTTAAGCAGCTGGCCAAGAGTTGTTCGGAAGGCTACCAGACGAGGGGCACTAATGGGTTCGTCTGAGATGGCTAATCCGGCCGCGCCGGAGGCCAGGACGTCGTCTTCTTCGTCATCTTGTGATTGTGACGGCAACTGAGACACCGGCACGGATGAGGCGAAACTGGTCTGCGTATGCGATGTCGAAGTTGAAGCAGCAACGCCACCATGACGACGAGACCTTCTTGGAGTGGCATTGTATATGTCTTCTGAATCCGCACGAGTTGGCGACTCTACGTCGCTCTCACGAGCATCACCGTTAGTGTCGTTGGCAACGTTACCACGGCTTTCTTTGTTGTCAGCAATTGCCCGAGGACGAGCAATTCCTCTCGTTGACCGTGTTGACCTTGTTGCAGGTGTTCGAGCTGCGGTGCTTCTGAAGTTACCGTCGTCGTTCTCTGAGGAGCTGTCCTCGCTGGAAGAAGCGAATTCCGTGTTCTGTGTCTTTCTCCGCTTCTTTCGCGACTCATCTTCGACCACTTCTTTAAACAAGGCAAAGCGAAGGATGGCCTCCGCTGCGAGGGCATCACGCTCCTCGACTTTGCTAGACAGGCGAGATTTGGCATGGGCTGTGGCCAAACGAATTAAGGTCTCCAAGGTACGAACAGTAAGAGGGCTTGTTCGACGTTGATTTCCCTCCATCTCATCGTTTCGTAGCCCAACATATATATCTGCAATCCGATCCGACGCCGTCTGTGTCAGCTGGGGTTGAAGCCTTTTGGCGTACTGGATGTATCTTTTCATAAATGGAATGCTCAGCACCTCAGGTTTCTTGTTCGAGCCACCTCTCGAGGTTAGAGTTACACCAGCATGAAGCATTGCGTCATACTTTTCGAAAACTTCAGCAGGCCGTTGAATATCAGCCTGGTTACTGATAGCAACACCAAGGGCCTGGTTGGCATTCTCGCGTACCGGGGTGCCTTCTTCTGTTCCGGGTTGACGGTAACGATGCATCCGTAAAACGTGCTCTGAAACCTGTCTATCCCTTGTGTCCTCAATATCATCGGTGACAACGAAGAGTAAGTCGAAACGTGATAGCAGAGAATCAGGAAGAGCAATATTCTTGTGCGGATCCTTGTGTGTGTCGTACTGGCCAAATATGGGGTTGGCGGCGGCAACAACACTGCATCTGGCATTCAAAGACGTGTGTATACCAGCTTTGGCAATAGTAACGGTCTGCTGCTCCATAACCTCATGAATAGCAACGCGGTCAATGTCAGACATTTTGTCAAACTCATCAATGCATACCACTCCACGGTCAGCCATGACCATGGCTCCGGCTTCCAACCTCCTCTCTCCTGTCTCCTTATCTGATGTGACGGCGGCTGTTAAACCAACACCAGACGAGCCGCGTCCAGTGGTAGCAATGGCAAGTGGCGCCGTGTTCAGGACAAACCGAAGCAGTTGGGATTTTGCGGTGGACGGGTCTCCAACCATGAGAATGTTAATGTCACCTCTCAAGTGCGTGCCGTTCTCTAGGTTCTTCTCAACTCCGCCCAAGAGCATCAGAAGGATTGCCTTCTTAACATAGTCATGGCCGTATATACTGGGGGCGAGCGACTGAGACAAAAGATTGAGCAGATTCTTCTTTTTGGCAATCTTGTTGATGTTTCGAATATCGGTGTCCGTGATGGTGGCAGCAGCAACACCACCACCCGATTTAGAAGAAAGTAGAACGACATGATTGGCAATGATAACTGTCTTGAACAGAGCGCTATTATGGTTGGTATTTCTGTTTCCGAGAGTCCTGTATATGCCGACAAGTTGTACGCGGTCACCCGGTTTCACCGAGTCAACAAGGTCATCATCCAGTATGACATCGACGCCTCTCGGCAGCTGCCCGGCGGGGGCACGCTCTGGCATCTCTTGGATGGAAACAGTCTGATGATCCCTATAGGTGCTGAAGCCATACTCTGTTGTCAACGGATTTCCTTCATCGTCCTCTTGAGGGTAGGCACTAGATGTTGTGACTCCATTCGTCATGGTCTGGTCTTGGTATTCTCGGAAGTGAAAAATATCTCTGTTCTCGTTGTAGTGGACACTTTTGACAACCTTTGGCCGGATGAGAGAGCATCTGGTGACGATGCCTTCAAGCGAAACCATGCTGTTGAGGTGCTGGGAAGACAGAGTTCGGGGGTTGCAAGCATTCAGGCCAAAACTGCCGGCCCAGGCACAAGAGAATGAGGTGTCGTTGAGTTTCTCGGCATCGCCAGAGTCTGGCAGGGTCTTGACAATTTGCTTGAGAGCATGGTTAAAGGCAAGTGTGTAGTCAAAAGGTTGCTCAAGAACTCCTGCAGCGAGTTCCGGATTGTGAGCACGGAGATGGTCCAGGTTGACAACAAGCCTCCTTGTGTTCTTCTGTATCATAAGGAGGATAGCCGATCTGTAACTACGTCCTTGCGAATCATTCTCTGCGAGCAAACAGGTAAGCATTTGAGGGAAAATACGCAGAGAGAGGGGGTTTGTCGAGCAAAATGAACATACGAGGGTCGAGAAACTCTTGGGCCGCACGCACACGATCCAGTGCAGCTGCATCCTGCAGCATGAACGAGTCCATTTTTGCTAACGATGACTGCGGGCCAGGGTTGAGAGCCAATTTGGGAGCAGAATGAGAGAAGCGGAAGGAAGAGAAAGAAGGTATCAGAAAAATAGGCCAATATCGCAACCGGCTGGCGCAGTCAAACAAATGCAAGAGGGTAGGAGGGGGAGGGGTAAAGGAGGTCCACTACTGAAGCGCAGCAGGGAAACTAAGGTCTTGAGTGGAAGTGTAGTTGAGGTACAGGAAAAAAATGATATGAAAGGAGGTTCCACCACGCGATCAGACGCGACTCCGCACTGATGGAACGCGTTGATTACCACGTTATGTAAGCCATCTTAAATGTTAGTGGAATAAGGTTCTGTAGCTCTGATTTACACCATTCAGACACCCTCACACTTCTTTAGTCAAATCCCTGGCTGAAACGGACCCCGCAGATCGGGCCTGAGATGAATCAAAATGTTTTTCTGTATTGTGTAATTATCACTGTCGTGGCTGTAATTCTTTTCCATATTTTGTGTTACTTGTAAATTTGTGTGTTATCTTAATGTCTGAAGTGGCTCTTAAAGACGTATTGCCCTTGAATGTCCAAAAACAATGTGCCCATAACCTAACTTCACACATTGGAGCACCTTCTCCGCCGCGCAAACCCCATCTTCCTGGTTTTGGATATGCCGACCAGCTCCAACAATATCAGTAACTATACCACATGCAGCAGCCTAAAGATAGTGAAGCAGGAAGCTCTGCTTGTATCACGGAGGCGTTGTGTGCTGATCGAGTTTGCCGCAACTACGAATGTCTCCTTATTCGAACGCCACGGAGCAATGGTGAGTGAAAATTGAACCCAGTATTTGAGTGAGGAATCTGTTTTGGCCTCCATCTGGTCAGGCACCTTGGTGTCGGCATTCGCTTGGCTTTGGTCAGTTGTCTTTCCATTTCCACTCAGGCTAATTGACAGAACTATCTTTATGTGCCCAACTCTTGTGACACATGGCTTGCTTCTAAATCAGCATTATATGCTCCTTGATCAGGCGTTTGGCAATGCGAAGCAGCTTTTAGTTGGTCTTGCCTTGTTGGCTTGCCTCTATTATGCTCGCGTCTGAGCCGATATACAGTTCCGTGCTTCACAGACATTATGGCCCACCAATATCCGAATTTATTCAACAAAAGCCTCCGTGTTTGACTGCTACAATATCCCTAATTGGTAGTGTGAAATATGATGTAGCATGGCATGGGGTACAAACTAAACTCTTTTCACCTGGGCTCCCCTCCAAATTCCGGTGCTAGTTTTGTTGTGAACGGTAATTGACCCCTCTTCTTTAGCATCTCATACCGAGCTGGCTTGGAGAAAGACTATGGCATAATGATGCTGATACCCATCAGGGTGGCTTTTTACTGTCCTGTCTACCTAATCTTCTCGTCGCACTTTCAGGGTGGAAAGCACGCTGCTGAATGGGCCTTCCGGAATGCCGTAGAGTGCATGTGAGACTGGTCCGATATATCTCGGCATCCCGAATAACACAGGACGTCATATTGTTGTGGGGCGGCTTCGCTCGCTCATCCTCTTTTCATTAATCAGTCACGGAGCTAACACAATATGTGTTCAAATTCCAGCAATCAAAGGCGGTTGTTGGTCGACGTAGTAACTATAGGTGGCACTGTGTCCTTTCTTAGATACCCTTCACATGGCCAACCCTAAAACATACGGCCAAGGGTGGGATTCATCACAACATCTCGAGACGGTGTTTCCCACTAAATACACAATAACGGGTGGGCAGCCAAGAAAAAGGATGCTGTGCCATATCACGGATGCCATGTCTGCCCTCTTGGCAAGCAAGTAATGGACTGTTCAGCGAGTTAGCTGTGTACAAGCGTGCATCGTCGGCTTGCCGAAGTGCAGTACAAGTAGATATGTCGTCATTCCGACAGGGGAGACGCCCGACCTAACCATGTATCAACGGCCGCTCGCCTGTCAAGGAACTTTGGTGCTGATGTATACCCCTAAGGCGGGCGGCTAGAACTTGGTGATCTTCTCTCAGATAGTACCATAAACTTTAATCCCCACATTCAGACCCCTCCATCATCGATGGTGGATGCCCCTCTCTCCGTCCCGCCAGCGCCGTCCGAACCATAGGACGCAACACTTGTGCTGCGCTACGCTACACCATTCCCTCGTTTCAAGCCCAAACCAGTGCCTATGAAGTGAACAACGTACAATTGGCAAGCTCCACTGTGTGCGGCAGTATTGGGTGACTTGCAGGTTCACTATTTCCGTGGTCTTGTAATTCAAACGTGGATTCATTGATCCAGTCATGCATGAAGGATATGTGCGACTGCTGACCTCCATAAAAGGGACCGACATCCACCAACAATTTTACGATGGGTGGCCATGCAAGCTCTCCGCTGAACAGCCGACAACACCCGTTGTTGAAAAGTGCCTGCTTGCTGAGTTGACAATCCGTTTCCGCTTCAATTTTCCGTTTTCTGAATATATTAAATTAGAGCTTGTCTCGCGTTCCCGCCAGTCAACTAGCTACTGCCGCAAATCTCCGGCTTGCAATGGTCCTCATACCTCTTAATCCCAACGAGTACATGGATGCCAGCAAATCAGCCGTGCTTCACCGTGACCTCAAGAGTCAGTTCGCTCGCACCGTGGGCAGCGAAGGCAACTGTTACGTCGTTGAAGGCGGTAGAAAGATATTCGATGCTTCCGGAGGCGCTGCTGTAGCTTGCCTTGGTCATGGAGACAGGAGAGTTGCAGATGCCATGATACGGCAGCTCAATAGCCTCGCCTACAGCCCGTCGACCTTCTTTACAACGTCAGTGTGCGAACAGCTCTGCCAACTCTTGGTCAATTCTACCCAAGGCCATATGTCCCGAGCCTACCTCCTCAGTAGCGGTACGTTCCAGAACGTGAGCAAGGCCAACAATCAATGTAATGTGACTTACTCATGGCTCAGGATCCGAGGCTATGGAGGCAGCCATGAAACTCGCAAGACAGTACTTTTTGGAGAAGGAACCAGCACAGTCTCAAAGACATATTTTTATTTCCCGTCAAAGGTCGTATCACGGAACAACCTTAGGCGCATTGTCTGTGGGAGGCCATGTGGCCCGTCGAGCTAATTTCACGCCCATGCTCCTCAGCAACATCGTTTCTCATGTTTCCCCCTGTTTTGCATTTAGGGAAAAGAAAATGGGAGAGTCCGACAAATCTTATGTGACAAGACTTGCCAAGGAGCTTGATGATGAATTCATTCGGCTTGGACCCGAGAGAGTGTGCGCATTCGTGGCGGAGCCGATTGTGGGAGCAGTAAGATGACAATTGAGCATTTACACAGTTTTGGCATTGTTGGTAATGTTGCTGACCTATAGACTCATGCGCAGGCTCTAGGGTGTGTTCCTGCGGTGCCTGGATACTTCCAGGCGATAAAATCTGTCTGTGACCGATACGGCGCGCTACTCATCATGGACGAAGTCATGAGCGGCATGGGTCGTAGCGGAACTCTGCATGCGTGGGAAGCCGAAGGCGTCGTCCCCGATATCCAAACCATAGGTAAAGGTTTGGCTGGGGGCTATCAACCGATTTCTGGTGTTCTCATAAACAAAAGGGTCTGCGAAGTGCTAGAAAATGGATCCAGGTAAGTTTTGATCCTAGTATCTTGGTCATTTTCTGGGCGCTGCACTTGGAGGCATGAAAAAATACGATGTTAATGAAAGCAGTGTCTTCGTTCACGGGCACACGTACCAAGGCCACCCAGTTGCCTGTGCAGCTGCTCTCGAAGTTCAGCGTATTATCAAAAGGGATAGTCTTCTTGACAATGTAAAAAGCATGGGCCAATTATTGTCCAGTCTTTTGAACAAACATCTCAAAGACCACCCCTGTGTTGGAGACATCCGCGGCAAAGGGCTGTTTTGGGGTATTGAATTTGTCCATGACAGAGAAAGCAAACAGCCATGGCCCAGTGAGGCGAGAATTGCTGCGTCTATGAATGAGCTGGGGCTGACAGAGGCGTATGGAATTGTAGTATATCCGGGGTCGGGAACGGCGGATGGCGTCCTTGGAGACCACATTATTATAGCGCCGCCCTACACAGTGACAAAGGATGACGTGGTATTCATCGCTGAGACGGTTACGAGACTCGTTGAGGACTTTTTTTCGAGGTTGATGTAAAGTATTGATTACAGGTAGGCACCGGAGAAGTCGTTCCTAGGGATCGGATGATTTCAACGTACACGAAGTTGGGCTGAGATAGGATGGGAAGATACATTAAGTACCATTGGTCTAACTTGTTGAACCTGGTACCTTGCTATGGAGTCGCAATTGGCCGAGTTGATGAGATGCTTTTTTTCCTGGAGGCATAGAGTTTGGATGCAAATGGTAGGCAACATAGCACAAAGAGCATGAATCAAGGTCCGAAGTTGTAAAAAGCCTGGGTTTGGTGATATGGACGGTTATGCGAATTGAAGACACCTAATGTGGTAGGTGCTGTAAATGCTAGAAAGGTCTTATTTCCAAGTTAGATACAAGTTTGAAAGAAAGGCTAAGCGGCAATACAAGTTTTCTTCAAGCGGTTCATTAAAGTGATGTAGCCAGCCAAAGTGTTCTCGCAAACAAAAGGCGGTGGTAATACAAATGCGTTATACAGTTTTGTGCAGTTTAGTGGAGGTAAGAATGCCTCTGTCCGCGGTACTGATATAGGAAAATCTATTCCAACCCGCCAATCTGCATAATTAATGCACTGACTAAGGGCGCCCACCATCATACTTGTCATCCCCGTTCATCCACTGACCATACTTTCCACCCAGCATCTCACAGACTGTGGCCTGACCATAGCGCATTTGTACTTGCCCCATTCGTCTGGACTTTCTTAAGCCTGCTAAAGTGTACTCCAAATACTTTACAGAAGCTTATTCAAGAACGCGCATCCCACACTAAGCGACCCCGATTTCTCTCTGCCTATCGTGACAGAAACAACGTCAACGTGCCCCCGACACTGTCTGGCCCGCGTCTCCCTCCCTCATGTCCTCGCCGGGCTAAATACGAGGCGAGACGAACTTCTCTAATCCACACCCCCGGTCGATAAAGCCCACTGCATTAGAGTGTTTCCGCTTCAGATACTGACGGTCATCATGTCCGTCGGGCCTACGAGCAGTCGGCATGCTGCCGATGAGGAGGCTCGCGCTGAGGTCGACGTTCTTAATTCGCGACTGGAGAAAACTGCTCAATTAACCAAAAAGATTCAAGCATGCATGGGAAGGCTGGAGTCCACAGGCAAGAGCGTGCGGGATGTGGCTGGCCCCCTTAGCGGAGAGACCAAGAAGCTTCAGATACTGGGAAACAGTACGTTCGATGTCATGGCTGTTGGTGATCTTGAGTTTCTCCCTCTACTACCTAGAAGGAATACTATAAGGCAAACGGAGATGGTAGCTAACTCAACCTCGCCAATAGATATCGACGCCGTTCTTGCTGCCATCGACCGGCTACGGCAACCTGCGGACAGTAAAAACGACGAGGAGCAGATCATTCGCGCTGGCCCAGACCAGGCCGGCTTGTCCAACTACCTTGCCTCCATCAAGCGTCTGACTAAATCTCTTGCCGACATGCAAGCTTCGAACCTGCGTGCGAATCAACAAACCATGTCGGAGCTTGTGCGGTTGATTAAATCGGGCAATTCACAACTCGAAGGTCATTTTGACAAGCTCCTTCGAGGCGAAACTCCCCGGTCGGTAGAACCGCTCCACTATATCACAAAGGACATGCCATTTCCCGTTTTGTCACAAGATAAGGTCGCGCGTCTTGGTCTTGTTAATTCTTACGTCGCCAACAACCACCGGCAGAACGGCGGTGCTGCTACCCCCCAGGACTCCTCTACCGCTAAGATATACGCCGAGATACGTGGACCTTACCTTTCAACGACATTGGCCAACCTGGCTGCAGCCAGCGTCAATACAACAAAGAAAAAGAATCCCGATGCGATCTACCGTGCCGGAACCAACGGCATAGGCACCTATGCTCAGGCCATGGAGGGACTGTTTCTGGCAGAATACGACAACATATGTAGCATATTCACTCGCGACGATTGGGGGCCCCTATTTCAGGCCACTTGCCAGGCTGCCATGGCCGAATTGGCTCGGACTTTGCGGGAGCTAAATGGTCATATAAAAAGTCATCTCCACACAGATTGCTATCTTGCGTACGAAATCACCGAAATCATGTCTGGCTTATCAAGTAACCTAGAAACGCGTACTGGGGAGCTTAAGTCATCGCTCGCTGCTGCTCTACGCCCCGTTCGTGAGACGGCGAAGCTCTCTCTCGGAGAGTTGTTGGACGACACAAGGCGAAGAGTAGCGAATATGCAGACCCTTCCCCAAGATGGTGCGCCGGTACCAATTGTGTCCGAAACCATGCAGCGTCTGCAAACCATGGTTGAATTCTTACGGCCTATCTCAAGCATCATGTTCTCTCTGGGCGATGGGGGTTGGAAATCGAATACTGCTGTCGATGGGCGCTCAACTGATGCCATTCCAAGCCTGGCTTCTTTTGATATTGGTGCTGATGGCAAGGAAATATTTGCGCATTACTGCACTGATACAGTTGATATGCTGCTTTCCTCTCTAGACCAGAAGGCCAAGATGGTTCTCAAAGGCCGAGCTGTTATCGGCGTTTTCTTGGCTAATAGTGTTGTCATAGTTGAACGCATGATTCGCGACTCGGATCTTGCTCCTCTTCTCGAGCAACGGATGGCCATGTTGGATCAATGGCGAAAAAAGGCAACTGCCATGTACACAATGGATTGTAAGGAGGTATCGACTCACTTGTTCGATGTTATCCACACTAGCAAGCAGCGACCGACATCCGGCCAGGCCGACTCGGCCTCCATTCTCAAAGGCCTCAGTAGTAGGGACAAGGACAACATTAAGGGCAAGTTTCAGGCATTCAACGCTTCGTTCGACGAAATGGTCAGTCGTCATAAGACCTACAACATGGAGAGAGAAGTTCGTCAAATGTTTGCTCGGGACATTCAGCAAATGCTTGAGCCCTTGTATAACCGATTTTGGGATCGATATCACGAGGTTGACAAGGGTAAGGGAAAACACGTTAAGTACGACAAGGCCGGGATAGCCGCCGTATTCATGACCCTTTACTGAAGGAAGAAGCCCACGTTGTTGTAAGAGTGATGCAGTTCTGGGATGGGTTCGGTATGGATTTGCTTTTTAAAAATGGGCAGGGCGTTCTGGTCGTGGGATACCAAGTCATGATTTGGCGACTCATATTTATTCAGCATGCACTTGCGCCAAGGTTTCAATTCAAATTCAGGCGGGCAGGGGTACAAGCATCAATATTACTGCAGAAGTCGATATGCATGGAGAGTGGTCAGCGTAGTCCAACTTATTTATATCTCGGTGTTCGGCAGCTTTCGGAATTGGAGGAAAACTCTCTTGGAACAATTAGGTGCTCTGAGGCACGATGACTGCCAGATACGGTTACTTCGCGAAACGCATCTCGATCACTAGCTCTGGCTATAACAGAACCTAAAACACTTCAAGTCAACCAGCCGTCAACATCGAAATAAATTCTATCTGTCTAACTCCTTTCGCACTTTTCATGGCTTCCTAAATAAAAGGTCGATGCGCTCAGATCTATGCCACACAATGGTATTATCACTTCGCCGCTTGAACCAGAGAATCCTGTGCTGGGGAATAAACTCCTCGTGTGTCTGCTCACTCTTCCACTCGGCTAGAGCTTTTTCCTGCGGTCCCAGAAATCGGTCTTCATATCCAATAAGAAAATCATGGCCGTCGATATTTGGATCCCATCGTAGTCGGTTAAGCACATCCAACGCCGTCCGAAGTTTCTCTGCTCCCTCAGGTTTGGGAACAGGCACTCCTGAATGTGATTGCTTTGCCGACCGCCCTTTCTTTCTCGCTTTGGCTGTGGGCAAGCCCAAATTTCTTTCGTCTTCTGGATCTCCGTCCTTGTCCTCCTCGTCCTCCTCTTCTGTGTCCGAGTCATCATCACCATCCACGTATTGGCCCCATTCTCGATCGTCCAGCATGAGATCATTCAGCTCGCTAGCTCTCACAACAGTTGCACTAAACCACGCTGTATTTGGATCATAGTATTTCTCGTCGGAGTGTATATGTTGCTCGAACTGTTGCAACACGGTATGCAGATTACTGTGTGCAACTTCCAAGAGATCTTGTCCTGGTTTCTTGTCCGGGCTTGTCCATTCTAGGCCGACAAGATATGCACCTTGATAATCGTTTTGATCAGTCTGTGAACTATGAGTAGCTGCTTCGACGAATCTCGCAGGCCAGATCCTCGGTGCTAGCTCTGGCACCTTTCTACTGATATCTGATTTCAAATTAGTCTGGTTTTTCTACGCCATTGATAGTACAGTCAGAGCTTACCAACTAAAAGCGATGCGCAGCGGGACTCAAGCCAGCCGACAAGTCGGCTTCCGCGTTCTAGTGACCCTCCCCAGTAATGGATTCTTAGGCTGACGAACGACCGATATGAGGTCAAGAAATTTGCCGCGCCTGCAGTCAAGTTTGTTTTTGAAGTGTTGGCTGGCGCTGAAAGCAAATCTTTCCAAGTTGTGCCTTCTTGTGTGAGCTGCGCGTTGGCTTGGTGAAATTCCGTTGAGATTATATCAACGGTCGGTATAGACGCGATTAGGGCAGTGTTAAGTGTCGGAGAGTGCCAGCCTAGAAGACACATGGCTTCTCGCTGTGTTCGATGGTATCTTAGCTGTTTGTGGAAGTAGGGATCGAAGACAATATCGTTCCTCCAGTCGAATCGCGAGTAATGGTTGAAAAAGGTAACGATAATATCAGGGGTAGACACCACACCACCGCCATGCAATAGCATCTTGCATACCCTCACTAGCATTACGGACAAGTGAATACCACCAAAATACCCAAACTTGGCCGCATAGATTCCTCGTGCCTTAGCCCATGCCTTTATGACTTGGTAACAAATGCGGAATTGAGCGAGGTCAGGGACGGACCTCAGAAGATAGAATAAATCCCTCGCCGGTTTCAGTTTCAACAGTGTCTGCGTTGGTAGGCTAAAAGCCGGGTCTGATGAGGGTCGTTTTAGGAGATCTGGCCACTGGCTGGCTACGTTAACAGCCTGACAATACTGCAGATCGCATCTAAGCCCCAAGACTTCCATCTCGAGCATGGTTCCGGTCTTTGCCTTGACTTTCCTCAAAATTCGTATGTCGGGTCTGGCTGATTTCTTCAAGCGCTGCCTAGCGAGTGTGAAGAAGACTTTGGAACTGATGGATCCAATGCATAGGCAATCGATGTCGGATGACTTCGACCAGACGCCAAGCGCATATGATCCGACAGGCACTAGCACAATGGTGGGTTGACCACGAGTTCGTTCCATACTCGGCTGATCATCTTCCAGGAGAATTTGCTGCAGAAATTCTAGAGCCAGTTTCCGGAGGGACTCGTCTTGACTTGTCGGAATGACATCAAGATTGTCCAAACAGTGTCTCAGTGCTGCAGTATCCGATAAGGAAGCTGGCGCCCGTTGAATTTCGACGGGTATTACACGGGCATGGGTAGCAAGGTCATCTTTTTGCGAATGGTGTTCCAGAAGGCAACGAATCCCCCAATGATCGCTGGCGTAAAGAGGCTCTCCTGTCCTTTCGCCTTCGTCTGTCAAGAACCCAAACATGTTAAACCGAGAGATTTGAAGGGGGCCCCCGCTCTTGACCAAAATACGGTCATATCTCTGTGGCCGGTTGTTCAGGCCACTTCCAACCATCTTGGCGGCGTGAGGGTTTTCTGTTGGGTCGAATGTGGCACCTTGTTCACCTTCAAAGATGCCATTGACACTGCCCCTAATATTATCACTTACACCGGCCTCAACACGGGAAACCATCCAGGCGTCTAGGAGATTAGCCTCCGCTAGCGTTGCCTCGATGCTGTGAAGTATGTTCTCCGTTTTTGCTGTAATAGCTCCCCGCCTAATGGCTGTGTCAATAGTGTACGAAGACGTGGCAATGTTAAAGTCTCCTGCGACGATCCATTGATTCTCGGCATGGTTTTCTTTCAAGTATCCAAGAATCCGTTGGAGTTCCCTGCGAGGCCATTAGCATCTAGTTCATTTCCGCATGCCGAGTATATGGGCGTCAATATTACTTTTCTTTGGCAACTACAGCGCCGTCTGTTAGCCCTTGGCTGAGGTGGCAGGTTGCTAGTATCAGCGGTAGAAGGCCTGATTCCTGCGTCTTGCAGTGTCCCAGCCCTTCAAACTCGAGAACACATGATCCTTTATGCTGCCGCTTCGAGGGCAGGTATCTCCACGAAAAAACATACTTGCTGAGCACAACAGTATTAAGTATGTTAGGCAAGGGGCCAGCCACAGGGTGGTCTGGTGGCCCTTCGGATACATACGAATAAACACCCCTAATACGCTCGTCCTCTAGTAAGAAGAGAAGGAAATCATCTGTCACCTCCTGTAGGACCACGATATCCGCAAGAGCAGTTCCTGCGATTAGGTTATCCACAATTAAGGGATATCTAATATGGGACGGAGGGTGGTTGAACTCTGCAAGTACATTCCAACTGGAGACAATGAGATTTTTCGATTGCTTTACGTCGTAGGCAAGAGTTTGATCGGCCTGGGCAAGCGGTTGCCAAACCAAATCCGACTGGGAGAAGTGCCATGTACGTTGTGGAATAACTGCTGAGATAGCATCTTGGTTGTGACTGGGAGTGTCTTGGCAGAGAGTGAGGGATGGCGACACCAGATCAATGAAGCCCCATTTCTTCATCTTTCCAGATGCACTGCGGGTGAGAACAACCAATTGACTGGCGTGCCATGCTACCGGTGGCAATCTCCGGAGCTTTTCAAGCAGAAACTCGAGCTTGGACGAAGGAGATGTGTCTTCACACTGGGCGATCGTCATATGCATGTTGTAGGGTCCCGAACGTGTCTCCCCGATGGCGGCGAGAATGGTATCTCGCAATAAAGCCAATCGAGATACATTATCCTCATTCTTGTCGCATAGAAAAAGAGTGCTACCCTTTCTGTGGGAGAATAGGCCCGGAGAGTCCAGGCAAATGGAGAGAGGGGCAGGCTCGCTGCTACCTGTTCGGGCTTTCAGGCATGATACGATGGCGCTACAATTTTGTAGCAAGTCGTCCTTGGAAGTAGACCTTATGAAGGGGTAGATGAGGTTGACGTGGGGAGGCCATTTGGAGTAAGCCTTGTCGTTGTCGAATCGGAGGCGATTAACCGAATGGCAGAGCTCATCGGGCGGGATGAGGCAAATAGCTGTGTCATGGTTTGTGGGAGTTTGAAACTCCATTGGTACCGATCCTCTAAATGGCTAGAGCCCGCAGTTGAATTGTTAAGGGTAGCTGTGATTTCGGGTACTGGGCTGGCCTATAGATAGAGACGGCTTCTTTATGAGACACGCCCACTTATCAAACCGGGTTATTGATGAGATAATGGCTGTAGACAAGAGATGAATCCAGCCGGCACTAATAGCTCGAGCCAATACACTTTTGTTCAAATCCAAGTTAGCATGCGGGCAGGATTATGGTTTTATGGTAAGAAGGTACATGTATATATTGAGTCTCGATTGTGTTGTCGGCAATATCATGCTGGGCACGGGCAGGGGTTGTTACTAGAAGTGCCTCGAGCAAAGACTCACAGCCATAGCCTATTGAGGCAAACAGACACGCCCATTCAGCCAACTCAGGTCGAATATCAAAGTGCCATGCCTCGGGTTCCACTCTCTGCATCCCGGGCCGCTGAGGCTGGAATTGCTGATTGTGGAGAACAGTGACCCGCTTCTGACCGTATGTGTCAGGGCCTGCATAGAGCCAGCCCACTCAATGCTCGTCGAGGGGAATGAAGTTACCTCAAATGGCAGCTTATCCACACGGACTCCGCACAAGGCTTCGCATTCTTGATTGCGGGGCAGTGACTCATGCTAAGCTGTCCGCGGATAAGTTGCCATATGAGTCAGGATCAACACGTCCAATAGCTGGCAAGAGTCACACCTTATGTGCCTTGCCTGGGGACGCAACCATTTTCTGCACTTCTGGAAGAGAAAGAAAATTCAGGCCTCCGAAATCACAATGGCATTGCGTATGTAGGCAGAAACTGCCATTTGCACTGCCTACCTGCCATCTTTGCTTGCAGTGCCACACACTGGCCTGGGAGGAAGCACGCTGCGGGGCATTGCGCATTGCCATACGATACGAGCTGCGGCGGAGTGGCAAGTTGGTCTGGCTTCGAAGGGTGCTATTGCTGGCCCACTAACTAAGGATAACAACGGTTATACTGATTATCAGTCTAAAAAAATTATTCTACTTGCCAAATCCTTTCGCCTCACCAACTCATGCGTGGTTTTGCTGCTCAACAATGTTTGGGCTCATCAAGCTGACTTTACTGTTAACCATCCAACTCGACTTCCTCGGGCTTATCTACCGTGTCGTCTCTGCCCCAGTCGATTGAAGAAACACCCCAGCCTTTGCCCTCCATCAGCGCTTCTAACTTGTCTTCGTTCGTCACATAGGCGCCCTTTTGTCCCTTTTGCGAGATGGCGTGTTTGATGGGGTCGCGCCACTCTTGGAAAAGGCAGGAACGTTAGCGAACGCTTTAAATTGATCATGAGCCACAAGTCTCACCCGCCACCATGCCTCCTCGCTTTGCACGGCACATCTTCTCCCGTCATCACCGTTTTTGGCGGACGCAAAGGGCCAAACCGACTGCACGACCTCATACTTTTTCTTTCCCAAGAATAATTTCTTCATACTCGTCATTAACTTGTTCGTTTTAGGCTGGTTCTGCACCACGACCTTAGTATGGGTTACTGGAAACGATGTGTGAAGCACACCCTTGTATTGAGTTGATGCTAGCAGGGCGCGTAATTGCCCTTCGACCCACACTGTGTCCATGTTGGCCACCACTCGGTCAAGTGCTTGTTCGGTTATACAGTCAGTCAACGAGGAAGCGGCTCAAAATCACACAAGGATGATCTTCTGTTTAGCTTACAGAAACTCTTGATTTTTGACGGATCTTTCACAAAGCGATGACACCATTCTTCGATTTCTCGTTCGCCGACCTCAGGAATCACGTCTAGTTTTACTACCCCCCCCCCCCCCCCCCCCCCCCCCCGCGGTATGCCAATTCACCCTGCCCAACACATCTTGTGTATTGCATACGTTTGCTTGCCTCATTCAGAAGTAGTAATCACATGAGATTTAGCTTGATGTCAAAGTCGACCTTGCGCCCACGGGTGCCTCTGATGTGTATTAAAGGTTTCGGTGGAATGCTCGCCTGCGCCCTAACGAAAGACAACAAAGTTTCGAAATTTGCCGACAGATGTTCTGCCTTGGATGAGAGAACTGTGCAGTCGGATGAGATATTAAATAGAGGTGGTGAGTAAAGCTTGTAGTCCAGCCTGGGTAAGCCTTGATAGTATGGTAGCCCTGGAGTACACAGTGAGACGGTCGTTTCCGACCAGTCAGATGGGCTCCAATAGGGCGGAGGAGTCAACGAGTCTACGCTGTTTGCTGCAACATGAATGTTGCTTCGGGCTGCTACCGAGCTCTTCTCATCCGCTAATGAGGATGAGGATGTTGAGTTTGCTAGTCTTGGAATTGGTGCTGGTATTAGTGCTTCTGATTGCGCCGTGGACATCGTTACCTTCGCTGTCTCTGTTTGGGGAAGTGAAATCAATGGTGCCACTGTTGTCGGTGGAAGCGGCAACGGTGGTAGCTGCGACTCATCCGGCACGCTGGACATGAGGCTTGGTGTTGCGCAGTCTTCCATATGGCGGAAAGGCCGAATGCAAGGTATAAACGATCAATTGGTACTGGTTCAGAGAGGCTCGAGCAGTCAAGTCTCATTAAAGTATTGACAGGTTGATACGGAGAAAAGAGCGGAGATCCGTTGCTCAATTGTTTCTCGAGACAGATCTAAGAGAGCCACAACCTTAAGTATCCAGCATACTCAGGATTCCTCATTGGGATTAAAGACCCAACAGCTGTACGACTGCCTCAGCTTACATGCAGAGCCACGAAGGCTTACTTCGAATGCTTTGCGGAGGGTATCTCCATACTCCTGGGCACCATTGATCTAACCGCATGGCGCAGTCATTCCTTGCTCGACTCTCTTTGTACTTGGCCCCACTTGGCGCCTGCCTAGTGGACTAGTGGACTACCAGCACAGGCCACAGTTGGGTCAGTTCGACTCCAAACCAACGAAATGGCTAGCTCCGTGAACCGAGAATGGTCGGCTTGAGTTGCTTTAGCGTACAACCACTATGCCGCGACCCGTCGCAGTGAAAGTAAAGGTTTGGCCCGTATGACACCGAGTCAAGACGTTGGAAAATGGATTAAGTGCCTGGTCTGAGGCTTACTGTGCCAGGAGATAGCATCGTTGTCGCCAGTCTGCTCATGCTACCTATGCTGATCAAGGCGGGAACAAATAGTTATGCCCGCATTCACTGATATATTCCCGTGCAAATGCCACTGTACGTTCCAGCACTTGATCGTTTCGTAATGTTGCTATGCCATCCGGCACGATGCTGCTTATCATTCCCATCCGCCCAACGCCTAATTCAACCGATTCGCTAAATATATACAATCAAGTGTCACATCATAGAGCCATTCGAGGGTCGCTTATTATAGCACAAAGGCCAACTGGTCAGACTAACTCGAAACCCTCATCCTCAGTTGAAGGCACATGTTCTTGTCGGAGGTTTTGGCGCGCCTTCCGACCCTTAAGAATTTGACCGTTTTGGTTCAATATCTCATACTCCTTCTCGACCATTCGCTCCGTCTCACGACCCGATGTTTTAATGAAAACTTCAAGGGTCAGTGGTCGATTTGGACTCTCGACCTTATCATAGCTATATTTCCAGTCCTCCGAGGCGGAAAGATTTCTCCAACCGCCATAAGAAGGGGCTAGGTCCATGAGCGACTGACTAAGTGGATCCGCGATCTGCTCCTTGGCTTGCATTGCAGAATTCAGACGACCCTGGGGGAGCTCCCAGTGCGATCGAAATTTGGTCACATTGTGCTGAGTTTTCTTGTGATGGGATCTTTCTCCGAGGTTAGAAACTGCACGCACGTAATATTATAGTGGTTCAGCGAGAGAACACATACGATTCGCTGGTCTTTCCCCTAGGCCGTGTCTTGGCCCGCTGGTGGTCGGTCCCACCGACAGCCTCCAGGGTGGCCCAATCCATTCGACAGCCAGCAGAAGGGCGAGCCCCGTTCGACCACTTGGATTGCGAGTCCTTGTCCCTCTTGTAGTCTTGGTGTGCGCTCCGAAGGTCTCGTTCGTACTGAGCGTTGGATTCAGTCATGGTGGCCATGTTGCTAGTGTTTGCGTAACAAGTGTGCCGGGGATGGGATGAGAGGAGTTGGAATAGCGTCGTCGTTTATAGTGTGGGAAGCGGATGGTGCCAGGTAGTAATCTCAGTTTGAGTCGCCTTGCGCGAGATGCAAAAGTACGATTTTTCGTTTGGTTAAGACGTTATGATAAGGGACAAAGGGGGTGGAGGGTAGTTATAAGCGATGTAATGGGCAGAGCGAGCACTTGGACTATGCCCGTTTCGGTCCCCGGGCAGTCGGGTCTAGAGGACAGAGATTAAAGCAGAGGGAATAAACTTTAGGAAAGAAAGGTGTATGTGTTGACGCGGGTTCACAGGCTGTTAAGATGGCAGTTGCCGGGTGAGTCACCAGGCAAGCTGGAATCGAGGAGGTTGTAGAAAAAGCGGCAAGGTGGCCAGGATGAGATGGCAGGCTAGGAACAATTCCAAGGATGGCGACAGGTAGGCTGCGTAAGGTTGTTCGTTCAGTAAAGCTACTTGAAACAAATGGAGTTATAATACGATGTTAAGTAAGGCGTACAAAATAAGTTTGGTGGGTATTCGAACAATGCTGCATGTCAACAAAGAGTAGAGGGACGAGCAGCAGCAGAGGGAGAGGGCTGCGGCATACGTGATATATTTGAGGCAAGTTGTAGGAAAGCAAAACTGCAACTACGTATAGCAAGGAAGTCACACACTGGGCGGGTTGGGTCGGGATGGATGCGACGAGGGAGGGTGAGGCCTGTAACGAAGCGCCATGAATCTGCTTATCTCCTGGCTTGTCTCGGGCTTCGGCGGGCATTATCGTCTCGGCCTCGTACTGGGCAGGTGGACGATAAGAGTCTCTAAACGACACTGCGTGATAAAGCTTGGGGGGTGGACCAACGACGCCAGTATGCTGGTAGGGGAGGGTGTACCTAATCGCGCTCGTGTGTGTGTGTGTGTGTGTGTGTGTGTGTGTGTGTGTGTACACTTGATGGAGGAGTGGTGTGGGGACAGGTGCATGTGGCAATGCTGACCCTATGGCTGGTGCAGAAAGTGCTGCAGCTGCTCCTGCTTTTGGTGAAAACTGAGGAATTCCTTCAATAGCGCCCTTGAGGACGCGGAGAGAGGGTGGGTTGGGGGTTTGCTGCTACGCTGCCTGCATCTTAGCGTAGAACCGCCAGCTGTACCCAGCTGGTGTTCTGAGAATCAGGGGCAGCTTGGTCACATCGGCGTTGAGAGAGCTGATGTCATACATCCACTGCCGCCTCGTTAACCACATTGAGTGCTTCACTCCCCTGGGGCGCATGGCTTCCTCTACCAGCCTGTTCCCTGATCTAGCCTGGCGCATGGGCTCACCGATGACGATAAGTTGGGATTGAGACAGCCTTCGTCATGCTGTCTTCCTGTCAGCTGGTAGCTCTGAGCCACGCCGTCCTCTTGCGCCCTGCTGTTGGCGCACTATCACTCAAGTTTGGTCATTCGGCCTCGGTCGCCTTTCCCGGAGACGGAATCTTCGCTACTCATGGCCCTCTTCCCGACGTCTTAGTCCCATTCCTCTGGCAGTCTTCGGTCGTCTGGGACATAGACTGCTCTACTTGTTCGTGAATGATCGATTGTCGTGAAACGTAAGGCAATACCTTTTGCCTGTACCAACTCTACGCCTCGCTACCCCGGACCGGCACAGGGCGTATCCGACCTTCAACTCATTGTTCATATTTCTAACAGTCCTGGACATGACAAAGGGGGATCCGGCTTCCCGTTTCTAGTCGTTGCCTTAAGTTGTCTGGTCACTGTCTGGGGCCAGTCTAGTCTGCGACTTGGGCTTAACGTCGAAGCTCTACCACGCAAGTTGACGCCCATCGTGCTCACAATTGTGACGTGGTGGGATGACTACTGACTCCAAAAAGAGGTTCTGAAGTCGGCTTAGCTTCGCCAGTTTTCAGTGGCACTTAATGCTTATCTGATGAAACGCATCGCATGACCAAAAGAATAACTACTCATAAATGGTCCTCCAATGGCAGGGTTAAGCTTACTAAGTAATCTAGAAGCTATTCCGAATACCTGATTCAGACATTGTGGTTCCGTCTTCTAATGCAGCAAAGTTCCTACCGCCTTGGGGTCAATGCACTCTGTATATGCTGATAACTCACCCCGTCCTTTAGACAATTAAAATTAGAGCGGGAATTAACTAGTAACGCCACTCGACAGTCTCACAATCTCTTGATTGTGGCAGAGGAACCTCTCACAGTGCGTACCTTCTCAACAGTTAAGGCGCCCAAAAGTCAGATGACGACCAAGCCAAAGAACTTTTCAGACACATCAAAGAACCCATGCAGTGCCGATGCGCAACTGGGAGGCATACTAACGGCTAATTTGGCTGCACAGCAATATGTGCGCCCCTAAGAAACAGGTCTAATTCAAAGCTCGCTCATCGCTCAGACTTTGACAGGCGACTGCAGGAAGAACGTCGGCGGGCGAGTTCTCCCACTGCCTCCAGAACAGGCGCACCACTGGCTCTATTTATGGCTCTTTTCTGATTCTGCCCACAACTCTCGGCGGCTGGGTCCAAGCTCCTTCGGATTGCTTTACTGGGAATCTTTCGTTTTGGGGCATCATCTTGCAGCTTCGCAATGACCTAGGGTAACCGTCAAAGACAGATCAGAAGCTTTGAGGTAATGCAACAAGGGAACCTGAGCGGAGTAATACGAGCGCGCCGTGGCTTTCTGGGTTGGTGTCCACATGAAATAGCTGTGCCATTCTCTACTAGTAAATCCATGTCACCTTTGCTAATAGACAACATGTCCTCCTCGACACTTGGGCCAGTAACGAGCCAAGATATTCTTCAGTACTTCGCCACTGTTGGCTGAACCTGCCTAAAGTGACTCTTGGGCCCATTGGTCATTGCAAGGACCTCGGGAGCTTCCACCATAACCAGCCCCTCGTGGCTGCCAAGTCAAGCCGCCGTTTGCCCGTGGTCGTAGCTGCGGTCCGCGTTGCGGTGGCCCAACTCGCGTGTTGCAGCTTCGCCGAAGGATGACATCTGATTGCTTGTGTAATAGACGAACAAGGTTTGTTTGAAGAGCAACAGCGAATACCAGCCATGTTCGCGACAAACTGGTCGATGGGCAGCATGCTTAGTTGTCTTACGACTATACAGTTCCACCAAACCCTTAGCACCCGTGGTTTCGCTGAGTTCATCTCATGTTACGAAGGGTATCGAGTGGCTAGGTCTAAGGGACTCCACAATGTCCCTAGGGTTCACTAAAGAGCCAGATTCATGTGCTTCTCTACAAGAGCCAGTTGGGCCCAAAGGCAAGAGTCGACGGCTTCTCAACTTCCTTTCCTCAGGTACTGGAAAACACACCAGGGCGGGGATTAAAAGCAGAAAATGTGGGCGGTGGGGATGGCTCCGTACGTGGCTGGCAACTTGTTTTGATCGTCTGCTTCACCAAGGTGGGCCAAGAAAGCTAGGACCCCTAAAAGTAACTGCGGGTACTTCTTCTGCGTGAACACAAAAGGAGGTAGATGCGAAACAGAAGACCAAATCAGCATTGGTTTATTCTTTGGTCCCTACGTATAGGTAAATGAGTCGAATTTAAGTCAAATTTCAATGCTATTTTTGTTTTGGTTTCTTTTGGTTGGTTTTCTACTTCGTTGCGGAAACACACTAAATATGTGTGTGGACAGGCGTCTATCCCGAAACAGCCGCGCTGCTCTGTTCATTCACCAGAGGTTGAGTTACCGCTTGTGGCTAGTAGAAACCATGGGGTGAAGCCATGACCCTTCTTTTATTCTTTCAATACGTAAATTGTTGTGTTTCGAAAGCTTTGACTAAGTAAACAATGGCTTTATTGACCCCTTCATTATTGGTCCATCCATACATTTCTTGAGTAAGTTTTCGTTTTGTTTTTTGCCTTCTCTCTAGCTTCGTCGTCCTGCCATTCAGGAAGCTAACTTGACTTTGATTGCTGTGGACAAAGACGATAATTCCTCTTTCTCAGACCAATTTCCACGTGGTCCTCTGCATGTTAGTCACTGCTTTTCAAGCCTTTAGGCGCTCAAAGCCACAATACCCTGCCTCGTCGTCACTTGTCCATCCGGCCCTCTTTCTCTTCGCCGATGTGGCAGGCCAGTCATCTCCACCGACCTCTTCACCTGAGGTGACAACGCTCAATGCCCAGATCGACAGACTACTTTTAGCGTTCTCTTGGCTGCGCAAGTGCCAGATCAGGCCGCGCCTTCATACTTTGTGTGTATTTCCGAACGCCCAAGATTGCATATGGTATCCCGGCCTAAACTGGGAGGGGATGGTACGATGTTCGAGCCACCTACAACCAATTATCCTCCAGGCAGGTAGGTAAGGTATGACTTCTTCCCATACTTTTGTCTGATGCCGCTAGTTCTAAATAAGGTGCCATTAAATTATGAGAATATATATCCAATGTTCTTCCCCTTGTTGAGCAAACGGGTTCTTACTTCATCAACTTCGTTGTCGGCTTTGCCATAGTCTTTCTTTTCTGCTTCTAGTCTAGAGGCGTCTTTCTTTAATAGAATTCCCAACTTGGCAACACACTGCCATCATGTCGTTGACCAAGACACTCCTTCACCTTCTCGGTTTCACTGGTGCTGCCCAGGCGGCATGTTCCAACATGGTTATCGATGACTTTTCGAGATCCACTCCTTCTGGCCTCAATAAATTTTCTTCCTGGGCCAGCGACGACACGTCCATGTCAAAGAGTGCTGTCAGCGGCGGAATACTCTCCTTCACACCAAAGACCGACAGCTCTTCATACTTCTATGAAACTCTCGGCTGCGTCAATGCCGTCACCAAGGGCTACACCGCGGTCTCAATGACCGTCAAGGGGCCCAAGGGTGCCTCCATGATGTTAGAGATACAGACGAAGGCATCCTGTGCAGATGAGGCTTATAATAGCCATTGGGTCCAGGTGACTGGGCTGACTGGCTCGACACAACAGCTCTCAATAGCACTTTCCTCCTTCACAGGCGCCAACCTGGACGCCATTTCAGCTTTCGTCTGGTCTACTTACTCCAGTTTCGACAATTATCAGTTTAGCAACATCCAGTTCACATGCGGAGATGGGCCGAACCCTACTGTGTCAACTGCGTCAACTACCAAGACTACCACTGCCAGGGCGTCACCTACCTCGTCAAGCTGCAGCAATCTCTTGATTGACGATTGGGCCTCGCAGTCACGATTGACCTTCCTTTACTACAATGCCATGCTGCAGCCCAGCAGCGATGATGGAACTATGAAAGAGATCACTGTTTCGGACAACAGAGTCACTTTGAAGCCTAATGGACAGGCCTCTTATTTTTACAGCAAAACTTCTTGTACCAACGCCCAGGCCCAGGGCTACGGTGGCATTTCTCTGCGTATCAAGGCCCGCGCCGGTACTAGCTTTGGAGTTCAACTAGCATCGTCACCAACCTGCGGTGAAGATTCGAGCTTTGGCTACCAGACTACAAAGGAACTCGGGTGGACATTCAATGGCAAGGAGAATTTGTACAGCATCCCATTTTCCAAGTTCTCGTCCATTGATAAGTCAAGAATCACATCGATTCTGTTCCGCTCACTTTCTGCGGATGTGACGTTTGGGCCAATGGCTTTCTACTGCGGAAACACACCATCCGAATACCTCATCAAGAATCAACCGTCAGCCACCGTTCCCGTCACAACTGTCCCCGCCCCAGCTGGAACTGGTTCAGTCAAGGTTATTGACAACTTCGCAAAGAAAGAATCCAATACGCTCGGATACTGGCACGGCGGTGATGTTGATACGGCGCTCACCTGGGGCAAAAACAAGGTTACCATCAAGGCACCAGATGCCGACTTTTCTTTCTACACGCAACTCTCCGATAAGTGCGCCGACATGACCAGCTATGACGGCTCCTATCTTCATATTTCCTACAGTGGGAGTAATAAGTTCTCAGTCGCTATGCAGCAACATAATCAGCAGTGCGACGAGTCCATCGCCCCATTTCCTGAGACGTGGGACTCGCTAGAGGCCACACGCTATGCAACTGGCAACGACATTTACATTCCCATGTCACACTTCAATATTGTGCGCAAGCGTGCTATTAGCCTAGCCTTCAAAGGTTTTTACACTAAAGAGGCTGTTACCTTGACCAAGATCGAGATCGTTCCATCTGTGCCAGCTAAAACCTTTATTCCGGAAAAGTTGCCATCTGGTAATCTCGTTTTTGCCTGCAAGCGGCCGAATTCAATCGCGTTTGCTATCGACGATGGCGATCCAAAGTATGCACAAGAGGTCATGGAGGTCATCAGGTCAGAGAACATCAAGGTTACGTTTTTCACCGTCGGTGCGCCCCTACGCGATCCCTCGACCAATCTAAGTGCCATCTACAAGGAAATGATGACCCAGGGCCACCAGATGGCTCTTCACAGCTATACGCATCCCCGAATGGAAGGTCTTCCTAATGATAATGCTATCTTCTGGGAGTACGATGAGGACATCAAAGCTGTGAAGGATATGTTTAACCTGAACACGAAGTACTTTCGGCCTCCATTCGGCAATGAGGGTGCCCGCATGCGTCAACAACTAGTCAAGGCTACCGGCAAAAAGGATTCATACATTGTCAATTGGAACATTGATGTAGAAGATTGGTTGTATGCCCAGTCTAAAACACCCGAGAAACAGCTGGAGGCTTTTCAGCGCGACTTGGACAAAGGTGGTAGCCTGGTAGTGATGCATTACCTCTATCCCAGTACCGTCTCTTATCTGAGGACATTCATTCAAAAGGCGAAAGCAACAGGTAAACAGCTGATGAGAGTTGATCAGTGTATGGAGGATCCTGATGCGCCACCCCTGTCCTAAGTAGACCTTATTAAGGCAGCAGATGGCGTTCGGTTAGCTGGGTTGAGAAATTTGGTTTTTTCTTGTGGCACCTGTCTATAATCCTGTCGTAGATGACAACTAATAATATACTTCACCCAATACAATAACTTAAATAGAGTGCACGACGTACTGTGAAGGCGTAAGCGAGACAATGCTCGCAATAGGAAGTACCGGCGCCAATTACCCTGACAATTGCACTCTCGAGAAACGTTAGAGCATGTGAGTAGTCAATGCTCTTTCGCAAGTAATGCCCTACAGGAAAATGGTCCCGGATGGTAACACATCACAGCCTAGGAGGTTGCGTAATGATCACGAAAATACTAGTGCTCTGTGCTAATTCTTTTGCAGTCAGACGAATGGAGTACTCACATCAGTAATACTCACAAATCTGACATATGATCATTTTTGCATCGTCAGGATTGGACGCCCTGTGTTGTATCCTCTGATACCCCTTATGCCAAAGATGTTAGTCCCTTACTAAGACCCGTCCAGGGTGTTCTGCAACTTGCAGATATGCCAGCTGAGTCCAGCCCATTATACTGCGGCAGGTGCGTTCGAAGTATATAAACGAGGATAGGCACCCAGTAATGGGCGTGAGACTGACGGGGTTTCAACCAAGTTAGTTAGCATTCCGTACGCTGCTCGTCTCAGTCCCACCACTACAATGCCGCTCCCCCAAGATGGCCGTATTGTTGCACTTTCCCGGAGTCTGTTAAATGTCCTACACGATATATCTGGTGATCACCCCGGGTTTAGGCCAGGTATAGTAGCATTTTGCGCCGCCAAACTGGCAGGACATGAAAGGCTAATATATGTGACCAGCCCATGCCAAAGGCGTCTTACTGAGGGGTATATTCAACCCAACTCAGACAGCTGCCCAGCTCTCGAAGGCACAGCACTTTTCAGACCATAGGACCCCTGTAATTGCTAGATTCTCCAGCTCGACCGGTATGCCCAACCTTCCGGATACGGATCCCAATGGAAATCCACGTGGGTTTGCCGTGCGTTTTCTGCTAGCTGAGACGCCCCGCCGCCTTCATACGGACATCATATCCCACTCAACCCCATTCTTCCCGGCCCCCAACGGACAAGAAGCATGTGCATTCTTCCAAAGTATTGTTGACGGTACAGTTGAAAGTTATGTCTCGACTCATCCAGCGGCACTTGCCTTTGTCCAGGCACCGAAACCCTTTCCGGCAAGCTTCGGAAGGGAAAAGTATTACAGTGTCAATGCCTTCAGGTTAGTGGCAGCTAGTGGCAAGGAAACTGTTGTCCGCTACCGCTGGGCTCCGGTCAAGGGGGAGGAATACATTGACGACGAGGAAATAAAGTGCAAGGCCCCGACATTCCTGTTTGATGGTGTGCGAGAAACCTTAAAGGGAGGCCCAATTGAGTTCAAGCTGCTGGCTCAAGTGGCTCAAAACGGTGATGTGACGAATGACAGCACCGTACATTGGCCCGATGACAGAGAAATTGTAGAGTTGGGATTACTGTCTTTGGAGACACTTGTGGACGGCAATGATGCGGAGGAGAAGAACATCATCTTTGACCCTGTTCCGAGAGTGGATGGAATAAACCCATCTGAAGACCCCCTTATTAATATACGAGCAGGAGTCTACCTTATGAGCGGTCGAGAGCGCCGCGAGAGTTAATATTATAGAATAGAATATATTTAAAGAGAGATATAATAGTGATTTATAAATAGTTATAAAGTTTAGTTATATTGTTAAAAAATCTATTATTCTTATTTACTAGCTTCGAAATTTTATATAGGTATATTAAGAGTTTAATAGGTTAAGCTTATATATATATAAAAAAAATACTTTAGATTTTAATTATATATAATATATTATAAGAGGTACTTATAAAAACTAACTAGTATTAAAGGTAATAAAACTTTTAAACTAATAAAAATATATTACTCTTAAGAATATATTAGATTTTAAGGTTATAAATAGCTAGAACCTTATTATTAATATACTTAAAGTCTAATATTATTATTTTAAATATTAACTTTAACTTTTAACCCCTTTTTTATTATTATAAAGATTATAAAGATATATTAAATATATCTAGTCTATTTTCTCTAATAATCTTAAAGTATTTATTATTATAAATTAAGTAAGTCTTTAATTATATTAGTAATCTAGTAGCTTTAATTTATTTATTTAATTATCTTTTTAAGTATTAATATTATAGTATCTTAATTAATAGTAATATTACTATTAGTTATATAGATATTATAAGTAGCTAAAGGCTTTATTAAGGAAGGCCTAGAAATTATAAATAGTTTTAGTTATATAACTATACTTTAAATTAAAGGTTTTAAGCTAAGCTATTATTTTTTCTTTTCTTATTAAGAAGTATATAGCTTACTTATCTTCTATTAGCTAAATAGCTAGTATTACTAACTAACTCCTTATAATTATCTTTCTTTCTTAAAATATTAATCTTTAAAGCTATTTAACTATAAAGCTAGCTTAGTCTTATTTATAAAACTAATATAATTAAAATTAATATTATAATATTATATTATTTAGTTTTTTTAATATTATATATTATTATTTAATACTTATAATATAGTTATTTAAATTTTTTATTTTCTTATTTCTTTTAATACTATTATAAAATATTAATTTTCAAAATTATTTAATACCTTATTATTACGACCCGTTCGTTATGCCTAACAGAGGGTTAACAGACCTACTAAAGCTAGCAGCTAAAACAGGATTTTATATATAAGATACGGGATAAGGTAACAAGGGAACCTCGGGAAGGAAGAACTATTATATAGGTTACGTAGAGATAAGATAAGGATATAAGCGCCCGGTCAAAGTCGTAAGCGCTTATCCTTAGCAATAAGTGCTTATCATATATAGCAAGCACTTATCTAGGCTACTATATAATTATTAAGACTTATATATAGACTAAGACTTAAGTACCTGCTTAAGCCTTCTAGATAGTTCTTTAGTAATCAACTTTATAATTTATCTTAAATAACTTTTAGCTTAGCTTATAGTTTATAATATTACTCTAACTTGTTAGTTAGTATAAAACTAATTACTTACCTTAACCCCGATCTATTAATATAACTACTAATATATAATATAAGACCTATTATTAATAATATAGTCTTAACTTCTATTAGTAGAAACCTTACTATTACTAGCTAGCTATAATACTTTGATTACTTTTGTTTAGTAAGTTAACCCTACGCGGACTAATAAGTAGTACCTTCGATAAGATGTCTTTATCTAGCATTATTAAAACTCCTACTACCTCTTCTACCCTTTCTAAAGGGAAGGTACTTGCTTAAAACCTTGCTTAGGAACTTAGTAAGGAAGAAATAAAGGACGCGGAAGAAGAATCTAAAGAAGAAGAAGATAGTAACGAAGAACTTTAATACTAGGTTAATAAGAATAACCGTAATATTAGCTAACTTTAAAAATATTTAACTTAAATACTATAATCCTCGAGTAACTTTAAGCTATTATTCGGAACCTTAAAAGACGTAACTAAGAATTCCTAAACTAGAACTATACTTTGCAAGGCGTTACTAACATTATCTAGACTTTTATAGATAGACGAAAGAAACTCTATTTTAGCATCCTAAGCAAGTATAACGATACCCTTAGCAAGCTTAAAGGATTCCTTATTTAACTTAAGAATTACTATAACTTCTATTATTCTAACTTTAAGAATAAATCTAAGAAAGTTTTATACGCCTTAACCTTCTTAGATAGAAAAGTACTTTAATAGTTTAAACCGTTCCTAGAAAATTACTAGCAAAACGAAACCTTAGAAGATTATAATATAGAGACTTATAATATCTTTAATAGCTTCGAAGGATTTAAATATATACTTAAATTACTATTTCAAAACCTTAATAAACATAGCTAAGTAGAAAAGGAACTTAATAGCCTTAGATAAACTAAATTAGTAATTTATTACTTAGCTAAATTCTAACGCCTTTATACTACCTTAGATATAACTAATAAATCTAAGATATTATATTCTACTTTAGACTTAAAGACGAAGTTAAAAACGAGATTATTAAGATTAATAAGCTAGAAGACTTCCTTAGTTATACTAAACTTACTATTAAGATTATAACCGCCTTTATAAACGAAGAAAAGAAAAAAGTAAAAAGTACTAACTACTACTATTTAGCTAAGAAATACTAATAGCAACCTTAGAAGAAATTCTATTAGTATAATAAGAATTAACCTTAGTAGAATTACTAGAATACTACTTATAAATACTATAATAGCCTTATAAACCTAAGTATAACTAATAAAGATAACTAATAAAACTAAAAATCCTAATAAAAGAAAGATTTTAAATATTATAACTATAATAAACCTAGATATATAGCTAGAGATTATAAATAACCTAAACAGATCTAAAGACTATATAATAAGCTAATATAATATAAAAGTAATAAGACTATAATAAGAAAGATTAACTACTTTAATAACTTTTATAATAATTATAAAGAAGTAAAAGAGAATAATAGATAATACTTTAAAACCTTTTAAACGATCTAGATATAATACTACTAGGATAAATAATAAAACTCTCGTAATAGTAGACTAATAAGATATTAGCTTCTTTAATAATAATAACTAACCTCTAAGCTAATATAAATAAGAAGAAGTTACTAAGAAACTTAATAAGCCTTTATAAACAATACTATTATAAAAAAACCTAGACTACTATAGGATAGTAAGAGACTTACTAACTATACCTAAATCGACTAAGTTACGATTCCTAACTCCTTTACTATAGAAGAATTTATAGCTAGAAGATAAGAATAACTAAGCTATTTAATAGTTTAACAAAGCTATAAGGTTAGGAACTTAAGCAACCGTTCTAGACGATAGCGTTACTCTATACCTTACTAAAACGAAACAAACGCGTACTATTATAAGGTAACCTATATAGATAATATATACTTAAATATAAAACTACCTAGTTTATATATAACAGGGCAAAGAGCTATAGGGCGCTGTACTACTAGAAGCGCTATGGGGCGCTGTACTAAGAAGGTTAACATACATGTTTCACCTAGCGGGGCATAACACCTAGATAAAAGACAGGTTCTAGCTCTAGACTCTTGATCTAGAGGATTAAGAATCAGCTTTGGAAAAATACGACATTTATTACTATTATAACTATTCCTAGCTAAAACCCCGTAATAATTCTGATTCTTCTCTATTAGCTACTAATAGTTATAATAGTAGGAAGTAGTAGTAAAGATAAACGAATTCGCGAATCCCCTGACCCAATTAACCCTCCTGACGAACCGGCGAGTTAAGAGAATAGTAGCTATACTTAGCTAAGAGAGGTTGATTATACTACTCTTCTAGAGCGAATCGCCTAACTTGAGACATCTTTATCTTAAACTAAACGCTAAAACGATCTATTAGAGTAGCTCTAGCAGATATTATTAGTACGACTAAAACAGAGTCTTACCTCTAGCGAAAGGGGAGATATCAAGGTTAAGAATATCGAAGTATTTACGCTGAAAACTAGCTACCGAAAGCATACCGAATAGCTTTAAGATTTAGAACAAGCCCATAAGGAAGCCCCTAAAAGATATAAAACCGATATTAAAAAGATAGTCCTAGCACTAGACTATATGGATGCCGACTGCCGAGCGAGATAGTACCTATATAAGGATAATTTAGATAAGGAATACTAGCTAAACGCCTGGGAATATCTATACTTTGTTTATTAGACGAAAATACTTGTTAGAGATACTTAATTCCGGGAACCCTAAATTATAAAACAACTAGTTACTATAAGATAGCGATTAGATCAAGAGCTATAAGACTTTCATACTTATTTATAGTCTCTAGAAAAGGAATTTACCCCTTATCTAGAAAAAGAAAGTACTTTAGAATTTTACGCTAAGTTAACCGATAAATTACGGAAGTATATATAGACTAATACTACTAACCTCCCTACTACGCGAGAGGCTATAGTAGCTATGTCTACCCGATATTAGGGTGTTATCCAACCGAACCCTAAGCGAAAGCGCGATGATAAACAAGATAGTAAACTAGGAAGGGTTAAGAGACAAGCTCGAAATCTTACTTCCTCCTCTCCTTAGTCGAGTCTTAAAAAAGGAGGGAAAAACGGCGTTAACTATACTACTAGTAAACTACGCCTTTATTATATCTACGGTAGTCCAGACTATTTATCTAATATTTATACTAAATCCTTAAAAGAGGATAGAGAGAAAATAAAAGGAAAAACGGGGGTTTAGTAAGCGACTACTAATACTAACACCTCTGCTTCGGGAAAAGGCAAGGGGAAGGAGTAACTCCCTATCCTCCTTCCTAGCCTATAGTAGGGACTACTTAACGATTCTATACCTCTGCTAAAGTTAGAGGAAACCGAGTAATAGTATCTACTAATATTGATTTTAATTCGGAAGCCGAGTACGATTTAGTTTCGTATACCTTTATATAGTAGTAAAGACTAAATCAAGCTAAGCTAACCCTTCTAATCCTATCTATACTAAGGCAAAGTACTATCCCTACCTATAGGGTCTTTTAGGTTCTACTTATCCTTACCGATTTGCGAGGAACTCGTCGGTCGTTTACTTATTCCTATATAGCAATTAACCGCGACCCTCGACTTAAGG